AACCCTAACCTAACCCTAACCCTAACCCTAACCCTAACCCTAACCCTAACCCTAACCCTAACCCTAACCCTAACCCTAACCCTAACCCTAACCCTAACCCTAACCCTAACCCCAGATCTACATCTAGATTTAGATTTAGATCGTGATCGTAGATAAAGACGTTCCTATTCAAGGCCGGCGTGCTTTCAGTATGCATTCCATTAGTAAGAGGTGTGGGTCCTTGCCCACCTTGCGAGTGTAAGCTGTAAAATTTGAGCTAAAAGACAAAAGTGCGTGATTTATTTACCCTCGATAACTAGATTGACGGTCTGGTTCAAAACCCCGAAGCAATGAATAAACACACTGACTGAAACAACGCCCTAACTAGCACCTAATCAGCATGCCCACGTCTAGTCACCGTCAGACCAAAAGCGGCACCTGTGATACAGCATCAATAGTCCTCCGCTTCTTGTCCTCCAGTCCAGAGACCCTGTTCTTATCAGCCAGACGGAGCAGTTCTGACGCGACGGCAAAGGGAGACTTGTCCGCCATCTTTGGGTTGCTGAGGATAGCGGCGGCGACGCCCACAACATGAGGGCACGCTGAGCGACAGTATGTCAGCAAAAGCTTCGTCACAAGACCTGCACGTGCGTTGCGGAAGATACGGTATATGTAAAGAAACCCTCTTACCCATCGAAGTTCCACTGATGGACTTGGTTTCATTGTTGTTGGGGCCGATCCAAGTCGACTCGATACCGACGCCAGGCGCGATGATATCGACCACTACCGCAGTTTTAGCGTCCATACATTGCATGTCCCCGCGAGTTAACAAGTTGCACTTACGTCTACCGTAGTTGCTAAAGCTTGCAAGCTGGTCTTTGACGTCGGATGCGGCGACGGTAATGGCAAGTGGGGTACGTGCTGGCGAGGTCGTCTCGGCGTCTCTCTGTGATTACGATGACATTAGTGAACCTGGCATCTTCATGGGACGTCGAGTGAGATACATACCGGTTGGAATGTGGGTGGCTGTGCATTACCAGCAGCACACACAACGAGGACGTCGGCTCTCACCGCAGCGGAAACCATCGCATCCAGGGGCTCATATAGAGGGCCTCCGAGACTGAGGTTGATGACGGACGGTTTACCATGCTCTTTGTATTGTTGCACGACGTACTGAATGGCGGCCATGATATCGGCATTTGTTGCACCGGCCCTCTCATCAGTATCCGGGAGGTCGTTAAAGACCTTGATGCCGACGATGTCGACCTTCTTTGCGACGCCGTAGTCCTTGGCGCCGATGGTGCCCGCGCAGTGCGTGCCGTGTCCCTGTTTGTCGTCGTCGCTGGTGACTAAGTCTGGATAAGGCTCCGTCACGAACTTACGCCCTTTGGTCGCGCGGCATTCAAATTGCTCATGCTTGTCATTGATGCCAGTGTCAAGCACATATGCCACAACGCCGTGCCCGGCGGCGGCGTCGTTGTACTTGTACGTGTAGGGTCCTGTCTCAGGGACCTTCCCATCGCTGGACAGACGAGCGAGGCCCCAGGGAACTCGCTTGGTAACGGATGAGATGGCGCAGTGCTTGTAGAGTAAGACTGGCTCCACTGAGGCAACCTGCGTGCGGTTAGTATTATCTGGGTAAGGTAGGAGAAGGCATTTCAAGTTATCATAGTATGATTACCTCGGGCAGCTGCTCCAGCTGCTCCTTGGTGGCTTCATCGAACGAGGCCGAGTATCCCCGGGCCTCGTCAAGGTTGAACTCACGATGAACGTGAACGTGGAAGGGTGTTGCATCTGCGGCGCGAATGTTCACGGATGAAAGGTGTTGAGTCTTCGTACTCTCAGAAGCAAAAGGCTTGAGCCTCACAATCCACTGGCCGGGGATGGCTCTGGGTGTAGGGTAAGCTTCGGTATCCGTCATTCTGGGGAGGTTGTGGATAAATCTCGTGTGGTTGCTAGGCTGCGGCAAGGCTTGGAAGGGTTGAAAAGATTATTTGGTACTAAGAGCAGAGTAGTTGACGGGTTATGGCATTATGAGCCAGTTGCCCATACGTGAAAAGCTCACTATCCTCAAATTACCCATAATATACTAACAAAGGAGTCAGTCAGATCTACACCTAACGTCATGTTGCCGAACTGGCGTCACATACGGAAGACCAATGTCGACGTCATTCAAGTCATGATGATGACGATGATGATGATCGTCATCATTATCATCATCATCGTCATCATCATCATCATCATCGAAGATCGCCGAGAACAATTCACAGTCCGCATCTCGATGTATGCGGAGAAACTGATTCATGCTGGAGACAGGAAGTGCGACGTCATCCCCACCTCAGTTCTCCCACAGGTGTCGCTTGCAAAAGACCAATGTTCATCTCGTTCAGGTTGCAGATAGCGGAGAAAGGCGAATAGAACTATGACATGACGTAAAACTTGAAGCATATGCAGAATACCGCACGCCGCCCGCGGCGCCGGACGGCAGAGCCGGGCCAGGCCAGCAGGAAGAGATGGTTTTCATATATGTCTGAGACAGTGCGGCCTGATCTTGAGCGCTCGGGTTGTGATTGAGCTGCCGAGGATAGAGTCGATGGTATTACAGCTAGAGACGAGTCAACGATGGTTGGTGAGACCGATGAGAGATCGGCTGGTAATAGCCTCGTCAACCCATTGCGGGAGAAATGGCTTCGTGGCGGGTTTTGATGCCAAAGGGTTAGTTAGGTCTCGAGGACGCATCGGATGGGATCGCTAAAGGCGCCTAGGAGGATATAGCCAATGCGAACTCGCTTGAGCAGAGATTCTTGTAAAGGATATTGGCGGAGAGGAGCTTCTTAAGGGAATTGGGCGAGTCACTGGCGGTCTTCCACAAGTCGACTATCAAGCTATGTCCTCCAAACACCAGGCGAGCCGGTCAGCGGCCTTTACCGGAAGCTCAGGGCGCATGTTTTCACGTATTATACTGTACAGCCTTTGCAAGATCATATGAAATACAGGTGCGCAAAAAAAGGACTCTTGCAATTCAGAATTTAGCCAGTTGGTCTAACGTACATGATAAGCGAGCGACGCAGATAAGCGAGCGACGCACTTTCTACCACCCTACAACAACTATCCTCAATTATAATACAACAACGCTAGCAACCAACTACAATTACATCAGAAATAGATGAATCAGATGATTCTACAGCCTCCTAGCAAGTGCGAGCATTATGGCCAGGCCTGCCGCATACCCCACAGCATCGAACCTTCGTATAAGCTCCCCCTGAACCGCTACCATCCGGCTGCGTTTCCTGCACTACCTCCCTACCTACGGCATTCTAATCTAGTAGATTCTTTGTATCTTGTACAGTAAGTGAACTTCCAAGCTGTATACGTGTTTTCTTGGCACGCCGGCGCTTGCTTAGTGCCTCATTGGCCTTGTGAAGCGAAGAGACCTCTAACTGAAGGAGGGCCACCTGGTGCATTATAGCTATCATACCCTTGGCAAGCTGGTCTACAGCATCCAACATTGAAGTTGGGGAGCTATTTTAATGGTTCGCTATGTAAGTCTTGATGAGCGTTGACTGTATATCAGCTCCTTGGGGGTTAACCGGTGTCTAGAAGACCTAGGGTTGTATAGTGCTAGGCTGTAAGGTTGGGGGTATTAGCGTACGAAGCTTTATATCTAGCTTAGAAAGCACCCGCTCTAGGTCGTATGGCATAAGGCCAGCCCCTATAAAGCTACCCTATATATTCTTCTCTATTATAGAAGCAAAGGAGGCTTCTTGGAAGGCATAGAGGAACTTAAGCTTACTAATATAGTTGATATACATACGCATTAAGCCCTCAATCTAGCGACTGTATGCCTGCTTGAGTGGCCTAAAGCAGGTAACATCGAGAGGCTAGAGCCTATGGGAAGAGTATAGAGGCATATAGAGTATAACAATGTTGTTCTCCTTGCAGTAAAGCTCGAATTCAGTCGAGTGGTGGCTCTTTGTGACGAAACTACAAGCAGTCCTGCCTTTGAAAGGGTTCGCCGGTCGAAGGTATCTGCTGGTCGGACTGTAGGTCTCGGTAAAGCTAAAAGGTTCACAACAATGCAAGTTGCAATGTCTATACAGTAAGGTTAGGCTACTCTACTGTTTGTATTGCTCACTAGAGAACTCTTAGAGTCCTCCAAAACGAGTGACTATATACTGGCTATCTTTGGGTGCTCTTATATGCTCTATAGAGCTCCCTAGAGCTTAGTGCTCTGTTGACTCCATCGAGAGCTTCCATTCCTTCGTGCTAATTAGCTTAGCTCCCTGAGCTCTCGTCTGCTCTCTAGAGCACCTTAGAGCTCCTTTTTATTGGTCCTAAATGATTGGTTCGGGTGCGCCCTGCGCTACCCATCGGGTTGTCCCACCTGCAGCTGTCCTGTTGGCTTAATTCGTGACATAGGTGGTTAGCCATATCTTCTATACTATTTAATCTAGGTGGGAATGCGCGTATAGATAGCTCAGTTATATACTGAACTATTGACTTCTCTTCTAGATCTGTGAGCTTACACGAGTTGGCTAGAACATCGCGTCTTGCAGCATGTCCTTTGCGCCGGTGGCGAATCGTTGCTTCTAGAACGTTATATAGCTTAGCTACCGCCCGGATACTGAGATTCTCGCTCTATTTGATAGCTTCGAGGGCTAAAAGAAGCCTAGCTTCTTTTAAAGGGCTACATATGGCTTATTATGGTGGTATTTGGTGGAAAAGTTTAGAGGAGGCGCGTCGCACTGAAAGTGCGTCGCTCGCTTATCTGCGTCACTCGCTTATCATATACGTTAGGCATAGCAGAGACTTTGATGAAAGATATCGCTATGTTATTACTTTCAACCACTTAAGTACATTACTTGCAATATAGAGACCAGACTTGGAGCTTAACTAAGGACTCTAAATACTATATTTTACGGTCTGTCTAAAGCAGTGATATAGTAATCCTGCGCTCTGATAGGAGCAAACACTTCCCCCTAGGCTATTACCGGGTTAACTGAGCATCCGATCTTAAAATCTCATTCAACCTAACCCTCGTAACACACTTCTCAAGCGCAAAGCTACTGGCCAGCTCCTCTAGCTCCACCTCTGTCTTGTTTGCAAACAGCTCCGCCATCTCCCAACCCAGATACTCACTCATCAAGCACTCCCTCACCACGCGCTCGACCTGCCGATCGAACGTCCACGTATTGGGGTACTTTTTCCGCAGCAGATGCGCCGGCACCATCTCGCGCAGCTTGGCGATGAAGGGTGCGTACACCTCCCCGTCGACGGCGCTCTTGTCCGCGACGCCCCAAAAGTCGAGCCCCAGGCGCTTCTTCTTCTCGACAAAGGGCCGCACCAGCCGCATGTAGGCGCTGTCCGGGTCAAGGTGGACCATGCCCTGGTACCCGATGTCCTTCCACAGCCAGATGCTCCACGACACGGGCGCGTCGAACTCGCGGTAGATGCGCAGCTGCTCGCGCAGGAGGGCGAAGCGCCGCTCGTTGGTCGCTTCCGCGCTCTCGGCGCCGTCCCGATCGTGCTGCTGGTAGACGGGGCCGAACTCGCCGTTCCAGATGGGCACGCCGGCCGCGCGCATAAAGGCTACCTTGCGCGCGAAGCTGGCGCGCAGGTGCAGGCGCTGCGCGTCGGATCCGTCGTACTGCTCGCCGCCGGGGAAGCCGAGGCGGGCGTAGTCGTGGCAGCTGTAGACGGCGTTGGGCAGGGCGCGGGCCGGGTCGAAGGCGGAGAAGTCCATGGCGTAGGTGTTGCCGTCGAGGAAGAGCATGTGGTCCGGGTCGACGGCGCGGATGGCGCGCTCGACGCGCTCGTACCACGCCACGAGCCGCGCGTGCTGCGGGTCCGCCGGCTCGTTGAGCGGGTTGTACCCGGCGACCACGGGGTTGCCCGCATAGTGCGCGGCGATGGCGCGCCAGAGCTGCACGGCGCGGTCCTGGAAGTCGCGGAACTCCCAGAAGAGCGCGCGCGAGAGCCCACTGTCGCTGTGCCAGTCCTGGTTCTGACCCCCGGGCACGGCGTGCAGGTCGAGCACGACGTAGATGCCGTGGCGGCCGCATATGTCGACGACGCGGTTCAGGAGGGCAAAACCTTCGGGCTTGATGACGTTGGGGTTGTCGTCGTCCATGAAGTGCCGGTAGTTGAAGGGCACGCGGAGGCAGTTGAGGCCGAGCGAGACGAAGAGAGCGGCGTCGGCGTCGGTGAAGAAGTGGTGGATGAGGCGGTCAAAGAAGAAGGCGGCCTTTTCCTTGCCCAAGACCTCGGCGAGAGCGACTCGGTGCTCATGCTCGTGGCCCGAGTATCCGGTAATGAAATTTTCCATGTTGAGCATGCCGCCGAGCCCGGCTCCCTTGAGGATAACCTTGTCACCGGCGGCGTTGACGATATCAGTGCCACTTGCGCGGAGCATGGTCAGACGCGGTGGCGTGTGCGTAAGTTCTACCCGAACGGAGACATCTTGGGCCAAGCCTGCTGTGGTTCGGGTTGTTGCTGTCGACATGGCGCTGGCTGGGTATCGTAATGCGTCTCTGGCATCCCGGGTTGGGGCCCGTTAAGAGCCATGCTTTATATCCCCTTTGAGAATGGGGTACACAAAAGCCAAGACGTCAGGTCAGTACTGCGTAACCACTTTTAGCCGGCCAACCGCTTTCACACGGACCGAATGATTGGCGACTGATCGCCCATTGCTTGGAGTCGTAGAGCCGGAATATACCCGGTCTGAAGGGCGATACTCCGCGATGTCTAGGCCGACCTCCACGAGCGACATTCCCCGAGTTCAGCTCAGCTTGGTCCCGTCGCCTCGCTTAGTGTAGAGTGGCGCAGGGCTTGCAGCCAACCCTGACACGGCTTTCGGGCCAAGAGCTGGGCTCAGTAGGGATTCTACACGTACAGTCCAACCCTTGAATGAATGTTAGCGCCTGACTTGAGCGACCAGGGGTCAGCCCTAGCGTTTCAGCCCCTGTCGCTTGTTCCGCGCTAACAATCATTGAGGGGTTGAACTGTACACTCCCATCTTTTAAACTGTCACGTGTCATTCGCCGCCGAGCTCTGTTGGACCCATGCCGGATCCTGCGAAAGCACGAACGCATCTCTATCAATTTTTGAGCCACCCAGTTCAGTGTTGAAGCTTCACGGGAGAAAATATGAGCCGGAAGCTGCGGCCGTGCAGGTGTTTGCATGTGCCTGCTCGAGAACTCGTTGAATCTGGCGAAACTCGCGTGTCTCGGTGCTCCAGAAGGCCAAGAGATCGATCACGGCGTCCACTTCAGCCGCCCACCCCTCAGGCATACGCACAGTCAACATGTCACCACCGATAGCCCGAGGACGACGCGCCTCGCGTTGAAGGTGCTTGGCCGTCGCGACCAGTATCAAAGCGCTACGCGAGCAGGACCGCATCATCGGGATCGTGCCGTGGTGGCGGTGTCTGTATCCAGGCCGGTTCACCACCAGCCTCATGAGATGGTGATCCAGGGCCTTTTGTGCCAGCGTCACTATGCCTGCGAGCATCGGGCCCCGCTCGGCGCAGAGCGGTTGTTCTCCCGCATCGGCGCAGCCCAGATACGCAGACAGGAAGGGCCAGTATATCAGCTCAAACAGATTGATCGCGTGCCCTCGGAGCACGAACCGGCAGACATCGTCCTCGTCTGCCGGCGCGTCGAACGACAGGCACGCCGGCAGTGACGCGACCCACTCTCCCGCTTGCTCCTCGTAGCCCGGCACCGCCTCGGCCAGCGCCGCCAGGAACTGCGCCCTGCTATGTCCCCGGGGGGCGGACGCCTGCTTGCGCAGGCGGATCATCTCGGCTGCGACGCGGGCCGAGAGCCGCCGCAGCGAGATCTCGGCCAAGTAGAAGTACCAGGATGTGCGCTCGCGCGCTAGGCGCGAGTGGATCGGCGCGCCGGCCGTCTCCGGACGCGGCGCCGGCGGCGTCGGAAAGAACGGCGGGTAGAGCACGAGATGGGCGTCCTGATGGGGCGCCGAGAAGTCCGGTAGTCGGTGGCCAATGTCTCCGCCGCGCATCTCGCGCTCCGACTTCCAGCTCGACCAGTAGACGGCCTGCTGGAGCGTGTCCGAGGGGGAGGGTGCTGGCGAGCAAGTGTCTCCTATCCCCGCTGGCGGGCTGAGACTGGCTTGCTGGCCAGCGTTTTCTGGGTGGTGGTTCTGGTGGGAAAGCGGGTGGAGGAAGGAGAATTGCTGGCAAGCGGCAAGGGCCTGCAGAAAGAAGCGCCATGCACGCACGGGCTGGCAGGTGCACATCATGTAGACTCCCGACAGGAAGAGACACTGGGCAGCCAGAGTATCATCGGAGCAGAGAGCCATGCCAATCCGCTGCTGCGCGGCGGCAAAGAAGGATTGGGCGCTGCTATACGCGGGCGTCCCTGGCATGGTGTCCAGGCTGGGGCCGAAGGGCGTGGCGATCGCACCTAAAGCACAAACGAGCGAGGCCAGACATGACTCGGCGGACCAGTCCAGGCCGTTGTCAACAGTAGACAAGACCATGTTCCGCGTGGCGGTCTCGTCGAGCACCGGGTTTTTGACGTGCACGTAAGCAAAGAAGCTGTCGAGCAGCTCGCTGATCCGCCCGGGTTCCCTGTCAGGGTCGTGGCCTTCAAAGACAGGCATGGACGGCGCAGAGGTGACGACGGACGCTCCCAAGCACGACCCCGACGGCGATTTCAGGGCGTGCGCCGTCCCCAGCCCGTCTTGGAAGGCTGCAAAGATGGGCCAAGATGATGCGATATCTTCTGGACCCGGCGGTATGACAGCGTCCAAACTGATGGGTTCCTGAGCCTCCTGCGGCTTATCAAGCCGAGCGGACTCGACGACTCTGGTCTTGCTTGCGGTCGGGCTGCCACTGCTGCTGTCAAGCGAGACGGATCTCACTAGTTCTTCCAGGTCGTCCAACCGCTCTAGGATCTTGAGGCTGGCCGGGTCGAAGCTTGACAGGTCGACGGGCGACTGTATGCACGTGGCACCCACCTTGAGGCAGAAAGAGCACGACGGCTTGGCGTTGTCGCACTTGGTACGCCGAGCACGGCAGACTTGGCAGGCCTTGACAGCGCGCTTGCGAGGGTAGGCGGCGGTCCCACGTGGCGGAGGTCGCGTGTTGCTCCCAGCTGCGGGTCCTGGGGCAGCCGCTGATGCGGGGAGATCAGCCATCGAAACTCAGGACAGGGTAGGTTTCTGCGGATAGATGCAAGGGTCCGGTCCAGCAAAGAAGATGCTTGGGAAAAAAGAGCAGAACCACCAGGAACCGCTCTGGAAGAAGAAACGAGGAGGAGCCAAGAGAGAAGCGAGTTGAATAGAGTGGAGGTGGTGGGTCTCAGCCTGTCGCGGAATATCGCTTCTACAATGGGTCTAGGTACACTAGCCCCTTTTCTCCTTCACACTAGCGTTAGCGTCGCTGGGGAACATTTGGGCTAGCGCTGAAAATGCGGAGAGTCTGGGGAAGGCGAACAAACTCCGCATGGACTCTGGCGGCCTGGCCACACCAAGTCGTTGGGACCGTTCTGGATTTATGCGCGGAATGTCGCTCGAAAGCCAATGCCCGTCTCGGTAACACCACCCATAGACCAGCATAGCACCGAAACTTGACGACGATGTCGACGTCGAGCTTCGGGATAAAACCCCAGATATGCCTTCAGCTGTATCCTCAACGGTTTCCCTTCATTCCATCCATCATATCAAAGCCTGTCATACCTCTCGCCTTGTTCTCCTTCTGCGATAGACTGTCGACTCCGTGAAGTCGCACCAGACCCCAACGACGATAACAATAACAACAAGAGGGAAGATGGCTGAAAAATCCACAGATCCCGCGCATGTCGAGGCCGTCGCTTCGAAGGCCCACGACTCCGAGTCCATGTCCAACCTGAAGTCTGCCGTAGTCACAGCAGCCAACCAGCAGGAGCACGAACTCACCCTGGCCGATCTCTTCCGCAGCCATAAGTCCGTAGTCTGGTGGTGCTTTTTTTGGGCCATGGCCGCAGTAGGATGGTTGGTTCGAAACTCCTTTGTTCGGTGTCACGGGCGGCATTGCTAATTAATATCCGCAGGGGCTTCGACGCTCAGGTGAACGGTGCCATGATCTCCGTCGCCTCCTTCCGCCGAGATTTCGGGTGAGCCAGCGTCGCCCCACCTTCTCTTCTCTTCTTCAGCACGACGCTAATACTTTCCTGCAGCTATATTGAAAACGGCGACGCGGTCCTCCCCGCATCGTGGCAGACCGCATTCAACTGCATCAGCACCGTAGGCCAATTCTTCGGCGGCTTCGCCTGCTCCTGGCTTGCCGACCGGACCGGCCGCAAGGCAGCTCTCCTCGCCGGCATCATCCTCTGCACAGGCGGCTGCATTGGCGAGGTTCTGTCCACCGCACGCGGCGCCTTCCTCGCGTCCAAGCTGATCCTCGGCTTCGGCCTTGGCTTCTACCTTACCGTCGCGCCCCTGGCCTGCAGCGAACTGGCGCCCCTTGCGCTGCGTGGCTCCGCCACGGCAGGCGTCAACCTCGGCGTCGCGATCGGCCAGCTCCTTTCCAACGCCGTTGTCAAGGGCTTCGGTGAGCGGGACGACCGCTGGGCGTACCGCGCCCCCTTCGCCATCCAGCTCTTCTTTACCGCCTTTCTGCTCCTCGGCCTGCCGTTCTCGCCCGAGAGCCCGTGGTATCTGGCGCGCAAGGGAATGCGCGAGCGCGCCACGGCTTCGCTGCGCACGCTGTACGGGCGCGGCTACGACGTGGACAAGGGCCTGGCCATGTTGGATGCCACGATCCGGGAGGAAGCCATGATGAGCGACGACACCGAGACGAGCTTCCTCGACTGTTTCCGTGGCACCAACCGGCTTCGCACGGGCATCTCGACGGGCGTGTTTCTCTGCCAGCACATGGTCGGTATCATTTTCGTGCTCGGCTACTCCACCTACTTCTTCCAGCTAGCAGGTGTCGACCCGTCCAACAGCTTCAACCTCGGCGTCGGTGTCACGGCGTGCGGCGTGTTGGGCAACGTCCTCAGCTGGTTCGTCGTGGAACGCTTTGGCCGCCGCAGCATCTTCCTGTCCGGTATGGCCACGCTGACCGCCATCCTGCTTCTCATCGGCATCATGGACGTGGTTCAGACGAGCGCGGCAAAATGGGTTCAGGCGGCTGTGACCGTCGTCTATGCGTTTGTGTACTTCTTGACCATCGGCGCTATGGCGTTTGCCATCCTGGGCGAGGCGTCCAGCACGGTGCTGCGGGCCAAGACCATTTCCCTGGCCACGGCCACCCAGGCCCTGTGTGGGATCGCCATGAACTTTGCCATCCCATACATGGTCAACCCGGACGAGGGGAACCTCAAGGGTAAGGTCGGCTTTATCTTTGGCGGTCTTGCACTGTTGGCAACGGTTGGTAGCTACTTTTATGTTCCGGAGCTCAAGGGTAAGACGTTTGATGAGATTGATCGGCTGTTTGCTGCCAAGGTGCCACCGAGGGAGATGGGACGGATGTGAAAGGTTTTTGGAAGATGGAGTCTGTGATTGGGAGCTTGGCAATAGGGTTGATCTGAATCGGGTGGTTAACGTTAGTGCCGTAGGCTCTATAGGCGCCTTAAATCGTATTTCGAAGGGGTCCCGACGCTACCTGATTTCTATACTAAACGCTGCAAAGCGACATTCACCTACATGCTCCGGCAGAAGTAGGCATAGTAACTTCACCTAACCTCACCCCGTCGTCAGGGATACCCTCGCTGCCTCTGCTGCCGTGCGGGTCGCTGCCGCATTTTCCGCCCATCTCTGCTACAAGGGTGGCAAATTGTGTGCGGGAAGCGCCATTCCGCGAAGCGCGGCACGACGGGGTATGGAGGGTCAAGCGGGGCCGGAAGTTGAAAGAAGTATTGCGCCTCGCGCAGGATGCCGCCATTCGGGCGCTCCACCCTCAGGGCGCCGATGCGGTCCGACGAGAAGAATCCATCGCCCCACCGATTGCCGGCAATGAGGCCGCAGGCGGTCAGGGCCGTGTCATAGTCGATGCCGCCGCTATCGAGTGCGGGCAGCGAGAGAAGCACTATCCCATTAGAGTAGCCGGGATGGAGGAAGTCGGTCCTGCGGGGTCGCTGTGCCGTCTCAGGGCTGTAGTTTGGCTGAGACTCGGGCTCGTTTGCAGCGGGACGTAGTTGCATCTTCTATGTTTTGCCGTGATAACTGATTGAAGTTCGATGAAAGAATGATACTACAAGAGCCGACCGATGGATTGCTAATAATCAAGCATGTCGCGACATGATTGGCTGATCCGTGAGCAGATCTGAAAAAAGCGGGCCGTTGTCCCGCCAACAACCGAGCGAGATTGTAGACATAACGGTCGCCAACCTGCGCAAGTGTCACTCCTCTTTGGGCCATGTGCCTGACGCGCCGTGTAATATCTCCGAAACCCAGTTCAATTCAGATTGTCCTAAGTAGTGAAACACGCCCAATACGGCGGGGGCCCAAATGAGTGTACAATAGCTACCGAACATGAAAGCACGATCCAGTTTCCGGCACATCCCTCCCAAGGGATGTTGACCACCAACGGAAGAGGCGATATAGCCCCGATACCTCTCACACTATCACTAAGCTCTGTCCTGCAAACGCCAGAGTTACAGGGCCACGAAATCCATCATCGACGTTGTGAGATGGGCCGAAACAGCAATCGTTCCATCTTCCTTATTAGCGGTCGATGAAGGTTTAGTTCAGTAGTGGCGGGCGAACCGCTGGCGACAATGACCTGTTCCGAATGAGCATGGGGTTCATGATGTCTGTATCGGTCAACACTCACTGGATACGCTTAGTCCGTGACATAAAGAGTGGCAGCATCCGCGTCGGACCGCTTCTTGTCGGCCACATACAAGGTAGCGGCGTCAGCATCCGACCGCTTGTCGGTGACATAAAGAGTCGCTGCATCGACATCAGAACGTTTGTCCGTCACATAAAGAGTGGCGGCATCAGCGTCGGATCGCTTGTCAGCGACATAGAGAGTCGCCGCATCGGCGTCAGAGCGCTTATCAGACACGTAAAGCGTGGCTGCGTCGGCATCCGAGCGTTTGTCCGCAACATAGAGGGTAGCCGCGTCAGCATCGGAACGCTTGTCTGCTATGGAATCATAGGCTTTGTCAGACTCGACCATAGAAGTATGCGGTCATCGTACTTGATGAGGTTCAGGAGCGGGGAATATCTTCTCTTACTACCAGTGGGCGCGGAAATCGAGGTACCGGCAAGAACCAAGCTAAGAGCAATCTTCACCATTTTGGCGGTTGAGAGGTGGTCTGGATTGGAAGGGAAAGTCGCAGAGTTTGTTGCTTTGACTTCGTCGGGGTTCTGGGATGCTTGTGGCTGGATTTACATGAACTGAGTGACCTGGGACTGCCTGCTGAGTCTTAAAGGGGAGGATCCCGGGTGGGACGCTCCTTTATATCCTGTCCCGAGATGGATGTAGCTCGCTGTGCTTCATGCCACGGTCTCTAACCGTGGCTTCTGTATATAACAGAGCTTGTTTGGCAGAGATAGCATTTGGCAGGGCCGCACAGCCTCCTGTCAGCCTTACTACGTTACGGCCTCACTAGCCCTGAGACTAGAAGGTGATGCTATCCTTCTAAACACCCTCAGATTCACGTAAGGTCACTCGACCTGTGTTCATGCGACAATGACAGTGCATTCTGGACCTGCATGCTTCGTTCTGCCCACGAATGGCGTCGTTATGCCGGCGTCCTCATATTTCAGGCCCTTAGAGCTTTAGAAGCAGCTAGTTACAGTTATGGTACGAATTAGCAGCAAGATGCAAACTCCCGTGTCTGAGATACCAGTAGCTGACCGTTGTAACCGATAACAATGCGAGGTTATCATATCAGAGGTAGTCAAGGACTCTTACTAAGAGCTACATACAATGGCTCCATCCCTTACAGTTGCTATTTGTTCCTATGGAGATTGCCATGCCTGTGTGCTGTATCTCTTTCCTTCGTGGCCAAGCCTAGCGACAACACCAAATCTCATTCAACTACCGGTGTCTCCGTATTTCAGCTTCTAGTGCTGATTTAGCTATAAGGCTACGTACTGACTGTCACAGGAACTAGTGCTGGTAGTGGGGAAGCATGACCGTGCAGAATCTTGGCCGGTGGCGCTACGGCACGGCCAGGCTCACGTCCTCCATGCGGTGTCACCCTACCGGCCATGGATGCCGACAGGATCCTGGCTACCTAGCCCAGATGCAGCATTGTAATTAATGAAGCAACGGAGAATGGCGTGGGCGACAGATGAGGAATTTCTGAAAGGTAAACGAACAAGTGCCTCGCCGGGCTCAGTGATCAGGAAAATGACTGTGAAGGAAAATGGCTGGAGATCTCGGAGCAGTTCCCGGATCAGGCGGCTGCCGGCATGTCTTGCTGGTTCAGAAACACTCCATGTCCCCAACTCACACCCACGGGTAGCCCCGTTGCTTGAGACTTGTAGAATTTCGCAATCCTAACGACATGCCTTCTCCCCCAATATCCTTCGAAGCCTTGATGAAGGCGATGATGCCATTGGAAAAAGACACCGTTCAAACAGGTCGGCAGCACGACGGAAACGAGTACCGCGACGACTCTACAGACCGGCTAGTGAACGAGCGTGAGAAGAACCCCCGGTGGGAGCGCCCGATCTCATGGTACCAGCGCCGGCGGGCCGTGGCGGTCTATGCTGGTGTATCTGTGGTGCAGCTCGTCATCGCCGTTGGCCTGGCCGTACTTCTGGCCCGGACCCGGCCGAGCTGCGGCGTCAGATCCTCTATTGTGAGTTTCCCTGCCGTTCCCATCGCCCTCGCCGTTCTGGCGGTGTCTGACCTGGCACCGCTCTGGCTAGCGCCCGCAAATGAGGCCATCGACTGGAGTGTTCAGGAGTTCGACTCGGGCAACGGTCTGCACGGCAACTTCATCGGCCCGCCGCGGCCGGCACTGGAGAAGGCGTGGGCGGAGCTCCTGAGGCGTGAGTACTATTATCTTCCGTCTCCGGATGTCACAACATTGGATCGAAGACCTGTGCCTGCTAAACTCTGGTAATATCTAGCGATGAACCTTCGACTAGGCAGAGAGGACATAGTCGCGTACCATCGCGAGGGCAACGCAGTAGCGCTGAGTGATGGTTCCGGCTACGCGGGGAGCTTGAATGTCTACCACGAGCTGCACTGCGTGGTAAGTGCATATTGTAATCCGGTACCGAGCTTCGGCGTCGAATTATCTATCTAACAATAACACCCACTTGCGCGTGTCTCACCAGATCGCACGGGCTTCATGTCGGGGGCCGGACACACACGGCGGATCTGGCCCCCTTTGCTCCGCTGCCTAGGTACTACCTACCTTACCAGCGCCCTTCTCGAGAGCAACACACAGATACTTGAAAGCTTTGGCTGGGCTAGACAACGTCAGCGGACGCCGACGACAGCCCACCTGCGCTTTTGCGTACCTCTCTCTCTCTCTTTCTCTGGTTGCCGCTCACGACACCTCAACCCTGCTTCCAAAGCTCTGCCATGGCCATCCGCCATACAATCCCCCAACCGAGTCCGGGAAGGTCTTGGTCCCGGTTTCTCCTCCTGACCCTGTTGGTGCTGCATGCGGTGCTGCTCGCTCCCGCCCGGGCCGAACCAGTGCAGTACTGTCGGTTCGGCGATCCGGCCAAACCCAACGCAGCGGCCGACTTCTGCCTCGGCCTCGCCACGGGGCGCAATGCGAGCACGGGCGCGCACAACGTCTACCTGATAATCACCCACACGCGGCCGCGGCGGTCGGCCGTGGGATGGACTGCCGTCGGCACCGGCGACAGCATGGCCGGGTCGCTCATGTTCATCGTCTACGGCCTGGTAGACCCACCGCAGCGGCAGGATGGACGAGAGCTTGCCGGCCAGCGGGATGAGAGCGCATGTCGTCAGCGAGTAGGCGGCTGGGTACCAGGCAATGTTGGACGTGTCGCGGAATTCCGACATGATCGGGGGGATTTTCTTGCAGGGAGACCCAAACACCGGTGTCAGGAGAGTATTGTTAATCTTCTCCTTCAGTAAGCCAGACTCACAGTCGAGATGATAAAGACATCGATGGACACCAAGAATGATCCACGCAGATGCCAACGAGGATGGGGTAAAGGGAGATTCCCGTCGTGGGTTGCTGTACAGTAGTCCTCTCCCTTTTGCCGTCGACAAGCTCCAAAAACAGTCAACGCCTCTGCGGCAGCAGGAGGCATGTTACCTCAGTGGCCGTTTTGGAGGCATCACTAAAAGATTCACTTTCTTGCATTCTCTTTATATGTACCATTCTTCCGACGAGGTTGGATCTGGGTTGGGTTCAAACTTCGAAATTTGCAGGAACTTGACTTATATAACTGGGTTGGCCGAACGAAACGCAAGAGCACTGCATACTCTGTACATCGTCTGCGTTCATGTCTGATCTCGCCCTGGCCGTCGAAGCATATCGACCAATGGACGGTACAGGACGCCGCGCAACTCCTACGGCAGCAGGCAATAAGCGGCAGGCTCCTTAAATGAGTGCGAAAATCCGAATAGCCGGGTCCGAATCACGGGGACGTTGGAACGGAAACATTGTGTAACCATCACCAACTTCCGATTGATAAGCGACACCATTGCGAATCCGGGTTGAAGAGCCCTATCTGAAGGACAGTGAAACTCTCCCGGGTTCCAAGGCCGACGGCCGCCACAACATGCAGCATATCACAATTGCCGTCCCGGCGTCTACACCGGTTCCGGGCACGGTTGCTTGTACAAACATAAAGCTGGAATATAAAAGCGGCCAGTCGACCTGATTCGTATTGTTCTGTTCGTTCAGAATACTAATAACCATCCCAATATGTCTTGACACCCCTGAGATAAAGATAGGCTAGACTACCTTATACCAGATATAAGACTTCATTACCTTCCGTCATCTTTCCCATAGATAGGCGAACTGCATCGACACCTCATAACAACCATGGGCAGTATAAACGCCCGCGTGCTCAAAGCGCAATGGCAGCAGCAAGCCCCATAACCACGGCAGCAACACCGGCCTTCTCCTGGTACGCGGCAGCGGTGACGACGCCGCTCGAACTCGAAGGGCTGGTAGTGCGGGTGGTCGTGCCATTGCCGCCAGTTCTACTAGTAGTCGGCGCCGAAGTGGTAGTGGCTGGCTCGGACGTGGTCTCACTGTCAGGAGTGGACGTGGTGTCGGGAGCAGCAGTGCTGACACGGGTAGTGCGCGTCGACGTGGCAGTCTCCTCGATGGGAGGCGCGGTGCTGATGCCGAAGTTGGGTGGGAGGTCGACGCCATTTTCGGATGCGCACGTCTCCGGGTCGAGACCCTAGATGAGATGGCGTCAGTGATGTTTACAGGTGGAGAGGGCAGGGTAGTGGGACATACGGTAGGGCAGCAGAGGCCATCCACGAGGCAGAAGGAGTCGGCCGGGCAGCCCCCTGTCGAGAGTCAGCAGCTAGTTCCTGCAACAAAGCCAAATGTCAAGTCCGGACCAACGTACAGAGATTTTGGCAGCATGACTGGCCCTCGTCCGGGTTGATGCAGAGGCTGTTCTCGGTGGCCGACTCAGGCCGGCATTCGATATAGCCCGGTCCGAAGGCTTCGATGCACGTGTCGCCGCGCCCGGTCTGTTCATCCGGATCGAAGGCCCCGCCCTGGCGCTTGCTCATGGCCCCATAAGGGCTCAGCATATTGGTCGCCGCATGGGCAAGACCGAGCGCAGCGCTAACGACGACGAGAAAGGTACGCATGTTGGTGTTGAGGTTGAACGAACGAACGGCGGTGACTGTGATACCAAACGAATGTGGATGGTTCAGGATGAACGAGGAAGTTGGAACCTTGGAGAACTGCGGTTCCGAGTGAATGTTGGGAGCACGCATTTGGCCGTTGGGATGGAGTTATATATATAGGCACTTTTCAACGCACAGCTGGCTTCGTCGATCCTCCGAGCCTCGTGCGGCTGACGCCCTCACACAGGGAATGCCGGCATGGGAGTTGAGCTGCCCGTTACCGTTTGTCTCGGCCAAGAAGTTGTGGCACCCAATGATCGACGCGTTTCCCCGTCTGCGTCGCTCTCACGGCCAAGATGCATAGGCAGAACTCACGGCGCAGCAAGGTAAGACGGCGCCACGTTTCCCCGAAGAGGCATGCATGATGCTGGCAGACCTTGAGGAGAGACCCTTATGCTCTGGCAAATAGAGGTTTATGCAACCTTCGTATGCCGAGGTGGTCGAATGGTCAGTGTCTGTTCGGCAGAATAGCGCATCATTTCGGGGCAGCCAGGAGGGCGAACGGAGTCTGGAGGTAAAAAGTGTCCCGCTGCCCTCCTCTTAGCCTCAAGATTTCCCCACTGTACTTTCCGTCTTGCTTCTCACAGAATGGCCGTCTTGGCGTATGAGAACACCAACCCGGGCGATTTACCACACATTGAAGATGGGATTCTAGAAGGGCCGCCATCCACTGCATGGCGCGATTTTAAGCACACCAAACTGCGCCGCTTTCCTGGCCACGGCGCCGAGATTAAATGGATCGACTATCTTGGGCACAGGCGAGAGTGCATCGTCTTCAAAGTCGCAGTCGGCGGCGGCGAGCCTGTCGCTTTAAAAATCGTGAGTCGGTTCCCGGTCTCCACTGGCACACGGAATGGCGCCGCTACTAATCGACCCCAGTTCTGGCGGACACGACGCCCCAAGCCCCGGTTACTCCCCACGGGCGACTACTCCCTGATTGGTCAGTTTGGATTGAGTGATAGGCCTTTCCTGACCACGCGGAAACGGGAAGTAATGGACGGGGCACCGGTACGAGACGCGCCTCTTCGTGACCGACCGAAGTCGAAGTGTGTCTAAGTTACAAATCTTTTCAACTTTCTATCTCGTCTTTGGCACCGGCACAATCGTATGCCTGATCCCCCTATCATTCCTGAAATCTAGCGTCCAGAACCACGTTTGCGCATCCCGGGGAACGACGGCAGTTCGCGTCCAGCCGATGGTAAACGGCGAGCACACGTCGTTGAAGTCGACCAGCCTGCCACCGCGCCAGTTATCGGGCTTGTACGCCTCCATGGCGAAACCGACGGCGTAGAAGAAATCTAGATGGGCCTGGCCGACTTGGATATCTTGTGGCGCTCCCGGCACCAGCTCGTACACAATGGCCCAGTGCCAGTCGACCTCCCAATCGACGAGGTCCGAGACCGGCGGGTTGAGGTAGGGTGTCTCGTCCCGGGGAACGGCTGTCCAGCCGTAGCAGGCAGGCAGCGGCGGGAATGGCGGGAGCGGGATGGAGTCGTCAGGCGGTGGTGTTGAATCTGTTGATGGCGGTGACCGTCGGGCTTCGTCGCTGAATGAACGCAGGTTGGCCACCACGTCGCCGGCTGTTTTTGGCTTCCTCATGGGACCAATGGGTCGATCCGGGTGGGCGCCGGCGTCTGCCATGGCCCGCTTGATCTTCTCAAGTAGGGCGACGGTCCGGCATTCGTCTTCGAGCGGCCACTCGTCCTGGGTATAGCCCTTGCTCACCGAGGCTTGTTCCACGGACAAAATCCCTCCGCCAACTGGCAAATCTGACTGGGACGGTGAGGCGGCACTCCGTATTTTCAACATGTGGCGAAAGTCTATACAGGCGGTAGAGGGGGCCATCGGTGGAACAACGCTCGGACCGCCAAGTAGGGTGATAAGACGGCCCATCTTACCCGCGTCTGCAGTCTGCACTCTACGCTAGGTTGGCACGCTCGGCTTCTCGACGTGTCTCTCGCCCTCAGCACGGTTGCCCAAGTTGCATCTATCAGCTTGAATCCTATACCTGACACAACCCATCAGACCATGAGTTACCGCTTCCCTCGCTTGATGACCGCCTAGGTACCCACTAATTCCCTTTCCCCTTGATAGCCTTCACAAACTTTGCCTCCACACTCTTAATGTACCCATCCTCATTCAACAACTTCACAATCACCGGCTGCTTGTTGTGCTCCTCAAACGCCTTCCGTCCCGCGTACCTCTCAAAGAAATGAAACATATTTCTATCCTCCTCGTCTCTGGCGACGCAATAGTGCAGAATCCCCGGCTCTGAGGCAGCCAGATGGGTGGTTAGGGCATAGACTTGTTCTAGGGCGTTAGCGTGGGCGGGGTGGGCGTAGACCTGTGAGTATTAGATTAGAATGGAGGGAAGGGGAGGAACGGGGGACATACGCAGCCGAAGACGCAGAATTCGTCTTCGGGGATAGGAGGGAGGTTAGATAGGACGTCAGGGGTTAAGCTCTCGGTGGAAGACATATTGGCGTCAGGATAGGATGCACAAAAGAGAGGGGAATTGTTTAGAATCTCATATTTTGTACTGGGTCGCAAACGAATAGTGTTATATATGTGGAGCAAGGACTCGGGATCATTATGATTCATCCTGAGGGTTGGCATCTGTCTCCATACACTAAGCCAGTATCGTAGCGAGTGGCTCCATCGACTTTCCCCACAACCCCAGAGAAGCGGGCGGTCAATTGCAACGTTACGTAAGGTACGTTTGCAGCAATGATACGCCCTCGCCGCGCATGTACATGCATGCGGCCAATAAAACCGGCTGCCTTACCAGCCGTCCTGTCTAGCTGAGGCTTTGGGTTGTCGGCCTCACGGCCTTCCAGTACTTTTGCGTGACATCAAAGAAGTACTTCGTGGTCAACGCCATGTTCCTCTCGAGGCCCCTCTGGCCCTCATAATAGATCCGCCCCAGGTTAAACGAGGCCTTGGCGTTGGATGGCGGCTTGGGCATGGGTGCGGATGGAAAACGCTTCGGGGATGTCTTGACTGGACGGATCGTCATGTTGGTCGACGTGAGAAGTTTGTTTGAGGGAGAGGAGTTTGAGGCTAAGTCTTCGACGTCATGTCTCATGAGTCATCTCCACAGTCCACTAGATCGCGGTGGCGGTCCGATATTGGTTGGGTGAGGAAAGTAGGTACGACCCGGGCGTGAGACTGGTATTAAACTGGGGCTGTGGAATCCGCTGGGCACTCGGATTCATCCCTCTTACACACAACTTTCCAGTTACATCTATCAATCGGTTCTTGGTCCCAGCCATCATTAGGACCCTGTTCAAGTCATCATCCTTCTCTGATATCTCCCCGTATCGGCTTGCCAATCTCTTCCAGGACACGCCCAAAGCAATCTTCCCTCGTACCCCCCGGAACGTCAGCAACTTAGCCAAATAAGCTGCCAATCCTGCCGATATCCTACGGCGAACCGCATAAAGAGTGCCTCTAACTTGCCTGCTGGTATGTAATATGACCAATAAACGTTACCTAGTTTGCGAGTTGAGGCAAACTAAAGTAGGGTTAGGACTTTTCCTTTCAAACTTGAAACCAACCGCGAGGTGCAGCCGCAATAAACACAGCAATGTTCCTCTCCCTTCCCGCCGAGCTCCGCATCAAGGTCTACAGACTTGTTCTCTGTTACCCAGATGCCATTGGAGAGTGGTCAAAAACTCTGGGGACGGCATGGCTCGAAAACCCCTCGAGACTGGGTTCTCAACTGCTCCGGATATGCAAGCAAATCCACGCCGATGCCCTGCCCATACTATACGGCGAGAATACGTTTGAGCTGGAGATTTCCAACACATGGGGCCCGTACTACTACGGCATCGACTACCCGCCCGCCCTGTCGGGCATTTGGGGGGAAAGGTTCGGGCGGGCTGCGCTGCCGCACCTGCGGAGACTCAGCATCCGTGTGCGATATACAGAGGATCATAAGCTCTCGCTTATCCGAGAAGCGGTGCGCGAGATCGTGACGAATCTACAGCGGTCGCCGCTTTCGTCGTGCATCGAGTTCCTCCGGCTGGACTGCGAACTCGACTGCAACAACGAGAACGACGAAATAAACTGGCGGCATCCCTGCTGGAACGATTACGAGGTCGAAGGTGACCGGAAACAGTGCATCGGGGTGCTGAGATTGTGGCTCGGCTGCCTACGCAATGTTGAGGAGCTGGTTATCGACGGGCTGCCGGAGAAAGATGCGGACGTCTTGCGAGACAGGTGCCAAAACCGTAGCAAAGAGACCCCTGCGCTTGTCGACATGTACGCGGCCCTGGAGCAGCACGTGGGTGCTACCTATAAAGAAGACCTCGCAAAGGCGCTCTTGGCTGCTGAGGCGGACGATATCGAGAAGCTCAAAGCCACCACGGCAGATATCTTGGAGAAGATGAGAGCGCGCTGGGAGGCCGTCAAGAATGACGAGAAGCTTTGGCAGTTTGTAGGGCGTGATCCGGCATGATACGATACTGCCCCTGAAGTTGGTTAGGCAAGCGCTTTGTAGAATAAGACAAGTGAGGTGGTAGGGAGAAATAGTTCCCGCTGGTATATAGTCATTGAGGTTCCCAATCTAAAGTCGGAACCTTTGGTGCGCCTCTAAGATCAAGCAAGACCAAGTGTCTCCTCGGTTGCTAGTCCCCTCTGTCTCCTGAACTATCAGGATGGGAGTGTCCAGAGACGATTCGCAGCAGCTATACCTGGTCCCCTCGCTCTTCGCCCCCCGTCTCCTTGCCCCTTCTTGAACTCTAGTTTCCATAGACTGTGAGTGTGTGGACCAGCTGGGGAAACGGGAAGCGCCAAAAAGAAGAAAAACAGGGTGCGGTCCATGACATGCGATAAGCCTCCTCTCTTTAATTCGGTCCAGCCTAGAAGAGCATCAGCTCAACTAGCTGCGCAGACCTGCCCGCTATATTAAATGATTACACGTATTATGAGAATTAAAGCGTCCCCACGTGTAGACAAGTCTACAAGGATACGCCAAACGGCAACGTCCTTGACTCCTAGCCCGCCTATTTCAACCCAACGTCTCGCCTCTCTTATTTCCTTTAGCTAGTCCTTCCCAAACTCCTCACACTACCAGGCCGCAGAGCACGCAAGCGGCCGCCAGCGCCGTCTGCACCGTCCGAGCGGGACCCACGCCGGCCTTGCTTGTCGACGACTCAACGGCAGCGGTGGTGGTTGGGGTTGGGTGGTACTTGGACATGTAGCTTGAGACGGAGCTTGACACGCGGCTTGAAATGCTGCTCGCCGCGGGCTGGTCAACCTTGACGGCGCAAGGGTTGCCTTGCCTGCTCTCGAGGATCTCAAACCCCGGGCATGCCGGCTTCGTCGCGTTAGGAGGCGGCCCAATCTGGACGAGTGCTCCGAATTCCGGACACTCAGGGATGGCCTCCTGCACGTCGTGGATGTCGCCCTGCCAGCCAGTTCCCTCCTGGCCCCACACTGTCTGGATGTTGAACGTCAGAGCTCCGTCGGCTGGCAGATCGGCAGAAACCAAGGATTCGAATTTCGTGCAGGTCCCAAACAGGCTCGTCCAAACAATGCTCCACTGTAGCATGTACCTGTCGTCGACTGCTGGTGTGTATTCGGTGGCTGGTGGGATTGGTCGTCCGTACCGGATCCAGTCGGTGACATTGGTGAAGGCGGCGAGGAACAATGGCGTGTCGGCCGACGTTTCGTTGCTAAAGACCTCAAAATTGCCAAAATCCACAGTGCTCGACGAGGCCGAGTTGAGCTGTCCCCCTTGGAGTTGCGCGATCCGCCAGAATATGCTAAAGCTCCCAATCGATGTCGCGGCGCTGGCGTTTTGGATGGCCAGGACAATGGGCATGGTGTCGGCTGGCTTGTATGTCTCGTTGTGCGGAAAGACGATGTCGACTTCAAATTGCCGGGGTGTCGTGACCACCTCTGCCGCGGCCGCGAACGTCGCCAGGCCTGCGGATGCCCAGAGCCAACATGAATACATCGTGGCAGTCGTCAATGTCCGAGTCGGGACTTGAAGTTGATGTGGTGTGTTGTGTTGACTCTGTTGAGCTACTGGGGACACAAGAGCGAGGGCTCGGGGGAAGCCTTGGACCTTGGTAGGGGATAGATACCTATATTGAACTCAACCCGCAACCAACTAGCGTGCCCCTGGTGCCCACAATCCTTTTTCTCCGCCTGTTTCTGGATCTAAGCCTCAAACTGCTAGAGGCTGGCCGTTGTTTTTCGCTCATTGGCGGAGTCCTAGTGTACGGTACATAGTGTAGATCCGGGATCGGGATACGCGCCTTCGGGCTCGCGCCCCATGAGCTTGACGCATTGCCCGGTTTGGGCAGGTAGCACGGGGGTACTCCGTAGCCAATCTGCCTTGACCGAGGTACCCACCTTGGCGGCACTTCGGATTGGGCGCTTTACGGACACTCCTCACTGGGGGTGGCTTTATACGGAAGAGCGGAAGAATAGGTATTTGGGACATGACCCATGTTGGGCACTTTTTGGGCCCGTGCACCAGATCACTTTACTATTTCTCACGTGCCCGCGACTGACTGCGCGGCTGTCGGGACTCGGGAAGTACCTCCATAGAGTGCGACCGAGCGAAATATTTTCGACGATTCCCACGAGCGCTCAGCCCTACCAAGACTTCAGGATGCTAACATGGTAATTCCCTTTCAAGTGCCGTTTCATAACGTCCGCACTGCTGTACTATTTCATCGAGCCGGTGAAACTTACCCCCAAGCTCAACGCAGGCCTAATTCAGATCGATCTTGCTCGTGCTGGTTTGCAGCACACGTCAGACTCTCAGATCGGATTTCTCGGGCAACTCTTCACGCTTTCATTTGCCACGTGATGCATGTTGCGAAGTCTCAGCTGGATTGTAGGACCTGCCCACGGGACTGAGATTGTCGATAGGTTGCGCTTCGGCAGCACTGGTTCGGAGAGCCTAACATCTCTATCAGCAATTTTTCCATTCCTTAAGTCTTTTGCATACAGACCTGTCTTAAGGTTACCACCATCGGTATAAACCCTCGTTCCTGGCCCAAGCGCTCTTTTTCCACCCTGCAATAACGCTCTACTGGTTTAAACCGTGTGAGTGTCTGCAAGACCAGCAGTATTTGATGCCACCTCCCTAAAGTGGGGAGCCATATCCAGGCCTCTACCGAACGTAGACGCCGATTCTTTGCCCTGAGATCCCGGGATGTACGGGTGTCCCATCTCTTAAGTGCTATCGGCAACATAATGCTCTATTTCCATTCTCTCTTAGCGCTGTATAAGACTAGTTAATCTACCTTCATACTGGTTGCCTCGGTTTTCTATACCCACTACGTTGTTATTAAGTTCATCTTCTCCACGATTTTCATTCTCCGTGACGGCTGTTGGCTCAGCGCACTTCTTCTCCCTTGCCCCGAGATATTTGTCCAGAGCCGTCAGCGCGTCTTTCGCCGTCGCAAACTCTCTCTTCCAGCATGCCAAAATCACGTCTCCCGCCGGCAAATCCCCGACATCATCGGGAAACTTGTCCTGTTGGAAGTTGGGATACACCACCTTGTCCTCCCACTCCAGCCGGTCGTCGACTTTGCCGAACCGCCCCGGCGTCGGCTTGTACGGCCACCGTCCCGTATGGACCGTATAGAATATCTATCCCATGCCGAACAAGTCTAGCAGGACGCTCGACTGCCAGTTGAAGACGGGACTATAGAACGGGCCGTCGGGCAGGGACAGCCCGTCCAGTCCGAGCTCCTCGCACACCGAGCCACCAAAGTCGGCGAGCATCAGGTCCCGCGCGCCCGGCGTCGTCTCGTGGACCAGGATGTTGCCCGGGCGGAGGTCTGAGTGCAGCACGCCGCGGCCGTGGATGTAGTCGAGGGCCTCGGCAAGTTGGCGGCACCAGCGCAGGCGCTGGTCCAGCGGCGTGGACGCGTGATGCTCGGCGAGATACGCCTGGAGGTTGCCGTGGCTGGCTTAGCCGAGAAGGATGCCATCCCCTTGCAGGCCGAGATATCTGAGCGAGAGCTGTGAGGCTAGACGGCCGATAAAACGCAGATGTATTCGGGAAATCGGAATGATAATATCACCTGACAATCCTGGGGTGCTGGCCCAGTCTCTCAAGGATTTGCCGCTCCACAGAGAAGTTGTTTGCAAACCGTTTGTCAAAGTATTCCTCTCCAAGCTGATGGGGTTTCTTCACCACAATACCCGGAGAGACAGGTTCAACGCTGCATGTTGAGCCATAGATAGGCATTGCTGCTTCTCACTTGTAGGATAAATGAATCCTGATGATCTGGGTGTTTTACTCGAGCGGGTCTATGGTCAAGCTTTTTTAGGATCGAGCCAAGTTCAGGTAGGGAACCTCAGGTTACTTGGTCAAAGTTGCCTACATAATTATAGCATAACCAAGCGGTGTGGGTTCTCGGCTCCAAAACTCCCAGCCAATAGAGAATCGCGTTCGAGAAAGCAAGATCACGTGTCAACCTGTCAACCCAAGCCACAGAGCCCCTCGACCCGGATGTAGTTAGCGTGTCAAGGCCCTCCCAGGCTCAAGTGCCTTTCGGCCCTTCGGGCGAAAAGAAATTCCATCCATCTATACTTCTCGGACTGTCAAGTACCTGTAGGTAACCCGATAAATAGATAAAAATCACCATCACAAGTTCCTCCGCATGTAAAGTCGGCACTGCTCGAGGCGGACGCTGTCGCTAGGCATTGGAACGGACGCTAATCAAGGGCAGACTGTGCGACCTAAGATAGCCTTGGCAAATAACTACAAGAAATATATCCCCACCATCATTACATGGTAATCGTGGTAATGGTAGCCACACTGGGGTTGCAAACCAGGCAGTCATAGAGGCCACAGGCGCCCTTCACCTTGGTCGAGACAAGCTCGTTCTCCGTCACCTTATGACCCGGCGCTGCCATATCTCCACAAGCATCAAGTTTGTAGTCTAATTTACATGCTTGCCACATGTGTGGATCGTGACAGAGACATGTTTCGTGCACATGGTCGCGGTGGCGTGGAGAAGACGGATGAAAAGAGGGAGAAATAAGCGGACAGGCGGTTTGGAATCTGAGAATGAGACAAAAGTGTCACAGCTAGGGGCTTGCTGAACTAATTGACAGTGAAGGATTGATCTAGAAGCTTAAGGCTCTTATACACCTTTATCGTAACCACAAGGACTTGTTACGCCGCCATTCTGCTCTCGAGTCGCATACCTCTCTAGCCGGGCGTATGGACATGCATCACTGAGCTAGGCGGGGCATGTAGCCGTGATGCATGAGTCATCTGCAAGAACTCAGCCTTGAGCAGTGAAGCACAGGTCCTCTGCAATCTACTAAGTGAGCCCCGGTGAAGCCTTCATTTTGCCTTGGTTACGTGAATTCATGACTTTTGTTAACCAACAGCGCCGAAGCCCCCAGCGTCAGGACCCTTCCGGCTCTCCGGCTCCCCGGCCGACGTCGTCAAGATCCCCGCCGCAGCCCTGTCGCTCGGTCTGGGAAGGACATCACGTGCTTAGGTAACACCCCGCGCGTTGGTTGCGCATACGAAGTACAGAGACAGACATCACCACAACAGCAACAAGACCCAAGGACCCCGTCTGCCCCGGCTGCCTTGTGCGGCAGACATCGCGGCAAGCCGACACTGCGGCGCCAACGACGCCGTCGTCCAACCTTCCTCACAGAAAACATCCGCCACCCACTTACCACTTTAGTTCTGTGGGAAGCCGGTTAAGTCCTCAACAACACTAAAAAGAGCTGGGAATGGACTTCTCGATGTTGTCTCCTCTCATAACGCCCCCGGCACCGACTAAGCCATCGAAATACATTCATTTCATCTCAGAACCGCTCTTAGAAGCGGTAGCTCGACATATTGCCTTGTGCTCTTTGTAATGAGCGACCTGGCACATCCGCCCGCAATACGGAACGGCTTTGCACCTCCCACACAGCATCAACTGCGCAGGAACCTTCTCGCAATTCGCGCATCGCGCCAGTGCCGACAGCGAACCCCTCACATTGCCACTTCCGCTCTCCACAGCCGATAGCAAGTCCTCCGCTCTCTTTCTCGCCAATCTTAACACCCGTTGTTCGCCCAAGCTAACGTGCGCCGCAGCCCATGCGTTCCCACCCGAAGGATAGACACCCTCCGCAAGTTGTTCTTCTAGCTTTTCCAGCTGCGTTCCGAAACTATCTAGAAGACGACTGAACGATTCTACCAAAAACCGCAGGACTTCCGCTTCGTTCGAATCGCTGATTTTCTCCTCCGTAGCATCGATTTGCTGAAGCGCTGTGACAGCGAGATCCGATTCGTCCAATCGCTGAATACGGAGGTATCGAAGGACATTTTTCGGTAGCGGATCGGTGAGAGTGAGGGAGATGGTACAGGTCGAATTGAGCCCAGCCGATACCCAGAGCTTATGCTTTTGCTCGAAAAATGGCGCATGAGGGTGCGTTGCAAGAACGAGATCATAGCTGTCGTTAGGATTACCGGGCAGGACAAAGCCATAGAGACGCAAAAGGCGACTATTCGGAATGGGTCCATAACAGATAAAAACCTGAAAGAATCGTTCAGCGTAAACAAACTGGTATCTACCATCAGGGAACAAGACGAACATACCTGATCTCCGGCTTCGTAATCTTTCCCTGCAAGGACAGAGAGATTTCCAGACGAGACATCGTAGACATGACACGGCTTAACCTCGGACGAGTGGTTCAACATATCCGCGAAGGGCGCCAAAAGTCGAATCGAATTTCCATTGGGCAGGACAAAATCCATCGCACGACTCCACACGGTGCAGAGAGCCCACTTGTACTAAAACGAAGGGAAGAAGCGTTTAGTGGTTGAGTTGCAATATCTATCACACGCGTATAACACCTACATCTTCGATGGTGAACTTGTCGAGTGGGAAAAGATCTCGATACTGTCCAAGCACTCGCACGACTAATGCCCTGTAATCATTTTCGATCGATCGATCCAGCTGCTTCGTGATGGTGTACAGTGAAGCTCCAGCGCAAACTTCCAACTCGTCCTCCGCAAAGAAGATGCTTGAGGAGTAGCTCGTAGGTAACGCCGCCACATGGCTTCGCAGGCCATCGTATCCCGACTCGCGAGATCGGATAAAGAGAATGTACGTAGCCAAGGCGTCTTCGACAGACAAGGGCGGCCGCGCAGAGCGCAGAGCTGGTCCAAGAAGGGGATCAGCGTATGCATGTTCGACCGTCCAGAGATTGCCACATGGAATGGTGAGAATCCTCTCTCCTTCCTTGAGACGCCGCAGTGTTCTGACACCGCGCCCGGTGACCGGGAAATCGGCAAGCACCAGGTCGTCCAAGCCGACCGCTCCAGATAGTTTCAGCCAGCTTTCCATGGAATTGGGTGTAGAGAGGGTGGGCTGAAGAAGCATGGGGGAGAGAACTGACAATTCGTGGCCACTGCCTGATGATCAACCGGGCCGAAAGAGAAGAGTGGGTCAGAATCTTTCGTTTTTGTACCCCACCAACGCACCCTTTGCCTTCAAGAGTGAACCCCGGCCCAGAACAAGTTGCTCCCCGGCCCAGAACCCAACCCACTGGGTGCAAAAATAGCCGCCTTCGGCACACAATCACCATGTCGGCCATGGATATCGTTTCCACGGTGACCATCCTCATTAATTTGGGATTGGATATCAAGAACCGACTGCACTCGCTTGACCAAGCTGCCGAAGAGCTTCAACTGCTGACCACCAACCTTGAAATTTTGTTGACGGTGTTTGAGAGCCCCCGGAACGAGGACATCTTCAAGACCAATGCGTTACAGTTCGTGCGTATCCTGGATGTCCTAGAAAGCATTGAACGTTCGTGCAGAGAATGCGCAAAGGCCTTGGACATCGACCTTGCTGGAGCGACAATTGCGACTAAGACAGAGTCGCGTGGCAAGAAACTTGTCAAGCGGATATGGGCTTTCAACAAGATTTCCGACCTTCTCGCGGAAATTCAACGCAAGGCCGTATAACTTCAACAGGTATACAGCGTAGTGTCTGCTGTATTCCTCCAGGACATGGTGCGACAGGGACGGACGAATGGGAAGGAAACTGTTGATTCCGCCGTCGTACAAAAACCAACTCTCCATGAAAACCTGCTCGACCTGGATCTCAGCACCGATTTTGCTAACATCAACCGGGTGGTGGGAAGCCTCATGAAGGAATGTGAATACCTTCGGGGACGACTCCGGGAGGCTACTCTGTTTCCGGATTCATCGGCTGTTCAAGATTATCAAGCGGAGAACCCAGAAGCAGCATCAATTTGGAAGGATCGATTCCAAAAAGACGAACTCGACGCCTCGATTCTTCGCTACGAGGTAAAGACGCTCAAACTTACTCCCCCACCCTTCTCCCCCGCCTCTCCCCTCTTTATTCTTCTCTTTTTATGAATTTTCAATATCGCCGCACCATACTGAGATATCGCTCTCTTGACAGACGATATACGTTTCTTGGGCACGCTTCGTACATGAGGTAAAAACGTCATTTGTGCTCAGAAAGATACCGACTGGAATTCATGAAACCGGAAACATCGACCTCGTTCGCCAGCACGGATCTCGCTATTGCATCGATCAAAGCGGCACGTGTCGTCTTTCCACAATCCGCCCTCTCTGGCTCCCGGCTCTTCGGTCTGCTCTTGACCCGCTACAAAAGGGTTACGTCAAGCCTCACGACTATTTTAATCTTCTTCACGACTCCTTCTTGTCTGAAACACTGAGAAGGTTGGCCCTCGAAAGCGCAGGCTATGGTAAACTTGTCGAATGTGAAAGGGAATCCGGGGATCTTCCCTTGCCGGCGGCAATTGAGTCCCCTTCTGATCACGTCGGCTGGATCTCTGCTCAATCGTGACCGTTCCAACACCTGATGAACTTGGAATCGTTACCGAACGAGAGGTCATGGAATCAAGCAACGACGCCCTCTTCGCTTACTTTCAACGATACTGCCCAAGACGTTCACGTTTACGTCCGCTACCTTCAGACCGGTCAAATCGAGCGTAAGAGTCTCTCGAAGCGAGTTCGTCCGATCGGGGGCATTTCTCTCGGCGCTGCATTGTCTATCCGGCATGAGCTGGAAGCAGGTGATCATGCCTGGAGCGGTGACCTTCACATCACCGAGTTCAAGGCATGTTACGGGGCGTGGTACATTATCACGGCCGGTGTGGTTTCGACTGCTATTGTGTTTTCACGATGCCACGCGACGATGACAACCCTTCAACTTCTGCCATACCCGGAATTTGAGTGTACACTTTTGGGCCCGTCGAAGGCATTCGCCCACCCACCCAAAGTTGGCGAAAAGGTTCAGGTACGTATTATTTTTGCCAGAACACCGTGCAGTACATTTATTGAGATGCAATTTGCGATTTGGCCAGATCGGGTACGACGGACTTTGGTACGATTCGAAAGTCACGGTAGTGGATGGCGATGAGATAGAGTATATCGATTGGGACAGTGCACCGGAGCAAGTCCCAACCGATATTACAGAAGCTCAGGACGATAGTCAAGGGGATGAGAAAGATAGCGGCAGCTTTTTCTTTCCCGATAAGCAGTTGACCCAACTCGGAAAGGGCACGCGGCGGCTGTGGCGAACATGGCGGAGAAACCTCCAAAGGTACGACGTTCGACCTTATCGTTGCTTCCATATCGGCGACACTATCCAGGCACCCGTCATGTACCCGGATTTCCGATACCATTACCATCTCACCGACAACTCGGAGCTCTACCTTCCTGCTCGAATCGTTGACGTCCAAGGAGACCAGTATGTGATCGAATTCAGTCCGGCGCTTTCGGTTCATAGGTGGTGGCCAGGGAGGAGGCCTAAGGGTGAATCAAATAGACCTAGTGCCAGAATCAGGCACTAAGGGAGAAAACCCGTTCGACTTTCATCGCGTGACGGTAGGCATGGATCGGGTACGTCCTTTCACTGCGGGGCCACGACCGGTTCTGGGTATTCAGTCAGCGAAGCCGTCTGGGTGGAGTTCGTTTCAGGGCGTTCGTCTCTGCAATCTTGAGGATCTTTTGGAGCGCGGTCTTTGGGACAACGACCGCGATAGCCAGCGAACGTGAACTACATGGGTTTGGGAGGTCTGGACGCGACGCGGGAGCAGCGCCGGGTGTGGGGGCACCTTGCTGGGAAAGGCGGTTGCGGCGCTGCCGGACTCGGGGTCCGATATCATGGTCGTGTCTCGGGAGTATGCGCGGAAGAGCGTGTTTGAGGTGCACAGGGGAGGTGTGGGAGGGTGATGGTGGAGTTTGCAGATGGGTCGAAGGCGTGGACGAGGGGGCGGTCAGGGTGCTCGAGTGGGAGTTTGGAGGTGTCGGTGAGAGGATGGTGGTGTCGGACTTTCATATATGTTGGAGGATCTTCCGGTTGACGTTGTCTTCAGCAGCGACTCTGTGTTTGAGCACGATGTGTCTGGGAAGCAGGAGTGGTTGCTGGGGGACTACGAGGCGCTGCTGGATTTGTTGCGGCTGTGTGCGTACCATGTATCTGGGACAGCTCAGGCCACTCGCCTACGTCGAGCGCTTTGAGGTGCTTGGCGGTCTGAGAAGACATAGAGGTGTGGTTGTTTGGTGGGGAAGGGGTTTTGCTTTCTTTTACCCAGTCACTTGCTTCCCGTCGGTTACCCTTCTTTTTGTGCGTTTACCGTAGTCATTCGGATTTTCGGTTCTTTTTTTTTGGCTTCCATCGAGGCAGGATGCTCACAACGCACTCCCCTTGGGCTTGCAAAAATACTTAGTGCCAATGTCGCATGATGCACACAAGAATAATTATCTGCTCTATTCCAGGATCATGGGAAGTCACTGGCAAACAATGTCGCGATGTGGAGGATGAAGTCAGACTCTGTGAGACACTTGTTCCTTTAATAATGGAAATGTCTATTAATGATAATTCAAGAACCGGCAGCCCCTGCTATTCGTCGCCCACAGCCTTGGGGGGCTTGTGACGGAACAGCTGAGACCATTAACCCTTTTCACTGGCTCTCCTAATCTCCCGTGGCGCGGCACAGCAGCATATCAAATATGTGCTGGAATCAACTAAGGGCATCATTTTTAAGGGCACGCCACATATGGGATCGAATAAAGCGGACTGGGTTGCGATGTTGTCGAAGATTTCCCGGGTCCTCCGGACAACGAACAGCGCGATAGTTAGCGTTCTGCAGCCCGGTTCGGAAATGTTGGCAAACCTGCAACAAGAATTCCATACAATGCTCGACGACCGAGCCAAAAACCACAAACCACGATGGAGATTTTCTGTTACTTTGAAGAGAAGCCTGTTCACAAGATTGGCATGGTACGTGGCATCAATTCAATTTCGCGGCAGAAGTTTAACAGAACGCTGTCCAGATTGTGCCCAGTCACTAGCTATCCTACCCGCTTATCTCAATCAAGAGCATCCACATGAACCACATGGATATGATGAAGTTCTGTGGGCCGCGCGACGCCGGGTATATTAGTGTGAAGGATCTGTTGTGGCTGTGGGTTAAAAGCTCCCAGGGAGGTGGCGGAACGCGCATCGACTTCCCCGAGGTGCGCAATAAGAGGATTCAGCATTTCGGCCCTACTTATTCTGGAGGGGGCCCGGTTCTCCAAGGGACTAACTCGGCGGGACGTGATATGAACATAGGTAACCGGAGGATGAAATGACATAGCCGCTAGCCGCTGGCCAGGTGTCGAGATTCAGGAGGTTTGAGATATCCATGGCAGGAAACGTGGGAGGGGTGAAGTCGGACATCAACAAGATGGTTGGGGGGGGGGGGGGGGGGGGTGAGGGTTTGGAAACGGGCTCTGTTGACGGATTTGTAAGTGGTAGAAAAGGTACGTATCCGAGCGGGCAGCAACGACGTCTGTCCAGGTGTGAATATAGAAGCAGCAAAGAATCCAAAAAAGACGTGCACATCGAGGCCCGTTGGGTGAATCTACTCAGGTCCATGCAGAAAATGCCGCTCAGGCTACCCGTTGCTTCATCTTGGGCTTCACCCTCTGCAGGTCTCTCATAAGGTTATGGGTGTTTGGCCGGCTCGGTAGCATCGCCTCGGAGCAGTTCGACATTAACAAGAATGGGCTGCGGTTTGTGTCTACGATCCTCGGATTCCTCTGGATGAGCGAGGAAGAGCTCGGGTTCGACCCGACAATTAAAATAGGCAAAGGGCCAACGATTCATCGAGATCGAATAGGAGGGTACGACTAAGCGACTTATGCTTAATAGGCTAATAAAGCATGTATGCTATATTACTAGCCGGAAAACGACCTAACGTATCTTATAAGCGAGCCGGCCATATAAGGGAGCCGGCCACTTTACCCGCGACGCGTCACTTCTGCGCTTAAAACCAGATTTTCTTTACAACCTAACATGTCTTCTTCTTCGTACGAGGCTAGGATAAACCTAGCCCTCGAAGCGATGTAAAAAGACCAAAAACTAAGTATAAGGGCTGCAGCGAAGTACTACGACGTTCGACGAACAACCTTGCAAGACCGACTAGCGGGCCGGCCTGTACGACGCGATACTACGCCCAACTCGTGCCGGCTTACCGATTCCGAAGAGAAGGCTCTTGTTCAGTATATAATTGAGCTATCTAAGCGAGCTTTTCCGCCGAGACTATGTGGTGGGGAAGATATGGCTAACCAACTGCTATACGTACGTGATGCGCCCTCTGTCGGCAAGCTCTGGGCGTATAACTTTGTCAAACGCCAGCCAGAGCTCCAGACGCGTTATACGTGTAGATACGACTACTAGAGGGCCAAGTACAAGGATCCGACGGTTATTGCCAAATGGTTTGGCCTTATGTGGAATGTTAAGGCCAAGTACGGCATTATAGATGACGATATCTATAACTTCGATGAGACTGGGTTTATAATGGGCATTATCTTCCCGGGCATGGTGGTTACAACCTCGGATGGCCATGGCAAGGCAAAGCTAGCCTAGCCTGGCAACCGCGAATGGGCGATAGTGATCCAAGGTGTCAATGCCCTTAGCTGGGCTATCCCTCCGTTCATTATCTTAGCCGCATAGTACCACCTCGCCAACTGGTATACCAAGTGCAACCTCCTAGCCGACTGGCGTATTGCAACTACCGAGAATGGCTGGACTACCAATGCGGTAGGCCTTGATTGGATCAAGCACTTCGACTATTATATAGCGCCTTAGATAAAGGGCAAATACCGGTTATTGATCCTTGATAGCCACGAAAGCCACTACTCGACCGAGTTCGAGCTCTACTGCCAGCAGAACAACATTATCATACTCTGCATGCCTCCATATTCCTCCTACCTCCTCCAGCCACTTGATGTTAGCTGCTTTGGGCCGTTGAAGCAGGCGTACGGTCGCCAGATCGAGGACTTAGTGCGCGCACATATCAACTACGTCAGCAAGCTCGAGTTCCTTTATGCCTTTCGCGTAGCCTTCTTTACCTCTATCACTAAGAGGAATATCCAGGGCGGTTTTGCAGGGGCTGGCCTTATACCGTACGATCCAGAGAGGGTGCTTTCAAAGCTAGATATCAAGCTTCGTACACCAACACCCCCAACCTCACAGCCGGGCACTATACAATCTTAGGTCTTCCAGGCACCATACAACCCTTGAGAATCCGAGTCACAGTCAACGCTTATCAAGACTCGCATTGCCAACCATCAAAATAGTTCCCCAACTTCAATGTTGGCTGCTATAGACCAGCTTACCAAGGGTACGATGGCTATAATGCACCAGGTAGCCCTCCTTCAGGCAGAGGTGTCTTCGCTCCGCAAGGCCAACGAGGCGCTAAGCAAGCGCCGGAGAGCCAAAAAAACACGTGTGCGGCTTGGAGGATCACTTACTGTGCAGAAGGCACAGGAGGTGGTAGGCAAGGGGGCTGTAGGTGGGGAGTAAATGCAAGAAATACAGCTGGATGGTAGTGGTGCTGGGGGGGGGGTCGTACGAAGGTTCGGTGCTGTGGTGTGTGCGGCAAGCCTGGCCATAATGCCCGCACTTGCCAGGAGGGTGTAGAAGGGTCTGATTCATCTGTTTCTGATGTAATTATTGTTAGTTCCTAGTGTTGTTGTTTTGTGATTGAGGATATTGTTGGTAGTGTAGTGGAGAGTGGCCGGCTCGCTTATATGGCCGGCTCGCTTATAAGATACGTTAGGCATATTTACCCGACTATTATACGACGAAGTATTACGAAAGGAAACAACCGTGCTCGCTTAGCTTAGAACAGGCATAGCAAGACTTAACGGTTACCTCTACCGGATTAGAGTAGCACTAGTAGATTAGTGCGTATACGGGCAAGTAGTGGAGATAGTAGACCACTTCCTCTTCCGATGTAGAAAATGGACGGCATACCGAACGGAGACGCTCGAATATATAGACATCTATAGAAGCAACATTTCGTTCTACCTAGGAGGGAAATCGCCATCGGATAAGAAAGACTGGACTCCCAATATAGCAGCCGTTCGGGCAACCATACAGTCCGCAATGGCCACAGGCCGCCTTGACACGAACCAACCGCAGGCCGACTAAGCCACCCAACCCACCACAACACCCCCAACCCATACCCCTCATCTCGTGTCACGGACAGCAGGCACCGCTTCAGCCGCCGAAGATAGGACGTTGAACATCTGGAGAATCGCCTTCAAGCCCGAAACATGGAGTCGCACATTTCGAGTGAAGGATGATGGCTTTTGTTGCAAATCCAAGATGGGACAATGTGTTGTGGGAGCACGGAGGTGAGAGTTTCTGGGCAAGGAGCAATCACAGAGCATATCTCCGGAGCAAGAGCTTGCGTTTAACTACATCAAGGTCCTTGGCTGTGAAGGGAAGAGACCCCGAGAGGGTGTGATGATAAAGCACTGTCCATGGGACTGACCAACCCTGCCTCCTGACGCCTCACGCAGATTCGGAAGTCAACTGGAAGCCATAGGCAGCAGCCCCGGATCTGGACGCTCCGCCTTGCTGATGTGCCAGCTGTCCGCGAGAGCGCACGTTTGGTTCGTTGTTCCATTCTGCCAGGACATGCAACTGTGCGGGGAGACATGGATGACTCACGGTGACTAGGTGTGAATCGGGGGCCTCGGGGTGGCAGTGTTCGCGAGGACAGGTACTGTGAGGGCCGGATGTTGTCCATGCAGAATCGTCGAGGTCTGGCGGCCGTGACCTGCAGTTTTGAGAATGGCATGCATATATGTATATGATCAGAGTTCCCGATAGTCTGAAAACATTCCAGAGGAGATGCAAGCAAGGCGTAGAAAAGTATGAGCATGGTCGCGAGAGGCTCCCTCGGGCTGTCTGCTCTCATTCATGCCAGCCATGTATCTGACAATGGATACCCTCGCTGCCCGTTGGTCTCTGAACCAATAACGTGGCGCGAGGCTCCAGGCTGAAGGAAAGTGCTGATATTGGACTTGACCCCGCGCTCCCCGCCCAGAACCAGGCTCAGGCACCCACCTGGCTACAACTCGACGCAACAACAGGCAACTCAAACAGCAGTTGAGGCGAGTTTCGACGTCTTCGGAAGAGTGATACCACAGACAAGGTTGATACTAACTCCACGAAGTGCAGTGGCCAGCCGCTCCTTACCCCCCCGGCTTAAACCTAGCAAAACAGTATCAGCAAGTTGAACTGCTCGGCTATAATATCCTGCAATGGCGAGCTTGTCATGCAACCAGTCGGCAACCCCGAGAGAAGCCAGCGCTGCGTACAGCCTCCAGCATCAACACGTGCCAGAGCCCGCGAACGTTGCTCCCGGCCGAGCAGTGCTCCTCTTCTCCCCAAGCCCTGCCCAGCGAGCCATATCGGAATCCTTCGACAAGATACCCACGTACCTCTTCCGACTGCATGGGCCGAGCACTGTAGGAACGGCAACGGCTCGCCAAGTCAGCTCTCCGGCGTATGACAGAGGCATGGTCAAGGGGGACCTCTTTCAGCTCGCACCAGAAGACGCGGCTAAATGCCTGGATGACCATCTCCGATGGAGTAAGGAACACGAGAGCAGAAAGGAGTGCAACCTGATGTCTTGGTCGAGTTCGCTCTTGTTTCTCCTCCAGTATGCGCTTTACCGGCAGAATAAACAACCGGATAAGATCGCCAGCCTATCACAGATGCGCCTGCTTATCCTCTACACGCGCGACTTCCCCCAAGGCACCTTCATCAAGGATCTAAAAGCAATCGAGGCGTTTTATAAACACAACGAGGGCCTGGCCGGGATAGAGAATCTGCGAGTCCGGGCGAGAGGAGGAACGTACTACTTTGGAGAGTACCTATCGCAGGGCCATCTGGACGTATCCGGGAGCTGTACGCAGATCTCCATACAGCAACTTGTCGACAAGGGATATCTCTACGAGCTGTGCCCAATGCTATGTAACAGCGATCCGAGGGAATGGGCCAACGCAGTGGTCAAAATCAGAGAAGCCTTCGCCGACCGAAACACAGCTCAAGCTACCGACAAAAAGGGCGTTCGCACAGCGATCGCAATGGCACAGGCCTTCTTTGGTAGCCCCTGGACAGTCCCGGTTGCCGTGATGCTGCTATCCCTGCGGCCGCGCAAGCCTGACGACAAGACCATCCTCGATGGCTTCTCCTCGATGTTTAGTGGTGAGCTGCCGGATCCTATCGGGCGCCGCTGGCTAAAATCTTATAATGCATGTAGAGCAGGAATTGGAGACGCTTAACCTGGGGAGCATCAAGTTTGATCCTGAGTCTGAGCGAATGCCAGAGATGAAACTGTTCGAGGACATGGTGAAGGCGATCCGTTCTTGCGTACAGGGCGCCAACGTTGAGGCTACGGTAGCAGTGGAGGTTTTGGCGGACTCGTTTGGTGAGCTGTCTGTTGGCCCTTGAGCCAAGGCGAGTATCGCAAGATCTCAGTTTCCATGTCACATAGCGGTCCAGCAGGTCGAGGCATAGGCCTCCGTGACGCCTCGGAGCAGAACATTTACATTGTCATCGGCTGTGCTGCCCCGGTCCGTCTCATTGCGCTACGTGCGTTCACTTAGCTTACCTTGGGTTCTCAACGGTTGGCGAAGCAGAAGCCTAGTTCCCGTTGTCACGGCACGGCTGGTCGGGTGACCAGGTCCGTTGCGATCTGGCGACAGGTGGGCAGACAGTTCTATAGTGCAGCCAGTAGTTCGATCTGTTGTATTGAATCATTTGTACCCTTTTGGGAACATGGCGCAGTGGTATGGCTGCACACTGGTCGTGCCGTGACACCCGTCCATGTTGACTTCGATGGGCAAAAACCTGGTCCCATGCCGCGCGCCGCAAGTACCAGCATCAATCCCATGCTCTTCGTACGACACCTTCGCCGCGGCGTATTTCCCCTCTTCTTCACAATGGAGGTTCACGACTACTCCATCTACCTTTCCCTCCTAAAAACAGCGCGATATTCTCTAAATAAGTAAGCTAAATAAGTTAAGTTATCCCTAGTAGGTCCCGTTATGACTTGGAAGGTGCCGCTATCTTTGTGTGATTGGTTCGTGACACTTTGGCGCTGGATCCGGCCGTCGAGCACGAAGTATAATATAGTAGGAGAGAGGTGTAGGACTCCGGACCCAGAGGTGGCTAATGACGGAGGCGTACTCGCTATCTACGCTTGGCTATGTCGTGTAGGGCAACTTGACGCTATCAGGGCTGGGGTCAAGCGATAGAATAAACCTCGGTAGCCGTGTCATCCAGGATCTGGCGGAAATCAACACAGCGGCAGAGGTCCTGGAGATCGTTCCGTCGCTTCATTCCCTTGGCAACGATTGTGTGCCATCCTGAATAACCGTGCCGAGAAGGTAAACTTGAGGTGCCATTGGGAGCGAGAGGAACACAGAAAGAGTTTTACCCAGCGCTTCTTGCCACATGCGCTGTCGGCGGTGTATTGTACGTCCCTGGCAAGAACTCCATGACCAACGGTTCCGTGGCCGCTGGTTCCGGCAAGTCCCAGGCCCAGCGCGCGGCAGAAACATAGAAGTGGCGAATGCTGCCGACAAATCCCAGGTTTGATCAAGGTCATGGCCATCGTGGAGAGATCAGATTCGAGGTGGTCACTACATCGACTGATGTGATGGCTTGCCTGCAGATCTGGGCACTGGAAACGGGCTGCTATCTTTTATTAGAGCGGACATGAGAGAGGGAGAGAGGGAGAGAGGGAGAGAGGGAGAGAGGGAGAGAGGATCATATATGAAAGTGTCCATGCCACGTACCGGACTGCGATAAGAGCAGAGAGGGCGGGCTCAAATCCCCCACGAGTGGTTGTGGGAGCTTAGCTCTTCCTTTGCCGTCTTCCATCTTCTCCCTGCCTCTTCATTTAGAGTAGCCGAGCCAACCATAGCTCCTGGCGAGGGGAAGCAGCCAAAATGCCGTCCCTCCGGGACGTAACCTTCTCGCCCTTCAGGAGTTGGATTGTCCCGAGCATGGCGTGAGTCGCTTCTTTACAAGCGGCTGACAAGGACGGCCGTTTATGTCACTCCAGCCTCCGGTCATATAGTATGTCCCGGCGCCTTGTTGTCGGATACTTGTGTAAACAGGGCAGATGGGGGTATGTTTATTATGAGTGGAAGGGTTTATTGGTCATTGAGACAAGAACCAGGCGGCCGTACTGGTCAGAAGAAGCAGACCCGCAAGACCTAACAGCCCACTTCGTCTGGAAAGAAATCACTTTGAGTTTGAGACTACAAATAATATCTGCTTCTCTCAGCATGTCTTGATTACACATGCTAAATGTAAGAGTACCTAGGTACCATCATGGACCTGCAAGATAACGTTGCAAACTTTAAGCTTTTAAGCATGATCGGACCAAATCTTGGTTGGCCAGTAACGCATCAGACGAGCCATCGAACGACAGTCAAGTACGTCGGCTTGCCCGTTCTCTGCCAAGTCCGCCCAAGCAGCAGCTAAGGGTAGGGCTATGCCTCGTATCCCGAGCCAAGCCTTGCGGGCGTCCATGCTTATTATTACGAGCCAGCCATCCCGCGCAGGTAGCTCAAAAACGGTTAGGAGCTGGTCAGCTGCTGCCACTGACGACACCAATCCGAAGGACTTTACGTTGTTTTGGTCCACCCGGTCGGGTGTCCTTGACAACTCAGAGCACTGCGCTACAGAATGCGGTTAGCATGATTCGGGTTCGGTCGACCAGCAGAACGGAAGATGCAAACCATAAAATGGAGATGGGCCAACCGGTCTGCTCGTTCTCCTAAGTTCTATCATTCTTGTCGCTCGCTTTTAATGACAGAAAGATGAAGATACAGGTGGTTCAAGCTGTGGTCTTCAGCACCGTCTCGCTGTGGGCTTGCACAAGTCATGCGCAACAACAGCAGCTGGAGCCCAGGATTGCCGTGAAACTCGGTCCAGAAGCGCAGCAGAAACAGCAAGCCGATCCCAGCTTCATCGCAAGCCTCTTTCAACGAGCAGAACCGCAGGGGTTTGCGGCCGCACCCAAGGTTACCGTCAACCCGCTCATCGGAGCCGAGCGGTCAGCAAACATTTCAGCAAGACTTGCACGCGCGGCGAAGCGAGATGCTAGCATCCAAGCGCCGAGCTTCGACGCATGGTATCAGGTTCAGGTCGGATCTCGGCCCGGTGAGCAGGTCCGAAGAGCCACAGAGCCAAAAGACGGTCTGCCGCAGGATATTGTGGAGTTGGTCCACGCGCTTCACAAGCTCCCGGACGTGGAAAGCGTCCACGCGCTGTATGCTGCGCCGCCTCCTGCGATTGATCCCAGTGACGATCCGCGAAGCTCGAACCAGGGGTACCTGAATCCGGCGCCGGAGGGCATTGATGCCCGCTACGGCTGGGGGTTTCCCGGCGGTGATGGGGCGGGCGTGAATATTGTGGACATGGAGCAGGGCTGGAAACTTGACCATGAGGATCTGGTAGGTTCTCTTTCGGATTTCCCCCGTCTTGCACTGGGTTGGTAACGACAGAGGAACAGACGATTGCTGACACTGAGAGAACAGGCGGCCCAAGGTATCACGTTTATTTCGGGGCGCAACTACCTCTACTTTACGCACGGCACCGGAGTATTAGGCGAGTTGTTCATGGTCGACAACCAGATCGGCGGCGTGGGCATTGTGCCGGGAGCCAGGGGCAGGGTCATCTCCCAGATCCGTGACAACTGGTACTACAACACGCCCGAGACCATCCTCGATGCGGCGGCGCACATGAGCGCGGGAGACATCCTGCTGCTGGAAGCCCAGGAATGGGATCCGCGGACCGGCACCATCTTCATGCCCGTCGAGGTGGCCGACGCCACGTTTGAGGCCATCAAGGTAGCAACGTCTCTCGGCATCATCGTTGTGGAAGCCGGTGCGAATGCCGCCGTGGACCTCGACGCTTACACCGACCTCTCGGGCAAGCGCATCTTTGACCGGTCCAGTCCCGACTACCGCGAGTCTGGGGCCATCATGGTGGGCGCTTCAAGCTACACGCTGCCTCGCTACCGCTGGTATGGCACCAACTACGGGTCCCGGATCGACGTGCACGCCTGGGGCGAAGGCATCGACACGACGGATACGGACGAGAAAGCAGCGGAGCACTGGTACACCAGCTGGTTTGGCGGCACATCCGGCGCGTCTCCCATCGTTGTCGGCGCGGCAGCTATCATCCAGGGCATCTCGCAGGCAACCCGGGGCGTCAAGCTGTCGCCCTTGGAGATGCGGGATGTCCTCAAGATCAACGGAACGCCGAGCAACGATCCTGCATTCGACCGCATCAGCGTCATGCCCAACCTCAGAGCCATCATCGACACACTCTTTGACAACAACAACAACACCAACCAGACCACCGACATCTACATCCGCGACCACGTCGGCGATGCGGGCGACACCACTTCCGGCACCATCTCGGCCAGCCCGGACATCATCGTCCGCCAGCAGCCCATCGCCAACCCGGATCTCGCGCTCGGCCCCGGCAGCGGCACCGAGTCCAACCCGTCGCTCTCGCAGCCCGTCCTCGCGGGCCATGACCACTCCGTGTACATCCGCCTCCTGAACCGCGGCACCGCCGCCGCCGCTGCCGGCTCCACCACCGTGTCGGTCTACTGGTCCGAGCCCGCAACGCTGGTGACGCCCAATATGTGGCAGCAAATCGGCACCGTGACCTTTCCCTCTATTATCCCGAGCGGCAATGTTACTACTAGTAGTAGTAATAGTACCCTGACGGTCTCGCCGCGCCTCGACTGGCCTGCGTCCGCCGCTCCGGACACAGCGGGGCACTACTGCTTTGTAGCGCTGGCGGGTACACGCAACGACCCGGTGCCTGTTGTGCCGACGACGTTTCCGGACTTTGCCAAATTTGTGAGGGAGAACAATAACGTCGCCTGGCAGAATTTTAATGTCGTTTCTGCTCCGGCCAATGCGAAGGACAGGTGGCATCGCTTTGCTGTCGCCGTGCCCGGTGCGTGGGATGGGGACAGGGAATTTACCCTGAGGGCTGTGGGCAAGTTGCCCCAGGGTTCCAAGGTCCGGTTGCAACTCCCCAAGGACCTATCTAAGGCCCTAAGGGTTAAGGGCGGGTGTGCGGAGAAAGAGGCGGTCACCATCGGGTTGCACCCCGGAAAGACGGTGACGGTGGGCAAGGGGACTTTGGGGAAGGGGAGCTTGGCCAGGTGTGAGTTGCAGGTGCGGGTTCCGGAGGAAGTGTATGGGACTGAGGGCGAGGTGGAGTTTGCGCTGGTGCAGGAGTGGGAAGGCGTTGAGATGGGGAGGGTAACCTGGCGGTTCGGGCCCGAGGCCGAGTTGTGAGGTGAAGAGGTTTGAGAGTACAGTAATAATGATATGGCAACGGATGGTTTCATTTGTTTTTCGGTGCAAGGTATTGGTAAATATACCAGCTACAGAACATTGAAGATAAAATGGATGGTTTTAACATTCTGTTTCTACTCCTCTCCGTTGTCAACCCCTGACCTTGTCCTGCACGTCCTTGATGTCGACACTCTCGCCCACCCTCCAACTGACATCGCCGCCCGCATCCTGGCCGGCCTTCCACCGCCAGCGTGGGATGTCCTGGCTCCCTCCTTCCAACACATCCTTGACCCAGCTCCCCACCACCGGCAGCATCTTGTAGGCGTGGCCCGAGTCTCCCGACACGACCATGACGCCGGTCTTCCCCGGGACGAAGTCGATGATGTACTCGGTGTCCGCCGTATCCGCACACCAGCAGAGCTTCTTGTCCACGATGGGCCGGTCCGCCAACGCCGGCAGCGTCTCCCCCAGAAGCTTGCGAATGGTGGCCTCGTCGCTCGCCGGGATCCAGCCGCTGTCCTCGGGCGGAACCGACACCGGTGATGCCTCTGAGTCATTCTTAACGAAATTCGTGTATCCCGCTCCGGCCGGACACACTTTCAGCAACCGCGTCTTCTCGTCTGGCTCGAAGAAGAAGCCCAGGTCGCGCGCATACGTGACGGGGATCCCCTTCAGCCGGCCGGCTTCCTCCTCGCTGAGCTGCACGTGGCCGACGCTCCAGGCCCGCGCCGTGATCTGTCTTCCGACGAGGCCCAGCACCGTCCCCAGCGCGGCGCCCAGCGCGAGCACCACTACGTCGGCCGTGTGCACCGCGCCCGAGGCCGCCCGGGCACCGATGCACACATTATTAGTGTGATCCTTGTAAAGCAGCTCCATGACGCCGTCGCCCAGGTGGAAGGTCACGCCCAGCGCACGGCAGGCCGCGTGCGTGGCGCGCAGGGCGTCGGCGGCGTGCGCATACCCGGCCAGCTTGTTCAGGTAGCCTGTCCAGCCGTGCATGGGCCCGTCGAGCGCCGGCGCGAGCGTGCGGATGTCATCCCGCTCGTTGACCGGGTGGATGACGCCGCCCTGCCAAGCCGGGTGCGAGGAGATGGAGGACAGCGATTTGGCGAGCGACCGCTTGGACTTTTCTGGTGCGGCCGCTGACGTGCACAGCAGGTAGCCCGTCTCGTGGTAGTAAGGCGCGAAGACCGGGTTGTGCTTCCACTCCCGCATGGCCTGCAGCGCGAGGTTGGTGTAGAACGGGTCCTCGTACTCGGCCCGCAGGATCTTGTTGAGGTCGTTGCCCGCCGACAGGGGCGACGGGATGGTTGGGCTCTTTTCGAGCACCGTGATGTTCTTGTACCCGGCCTTGGCGAGGTGGTAGGCGGTCGACAGGCCGAAGGTGCCGGCGCCGGCGATGAGGATCGATGAGTCGGGCGTCATTTTGCCGGTGTCTGTCATTACAAAAGCTTAAGGTATGTGGAGGTGAAATCAAGAGATGGGGTCAACACATGCAAAGCCGGCATAATCTGCCGGAACCAAATACGGACACATTGTCTTCGGTCCTCCCTCGTCTCTCCTTTTATTTAAGCCTCCGAGGCACGGTCTGCTATGAGGTCTCGTGAGTCGTCCAAGCCGCCTGTCTGTTTGCCGTCGATGATAACGGACCTAGAGGATCCTACTCTTTATTTCGGGCATCAGTAGACGACGTGCATCGCAGACGGCACCGATCACGGATGCACGGCGTGTAGACGAGGTAAGCGCAAGCGACGTGCATAACGCGGGGTAATCTGGGGCGTCGACTAGGGGCTATGTTGACCCCTGACCCAACTTGGCTTAGTTAGTACCCACTCAGGTACCCAGAACTTGCTGATACCCGCCTGCCACGCTAGCTTCTAGCCCGCTTCGGGAATAATAAATAAGATAGCATCCAGTCCAGCAGGCCGAATACTTTTGCCTGGATTGGGGCGACGCCGATAACACCCCGCCCGGCTACCGGCGCGTGTTATCTTTATGGGTGGATCCAGTAGATCCAGGAGGCGAAGGCCTGGTTTCCCACTTCAACTCCTGCCGCCATCGCACATGGGGAAAGAACAACAAGGAGTCACGCGACAAATCGGCAGCTGATCAAACATAGCATCGCGTAAGACGATTCGGGGTCGTTATCTTTGTCCTTCTCAATCTACGGTACTAGGCCTCCGGGATACCAAAATCATCCCAACACATCCGAAAATGGGACATGCCGCGCGGTCAAGAGACGTGCATCCGAGGACTCGGGCCAGGGAACTCCGCAGCAGGAGTGGGTGCTGGAAGTGTCGAGGTGAGGATCCTGCTCTCCGGCATGCACTGATACGGTGATATCTAACAAGTCGGACATGCAGAGAGACGCGTAAAATGCCCAGGTATTGTCTACAATACACACACACGCACAACGTGCGAGATGGAGTCGCACAGTCGCAATGGCTGACTAGCTCCTAGAACAGAGGCCCATCTGCGGGCACTGCAAGCGACTGGGGTTCGTGTGCGCATACGACGTGCGCCTAAGCTGGCAGACTGCCGTCACCCCCCAGGCCGGGCCCCGAGGACGGAAGGCCGAGCCGACAGTGGAGCACTGGATGTTCCTCAACACGACCATCTTCGACTTCATCGATGCCGCGTGTGCCGATAGTGGTATCTCCCTGTGGGATGATGTCTCTTTGTGCGACGTATCAAGCGTCTCGCCCTCGACTCCGGCGAATAGTACTACTACTAGCACTACCATCCACGATGATAGCTCGCTTTCTTCTCCGTGTCCGAGCACGCCGTCACAGCAAATACAGGTGCGCCCAACAACCCGGTATGCCGGCGACACTACTAGTACTAGGGGCCACTGGGACTCGACGAGTCACATTAGCCCCTACTATTACCTATCGCCGCTTTCCATGGACAGCGAAGACAGCTATCTCTGGGAGTACTTTGCCACGTGTGTCACGCCTCACTGCTCGCTTGACGAGACGACGAACCCGTACCAGAATGTCATCCTGAGGGTTGCCGCCTCGTCGCCCCATGGGCCACTCTTCCAGTGCATCCTGGGCGCTTCGGCCAACCAGCTCTACAACCTCGGCCACGCATCGTTCGGAGCCAAGAGCTGGCAGTGCCGGGCCAACGCGCTGGCGTTGTTGACAAGGGGCGTGACGGACGAAGCATGCCGGGCTGACATGGATTCGTCGTCGCGCTTGGATCCCGACTCGGCAGCGCAGTTGATCGGCTCGGCTGTCATGCTCTGCTTCTCGGAGGTGAGCTACCAAACACTGAAGAAAAGGAAAAGAAATAAGAAGCAGTATACTAACAGCCGAGTGGTTTTAGATCCTGCAAGACTGCTCCCAGACGTGGACGGCCCATGCCAGCTTCGCGCTATCGTATCTGCAGAAGTACGAGGCCGGGCTCGAGGACGTTGCGCCGGTCCTCCACGAGCTCGCACACTTTGCCGTCGCCTACTTCACATACCACGTGGCCCTGGCCTCCACGGCCTCCATGACGGCCGCCTCGCAAAGGCCGCCCCTCCTTCCCCTGCGGCGAGCTATCACAACAAGCCACCACGAGTCCCACTCCAGGACAAGGACGACACTCCAGTCACTGACGGGCTGCTCAGACCGGCTGCTCGACCTGATCTCGGCCATCACTCAGCTGTCGCACGAAAGGGAGAGGCTGCACCCCCTGCCAGTGCCCGACTTCCAATCCCGCCGCGACGACATCGAGCGGGAACTCCATGTCCTGCGTCAAGATCAACCACTACTACCAGTAGAAATAATAACAACACATTCATCCCCGCCAGGCTCCGAACAGGGACAGGGGCAGGAACAGAGACAGTTCGACGAGGTCGCCGAGCTCAAGCGGCTTACCACGCTCCTGTACCTGTACGCGCGCCTCGACAACGCCGGGCCGCGGGAGCCGCACGTCATGCGCCTCACGGCGGGGATTCTCGGCATGCTGCCGCACATCTCGCTGCGGACCAACACCACCCTGTGGTCGCTGTTCATGGTGGCTACCCTGGGTGTGAGGCCCGAGAGCGACGGGGACCGGAAGCTGGTCATGGAGCGGCTGACGGCGCTGCAGAGGACCAGGGAGCTGGGAAATGTGCGCATGGCGAGGCTAGTCATTGAGGATGTCTGGAAGCGGAGGGATCTCAGGCCCGAGTGTGCGAACGTGGGGTGGGGGGTGTTGAAGGGCCGGGAGGGGGCTATTAGCTTGGCGTAGGGTACAGGTACGAGTACAAGTACAATACAATAACAACATGTCAGGGCCCGGCAGTGGAGGTCTCTTAATATGACCAAGGTAAGGAGCTTGCCTGTTGCTGCGCACCTGAGAGATACTATGTACTAAGACCAATGTTCAACTGCTGATAGTACTCTCTCGCTCTTGGCTGTTGCTCTTCCTCGCCGGTTCTCATGATACCCAATACTAGCAGTAAGATTCCATGTCTCCGAAGTCGTATTACGCTTCCCCTCCCTAACTGCCTTACAGGAGGAAGCCTTCCATCCCTGCGATGACCTCCCTGCGCAGTACTACTAGTAACCTTACGTAGTATACCGGAAGCCCTCCTGCTCCTTATCGGTGATATCCACGAACCCGTCCAAGCCGCTCTCGTCCACGCGCTGCGCGGCGCCGTACTTGGCGTCCTTGCGCTTGTTGTCCCACGCCGAGATGGCCCAGTAGCAGCCCAGCAGCGCCATGCTGGCGCAGTAGCAGGCCAGCATGGTGATGACGCCGCCCGTGTAGGTCGGCGCCTGGTCGGCCCGGAACGTCTGCGGGCCGATCAGGTTGCCCACGGCGTAGCCGATGTTGACCCAGCTGTAGGCGACCGCTTTCTTGGTCTGCCCGGCCGTGTTGGCCTGCAGGAGGGAGATGCCGACCACGTATGGGGCTGTGTGTAAAAGTGAGGGTAACTGTCAGTACCAATGATACCTACTACTAAGGAGTGCGGAAGACAGGAAGGAACATACGCCAGTAAAAGTACATGAGGTACAGGCCCACCATCTGCGCGGCGGTGTGGAATCGCGGCACCGCATACACGACCGACGTGCCGATCAGCGGCAGGATGAGGGCGAGGCAGGCCGTGGCGATGCGTCGGTTGTGCCACTTGACGGCGATGTAGCCAAAGATCCAGGCGCCCGTGGTGGCCAGCACGCCGAACGGCATGGTCAACAGACTCGATTCGAGCGCGCTGAAGCCGAGGTTGCTGATGATGATCGACCCGAAGGTCTGGAGGCCGCCGTTGGGGATGTTGATGACGATGTCGAAGAAGAAGATGAGCCAGATGCGGATGTCCATGAAACACTCGAAGAACTGGTTCCACTTCCAGACCTTGTTGGCGATGCCCGTGCGGTTCTCAGCCAGCCGCTTCGTCGCGTGGTACTTCTCCTCGGCCGTCAGGAAGCGCGCGTTCATGGGGCTGTCGGGCATGACGAAGATCAGGAAGAGGGACCAGGCAAGGTTGATGCTGCCCGTCATGATGTAGAGGTACTGCCACTTGAAGAGCGGCGCCGAGTCCGGGATCTTGCCGACCACGAAGGCGAAGAAGCCGTTGAGGATGGACGAGAAGTAGGCGAAGATGACTGCAGAGATGGTGTTGGATCTTGTCAGTGACATTGCCGAAAAGAAAGAAGGCAGGTTGTTCGGTGTGAATACGTACTTGCGTTCCGGGGTGCCTGCTCGCTCTTCTTGTAGAAGCTGACGGCGATCATGGTGAGGCAGGGCGAGATGGCCGATTCGAGGAAGCCGAGGATGAAGCGGAGGGCCATGAAGCCAGCCCAATTCCGGCATGGCGCGTACAGGCAAGTGAGGACCGACCAGGTGAGGGATGCACACGCAAGCAGCTTGCCGGGCGGGAAACGCTGGACGAGATACGCGGCCGGGAACATGCCACAGACTGTCTGCGTAGTCCATACCGTATCAGCAGGCGAGTTCTGTTACTCGGGGCTTGGGAATTGGGATGACAATGGTCACAACGTACTCCCAGGGGTAAAATACTGCCCAGCCAGCTGTACTGCTGGCCAACAAGGTGGTTGTCCTCGCGGAATCCGTAGAGGGCAGCCGTGCCGAGCTGGACTTTGTCCACCGCGCCGAGGGTTGCCGTGATGAGAGCCTGATGACGTGAATAAATGAGAAGGCCGTTCTTGCTAGCACGCGTAGTAGTACTCGACACAGGAGGCTCGACTTACAAGCGGCAGAATCCATGCATCGATCTTCTTGACCAGCTTCTTTTCCATCTCCGGGCTCATGGGGCCAAACTCGTCGTGGCCAGCCAGGTATTTGGCAGCCTCGTCCAACTCTCGGTTGGTGGCCCCTTTCAGGTCGCCAACCTCGCCGGCCTCCATGGATCCGGCATTGATGTAGTCGCTGTCGTCCTTTCGATCGGGTTGTTTGGCGGTATCTGCCATTTTTGCTGCGTGCTTCAGGGGCTGGACTGTCGGGGAAAAAAAAAAGACAAGCAGATTGTGATTCACCCTGTTGACTGTTCAGGTTGCGGTGCTGGGTGTCGAGTCTGCCGTCGGAGCTGGGTGATGGGATGGATACCTATATCATATTCGCATTATGTACAGAGAACGGCTCGAGACTCGATCCAGCTCCTTGTTCAGCGTCTATCGCTGTGGTCGCCGGTAATCGTGATCCTGTGTCGTACAAAAGCCGGGGAACCTTGCTAGTATCTACCACAGCCCTGATACCTGCTAACTCCGATAGAGATAGTACTGCGGTATTGTTATCTTCAGGGGACTTATCAGAGCCCAGCGATCTGGTTTCGTTGGTGGGGGAAATCCTTTGGCTCCGTCCTCCGCAACTTGGCGCAGATCATTGGGATACGCGATTTTTGACGAGGAAACTCGAATCGACGAGCTTGTATATCCACGCTAAACCCCGCAATCCGCTAGTGCTCTAGTTCTGTCACAAGGAGTTGCATCCAACTTGCATCCGGACATCACATGTGCACCATGCATCGCAATCAGGCATGAAAGAGTATCAGGAGGATAACTTGGAATCCTCCCAAGCGATGCCGAGTGGAGTGGGTGGAAATGTCAAAAAATGATAGTTTGACTCCGGATGGAATGTCGAAACGATGGGCAACACGAGGGTTGGAGATCACGGCAACGAGTTGGCCGAGAGCGGAGAAGACGAGCAGGTATCAAAAAGGGCCATCTCGCTGCCTCCCACAGGTTGGATTCAATGCCGCAGAATAACACACACTCTTCACAAACTTCCTTCACACAACATCTTCTCCAACCATGGGTTCCCTCGAGACAGACACAATATCGGATGCCTCCTCGCTTCACAAGGGCATCCGGTTTGCCATTGGTATGTATGACTGGCGTGTCCCTGCCGTAACCCCTTCATCTCTTTGTGAAGTCTTCCTGAGCTAACACAGTGCGTCTCTCATAGACCGCGGCGGCACATTCACCGACGTCTGGGCTGGTGTGCCCGGCCAGCCAGACATAGTCACCAAACTCCTGTCTGTTGACCCTGAGAACTACGATGACGCGCCGGCAGAAGGAATCCGGCGGGTGCTGGAGATGGTCTCCGGGAAGACGATCCCCAGGAGATCGCCCATCCCAAAAGACATGATCCAGTCCATCCGCATGGGCACCACCGTGGCCACGAATGGTAGGGACCCTTGCCAGCCAATTTTTCTTTATTCTTTTGCCTGCTAACAGCATGTTGCCAGCCCTCCTGGAGCGGAAAGGAACGCGCCACGCCTTTCTCGTGACACAAGGGTTCCGCGACCTGCTCGAGATCGGCTACCAGTCGCGGCCGAAGCTGTTCGAGCTGGGCATCCGCAAGCCCGAGCTCCTCTACGACGAGGTGGTGGAGATCTCGGAGCGCATCACGGTCGAAGGGTTCGACGAGGACGTGCACAAGGACAGCCGCCCGGCGCCCAAGGAATCCCCCGGCCTGTTTGTCCGGGGCATCACGGGCGACATCCTGCGCATCGTCCGGCCGCTGGACGAGGCCGAGGTCCGCGAGAAGCTGGAGGCGCTGAAGGCCAAGGGCATCGACACCGTCGCCATCTGCCTGGCCCACTCGTACATGTACCCGGCGCACGAGGACCGCATCGCCGAGATGGCGGCCGAGATGGGCTTCGCACACGTGTCCAAGTCGTCCAGCGTCGGGGCGAGCATGATCAAGATGATCTCGCGCGGCAGCTCGGCGTCGGCGGACGCGTACCTGACGCCCGAGATTGTGCGCTATGTCGACGGGTTTTCCAAGGCCTTTGAGGGCGGCAACCTGGACGGCGTCTCGTGCGAGTTCATGCAGAGCGATGGTGGGCTGGTCAACCACCAGGCGTTTAGTGGGCTCAGGGGTATCTTGAGTGGTCCTGCGGGTAAGTCTTCCTTTCGAGTTAAAGCTCTGTCGTCGCCATCTCGTTAAGACTTGCTGACGATGTGGGTCTGAAACAGGCGGAGTTGTCGGCTATGCCAGGACTTCCTACGACGGGTCGTCACCCGTGGTCGGGTTTGACATGGGCGGCACGTCCACCGATGTCAGTCGCTACGGCGGCTCGTTCGAGCACGTCTTTGAGACCACCACTGCGGGAGTCTCGATTCAAAGCCCGCAACTGGACATCAACACGGTGGCCAGCGGCGGCGGAAGCATCCTGTTCTGGCACAACGGCCTGTTCAAGGTCGGACCTGAGGTATGTTGTTTTCTTGCGAGTCACCCAACCTCTGAAGCAGTATCTTACCTACTTCCCCCCTCTGCATAGAGTGCTGGCGCACACCCTGGCCCGGCCTGCTACCGAAAGGGAGGCCCGCTCACCATCACCGACGCGAACCTGTTCCTGGGCCGCTTGATTCCCGACTACTTCCCGGCCATCTTTGGACCGGACGAGAACATGCCGTTGGACTCCAAAGTGGTGGAGGAAAAGTTCCAAGCCCTGACGGACCGCATCAACAAAGACACGGGCAGGTCCATGACGCCCCTCGAAGTGGCCCACGGCTTCGTCGACGTGGCCAACGAGTCGATGAGCCGCCCCATCCGCGCCCTGACCGAGGCCCGTGGCTACGAGACGGCACAGCACGTCCTTGCCACCTTTGGAGGCGCCGGCGGACAGCATGCCTGCGAGATGGCTGTGAAGCTGGGCATCCGGCGCATTGTGATCCACAAGTACTCGAGTATCCTGTCCGCCTACGGCATGGCGCTGGCCGAAGTGGTCCAGGAAGCCCAGGAACCCAGCTCGGAAACGCTGACGGATGAGTCGTTGCCGCGGCTGAATGAACGCATTGCCAAGCTCAAGAGCAAGGTCACGGAGGGTCTGCTCTCCCAAGGGGTCAAGCCGTCCGCCATCGCCTACGAGCCGTATCTCAACCTTCGCTACCACGGGACCGACACCAACTTTATGATCCAGGAGCCCGCTGACGGCGACTGGCGGACGGCGCTGGAGGCGGAACACTTGAGGGAGCTCTCGTTTACCTTCCCTCGCTCGCGGAAGGTTCTTGTCGATGACGTCCGCGTTCGTGGCATCGGAAAGAGCGACGAGGTCAGCCAGGACAACGAGAGTTTGGTGAAGGAGTCCAAGGAGCTGGTCTTCTCTGCTGCTGGCAAAGGGGAGGAGCGCACGGTATGTCTCTTCCAATGCAACACTGAAATGGTCGCACACAGGGAGGTCAGCCCATCTAATGCTTTTGTTGTCTCACAGGTCGACGTCTTCTTCGCAGAAGGCGGTCTTCAGCCTACAAAGGTCTACTTGCTGTCTAAGCTGCGCCCGGGCAATGAGGTGCACGGTCCGGCCATCATCATCGACAGCACCCAGACCATGGTGATTGTGCCCGGCGCCACGGCCCGGATCCTGACATCCCACGTGCTGATCGACCTGCCCGAGCCGCCGTCCAAGCAGACGGACGAGGACAGCAAGCTGGTCGACCCGATCAAGCTCAGCATCTTCGGCCACCGCTTCATGAGCATCGCCGAGCAGATGGGCAGGACGCTGCAGAAGACGAGCCTGTCGCTCAACATCAAGGAGCGCCTCGACTTCTCGTGCGCTATCTTCAGTCCCGACGGCGAGCTGGTGGCCAATGCGCCCCATGTGCCGGTGCATCTGGGCAGTATGAGCTATGCCGTCCGGTACCAGCACGAGCTTCACAGGGGTAAATTGCGGCCCGGCGATGTGTTGGTCACCAACCACCCCGAGACAGGGGGCACTCATCTTCCCGGTACGTGGGGATCCAGCGAGCAGAGCGATTTAATTAAGTTACTCAATTACCGAGGACGATTACTGACGCGCAATGCTACCTTTATAGACATCACGGTCATTACTCCGGTATTTGACGACGACGGCAAGACCATCACCTTCTACACGGCCGCACGGGGTCACCACCTCGACATTGGCGGTTGGCGAGGCAACTCCATGCCGCCGTAAGTGATACATACTAGTACTACCACACTTTGAACCTAGTGCGTGAGGCTGACGTTGAACACCCGGCAGTGACTCGACCGAGCTGTGGCAAGAAGGCGCCGCCATCAAGTCCTTCTTCCTAGTGCGCGACGGGCACTTCGATGAGGAGGGCATCGTCAAGATCCTCCTGGAGCCGGGCAAGTACCCGAACTGCAGCGGTTCCCGGCGGCTGGCCGACAACCTCTCGGACCTCAAAGCCCAGGTGGCCGCCAACCACAAGGGCAGCACGCTGATCAAGGCGCTGATGGACGAGTACGGCAAGCAGACGGTGCACTTCTACATGCGCGAGATCCAGAAGAACGCCGAGGTGGCCGTGCGGAACTACCTCAAGTCGGCCTACAAGCGCTTCGGCGCCACCCCGCTTAAGGGCAGGGACTACCTCGACAACGGGTCACGCATGGAAGTGACGGTCACGCTCGACGAGACCGGCTTCGGCACCTTCGACTTCACCGGTACTAGCTGCGAGATGCTGTCCAACATGAACGCGCCGGCGGCCATCACCTACTCGGCGCTCATCTACACGCTGCGGCTGCTGATCGGGTCCGACATCCCGCTCAACCAGGGCTGCCTCGCCCCGACCAAGGTGATCCTGCCGAAGAATACCTTCCTCAACCCGTCCGCAGGGCCGGCCGTCTGCTGCGGGAACACGCTCACGTCGCAGCGGCTGGTGGATTTGCTCCTCAAGACATTCCGCGCCGCGGCCGATAGCCAGGGGTGCATGAACTGCTTCGGCTTCTTCGGCAACTGCACCCCCGCCCCCAACACTCCGGGTTCTGACAGCAAGGAGCAAGGCGAGAAGAAAGAGCAAGAGATGGGCTTCGGCTTCAGCTACGGCGAGACCATGTGCGGCGGCGAAGGGGCCGGCCCGACGTGGCACGGCGCCAGCGGCGTGCAGGTGCACATGACCAACACGCGCACGACCGACATGGAGATCATCGAGAAGCGCTACCCCGTGCTGATCCGCGAGTTCTCCATCCGCCGCGGCAGTGGCGGCCGCGGCAAGTTCCGCGGCGGCTGCGGCGTGGTGCGCGACTTTGAGTGCCGCCATCCGCTCACCTTCGGCCTGATCACCGAGAGGCGCGTGCATCGGCCGCATGGCATGATGGGCGGCGAGGATGGGGAGTCCGGGGGCAATTACTGGGTGCGCAAGATGCCTGATGGTGGTGAGAGGTGGATCAATATTGGCTCGAGGGGCCAAGTTGATATGCAGCCTGGTGATAGGTGTGTCATCCACACCCCCGGTGGCGGCGGCTGGGGCGTGCCGGAGGAGGAGGAGGATCAAGAGGAATCCGGTGTCGTGGACGGCCCGGCGCTGCCCGCGGCCAGCTACCCCCGGGCGGCGGGTACCTTGCATGCGTTTGCCGCTGCTCAGGAGGCGAGTTCCTGAATGGGTTTCTGAACAGGACATATGATTTAATCTGATCAATATCATTAGTAGTAGTCTAGAACTTGGATTGATAAAGTGACAAAACCATAGATGAACCTTCATTTAGCATTGCCGCCGGAACATCGTGTCTATTCCCGTGTACCTTTTCCCGCCCTAACCTTTATACTATCACCCAATATATGCTTTCTAGTCATGAGACAGCTTGACCTGCTTCGTCACGGTAATCCCATACGGCTGAAATTGCAGGTTCGCGACCGGCTCATCCCCCTGCAGCATCTTCTTCTGGCTCTCCGTCTCAAAGCTCGAGTGGTCGTCCTCCAGCTTTCCGTGGCCCGAGACGACCGTCGTGGTCATGTGGTTTCCACCACCAGTCGGGGACGCCCCGTCGGGTGATCCGTTGCGGCCCGTCCGCAGCTCGTACTCCGGGTCGAACTCCTGGTACGTGCGCCGCCCGTTGGCTGTGCCGAAAGCATAGCGCGAGCTGGGCGTCATGCCGTTGCTCGCCTTGTTCGACGAGTCGCCGCCCAGGCGGAAGACGCGCCGGAACATGGGCCGCAGCGTCATCACGCAGCCCACGATGAGGCCAAGGCCGTCTGACAGGAGTTAGAGGTGTCATATGAGCAATGTGAACTAGATCTGCAACTCACTCTCGGCGTATCCCCAGATGACAATGTCAGCGAGAGCGTAGAGATAGTCCTCCTGCGCCGTGAGGTTGACCGTGTACTTGAGGCGCACGCAGGCGGAGACGGAGGCGAAGAAGCCGAGCCCCAAGATGACCACCACAGAAATCTTGGTGTTTCGGTTCACCTTGAGGTTCCACAGGAGCGGAATTGGCATGAACGCAGTGACCCAATCAGTGAAGATGTTGACTGCGGTAGTAGCATCTACATTTTGAAGTGAGCATCATGTCCCCGGGCCTGACGGGTTGTCCTGTGTCAACTTACAGTAGATGTCCGCCAAGACATACGCCGGATTGCATGATCCTCCCTTCTCCAGTAGTGACGTGTCCCAGGCTGCCGCTGGTGGGTTGCAGTGGAAGATGATGTAGAAGCCTAGTGCGGAAAGGGGCATCCAAGGTCAGCAACCGTGTGTCATCTGCAATGGAAAATGCCGACAACGACATCGTACTGACCAGCAATCAGGTTCATGACCGTGAACATGGCCATGACGGCGTACTGTGCATGAATATAACCCTTTCTGTTCTGTTTTGGGGAGGCGCTGTTAGCACCTGGTGGCTCAAGAAATGGCGCGTCAGAAAGATACCGATAGTATCGAGCTGGAACCAACCTCGGCGATGCGAATCAGAGTCAAGCCGATCGACAGCTTGACGGGGATGATGTTGACGCAGTAGAACACTTCAAACAGGAAGAACCACTACATTTTCTCAGGAGTCCCCCACAGTCAGCGATACGCGAAGCCCTTCGAGAGGGTCAGGTCTGCCAGGGTGTCTGCATACGAATAACCCTGTCTCTGTGTACCCTTCGTTTCCGGGCAACGCCAGCGTTGCGTTTGTGGCGCCGATGCCTGTAAAGGCACAGGCGATGCATGCGGCGGACAGGACCGTGAAGAATGGCAGCGCCGCTGTCATGCACCAGTCCTCCATGCCCCATGGCGCGTATCGCAGTCGCGTGTAGATGCGGAGCGCAAACGTGATGTAACCGGCAATGCATCTAGGCAGGAAACGTGAGAATGTGTTCGAGTGTGATGGATAGCAATCTTCGGGGAAGGTCTCGGCGGGGGGTGGGAAGGCAGGCAATGCGGGTTCGTATTCGGGGGCCAGAATTTGACTGTTCTAACTCACTGGCGACGATGTTAGTAGCTGGGCTTGTGGCAATGTTTGTTGAAGTTGGAACTCACCATGGTAATGACGGCCGCGGCCACATCGGGCCCGCGATCCTGATGGAGAACCATACTGAGTGTTCAGAACCGAGTCGTTGTTGTTGATGTCCTACCTCTCCCAAGACATCCAGGGCACTGTTCGAGACCAGGGTATTTGTGCCTCCACGCGAAGCCTAAGCCGTCCCCAAATGCGATCCGGAGATCGGAAAGCCAAGCCCGGAGAGCGTCCGGCAATTTCGAAATATTGATGGCAAAGTCCGCAGTCCTGATAGTGCGCTACTCATGATAGCTACTTGGCGTTGGCCTCTCAGGCTATGGGAGGTGTTCTGCCCGGCAAGTGCCTAGACCGTCTAGTGAGATCCAGTCGACGATGCGGAGCATATACGGCTGTCGGAAGTTTTTAGAGCGAAAGCTAGCTCGTAGAGCTCGTGGGAGACAGGGAGATGCCGTCTAAGCTCGTTGCCCGGAGAGCGACCAGAACACCGCAGAGCTTGTCACGAGCGCCAAATAACGAAATAACCAGGTGGCAACAAGACCGGACCGGACCGACCACCAGACTCCCGAGAAAATCTTCTGGATGATCTCCAACACATGTATCCACCCGCAAAAAGGGTTGTTGCGTGCATGTGGCCACCATGACCCTCTTCAAGGGGCTGGCATCCACAGACTCGCAAGCATCCCTGGACTGCTGTTCGGCTGCTCATCTGTACAAGTACACTAGGCGGGCCTGAACAGTAACTCCCGGACGGCAGGCTTTGCAGTTTGCACCCGATATCTGCTCAAACTTCAAGGGCCATCTGGGCCTGGTAGGACAATGCTGAGGACAGTCACGCCTTCGGAGCTTATGGGATCCGGAACCCGTGACGCTTCAGATATATGGGGTCCACAATTCAAAACGTCCGTAAAGGCAGGTCTCTCAGACTTCCTTTGGAGTGATTTCCACTCGTATTGCGTCAGTGGCGCCAGCATGTCCAAGGAATCGAGACGCGGCCAAGCCGAGATAAATACCTAGTAGTGTAATCGGCGCTATCGATATGATGGTTCGAGGCATTCATCAGCATTCGGCACTTGGTTTGCTGTGGGTCAGCGATGTAACAACTGCCGTTGACCCGAATCCTCGGGATTGCATGTCGGAACCTTTCCGCCAAATCACATTTTTGCAAAGTCGCAGGGGACCCACGAGGGCGAAGTGGCCAAGGCGCTAGCCGAAGTTTCGGACCGATGCAATGTAACAATGATTGGTGTGAATCCATGAACAGCGGAAGAAATCCGCCCTTCAAGCTTTTTTATACGAGACACGCTTGCACCTGGAGGCCGAGACCTAACGGGAGCCTCGCAAAGCTTGAAGGAGCTTAACTACCGTACCTTAATTAGGATTCCAGACCATGGTCCATTGCTGATTCATGAATCGCGCAAAGACAAAAGTTTGTGGTTGTCTCGAAAGACGGCTACTCGTGTCGTCTTGTAACATTATTGGCCATTGGATCTTACCGTCCCAGGGTAATTTCGCCAACAGCTCGACTCGACGTGTAACCTCGGCTTCGCAATGCTGTTCATGCCCGCCCGTCATCTATGTCATTCCCTGCGCGGACTATAGCAGCCTTAAACAGTCGCGCTAGTTGTGTGCGGACTAGGGGATATTATAACTGGCTGGCTGAACCCAGTGAACAGTATCTTCTCTTCGCCTCTCTGGAATCCTGGATTCCCTCTGTCGTACGTAGTATCACGCATGCTCAATATAGGTAACAAACTGGTAGGTAGTCGAGCTGGAAGTGGAGATGTGAGATTTGTCATCTCGCGCATCTCCCGGCAAAACGTTGGCCTGCCAGCGCATGCTAGCAAGTATGGTGTTCGCGCCCACGCCGATGATATAGCCTATACGACGCGATCTTTCAGCCAATTCGAAGAAGCTTACCTAATCTGAAGAGGAGGTTATTGTTCAATATATTATTGAGCTATCTGTGCGAGCTTTTCCGCCGAGACTATATGGTGTAGAAGATATGGCCAACCAACTGCTACGCGTACGCGATGCGCCCCCTGTCGGCAAGCTCTAGGCGCATCGGTTTGTCAAACGCCAGCCAGAGCTCCGTACGCGTTATTCGCGAAGATACGATTACCAGAGGGCAAAGTACGAGGATCCGAAGGTCATTGGCAAGTGGTTTGCCCTTGTACGGAATGTTAAGGCCAAGTACGGTATCGTAGATGACGATATCTATAACTTCGACGAGACTGGGTTTATGATGGGCATTATCTTCCTGGGCATAGTGGTTACAACCTCGGATGGCCGTGGCAAGGCGAAGCTAGCCTAGCCTAGCAACCGCGAATGGGCGATGGTGATCCAAGGCGTCAATGCCCTTGGCTGGGCTATCCCTCCGTTCATCATCTTAGCGGCGCAGTACTACCTTACCAACTGGTATCAAGAGTGTAACCTCCCGGCCGACTGGTGTATCGCAACCACCGAGAATGGCTGGACTACTAATGCGGTAGGCCTAGATTGGATCAAGCACTTCGACTACCATATAGTACCTCGGACAAAGGGTAAATACCGGTTGTTGATCCTCGATGGCTACGAAAGCCACCACTCGACCAAGTTCGAGCTCTACTGCCAGTAGAACAATATTATCACGCTCTGCATACCTCCACATTCCTCCCACCTCCTCTAGCCACTTGATGTTGGCTGCTTTAGGCCGTTGAAGCAGGCGTACGGTCGCCAGATCAAGGACTTAGTGCGCGCGTATATCAACCATATAAGCAAGCTCGAGTTTCTTTATGCCTTTCATACGGCCTTCTTTGCCTCTATAACCAAGAGGAATATACAGGGCGGTTTTATAGGGGCTGGCCTTGTGCCATACGATCTAGAGAGGGTGCTTTCGAAGCTAGATATCAAGCTTCGTACACCGACACCCCCAACTTTACGGCCAGGCACTGTACAATCTTAGGTCTTCCAGACACTATACAACCCCCGAGAAGCCAACTCATAGTCAACGCTCATCAAGACTCGCATTGCCAACCATTAAAATATCTCCCCGACTTCGATGTTGGCTGCTGTGGACCAGCTTACCAAGGGTACGATAGCTGTAATGCACCAGGTGGCCCTCCTTCAGGCAGAGGTGTCTTCGTTCCGCAAGGCCAACGAGGCGCTAAGCAAGCGCCGGAGAGCCAAAAAAACACGTGTACGGCTTGGAGGATCACTTACTGTGCAGGAGGCACAGGAGGTGGTAGGCCAGGGGGCTATAGGTGGGGAGGCAATGCAAGAAACACAGCTGGATGGTAGTGGTGCTGGGGGGGGTCGTACGAAGGTTCGGTGCTGTGGTGTATGCGGCAAGCCTGGTCATAATGCCCGCACTTGCCAGGAGGGTGCAGAAGGGTCTGATTCATCTGTTTCTGATGTAATTGTAGTTGGTTCTTAGTGTTGTTGCATTGCAATTGAGAGTAGTTGTTATAGAGTAGTGGAGAGTGTCCCGCTCGCTGATATGTCCCGCTCGCTGATATGTCCCGCTCGCTGATAATGTACGTTAGCGGAAGAGGCTAATAAAGCTACTACTACTCTACTACCACGGCGTTATATACGGAGTGGTACTGTCAAGCCCAAGTACACCATGTCTCGGACAAGCCGTCCCAACTCTGCGTACCTTAGTTATCTCCTTGGACAAACCGCCACTAGTACCCGCGGACTAGATAACTCTAGAGAATGGGGCTTATCATGGGGAAGGATAGGTGGAACCGTTCGCCTTCACTAATTAACTGCCTTTAGAGTTTAGACCATGCCAGAGCCTATTGCCACTCCTCGTCCGACACTCCGTCTCATACGGCCTGCTGCCGAAACACCGCATCCCGGGACCGGCGGCCTGTTTTCCTAATACGTTCCCAATACCTTATTAGCCAGCCACCCGAAACTGAACGTTGATGATATCTGAACTCCGACTTGAACGGAGAGCACTGAAGAAGTTACGGTAGTTAAGGAGGGGTTATTGGCGTGCCTTGTAGAGGTGCCTTTGTCGCGAAGAAGTATATTAGGGGTTACATTTGTTGATTGCTTTCTTAAGGAAGGGATTGAGTCCTAGGACCTGTAGTTATTTGACGTATAATTATAGGTAAATAAAAGAGAGCCTTGAATTGTGGTCTCTCTCCCCATAATTTCTATATGGTTCCGGTACTCCCAGGGTGTGTTCGCTTCGTCTCTAACCTCAAGTTCAACACGTCGTCCCCGTCCGCGGGTCGAGTTATACTTTTCTCCAGCTCGAAGGTGAAAGGTCTGTTATACAGCGATTATAGGTCGCCGGTCAAGTATTGTCATACCACTGGTAGCGGCTTAAGGAGATATCTGGTAAGTAATAGAGTAATAGAAGTACGGTGCCGCCTAACTACCCGTAAGTCTACCGTGGGTAGTATAGTCTTCCTGCCATGTGAACAGCGACACTCATTGTTCCGCCCATCTCGACCACTATTTTGCTTGTAAGGAGAAACTCCGTATCACTTGCTACGATGTCATTGTAATGTATGTGCCGTAGGAGAAGAACATCGGGTCCTAGACCCCCGATAACAATGTTATCATAACACTTGAATGCAGTACCCAATGAGAAATGAACCCGCGCTCAACGTATCCCCTTCTTGAGACCTTTTTTAAATTGTTGTTGCACAAGAAGTATGCAATGTTACGGCGTCATCACAGTGGCAACCGATGAAAATACCTCTGTCACTGCTCGCTGGGCCTGAGCTTGCCGAACCGGCTGATGCAGCTGGGCGCGAAGGCAGGCAAGGCGGTAAATACCGGTAAGTAAGGTAGGAGGTCTGCCCATGGCGGTCGCAACCAAGCGACTTCCTTGGTCTGCCCACAACCAACCCGGCGTCGAGACTCTCGCCACCAGCACTCGTGCTAAAAATCCCCAACCCTCAGTACTACGGAAAATTCACTTATATACTAGTATCAACCGTCAGTGGCCAGATCTTCTTTCTATTCGCCCTCAGAGTTCAGGCACTGGAACTACCTCACGGCAAGGACGCCCTTCCCCGCATCACTGGGTTAGGCTGGGTTGTATTGGGCGTAGGCGCCCGCTCCTCCTGCGCTCGGAAAGATATTCTCTTCCCGCATCCTGAGCTGAGAGCCACACAACTTCACACCTCAACGCGAGAAGGCCTGAACAGCAAATGCTCGAGCGAGACGGCCATGGCGTTTCTTAAGCGTGGGTCCGAGCATCGCGCGAAACTACGCCAGGCCGTCCGTGGGCTTTTCAGCACTCAGTCAGGCACCGGGGGGAACCCCTCTCATCACGCACCTGAGGGCAGCCACACAGCCGAAAGCCACAAAGAACCTACCCCCGTCGCCAGTGAAGCCTCCAAAAGCGCGATCGTGAACTGCAACAACCAGCCCACGAATAGCGAACATCAAGCGCCTAAGCCGTCTCTCTGGGACCGCGCGTATGAAGCACTGGGTGCAAGTGATCCGAGACTTGTGGAGGAGTACGAGAGGCTGCTCTCAGAGGAGCTGAAGTCAGCAGGTAAGGCTGGGTCCCCGAACCATCGTCACTTTTCATTTTACTAAATACGAATGCAGAACACGCAACGCAAGCTGCGGGTACGGGAACCCCGCTGGGCCAGAAGCAGCTGCAGGCAATAGTCGGCCGATGCCTTGAGCGGCTGGAAGAGAAGAGGCTCGGAGACATGATCGCCCAAGTAGGCGGGTTGATCCTATGAGCCAAGGGGTTCATCTCGCAGGCCGTACAGGTCTCACCCGAAGCATCCATTGCCTGGGCCGCGGTATCCCTCGTCCTTCCGCTTCTCACAAATCCCTTGACTGCAGCGGAAGCCAACCGAGACGGGTTCAGTTACGTCACCACTCGGATGCGCTACTACGCGGCCTTCGAGTCCGAGCTCTTCCGCCTTGGGCAGAGCCGCGGTGAACAGGTAGAGGAGGTGACGGTGCAGATTGTGGATCTCTACGAGCAGATCTTGGACTTCCAGCTCCGGAGCGTCGTCCGATTCTACGCAAACCGCTTCAAAGACTTCTTGCGTGACGTCGTGCTTTACGACGGCTGGAATGAGAAGGTGCAGAAAATCAAGGAGATGGAAGATATGATCTTCCGAGAGCTGACCCAGATCAATGATTTCGCATCGCGAACCGAGTTAGAAGATCTCCGAAAAGCCGGCGAGGAGTCCCTCCACATCATGCAAAGACTTTACCCGTGCTGGAGGAGCAGCTCCAGGTTGCCAAGGAAAGCCTCGCGATCCAAAAGGACTTCATCAAACAACGCTTATCCGAGGAGGAGAGACGGTGCCACCAGATATTTCGTCTGACGGCAAGTGACAAGGACGTGTCCTACGAGTGGTACAAGAACCGCATCGAGAACAGAGTCGAAGGCACCTGTCACTGGTTCCTCAACCACAGCAACTTCCGACACTGGCTCGAGCAGGCGTCGGGACCACTTTTGGTGTCGGCAGACCCTGGATGCGGAAAGTCCGTCCTAGCCAAGTACCTGGTTGACCACGCACTCCCTCAGGCGGCACCCGACGCCTGCATTTGCTATTTCTTCTTCAAGGACCAGAATCAGAACACAGTCCGCCAAACCCTCTGCGCTCTGCTGCACCAGCTCTTCTCTCACAACCCTTTGCTCATCCGCTATGCGATGGGAAAGTATGAGAAAGATGGCCCCGGTCTGGTAAATACCACACCCTCGCTGTGGGCCATCCTGGAAAATTCCTTACGGGACCCGGAGGCGGGTTCCATGATCTTCGTCTTGGATGCGCTGGACGAATGTCTCGACCACGAGTTCCGATATTTGGCAAGGAGGTTGAAAGAGCTTCATCGAGAACTATCACAGCAGTCCCGAGGCAGGATGCGATCGCTGTTAACCTGCTGTCCGTACGAAGGCATCGTGGGCGAGTTCCGGGACCTGTGCGACGAGTTCCCCTACATCCGCATCCCGGGAGAAGACGAGTCACACGCCATCAGCAGCGAAGTAAACCTTGTCATCGCGCACCGAGTCGAAGAGCTCGCTCGGAAGCAGCAACTACCGCAGAACCTCAAGGACATGCTGAGGAACCGGCTCCTCGAGGTCAATCATCGCACGTACCTTTGGGTATACCTCGTGTTTGACCACTTGCGTGAATCTGTCTTTAAGAAAACGGAGAAGGCAGTGATGGCCATCATCGCAACGCTTCCCGAGAGTGTCAACCAAGCGTACGAGAAGATTCTCAACAAGTGCGGCGAGCGTTCCATGGTCCGAAAGGCTCTGAGCATTATCTTGGCGGCGTCCCGACCCCTGGCACTGATGGAAATGAACGTCGCTGTTAACGTACTCATTGACGACGACGGCTCGATCCACAAGCTCGAAGACCTCGACCTAGAGGACGAAGACGACTTCGCATCATGCCTCAGGTCATGGTGCGGCTTGTTCGTCTCAGTCTACCATGGCAAATTGTATTTCCTGCACCAGACCGCCCGAGAGTTTCTCCTCGCCGATCCATCACAGTCTCTGAATCCGAGGAGTCCCCTGGGATCAGGGATGCAGTGGCACAAGTCCATCACAGCCCGCGACGCTCACGCTGTCCTTGCCAGGGTCTGTGTCGCGTACCTCAATATTGATGAGCTATGGCATCTCATGGAACGCATTCAATTTCGCCTGAAAAAAGGTGTCAAAGTGCACACACCACATACCGCTTTGGTGAACTATTCGCTGAACTACTGGGCCGACCACTTCCGCGAAGCTACGGATATCAACGAATCCGTAGCGCTGGTGAATTCCGCGCTCAGGCTCTACCACCGCGAGAAGAACGCCGATATCGACCTCGACATCAATCATTACACGGTCCCCCAACTTGCATCCAGACGTGGCCACAACGGTGTACTTAAGCACCTGCTCGATGACGGCGCAGATATCGAAACGTGGAATTTCGATGGTGAACCCATTCATATTGCTGCCATGGCTGGTCATGAGACCACTGTTGCGCTGTTGCTTGACAGGCGCGCAAAGGTCGACGCGGAAACTCACAAGGGCACCACGCCGCTTGGTCTGGCTGTTGAATATAACAGACTCACTACTGCTCGGCTCTTGCTCGAAAGAGGCGCAGATGTCAATGCAAACATCTGGGTAGCTGGCATACAAACACCACCTGTTGTGCTGGCCGCCAATCGAAACCAGGAGGATATCGTTCGGTTCCTACTTGAAAGAGGCGCGGACATCGAGGCGAGAGATGACCGTGGTAACACGCCGCTTGCCGCGGCCGCCATGAATGGCAACAAGGCTATTCATGTTATTGAGCTCTTGCTTGACAGAGGTGCAAAAGTCGAAGCGAAGAATGAAGAAGGCTGTACGCCGCTTAATTCTGCTGCTCAGGAGGGTGAGGAGGCCGCTGTTACGCTCTTGCTTGATAGAGGCGCGGATATCGAAGCGAGAGATAACGAGGGTGCTACACCCCTTATGCTTGCTGCTCAGAGAGCGCAGCCGCACGTTGTTACGCTTTTGCTTGACGCAGGGGCTGATGTTGGAGCAAGGAATAAGGAAGGTTATACAGCACTTATGTTCGCTGCTGGCCAATATCTTTATGGGTGGCAAGAGGGGGATCATATTTTGACAGTTATGTACTTGCTTGACAAAGGGGCTGATATCGAAGCGAAGAACAACGCAGGACAAACAGCACCTGACATAGCCGAAGCCCGGGGAAACTCGGCCATCGCTAGTCTTTTGACTGATGGGTGGTTGCACTCCGAGGCGCAAGACTTGGACAACGCGAGAGCGTCGCGCGCTGCGGGCTCTGAGGACTGGTTGTTGGATGTTGAGGAGTGGAACAGGCTGGAGTGGAGTGCTGAGGAGTCGGACACTGAGGAAAGATCGCACATGGCGCCCACTAGATGCACGGGTCCGTCTCAATTATGTAAGCACAGTTGATTACGTAAACATAAAAAATGCATCTATCGCAGCGTTGACCCCGCGCCTTCCCTGAGCCCCTGAGCCCCTGAATGCCACCACCAAACTATAGTACATCTGAATACCGCAAAGGGCATGCCCTCGAGGTTCTTGTATGGCCAACTACGTGGCACTTTGTACACTTGCTTGGAGCCCGACGGGGCCGGGCCTGGGCCTCAACTACTTCAAATTGACTGGGCTCCCGCTTGGTACTGGACCTTGGGAGTAATGTCACGAACCAACCATATAGCAAGACCCGGTGGGGCACGACGGAAACAGGCAGAACCAATCAGCAGGGGTAAAAGCCGCAGGCGGCCGCATAAGGACGACCTGGGTAGCTCAGGGTCGCCGGCGAGCGAGAGCGATCATGATAGACTTGGGTAGCCGCCTACCCAAGGCGATCGAGGGTAGACCACGGTAGCCGTCGAACGACGGCGAGCCAACAGGATCGGCTAGGTATATAGTCATTCGTTATGGAGGACTCTGGGAGTTCTCCAGTGAGCAATACAAGCAGTAAGGTAGCCCTACATTACTGTGCAAACATTGCGGCTTGCATTGTTGTGAACCTTTTGGCTTCACCGAGACCTACAGTCCGACCAGCAGATACCTTCGACCGGCGAACCCTTTCAGAGGCAGGACTGCCAACGGTTTCGTCACAAGTAAGCTTTGGGCCCGAACTGGCTCAATAAGCTGACGAGGTTCAAGAAGGAGCTATGGGTTACCTTCGCGCTTCAAATGCCAGTATAAGTGGAAATAGCTAAGAAGAAGAGCCTCGCCTTAAAGACTATCTAGTATATATAAGTATAGTAACCCGTATACTCGAGAGAAGGTGCCTGTACAAGTAGGGATAGAGGAGGGTCTATTATTGCAAGCAGCTTCTACTGCTCCTCGACCTTCCTTATTGCTTCGTATGATACCTAGCTCCGTACTGCTTTATAGAGTACTGCTGAAAGCTCAAGAGGAGTACAAATTTATTGCTTTGCTTGGCGTACTTATAATTTAGAAAGCTAGTTCTAGAGAGCTAGTTGGATTACTTTCCAAGCATTAAAGAGATCGAATATTGACCTCTTTAAATAGGACTTAAGGAGGGAGTAAATCCCCTTAATATATAAGGTTAGCTATATTGCTAAAATAAGCTAACTGGTCGACCTAAGTACGAATAAGCTTCTCTTTGAATGGAATAAGCTATATTATATAACGACTAGATGCAATTGAACAGGGTCAAGCCGGCTGTTGTTGTCATTCTATTTCGTGAATCTAAGGTTGAGGAAAGGAAAGAGAAGTTCTAAGTCGGTGGCTCAGAACATTATACGAAGATATTCCTGATTTATGGGTCATATGACCGGTGCTCTACAACAGCCGTCAATCAGGGAGGTCGTAGGTTCGACCCCCGCCTGGGGCGACACCTATACCGACCGTAACATATTACCTTAACATACCTAATTTCTTTAAGATACTAGGGAAGGTATTTTTATTGTATTTTAATAAGGCGTTTAGTATAGTCTTCCTTAGTCGGCAAGCTAATAATCAAATATTAGAAGTTGTAGAATTCCTTCTACTATTTAGCCTCCTAGAATACTAGTTGATATTGTATAAGGACTGCCTTATTTATATACCAAAGATAAAGGAGTATTATATATATTCTCCTACTCCGCTATGCCTAGCTATTTACAAGGCGCGCCGGACCCTCTACTGCTATGTACAAAGGAAAAACCGTACCGTTTAGGCCGGGTGAAAACCTTCATCAAAAATAATAGGAAAGACATGGTTCCAGTGATACACGCTGCTGCAAGTAAAGAAAAAGGCCTTGGGAAGGCCTTGGGCCAACGGCTAGTAGGGTACTAGCCCGGCTAAGCCGTGGCCACGGGTATGGCTAGCCGGGCTCCCTAGCTTCCAGTTCGTCATCAAGGTTCCGAGCGAGCCTGTATTCCCCTAGCCGGCCCGAGTTCATCAGCCAACCCAGTACCTTCTTCAGAAGTCTTCGGTTCCGGTAGCCTAGGCCCTGTAAAACAAGGCTAAGATCCCGGTAGGTGCGTATTAGTTGCCTAGGCCAAGTTCTTGGTATAGGTGGTATAGAGCACCAAATTACGAGATGCTCCACTGTCTCTCGGGCTTCCCCGCATTCGCAATAGGGGGTAGGCTGGTTACGAGCCTTTTGTTTAAAAAGAAAGTCCCGTAGGCCTATAGCCTCCGTACGGGCCTGTACTAGTAGGGAGCTCTTGGCTTTTGTAAGGCCTTGGTGTTTCCGTAGGCCTTGGTTTGTGAAGAGGACTGTTGGTAGGCCTTCGTCGGCTAGCCTGGTTGGCTGTCCCTGGACCTGGGTTTTCCACCTGGCCTCCCAAGCTCTTAATAATGCCCAGTCATCCTGGGTCTTGGCCAATGGTGGGCCCAAGGCTTTAGCCTGGGCGTTCCATTCGGCCACTACAGCCGAGGCCTTTTCGACGTCTGTTGGCTTTCCTGGGCTCCGGGGCCGGCCCCGTAGCCTCCGGAACCTTCGTTGGAGCCTATTGCAAGCCCCTTGGCCTTGAAGTCCTTAGATTATCACTCTACAAACGTGCTACCTAAGCGTAATCGCGAAGATCCGCCTTATAGAGGTAATCTAATCAGAGAGGCAAGGCCAAACCTCTCTACCGGACCAAGCATAATAATACTAGGCCACAGGACTCCAAGGTTTGCACCTTAAGCCCTTCACAAGAGGCACAATACTTCCTCCCTCTTGGATGACCGACACGCGCGTCCGTCCTCTCCGGCCGGCTATACTACTCCTTCAGAGCCATGAGTTCCTTGTAGCGGCGACACCATACATTTGATCTCCAGCCATAGTACTCTCTAGTACGTCCTGTCGGCGGTTTCCTCCCCTATCGTACGCCTCTGGCTAAGGGAGCATACTCCCTGCCGCGTACGATATTCCCACGGGTCCCTCGCCGAGGGAATAGCTATGTCTCTCCTGTGGCCTGGGTGCGAGCCAGGGCCATACCTCCGTCATCCTCCTCTCGGTCTAGTATAGCCGCCACGGCCCACCTTCCGCCAGGCGCAACCCTGACTTCCAGCTTCCCGTTGCCTTGCTAGGTCTCCCTTACAAGGCCGACCGTGTCTTGTAGCAGGCCGTCGCACGAGCTGCCACGCCGGCACAGCTCGCTCGGTCGCTCTGCTACTAACCTGCCCTGATCCACCTGCCTCGCCTCCTATCCTCAGATCCAACTACAGTGTTGCAAAGGGCGAAGTGCCTCGCAAGAGGGCCCGGCCGCCCGTGTTGCCTCCCTTAACGAGCCCGTATTCCCTCTCTCTCCTGCTCTTATAGTTGGTCGTACGATCGGTCGGCGATGCCGGCTTTCGCTCCGTATCCTCGTCGCCGTACGACTAGCCCTCTAGCGTTCGTCGTGGGCGCCCTTAGAACCGGGCAGGGCCGGGGGTGCCCTATCTCTTCTTCAAAACGTCGAAAGAGTCGGGTGGTTTTCGTACCCAGTGTCCCCCTAGTCTTGCAAACTTGTTGCAGGTAGATTGTCGTGGTTATCGTCAATGGTGGTCGTCGTGCGGGGTAGTGCGGGATTTTCGGTGCACTCGAAAATCCTCACTTTCTTGTCGCGAAAACCAGCAATCCGACAGCCACACGGCCGCGTAGAAGCTGCGCGTCGCTGCAACCCCTTGGAATCGAAAGAACAGATCGCAAAGGACCTAATTCCCGATTTTTGCGATGCCCGGCCGCCCGCGTGGGCGGCCCCCGATGTTTGTTCACCAGGAAGGGTAAAGGAGTATTATAGCAGATGGGAAGAGAGCTAAAGCTATATTTATAATTGCAAGACAGCGGTCTATAAGAATAACAGATAGAAGAGAGGTATTATATTGCTCGTAGAGTGACTTTAGTATAACGAAACCACAGGTAGTCCTGCCTCTAAAAGGGTTCGCCGGTCGAAGGTAATTGCTAGTCGGACTATAGGTCTCGGTAAAGCCAAAAGGTTTATAACAATGCTTGCCGCAATATCTATACAATAGGTAGAGGCTATTACTTATATTGCTCACTGAGGAAGCTAGCTATCTAAATAAGTGGCAGAATAGTAGAACTATATATAGCTTCCTCCCCTAGGTATCCCGTACCTAGATCTTTGGAACATTTGGAACAATTGTTGTTCTCATTGTTCCATCTGGAACAACGTTCCTTGGCGTTGTTCCCCAGGAACAATCGTTCTTGGCATTGTTCCTGATTTCCCCAATCGTCATTGGTTCTTTCTGACTCGTAATGATTGGATACGGGCGCCGCCCGTTGACCATGCAGGTCGGCCCCCACCGGCCTCTGCAGGTTAGTTCATGACACAAGTGAGCCACTCTGCCGTACGATAGTCTGAATCTCCTTTGGTGTAACGCCGGCATTCGAAAGACTTATAAACTACGAAGTGCCTCTAGAGAGCTGTCGATGAATTGGGTGCGCAACTGGGTATTGACTTGGTTCGTGGTTATAGACTAAGAATCGAGGATCGGAACGGTACTTGAGTACCCAACTACCGTCAGACGACTCTTTAGCTAGAACCGAGAATGGGTAGCTTGTTACTCGACTACTCGTTCTTCTCTGGCGGTTGTTTAATGCCTTGGGTGGTCGGCGGCTCCGATCGCAAGCGAAGGTAATGGTAGCTCTTCCGCTCTTTTCGGCTGTCGATCTTCCTGTTGTGAAGGCATATCCTCTCGTGATAGCCCACGAATTGATTGCTTCAAACAAGGCTGTTCGGGAGCTGTATATATTCTCGGGAGGGAGGCAGTCGTCTGCGAAGAGAGTGGCCATGGCAATGTTGGTGGTGGTGGTGGTGGTGGTGGTGTTGCTGGTGGTGGCATTCAGGGGCTCAGGGGCTCAGGGAAGGCGCGGGGTCAACGCTGCGATAGATGCATTTTTTTATGTTTACGTAATCAACTGTGCTTACATAATTGAGACGGACCCGTGCATCTAGTGGGCGCCGACATGGCGCCCACTAACTTAGCTAAGTAGCCACTGGACGCAGGGGGGTTTGAGTGGAATGGTGAATGTGGGCATCACAAACTCTTGGTATTCCGAAAGCAGAAGAAATCATTGTCGATGAAGAGCAACACCACTCGGAGCCAATGCCACTGCTGAACTGCCTAGTTGTGGGATTGCCGAACTCTCTCTCCGGTACAGTGACTGCCCGGATCCTCCTGTGAGTATCTCTTGCTTTGAGAGTGGCAGAGCATTGGTTGATGAGCAGCTGTATTGTATTGTACATGTACAGTGTAGCCATTTCGACCGTCTTAAGTAAGTATTTAAGGGCCCACGTCTAGAGACGAATATCTCGGTCCAGCTATCATCCAGCAAGCAGATAGCTGCAGTCATTTCTCTCTTTGGATGGAAACATTGGCAGGTACTGTCTTTACCTCTTCAACAGAAAGGGCATGCCTCAGGTTACTGCAGCAACACCCGCCAAGGCTTCGAAAGCAAGAAAGTTGTGTGTTGATATAACAAATGCATGTCGACAGTAAAAGCTGCGACCCGCAAAGCAAACGGCTTGTACTAGTAATAAGGAGCAACTAGCAACTAGCAACTACCAGTAGTAGTTAGCACCCCAAAGACTCTCACACTAGCAACTTCGACGATAAAGAATGAATGCACTTTATTACTGGTGCGGTACGGCAGCCGCGTCTTGGGATGAAGGACTCGCGATCAATCGCATCAGCAACGCCGAGCTGAGAAGTGGCGGCACTTTCCTGACACGAGGTCGCGCCTGACTCCTGAGCACATGCCGGACCAAGCCATTAGCCTGGCCGCCCATTGAAGTCGAGGCTCTTCAAAAATCCTTTGCGCGCTCGGGAATTGCATGAGACCGTGTGTCGTCGGCGGGCCTGAACGTCAACAACAATGGAGGCATCTGTCAAAAAGCGGGTGTTCTTGCAAGGACTGCTGACCTTGGCAACGGTCCACCAAGCGCCCCAAGGTGCCGTAGTCACATGACTCAAGCCGAGTGCGAGCGGTCCTATTGGTGCGCATAAGCAAAAGGGTCCACTAGGATTTTGACTACTGTTTAAGGTGACAGGCCGGCGTCAGGTCTAGCACCGAGCAGCATTAAGCGCGCCAGCGTCGCAGCGACAAAAAGCTTGACCCAAGCGTCCCTTACGGCCGAGCCCGGAGCCGGAGGGCGTGAAGTTGTTGTTGCTAGTCTCTTTAGGGTCATACATCGCGATGAATCCCACACATCATGAGGCATGACGCCGGCACGGCCGGGAACTTCGTTTTGAGAAGGGGCCCGCAATCACGAATACCTGGGGTTCTGGGGTTGTGTCCCCGTGGGGATGTGCGGCAATAGCCCCCCGGCCCCGCACAAGTGGGACCAGAGCGGTTCGTTTCTTGTTGGCCAGCCCGGCCCGAGCATCTGGTCTGGCGGAGGAAGGGAGTGATCAGCGGCAGCTTACTACCAGTACATATCTATATAAGACCCGGCCGCCGACGACGCTCACAACACAAATCCCCCATGACGTTGCAGCCACGATCCAGTCCCAACAACCCCATCGCCAACGGGAAACCCTTCAGAGCCCGAGGACAGACCCATCCTCATCCTCCTCCCACCATGACACAAGCCACTAGTAGTACTAGTACGCAGCTGCAGAGGCTCCCCGGCTTCAATGTGGCCAACCACCTGGAGAAGCGGAAGCTTCTCATCGCCATCAACTGCATCGCGGGCCTGTCCATCTTCTTCTTCGGCTACGACCAGGGCATGATGGGCGGCGTCAACAACGCGAAGCACTACATCGACCTGATGGGCTTCGGCTACGTCAACCCGGACACGGACGAGCCCGTGGTCACGGACAGCCTGCTGCAGGGCGGCATCGTGTCGGTCTACTACCTGGGCACGCTCTTCGGCTGCCTGCTCGGCGGCTGGGTCGGCGACAAGGTCGGTCGCATCAAGACCATTGCCTTTGGGTCGGTGTGGGCGATTGTTGGCGCGTGTCTGCAGTGCTCGGCCCAGAATGCGAACTGGATGATCTGCTGTAAGTACGGTACTAATCCGTACCTATTTTAGCATCATATGACACTTTTAGCACCCCCTCCCCCCTTTTTGCTAACACAAAATGACACAGCGCGGGCGGTCAACGGCATCGGCACGGGCATCCTGAACGCCATCGTGCCCGTGTGGGCCACCGAGACGGCGGAACACACATCCCGCGGGCAGTTCATCGCGATCGAGTTCACGCTCAACATCTTCGGCGTGGTGGTGGCCTACTGGCTCGAGTTCGGCCTCTCCTTCATCGACGGCGGCGCGTCGCAGTTCCGGTGGCGCTTCCCGATCGCCTTCCAGATCATCCCGCTGTTCATGCTGCTCGCCGCCGTGTGGTTCTTCCCCGAATCGCCCCGGTGGCTGGCCAAGGTCGACCGCGACGACGAGGCGCTCTTCATCCTGCAGCGGCTGCGGGGCACCGACAGCGCCGGTCTCGCCCAGGCGCAGGCCGAGTATCGCGACATCCGCAACGTGGTCGAGCTCGAGCGCAAGGAGGCCAACATGAACTCGTACTGGCGCATGTTCACCGGCGTCGGGTCCGGCGAGCTGCATGTGGGCCGCCGCGTGCAGCTGGTCATCTGGCTGCAGATCATCCAAGAGTGGGTCGGCATCGCCGGCGTCACCGTCTACGCGCCCACCATCTTCCGGATTGCCGGCTTTGGGACGGAGAAGTCGCAGTGGATCAGCGGTCTGAATAATGTGTTTTACATGTTTGCCACGCTGATTTGCGTCTTCACCCTCGACCGCATCGGCCGTCGATGGACGCTGTACTGGGGTGCCGTGGGACAGGGCATCGCCATGTTCCTCGCGGGCGCCTTCTCCCGCCTGGGCCAGGATGCGCGTGCCGCCGGGGATTTGGACAAGGCGAGCTCGTACGGTGCGGCGGCCGCCTCCTTCGTCTTCATCTTCACGTCTGTCTTCGGCGCCACCTGGCTGACCGTCCCCTGGCTGTACCCGGCCGAGATCTTCCCGCTGCAGATCCGCGCCCGCGGCAACGCCCTCGGCGTTTTCGGCTGGTCCATCGGCAACGGCTGGCTGACCCTGCTGTGCCCCGTCATGTTCAACGCCATCGGCGAGAAGACGCTGTACATCTTTGGCGCCTGCAACATTGTTGCTATCCCCGTCGTCTGGGCCCTGTATCCGGAGACCAACCAGCGCACCCTCGAGGAGATCGACTTGCTGTTCTCTGCCCCGACCCCCTGGACTTGGGATGCGGAATCCGCCTTTGCCCGCATGAAGGAGGAGAGGCCCGACCTGATTGAGGCTGCGCATCACGGGCAGCGGGTGGTCGGTGTTAAGGAGGAGACGGGCTTGGTGGAGAATGCGAAGGTGTCGTCGGATGCGTAGAGGGTGTTTCATGGCAGGATACGGATACCACATCTCGAGTCTGCAGGACGCTCCCCGAAGATGATATACTGTTAGAGTGAATGCTCTACTTAGACATAGACTAGATCGAGATGCCAATGTGTTTCCACTCATCTCATACCTTCCACACATGTAAATTTTCAAGTATCGGCTGTTTGGGCATTATCTCGACGAACGTCATCATTCATCTAGCATCGTAGAACAACTCGAATGCAAGCATGCTCATAATCATCAGCAGCAACCCGATTACAGCGATGAACAAGACCCCCGTGGCAATCCATGCAAAGGCCATCGCGCCCGCACCCACCGTACCAGAGACTGTACCGTACGTCAAAGTGTTGACCATGGTAGCAGTGGCGGCGCTCGAAAGATGCTGCCACAGCGCCGCCACCAAGCTGAACAAGGTCGCCACGAGGGTCATGAACCAGGCCAGCCACGAGACAGCCTTCCAGGGGAACGGCTTGACTTCCCGCTCCGAGTCCGAGTCGCTTGCCGTGCCGGGCTGCCACCTCGGGAAGGTGCCTAGGAGGGGGAGGCAGAGGGCGGTGATGATAACGCTGATGAATCTGATACGCGGGTTAGATATGGAAGGGCTTGGAACGGGATTGATCATGCCACCTACATCAGACCGCTGAAGATGGTTTGGTCGTGGAACGATTTGACCATGTATAACATGTTCAACGGGTCGCTTGAGTTTGTCTGCCGTAGTAATGTTGCCAGAGAGCCTGCGTCACTTGAACAGGACGTGACGCCGTTGTCGACGATGCAATATCCGAAATAGCCAACGCGTACGGTGAGAAGGGTTTTGCTGGCAGCTGCTAGAGTCATGCAGGAGGATACATTCGCAGTGATGATGGTCGTGTCGGTCGTCGTCGGCTCGGTACCGGTGTACGACAAGGACAGAAGGTAAATGTCCTTCATGCTCTCTGTTGTGCACCCGACGAGCAGTATTGCTATGCCGTTGCCGAAGACGGAGTATTAGCTATTTAGCAGCAGTCTAACGCAGGGTGACAAGGGATCCGAAGTTATTGTTGAAGTACACAATACTAGTAATGGTAGATAGTACTACTTACACAGAAGGATTATAGAGATAACGAGCAATAACTCCAGCCCATGATGGAATCCGATGTCTTGTTGGGCCTGTCAGTTATTCTGTCGCGTATATGTGGGCGCCTGGCTGCGATGCGTAATGCGGCTGATGCCCTGCCTGGGCGTACGAAGAATCTTACATCGGAATGGTATGTACGATTTTAGTTGACTGAAAACCATCGTGCATAAGGCATGCGTTCCGCTGCCAGAGACGTCTGACCAAGTGACTGAACGCGACTGTCTGATGCTGCAGATGCGGCGACTGAGGAGGACAGGATGGTTGAGGATGCTGGAATCAGAAAATAGAATGCGGCTGAGCTCCCCCTGTCGCTTGCAGTTGCGGCATTTCTTGGCAGAGCGCATATGATGATTCAGCTTGCAACCGCCAATCTCTTTATTTTTATTATCGTCATGTCAGCAATGGTGCTCGAAGCAACCGAGATCCACACTCACACTCACAGTCCCAGCCAGCCCAGCTCCCTTATACTCACCTCCGAAAACCATGAATTCCGGCGCGCCCGGGCTGCCCAGCATTTTTCGCGTTGACAGTGATGTCACACACGCAGAGGACGAAGGGGGTGATGCTGCGCATCTACGGCAGGCGGTAATCGAAGGGGATGAGGGCCTTGTGCGGGAGCTACTGGACCATGGCGCCGACATCGAGGCTGCCGACATTGTGGGGCGCAGGGCGCTTCACCAAGCCGTCTTCCGCAGCGGTATAAAACGCAACAGCATAACGCTGGCCAAGCTGCTCCTGGACTGCGGCGCCAATGTCGAGGCCACCACGTACGATGGCGAAAAGCCGCTGTGGATCGCCGCCAAGCACGGCACCGTGGCCATGGCCAAGATGTTGCTGGAGCGCGGCGCCGATGTGGAATCCTTCAACCCAAAGTCGGGGACCACAGCCCTGTTTGAGGCCGTTAACCGAGGACACGTCGGTTTGATCGAGCTGCTTCTCGAGTCCGGGGCCGATATCGACGCACGACCGCTGGCATCACACGATGCAAGCCGCCGACAAGATGTTGGGGGCCGTATGAGCCCTGAAAGTCCAGACCTTGTATTAACCGGGGCTCCAAGATACTCGCGCCACCACCGCCACTACGGGGGCAAAGAGCTTCGGCCAGGGGCTGGACATGGTCATGGCGACGGTTCCAAAGCTAAGACCAAGTACTCGCTACTGGACTATCTGGCCGGGAAGTCCGCCTCCAAGAAGGATGATGTTACAGAGGAACTTGAAGTGCGTCCAGCCAAACGGAAGCGAAGAACGGGGTCAGTGTATCGAAGGGCGACTACTAGTCATGGCGGCCATGAGCATGCATACCCGACTCCGGCTCCTGATCTCCCACCCGAGCGATTCACCGACTCGGGACCAGGTGCCGCTCTTCCACGACGGGGTGATGTACCCACTGCCCAGCCACACGCCGGCCGAGAACTTCCCCTACACCAAGCCGTTGCGAACGGACATGCTGAAGTAGTGAAATTGCTCCTCCAGCACGGCGCTGACCCGGGCATACGGGACAAGAACGGACGGACCGCGAAGCAGGTCGCGGAGCAACAAGACCTAGAAGAGCTGGCCACACTGTTCCGCACCGGCCCTGTGTTGGAAGGCCCGGCGATCACAAGCGACAAAGGCAAACAGCGAGAAGTGCCGCTGGTGATTCCAGCACCCCATCCTACACCTCGAAACAACCCCGCTAAAATGGCCGCTTGCCAGGCCTTCGAAGCGACCATCATAGAGTTCTACACCGAGGAGCGGGAGCAGAGATATCAACAGTCGGCTACTATATACGACCTACTATACGGAAAAGGCCCCGATGAAATTCTCTCAGAGAGACGGCCCGAGAGCCTACAACCAAGACAAGCCGACTTTACATGGTATCATCTCCCTGCGAACAATGTGGGTGTTGTGACCTGTACCAACAAAACTTGGAGCATGTGCTAACTCTAGCTCCGTAGATGGAATGGGTCGAGGTAAGCTCCATTCCCAAGCTAGGATTAACCCGGACAGGGTTGCTTCTGCTCAATACCTTACACTGACGAAATACTCCAGGGGCTCATGGCGAAGCTGTCCAAGTCCCATGACGCAGCAACCACAGTACACGTAAAACTAAAGGAGGAACTAGGCACGTTCCGGCAAAAGGAGAAGACTGCTCAAACACCAAGGCCCTCATCGATGAAGCCACACTGTAGAGAGATCATTGTGAGTCATATATCTTCACTGTGCAGCTTTTAATTCGTAGATTCGTTGCTGACAAGTGCCTGTCTCTTCCATTCAACTTTTGAAGGACGATACAGCACTTAAAGGACCTTATATCGGTGCACTGTCAACATCTTCTACGAACTCGTCAATACACGCTATCGTATGTACAGTACAGTACAGTGTCCATCATTCCAATCAGCCCAATGCCATGTCCGAGTACTAGTAGTACCTTTGCATGGATTTAGAACGGCATTGGTGCATACGGTACATAGTAGCTAACAGAAACACATATCCCCTACCTCCATTTCGAACATTATACCCACCATCAACGCATCCGATCGCTTATGGCGGACCTACACGTATTTGGGGTCCCCGAGAGGGGTACCCAACCCAATACGGCCTCCCCTACACTTCCTACGGTACATCCGTATGAACATTTGATCAGGGGTTACTATGCGGAGGCCACAGGAAAGATCGGCGGCTGGGACCCCCGATGTTCGCTGGACGGATACTACTACAACCATCTGCCAAGTACGACCCTGGCTCGGCGGGATGGTGACCAGGTGGTTCTTCGATACACGAAGAAATGGAGTCTGCCTATGATGATCTTCATGGTCGACCATCTGTGGATGTGGATAATTGGGAACCGTGAGTACAGGCTACAGGGCTAAACGCCTTCATCAACTTTCCCCTTTTCCCCCTTGTCTACATCAAGTATTACATTCCTAACAGAGTCTGTATAGACACCATCATCACATGCTCGGCGCTGAACTGGGAGTCATGGCTCGAGACCCAAGAAAACGAGGCGGGGGAAACACGCAGCACCTACGAGCTAACCCGAGAGGACCCAATGAATGTCCATCAGAACATCCTCCGACACCTGAAAAGACCCTCCCGTCAACCAGTCACATCGGTGCACGATCTAGCCTGTCTCATCACCGACTTCTATACCGGCCTCTTCCACCAGCAAGACGTTCCAGATGAGTTCCAGTTCTTCGACTTCTTCGAGCGCGAGGTTGCACGCTTGGTAAGGCCTTGGAGAACCATCTTTCTCTACAGACCTTGGACTCACTGACTACTGTATTCACACGCCAACGCGTAAAACAGAACGACTTTGCCACATATGCGTTGGAGGACTTCAGACACAGCTTCAATATGCTCGAGAGCCGTATGACAAAGTCGATTGACATCAGGCAAGATCTTGCAGCCCTCATCGAAGCGCAAGACGTCCTCGACGAACTCGGGATCCTGCGTAGTGTCCTGACAGACCAGAACAATACGACCATGGAGCTGCAGAAGATGCTGGCTAGCAAAGGCCGGACGGGGTGGGATTGCATCTGGGCGACTCAGTCGCACCTTCAGAGAGTCGACAGGATGCAGAAGATGGCCGTCAGCGCCAAAGAATCGGTGGGTAATACGTCCAGATGACTGCCGCGGGTATATAGCTCGACCGGGCCCTTGCATTGCTAACTCCACGACCACAGATGTACCACCTCCTGGATCTGAAGCAGAAGCACGCCAATTTTGCCGAGGCCAAGAATTCGCGAACCCAGGCCGAGCAGACAACCACGCAGACGAGGCTAGCGGCCGAGAACTCCAGGGTGACGGCCAACCAGCTCAAGATGATGACCAAACAGGCCGAGGAGACGGGCCGGCAGGGCAAGACGCTGATGGTGTTTACCGTGGTGACAATTACTTTTGTAAGTGCCACCCGAACCCCTCTCTCCTTCCCCTGACTAAGCGTTGTGTATTTACGGTCTCTTCCAGCTGCCATCCTCATTCATGGCTGCCGTGTTCGCGATCAACCTCGACTCGTTGCCCCTCGACAGTAACGACAGACTGCCACTTGGCTATTTCTTGAAATATCTATTCGCCACGAGCTGCGCTATCACCATCCCCCTTATTCTCATCGCCTTCAACCTCCCAGGCATCATATCCTGGTGGGGCCGGCTAAGACACCGGCTGAAGTATGCCGTGCGGCGAGATCCCAGCATCTTCTGGCTGGGTGTTGTAGGCCCCTTTGTGGCGCTTGCAGTGGAGGGGGCCGTGGTGGCCGCCATCTTCACGGCCCCGCTGGGAAGCGCTGTTAAGGCGGCTGTCACGGCATGCATATCGGTTATTGTAGCTGTGGCACTTATCTGCATGTGGGTCTATGCCTGGACCTCGACTTTGAATCAAGGGAAGCCACTTGGGTACACCGATTCGGATGCTTCGAGCTCTGCTTCGAGCAACTCTGTGTACCGCTATGGTTGGCAATAAAATAATGGCTAGACTGGGACGAAAAGAAGGAAGCGGAAGATGACGGGGAAGAAATACAGGAATGATGAAAATGATACGATGATGATGATGACAATGAAACGCAGGGCTGATCAGCTCGAGCCCCCCGAATGACCAGGATCACATGATGTGGCATTACACAGCGAGATCAATACCTGGCTTTGTGGAATCTGCCTTACAAACGACATGTCATGGCCAATTCTGGCATGGTGGCTCAAACCCAAGTTCTGCTTTGCCACAAGCTTTGCGAAGAGCCCGCTTTGCCGTCCCAGCATGTCGGTACAAAACTCCCAACAGGAGAGCGCGTGAGCGGTGAGCCCATCTCCTCTAGTACACACACACAAACGTGGCATTCCAGCATTGAGATGGAGGAACAACATTCTTTGAGACCTGCTAGATCCTCGTGTATAAGAAGATGGCCTCCGCCGTGTTCTCGCTCTCCCCTTTGCCCGTCCACCAACCTACTTAATACCTTACTCATCTAGGGTGTTCAGCAAGTGCTGCCACACTGCCAGAAGATACAAGGAGTCACCTCGAGCAATACCATCACCATGCCGAGTCTCGACATGCCCAGCCACGTCACGGCGTGCAGGAAGTGCGGGACGAGGCCCTCCAGCACGCAGGCGAGGTGCACCAGCTGTGACAATAACAACCCGCACTTCAAGAACCCTACACCTGCCCCTACGCCGCCAAAAAAGCGTTCACCTCCACCTCCACCTCAGCCTAAGCCTGACCCGAACGGTAAGCACCACTATCATACTTTTTAAACTCGTCTGGCGGGCAAAGGTACTAACTTGGGTTTCGCAAACGGAACCGCCATTCCCTATGGATTAGTCGCCAGGGTATGAGAACGTTTCTGAGGGAAGAAAGAGGCGGGATATGATAAGGGCAAGGGGGAATAGGTCAAGTTTAGCTGTCTACTAGTACGCCGAGGCGGAGCTGGACCGAGCCCTGTTATAATAGTCGATGAGTTCAGAGTTCCTGCTCGTTGTAAAAGGACGGTGCCCTGATACTAACCACCTGTAGCCTTTGATCGGCCATATTCATGATGTATGCAAGGAGCTTTCAGTCTGGAAGATGCTGCAAGCGTATAAGAAACCGCGAGCTTTTGCGGGCAGAGGATGTCTGTTGTCGTAGTGACAGAGGAGCATACATCAGCTCCTATTAGTAATACTACCCCTTAAGCAACATACCATCGCCTACTATCGCCTTTCGCAGATGCCTACGCCTCCTCGACATATTCCTCAACATCCTCTCCCTTTCCTCCGCCCTCTTTCTCCGCCGCCGCCGTTACATTCCCGTGCCTCGGCGCAGTCACAGCACAGACAACACTACGATACGCCTCCACCACCATGTGCTTATCCACGCCCGACACGCCTTCAATCCTGCCCCCTTCACCCGACCCCCCTGCCTCCCCGCCCTCCACCACCCGCCATCCAGCCCGCACAAACCGCTGCCTGACATACCCAGACATGCCCGCAAACCGCACTGCCACCCCTTCCCCGCCATACGCCCTAATCTCGGATAGGAGAACCTCCAGCTGCGCACAGGCCGTCGCATCGATGTGGTTCACCCTCCCAAAATCGACCACCACAAGCCCGATGGGCGGCAGTGCGCGCGGGTCCCGAATCCCGGCCTTCCGGCGGAGTTTGGCGAGTCGCCGCTCCCCGCTGACAGACCAGTTCCGCTCGGCCTCGAGGGCCTCGGGGCTGTGGAACACGGGCGCGTGGTGGGCCTTGATGGTGTCTAGGAGGGCGGTTTTGATTGCGTAGGCGTTGGGGAAGAAGACGGAGTCGGTGAAGTGGAAGATGCGCGTGTCGGATGGGAGGGGGAGGGAGGATGAAGGGGGGGAGGAGATGGCTTGTAGTATTTCGGAGCAGTGCCGCTCGTGGTCATTGTCTGGGTCTGGCACGGTGGAGATGGGCGCAAAGATCTGCCGGAGGAGCACGTAGACTATGTTGAAGCCCACCGAGGTGGCAATGCCGATTTCGGTGGACACGAACAGGGACACCCAGAAGGCGAGCATGGCCGAGACGAAGTCGGCTAGGGAGGTCCGCCAGTAGCGGTAGAAGACCGAGGGCGGCGAGATCAGCGGCCACACGGCGCAGATGATGATGGCCGCCAGCGTGGCCTTGGGGATCCAGTACAGCGTGCCGACGAGCTTGAAGATGGAGACCAACACGACGGCCGTGGTGACGAAGCCCGAGAGCGGCGACTTCACGTTGCAGGCCGAGTTGACGGCGGTGCGCGACATGGCGCCGCCGACGCCGATGGCGTGGAAGAAGCTGTTGGCGATGTTGGCCACGCCGTAGAAGGTCAGCTCCTGGCTCTGGTCCGTGACGTAGTGGTTGCGCACCCCGAAGCCGCGCGCGATGGCCGTGTGTTCGACGGCGGACCCGATGAACACGGCCACGCTCGGGCCCGCGACTTTGGAGAGCAGCGTCGGGTTGGGCACGCGGGGCGCCTCCTGGCCGTTGGACTTGACCTGGACGACCTCGAACAGGAAGCTGTCTGCATCTCCGCGCGACCGGTTCACCGCGTAGCCGACGCCGGTGAAGATGACCAGCGTGATGAAGGCCCGCGTGATGGAGAGGAACCACACGATTCTGTTCTTCTTCCCCCACCGTTTGCCGGCCTGGTCCAGCACGGTCAGAAACAAAATGCCGGTGAAGCCGACGGCGCAGGCGTAGACGTTGGCCTGCGGCAGCTGCTGGAAGATGTCGTGGATCTGCGTGGCCGTGCCGTCGCCCACGTTCGGCTCGCCCAGCAGCGAGTCCATCTGGTTGAGCGCGATGGTGATGGCCACGGCCGAGATGAAGCCGCTGAGGATCGGCAGCGAGATGAGCTCCAGGAGGAAGCCGAGCTTCAGCAGTCCGATCACGAGCCCGTAGATGCCGATCATCACCGCCACCGCCGACGCAATCTCGGACGGGGACCACTGCTCGCCGCGGAGCTGCTTGATGATCTCCGCCGTGAGCAGACTGATGAGGGATGTCGGGCCAGTGGACAGGTCTGTTCGTTCGCCATGTGTCAGATTTCGTATTACCTTAAATCCTGTCAAGGGCCTGTAGCATACCCTTCGTCGTGCCCATGAAGGCATAGATGACCGACGGCAGCCAGCTGGACATGAGTCCGTACTGGACCGGCACAGTCGCGATCTTGGCGTACGACAAGCCCTGCGGAATCAGCATGAGACCCAGCGTCAAGCCGGCGATGACATCGTTGACGAGCCATCTCGGGTTGTAGCGAGGCAGCCATTGCACGATGGGGAACTTGTCAACCACATATTCGACCGCCGCCCCCGGGAGAGCACGAGTCCCGGCCTGCGCGAGCCGTCTCGCACGCTTCCAGTTGAAGTCCTCGACGAAGGCTTCCTTGGCCTGGTCAAGCGTTCGCATTGTGGATAATAACGGATTCGTGTTGCAAGGATGAGCGTCTAATACTGAACGCAGGTACTCGATTGCGGAGCTTGAAGCCCCTAGAATGTACTCCAAAAAAAGACTAGTACTAGTACCACTTATCAGGTGAAAGGCTGATTGATACTACTAGTAGTCACGATATCACCGTCGAGTAGCGGCGTAAGAGACAATCACCCATTTATATCGTTTGCCTCCTGACTCGCAGCCGTGACTCGCAGGCGCTTCCACAACCTCCAGTTCCCCAACTTCTCCTTAGCAACGACGAGGGGGTTCCAGCGTCGTCTGCGTCATGCAAGTGCCGTGCTGGTGATGGCTGCCAGCTGTGCTTCTTCGGGAATTAGGAGCTCCGGCGCCTCCAGGTGTGCTGGTTGCTGCCTTATTTCCGCCAACAGCAGCCAGCTGTGGTGTAACCGAAGGTGACAGACAGACGGGCCTCCATCACACCGGCCTGTGTGGTCCAGCAGGATACCTGCCCCCATCTATAAGGAACACGGAAGACCGGCTCCGGGCGACATACACCGCAGACCGTCCAGAGGTGTTACAGGGAGGAGGGGCAGCTGCCTCACATTCAGCAACTTACTAATACTGGCGATGAGCCGTGATAGGACCAAAGACCTGTGGGCCCCCGACTCTGCGCCGACCTTTTTACGAGCGACTCGACGGCACGAGTCGAACTTGCAAGGATGGCACCTTGCCACCAAACGGATGTGCTGCTGCACGTCGACTTCATTTCCAGGACGGGCAACATCCAGCGAATGCACCTACATGCGCGGGTGATGATGTACGTCGTAGTCCGGCTCCAGCTGGCTGGCCAAAACCTGGAAGTTACCACGGGAGGTGACGAGTACGTTGACTCATGGTTGCATCGACGTCGAGGTCTCGGGCGGGGTACGGCGGATAGATAGTAGGGCAAGTAGGACCTAGGTTACTGCCGCTGCGGGCTGGCTGTGTGTCGAGACGTGATGATCTCGACGCGAGGTTGATGGCCGGCTCTGCCGGCCCCTCCCCCCTCCCTTCCGGATGAAGCTCAATGATCAATCAAAAGTTCCCTCCCCAGGAAGAGCAGCCGCGGGAAGTCGCCATCGAGGAGGCCGAGATATCTCCTTGAAGCAACGTCAGCATCCTCCAACTCTCATTGGAATAGTCACCAGGTAGTATCAGCCAGCGGATGACGGCGGCTTTCATCGGCAGCCAACAGAGGGCAAAAGCCTGGAAGAGACCGATGCAGTCATAATGATGATGCTGAGAGTGTTCGCAGGGCGTCCACATCCACAACCCCATTCAGGCGTCGACTACTAGTAGCAAAGTGATTCAAGCCAGATATTGTCGAGCGCTCACTCATCGCCTCCATCACTCTTGATCGCGTGCCGTTCGTTGTGTGTACGAAGTTCCCAAGTCTGGTGATGTCTTCTCATCCCGCTTCGCAGGCTGACTGCAGCTTGGCGGGCAGGCCAAGAGCTCGGGATGCAACACAGCACCATTTGTCGAAAAGCTTGGTCGCCCCGAGGATGGATCCGAAGAAATGTCGCGGAGGGCTACCACAGGACCCGACAAATGCAGGCGAAAAGACGGGAAAATGCCGTGGAACACGAAGGAACAACTGGGGAACTGCCTCTGGAACTGACTGCCAGAGCTGAGCTCATGGAGGCGGGTGAGAGGGGAATCTGACGGTCGTGGTGAAAATCGGAGATAGTACTGCTTGTATAGTTTGTAAGGCTACTGCAGCCCACACTTCGGTTGCATCCGCTAGTAGGGAGCCTGAGGGGTAATTTTACCAGGCCCGAGTCGGTAGGATAACGGTCGCAGTACGGATTAACGTTAAATAACTAGCGAAGACTAAGAAAACTGAAAAGGCAGCTGCCGGTAGCGAGATTTAAAGAATACCTCCCTGATCTCATCGTTCAGGGTTATGAAAGTAATGAAAAAAAGCCACGTGCCGAGTGACTGAGTCTTTTGCCGACCGCACTAAAGTTAAGATTGCCTGGTGATCATCGTTCGCTAGCCCACCGGCGACCGGAAAGCCGAAATTCACCTTCCACACTGCCAAGGGGCGATGCAACTTCGCCTTTGCCGGTCAAACTTTCTTGCGGCACAGAACCAATAATGCCAAAAACAACAGCGGCGTGATTGGTTCCATGACAGGGACCAGCGTTTCATAGCGAAGCGATGGATGGTTCGTTCGGATCTGAGAGCGGCTAAGCGTGTGGCGTGAAAGCGATCGTTTCTATGGACTAAAAGCAGGAGATCTCGCAATCGCGGGTACCTAGTAGTTATGCGCCGCTTCGACCTAACCTGAGAATGCGAGTCCAGCACATTCGCGGGCTCTGCCAACAACACAGTCAACGTTGGCCGGGAGCATGAATGCGACTAACGTTACGGGTTGGTCGTTCATCAGACCGACCGCGGGAACGATGCGCGCCTTGCTGCTCGCCGCCGGCATCCTGCTCGGACTCGCCAGCCCGGCAGTCGGCCAGAAGAAAGACCCCAACCATGGCGTGGTCTTCCTCTACCCGACCAACGACCTGATCTACCACACCATGGACACGGTCGAGGTGACGTACACCAGCCCCTTCCCGACACCGAACCTGTACACCTTCTGCGACGGGGGCAGCCGCCAGGTCGGGATGCAGCCGGTGCCGGGCTACAACGCGACCGTGGCCATGCTGCTCAACTTCACGTCGGCCACACCGTGCTGGTTCAATCTCCGGCCCGGCACGGTGGCCGGCTACGGCGCCAACACGCCACCGTTCAGCATCATCGGCCAGGAGCGGGATGGCGGGGGGGAAGTGTTCGGGGTGGATTCGGCGACTACTACCACAAGTTCATCGTCATCATCATCATCAACAACAACAGCATCATCGACAAGTTCAACGACGGCAGCAACAACAACAACGGAAACGGAAACGGAAACAACCACAGCCAGCCAGACCCAGGGTTCAAGCAGCAGCAGTAGCAGCAGCAGCAGCAGCAGCAGCAGCACGTCTGGCTCCGGAGCATCCGCACCCACCGACAACCAGAGCCAGCCCGACAACGAGAGTCAGCCAACCGGCCTGGGGGCAAGCTCGACGACAGCACCCGGCAGCGGCAGCGGTGGCGGCGACAGTTTGAGTGCTGGTGCGGCGGGCGGGATCGGCGCCGGTGTGGCCGTTGGCATTCTGGCTGTTGCGGGCGGTATCTTCGCATGGCTTTGGAGGAGGAAGAGACGCGATAGGGCGATGGAGGAGGTTGGGGATGGTGGTGAGAGCCGCCACGGTGGGACAGCGACGAGTACTACTAGTGGTGGGAGTCAGGGTCACGGATCGGTAAAGGGGGATGAGGAGGACGACGTGATGGGAGAGGAGCGGCCACCGGCTTTTGTCCCCTCCGTTCATGCCTCTCAGGAGTCATATTACGGGTATCAAAAACAGGCGTACTTTTCTGAGGTGCCGCGGCCTTCGTCGCCGGTGGAGATCGGGACGTCGCTGGGTTTGAGGTTGAAGCATGAGCTGCCGGGTTGAAATGGTTGTGGGGTTGAATTTTGGATGAGGGAGCAGTGGTACGTAACTTTCTAGGTACATATACGAGGTTTGAAATGGCAGTTATCTTCCAGGCCAGGAACTGGATTTCCTTCAACGGTTTAGAGTTCCTGTTTACCCAACTGGGTACATGTGTGTGTATAAGTGCAATGAGACTGTGTCCACCTAAGTAGGACAATGCAAGTATCTGTTACTGCGACATGCTCTCCGCTCCTTGCGTCTCACCTCTCATGTCGCATCTGGCCAGTCAATAGGGGATCCCTGTATTTCAAGTGGTCCACGTTCTGTGATCATAAGTGTAGTTCTGTACGTGTTGCATACAGGTGCGAAGTTGAACTTCTGAAAACATACAGCGCCTGTTGCCAATTTCTATTTGGTGCTACCACTGCCATAGTGGGGGTTTATTGGTTGGATATTTCTGCTTTTCATGGCTATCCCTTTGGAGCAAATCAACCATCTCTCATCCCGTCTTTTGTCATCGTGGTTATCCGTACTGCAGACGTAGACATAAACACACCACGACACAAATCAACCTCAACCTGGCATTGCGGGCTTGTGGCTTCAGGGCCCTGTGGTGGCTAGTGCGACTATGAACATTTTCGGTTAGCGCGTGTTCACACGATGGCGCCTCTGGTCGGAGATTATCTGCTGTGGCGGCGGTGGATACCGCGGATTGGGCGCACACCGCTATTCCCCTCTCAGTCTCGACTCTCTACAACGGTATTCCGTAAAAAGGGGGGCCGCGCACGGAGCTTCAGTCCAGGATTCCAGGATTCCAGGATCCCAGCCACCAGCCACTTCAGACGAGGGAAGCCCGAGACCCGGCCGCGGTTCTTTCACTATCAGTGGCTTCCCAGTCCCAATGCGGCGGCACAGGTCGAGTTCGCCACCGCGATTCAGGTACATCGGAAGGGAGCCGAGTGGTCGGCCCGCTCCGGTTCCTTCTCTGCTTAAACCCCCCCAGCTGCACCGGAACAACTACCTCCAGCCCAAAAACATGGATATGCTGCCGGACCTCGGCTCGTGGCTGCTGCGATCCGTGGCGCGCCGCGACCACTTCACCAACAACCCCGTCCTGAACGTCGAGCGGCTGAACTCCCTGCCCCGCCCGCTCCAAGATGCCCATAAGGAGCTTCTCATCGGCGCCGTGCTCACCATGAGCTCGAGCCTCAGCCTCGCCCTTGGCATGCTCCAGGAGCTGTTCCCGCAGGAGATATCCCAGGATAGGCTGGGCGAGGTCCTATGTCCAACACTCGGCCATCTTCTGGCCTCTCTTCAGAGCACCTTGACCTCTTTTGACTGGAAACCCCCGCCGCCGACACCAGGGCTTTCAGGACCGCCATCGACAAACTCACCGGAACGGATAGTGCCCAGCAACGCAAAACGCAAACCGCCACCACCAGGTCCAGAACCACCACGGCCAGCCACCGCAGTAGAGGAGCGCTTAATACGGCCTCTGGGGTGGCCCAACAACCGGCCAGCCATCGCCCCGTCCGTGCTGAGGCCACCGACACGGCCAGCTACCTCGCATGCCGAGAGCCAGAGGTCTCCTCCGCCTTCACAGCCAGATGCCAGTGGTGACCCGGCCCGCCAGCCGCAGATGAAGGAAGCCGATGTCCAGGGCAAGCCCGAGACGCAGCTGGTGCAGGCCCTGCATGCCGAGATGCGCGTGCAAGCAGCCATCCAGGTGGCCATTGAGAGCCTCGAGTTTGCCGAGTCGCAGTTGAAGGTGGTCAAGGAGGTCAACCAGCTACACGGAGGCAGTGAGTACTACCTTACTTATACTAACTCTTGTCCATATATACGTCTATACATAGCGGCTTTGCCTCCAGTAGTATATTTATAGTATAATAGTATAGTAAGCACTAATCATCTACAGATTTTGACGCCCTCCAGAAGAACTTCTATTCAGGCTACAACCGCCTGCTGCTCAAGGCCCTTGAGCTACAGCGGCGGGAGCTCGGACTACAGCAGGATAGGGACTCGCTACTACCAGCCCCGGGCCCGTCCCTGCAGAGGACATCTCGACCACCGACAGCCAACGGTTACAGCGCCGTCCAAAAGAGTCTCCAACGGCAACCTTCTGTCACCTTTGACGACACATTATCCCCGCCCACACCAAGGCCCACCGGCATGGCTCGAGACGGCGATCCGCAGCGGCGGCCACTAGGACGCCGAAATACCATCCCTGGAATCAGGCCAGAGGGTAAGAACTGGAACACGTTTACCTTGTCACCCTTTAGAGATTAAAATAAAAACTAACTGAGCGCAGATTCCCGCACAGGAAGCCCAAGACCGATCCTCAAACGCCGGCTCTCCCTGGCGGAGGAGCTGGCCATGGTCGGCGAGGACTCGGAGAGCGGGTACCAGGACGAGACGTCCGAGATGGAGCAGACCTCGGCCTCGGAGAGCGAGGAGGACGAGTCGGATGCGAATATTTCAAATGGGAGAGGCACTACTACTCCTACTACTAGTAGTACTAGAGTAAGTGAGCGGCGTGGCGTGACGAGGACAGGCTGGACGGGGAGTGCGGATGAAAGCGAGGAATACAGCACAAATGCTGAAAGCGCTGGGGAAGAAAGAAGCGAGAATGCTTCCGATGACGACGACGACGACGACGACGAGGGCGACAAGACGCTTGACGCGTTCGATATGGATAGTAGTAGTGGGAATACTGCAACAAGCAGGACGAGACGCCAACGAAGACGGGTATGACAGACAAATGGCAAAGAACTTGAACGCTGCGCTTTACGCTGCGCCATTTGTGGTGAAAATATAAGGCTGCTACTAATACTGCTGAGGCTCCGGTTGCAACACCTAATCGGGCTCCCACTGGTCTTTTATCAATTCGGACTTATGTCTAGGCTGTCAGAGTAAGCGGTTCCAGGTTGTTGTATCTTCTCGGATCGGGAATGTGGTACGAATTAAGTGATAAGATATGCCCTCTCGATGCGATTCAGTTATTGGGGGTTGGTGTCACGGTCGAGAGCACGCCATCTCGCGCCTTATACACGCGACGTGATATGGGTGTACGTCACACGCTGCGACATTCGCGAGTGGCCAACCCCCCTCGGGCCTTTCTGCCCGCCCTGACAAATCCATTGCATCTCGATTCCGGTCATCTAGGGCAGTTCGATGTTTGATGTTTCCACATGGCACTCTCCATTTGCCTTTTAGATCGTTGTGACTACGGCTAGTACTACTGCATTGACTGTTCCGCATATGGAATACTAAGTCTAGACTGTCTAGTATCGTCCCCGCCAGCCACCGTCCTACACTCCCATCGAGTATTTCATCCGCCGGTTCAAGCCGACACAGCCATGGACTTCGTCGGACCAGATGCCGAGACGCCGCTCCTCTTCGGCCCGCAGGCTCCGCAACAACCGCAACCACCGGTAGACTACAACTCCATCCTCAAACCACGGCCGCGTGTTCGCCTCGACGACAACGACGGTGATGATGACGTCTCCTTCTTGCCTGCAGAGACAACAACAACACGCACGCTGGGCTGGAGCAGCACCTACATCCTGATCATCTCGCGCGTCATTGGCAGCGGCATCTTTGCCACCCCCGGCGCCATCGTCCGCTCCGTCGGGAGCATCGGCCTGAGTCTGCTGCTGTGGATTGCCGGGGCGGTGATCAGCTGGGCCGGGCTGGCCGTGACGTTGGAGTATGGCTGCATGTTGCCGCGGTCGGGCGGTCAGTCTCTTTCTTTTCCTTCTTTTTTTTTTCTCCCACTCCTTTTCCATCCTAGAACAAATAGAGCTGATATTGTAACTGTTCGCGGATGAGGAACAGGGGAGAAGGTCTACCTCGAGTTCACATACCGCCGGCCGCGCTTCCTCGCATCGACGCTCGTTGCCGTCAACGCCATCCTGCTGGGCTTCACCGCAAGCAACTGCATCGTCTTCGGCGAGTACCTGCTGTTCGCCCTGGGGACAGCCCCCGCCGACAATCCGGTGCTGGTGCGGGTCCTGGCCGTGGCCCTCATGACCGGCATCACCGTGCTTCACGGCTGCTTTCTGCGGACCGGCATCGCGGTGCAGAATATCCTGGGCTGGGTTAAGATCGGCCTGATCGTGGTCATGACGGTCGCCTCGGGGGTGGTGGTCGTGTTGGGGAATGGTACTGCACGGTACAAGCCGGAGGAGGGGGAGATGATGATGATAAGCATGCCCAGGATGCCATCAACATCAGCATCAACATCACCATGGGACGGCATATGGGAGGGCTCGGTTTGGAACTGGGGGGTCATCAGCACCGCGCTGTTCAAGGTCTTCTACTCGTACGCGGGGCTCCACAATGTCAACAACGTCCTGAACGAGGTGCGAGACCCCGTGCGCACACTCCGGTCCGCGGCCCCGGCCGCCCTCGCCACCGCGTGCCTGCTCTACCTGCTCATCAACGTGGCCTATTTCCTCGTCGTGCCGCTCGACGCCATCAAGGAGGGTGGCGAGCTGGTCGCCGCCTTGTTTTTCGAGAGGGTATTTGGGCAGACCCTGGGCAAGCTGCTGCTTCCCCTGGCCGTGGCCACTTCGGCGGCCGGCAACGTCATGGTCGTGACCTTCTCCTTGGTAGGTTCCATCCCTCCCTAAGTACTCATACGATAATACAAGCGCCTGCGGGATCAGGTCACTGACATAATTGTATTCCAAGGCCCGCCTAAATCAGGAGATCGCACGTCAAGGCCTCCTCCCCTTTGGAGATGCTCTCTCCTCCTCCCAGCCCTTTGGCACCCCCCTTGGTGGCCTGGTGCTGCATTATATCCCGTCCGTCCTCGTGATCTGTGTCCCGTACAAGAACATCTACTCGTTCATCTTGGAAGTCGAGGGCTACCCCGGCCAGTTCTTCTCGCTGGCCCTGTCCGCCGGCCTGATCTGGCTGCGCTGGCGACGCCCGTACCTGGAGCGCCCGTACCGAGCCTGGCTGCCGGCCGTGGGGGGCATGGCCTTGCTGTCCTGCGCCCTGCTCTGCGCCCCTTTCGTGCCCCGCCAGGGCGAGGATTGGAAAGCCCACTTGTCGAGGGTGAGTTACGCGCTGGTGGGCATCTTGGTGTAAGTTCATACTCTTTCTATTAGTACTTACTGTTTTCGTGTAAACTGCTCTTCTGACACAATGAATCCCTTTCGGCAGGCTCGCATCTGGGGTACTGTACTGGGCGGTGCTGTCAGTCTTACTGCCTTGGCTACGAGGATACTCGTTGGAGGAAGAGGTTGGCGTTCTCCCGGACGGGACGGCCATTACTAGACTAGTTCACGTTCCCAAAGATACTGTCGTAGATGGGCCTATCCGAAGGGCGGTCTGAACAGATCGTGGTGCAACAGCAAGTACTAGTAAACATGACTTAACTGTGTGTGATAGAACCCCCTTACCTCTCATGGGATGATCAAGTTGAAGCCGATGTTGCAGCTGACCTAATACGTATTTTCGCTGTATAGAAACCCGAGAGCACGATTGAGAAGGCATTGGCGGATCGCACCCTTGCGCGCGGTCATTATCCGACGGGCGTGCAACTGTTGGAAATGGCCTGACAATGCTACGGACATTTCCACAGTGCGGGCACATTTCTAATCAATTGTTTGCTGATCTTCGGTTCTGGTGAACGAGATACGCCGTTTCGGAGGCATATTGCTAAGCAATGCATTGTATCCGGTCCACGATTGGGCGGGGGATCTGGCATCACCGATGGCGTGATGGCTTGGTTGCATAGGTGCGACCACAACCGTTCCGCTACCCCAAGCAAACGGTAGCCGTTGCTTGGTAATTAATGGAGGAGGAAGTGTCGGATCATAAAAGGGCGCCTGCTGCTCCGGGGTCTTAACCTGGGTCCTCGAACTGAAACGTCTACTAGGAAATATCTACTAGTGGTATCTCCAAACTGCGCATAAATACTTGGTACCTTAGCTGCATTCCCCGTCGTACCCTTACTCGATCATGGCTGCTGCCGCCGTCGCCCCCTCTAGCCAGCACCATGTGCACACAGTCTTGAACTACTACAAGGAAGCCGAAGACGGCAGTCCGCCCGCCCCTTACTACGTCAAGTATGGCTGACGTACATCAAACTCCCTAAATGGACGACCAGACTAATGATGATCCCCCAGCAAGCCTCTAGAGCAGCAGACGCCACGACCGTCCGTTAGTGTGGATGTGGATGTCACCGACATTAGCGGGCAGGAAGACAAGTACACTTTGGATGTCCAGGGCTTCCAGGTCGTCAGGCATGAGAGCAGCGTGAAGGAGTTCCACGACGACGACCTGACGAAGCGGGTGTACTATCCCGAGGTTGAGCAACTGCTGAAGGACGTGTAAGTACTACTGCTCCTTCACCCACAATAGGTAAGTACCTAATGCTAAACATCTTGCAAAAAAGAACGGGGGCTACGCGCGTCTTCATCTTTGACCACACCGTCCGCCAGGGTAAGAGGCCCGGGGAACAATCCGGCGCCACCTTCCGCGGCCCTGTGCAGATGGTCCACATCGACCAGTCCTACCGAGCGTCTGTGAACCGGGTGCGCTACCACCTCCCCGAGGAAGCCGAAGAGCTGCTGCAGAAGCGCTTCCAGATCATCAATGTCAGTCTTTTTTCTCCTTTTCTTTTTTTTTTTCTTCTTTTTCTTTCTTTTTTCTAGTAGCCATACTATACTATACCCATGTCAAAATTCTGCCTGAACTTGAAACACAAGCTGACAGTAAAACCACAATTTGTGCACCGCAGGTCTGGCGCCCCATCAAGACGATCCTCAAGGATCCGCTGGGCGTGGCTGATGCCCGCTCCGTGGCGGAGTCGGATCTCGTGGGCGCCGCGCTGATCTACCCGGACCGCGAGGGCGAGACCTTCGCAGTCAAGCCCAACCCAGCCCACCGCTGGTTCTTCAAGTATGCGCAGCGGCCCGACGAGGTGACGCTCATCAAGTGCTACGACTCGGAAGCCGACGTGGCCCGACGGATCCCGCATTCGTCGTTCGTGGATCCCGCCGAGGAGGACAAGGAGCCCAGGGAGAGTATTGAAGTGAGGACGCTGGTGTTCTATGACTAGGTGGGTAATTATTGTGTTAGAAGAAGGAGACAGGTCACGGGATATGATAATGAATCGCTGTTATGCCACCTTAACATCGACTACCCTTCGAGAGACCTTCCGTCCGCTTTTCATTGTTTGATAAGGTATTATTGGTTAAGTTCACACTGTTGGTCCCGATCTTTCGACGATCCTTCAACATTATGTATAGTGAAGGTCTCTTACCTGATAGATGGAGCGAGTTTGATAGGGGAAAGAAGGACCTGAGAATTTGGCAAGAATAAAGGGGAATCTCGCTTTGTGGGATCGCAACCATTCAAGCGGGTTGTCTGCCATGCAGTGTTTGCACTGTTGGGTAGGGGATTCTGAAGGAAGGTACGGCAGACCATAGGCTTCTTAATGGAAGGCATCATCATCAGAGGCGCTCTGGCGGGGTTCGAACTTCACTCTCACATCCATCAACCAACCCACAAACTCAAACACTTCCAATCTTAGCTCTCAGTCTCTTCTTCACCTTTCCCCTCAGCATCACCACTTCCCCCAAGTCTGCAGCGACTTCCTGTGAAACCGTCCGAGGCAGTCATGGATGTAAAGGTTCACTTGTTCAACATCCTCCCGAGGCCGGAGAAGGCACCCACCGACGACTCTGTGCCCAATCACTGGGTTTTTGGCGTCTGCCATCTCGACATCCCTCCGTCCGCCGACATTGTTCTGGCCGTCAACCCACATATCCGTAATTATCTCCTTCGGGCCGGATCGGGTCAGATCATTTCATTGCCAACGACTCGCGAGATAGCCGAGGCCACCATCCCCCACCTTCTGGATGCCTTCCTCGAGCCCACGGAAGGCATTCCAGCCTTCGCACCTTGGACCTGGTCTACCCTGGGTCCCAACATGGCGCAGGCGATCGAGGACGCCCTCAGAAGTCTGGGCGTGAGGCCCGAGCTTTGCAACGTGGGCGTCTGCACCGCTGAAGAGCGCGACATCTTGGAGACGGCCCGAGCCGAGTATTTTACCGCGTTGTATGCAAATATGCATATTGGGGACATCGAGCCAAATACAGTTCGTCCGGGGGACGTGACAAAGTGCCATGGCTGCGGTTTGAGCCGCGAGTGCTTCTTCCAGCCGCTCCAGCCGTGTGGGCGGTGCGGCACGGCCTTTTATCACTCGAGAGAGTGTCAGGAGAAGCACTTGGAACACCATGAGCACGCCTGCCTCGCACCTGGTAGCACCCTTGATGCCGATACCTACTACAACACGATGGCGCCTTTTGACCCGGAGGCATGGGCTTTGATGAGCTCACTTCGCCTTGAGTGGCACCCAAACCGTAGCCTAATAGCGTGCGCCTCAGAGCCCCCCCCCCCCCCCCCCCCCCCCGGCCCGCCCCCTCCCAGAGACTCAGACTCATGTTGCAAACATGGCAAATAGCTGACACAGAGTCTCTAGCCTGCCTCTCCACCGCCTAATCATCACCGGTCAAGACACTCCGGAGAACATGCGGCTACTATTTGGCCCACAATATGAATCCACACTCAAGGAGCCGTATGAAAAATTCCGTATCGGACTCCTACTCGACCCGCCGCCTGGTTCTCCGTGGCACGCCATGGACGCCGATTTGGGTATGGATGATCCTTTCCTTGTTCGATCGCTGCGACCGGCAACCGAGGCTGAGAAGCAGAAAGTCGAGGAAGTCAGAGAGATGCAAGCGTTGATTCGGCAGAGAGTGGACACTGGGAAATCCCCTTCCCTGGCGGACATGCACGCCATCCTCACGATGGCGGTGAATACCATGGACCAAGGCGTTCCGGCTGGTGGATTCGGTGAATCCCCAGTTGACTGGTGCTGAATCTGGCTCAGGCCAAGGCGGCAACTGCTTAGTTCCGAAGAAGGAATGGGAAATTCATGGTGATTTATTTTTAGGAGTGTTGAAAAGGCTGTCATGTATTTTTACCAACTCAAAGAGCATGTTGCAGAGGAGGACGGTTTAGTCTACCCAGAATGACAAATGTACTAGCCTTTCGAGGGATAAGAGTAAGGCGTCAGTCACTCAGTGAGAGAGGAGTCGAGTCAGCACATGCATCTCGGGGGATGATAGGAAGAAATTCGGTAGATAATGTGTGTTAAATGAACGGCTGTGTTGTTTTACCCCTATTGCTGCTAGCTCCTCGACTAAGCTGCTATCACACCTAAACCTTGACTGTACTCATCCGAATTACAAGGACCGACATTACTATCCTCGGAAATGGTCTCACCAAGTCCCAAGGGGCGCACATGCCGCGCACCGCACTCCCGCTGACTTAGTACCTACCTATGTTACCTCAATAAGCCGTGCCGTTCCCAGCCAGCGCCGTCAGGTTCCTGTTTCCCGGCACAATAATAGGCTTCACCTTGGGCAGCCGGTCGATGACGGCATCGGGAAGGGCCAGGTGGTCCTTGACGACCTGCTTGGGCGTCAGGCCGAGCCACTGGCTGACGCTGATGTCGGTGAACTTGGGCGCCTGCAAGACCTCGAGGAAGATCAGGTCCTCGGTGCCCACGTTCTCGATGTAGTGGCCGCAGCCCTGCGGGACGTAGCCGACGCCTCCCGCCGTGAAGTCGTACGTGCGCGACGACGTCGGGGCCGCGTACACGGTGATGCGGCCCGCGCCCTGCAGGAAGAAGTTCCACTCGTCCGAGGTGGTGTCTGGGGTGGGAGGAGTGGGTAAACCCCGAGTTAGTCTGTTTTGTTTTCTTTTTGCGCTACTAGTACTAGCACTAGTAGTTGCTATTCTCTGAGAAAAGCTGGAAGAAAAAAGAGAAAAAGAAAAAGTGGATAACTTACGCCAGTGGATCTCTCGCAGGGCTCCGGGCTGGACAACGACCAGGGCAGTCGAGAACATGCTGGCGATCGGGAAGGTCAGGGGGTCCAGGATCTTGACGGACCCGCCCGGCACGGTGTACGGCTCCTGCTGGCTCCAGTGGTAGGTGTAAGAGCCGTTCCCGCTGATGGTGCCGGCCGGCCCAGTGACATTCTGCTCCGAGATGTTCAGCGGCGCGGGGGTGCCGTTGAAGATGTAGAGCTGATCGGGCGGGAGGTTGTCAAAGGCCTCGACAGGTGCCTGCAGATCCTTGCTGAGGACCTCGATGGGGTTTCGGAGAAACAGTTCGGTCACGAGGAAGGTCCCGTCCTCGGTGAAGTCGCCCTGGTCGAACACGAGCAGGAACTCGCAGCCCTCGTCGAAGGCCTGGATGGAATGCGGCACGCCGGCGGGGAAGAACCACGTGTCTCCAGCGCAGACATCGTCCACAAACGATCTGCCCTCGTCGTCGACGGCGGCTACGCGGGTGCTGGGATGCTGTGAGCCATAGGTAGGGTGCGAGGAGGAAGCAGAAAGGACATACCATCCCTTGAGCACAAGCGCCCATTCATTTGCCGTGTGCCAGTGCAGCTCCTGATCTGGTGTTAGCTAAGTAGATCTATCACACGCATCTGCGATATGTCGATCACTAGTAATAATAAAGGCAAGACGCATTACCCGGTAAGCGTTTGGGGCCAGCCGCATATCGACGCCCGCCATTTTCTTGGCCGCGGGCAGGACGTCGGTGTTCTGCTGTCTCGCCCAGCCGCTGTTCTTGCCGCTGCCGTAGCGATTGGCCGACATCCCCATCGGCCACATCAGGTTGGGCATGTCGCCCTGGTCCGTCCCCGGCGGCGCGAACAGGTCGGGGTTGAGCTTCTCATACTCGAACGTGCGCGGGCCCGGGTCCGTCGCGCCTTCGGTGCCGCGGATGGGCTGCGGAGGGTCGGCGCTGTCGAAGTCGAGATAGAGGCCGAGCTTGGCGTCAGCTTCCTGCCCGTTGACAAGTTGCGGGTCCGGCACGACGGCCGAGTCGGACGTGTCCGGGTCGGGCAGCGGCGCGTTGCCTCCCAGGAGGCTCGAGTCGCCCCGGAGCGAGCCCGAGGGCGCCGTTGCCGTGGGTATGGGAGGGCTAACGCCGCCCACTGCGCCCGTGTTCTCGCCGTAGTTTCCAATCCTGCCATCTCAGGGTTAGCTATCTTGTCTGGTCCATAACTTGATTGTAAAACGGTGAGACTGCTCACTGGGGCGCAGGCAATGCATTTATCGACCGCCCGACGGCGAGGAGCAGGGCAAGTATGAGGCTCTGTCGCTGATGCATGATGCTAGCTGTGGTTTATCTTCCAATGAATGAGACGTATTTTGATGATCTAGGGGCTATGTGGTATGATCCTGAGATGCGAGATGGAGGACGTCATTCTTATACCACCTTTTGCCCAGCGCCCAAGTGACGTCCCCTCTGCCACCCGCCATCGTTGATATCGGCATTGCCGGGTTTTCATTGTGAACCTGCTTTTCCGGTCGTTCTCCGAGGGCAATAGAACACTCTGTTTGTCACTTGTAAGTTGTGTGACTCCGCAGTGAAACCTGAGGCTGCGTGTGCATTGGGGCTTGAGAGTTATGACTAAGGCCATCGGCTGCTGATCCCAAGAACGTTGATGCTGCCGATCGGTTTAATGCGAGCCTCGCTCTATTCAAGTCTGTTGTAACTTGTACATACAGAGTAGCACAGAACTCTTCCAAGCTTCCTTGTGTTGCTGCACGCCGAAGTAAATCCGGACACCGAGGTGACCGAGCTGTGAGTCTGTGTCAGCAACTGGCGGCTTCCAAGTTCCAACGCCGAGCATCGAGCATCTCAAGACAGCAACATTGGCGATTACCGTGATTCCCGAGAATGCTGATTAAGCTCCCGGGGGCTCGGGCCAAAAAATGCCGTATGCCAAACCATCCTTAAAAATTTCAGTATCAGCCGGATTTATGGTCTGCTCTTATCCCGTTTCTTCGTCTAAGTTCTCCTTTACTTTATCCTCCCTGAGTCCCTCTTGATGCCTTTTCTGCCTTAATCTTCTCTATCTACTTCTTTTAGTTCTATCTTCTCTTACTCCTTTCTCTTCCTCTTCTTTACTACTACTACTCCTCTATTTCCGCTACTCTTAATAGGTATAGAATGATTCACTTGGGCTATGGCTCTTTTTCGGCTTGTAGTGTTAAGATATCCCATCATTCGGAGAAAAGGCGCGACGAGAACAATGGTGTTGAGTACCGGTAGTAGGGATGGTGCTGTAGTCATAATTAAATGTTCGTGTTCCTGCCTTCGCAGAGAGAATGATTGGATAGGAGCTTTTAGTACAGCATTCAGGAGGCCCTTACAGAAATCACTAAGGCAGGTTGCGAATACCTAGGTAGGTAGGTAGGTAACTCCTCTCCTCTGAAATTTGGTGCCTAAGTCTGTGGTTGCCTGAACTTCTGAAGAAACTGTCGATGTGCGCTGATAATGTAAATTGTGCAATCATTCACTTCCCCATCTTGAGTTTCAGTTTCCTCGAGAAGAAATTGAGTAAGTGAACCGTGACTGCGCACCAGGGCGCGGCAAAAGCCTAAGGACTGGAGTCGACAACGTTGGAAATTTGTATTTCTGCACCCCCGGGGTGGCAACAGTCTAACGTTAACTTCTTCAAAAGCCACTTAGATTCTGCACTGAGCCCGTACCCCACATTTCCACACAGACATCCACTGGTCGAATTTGTGTGTTGAATGAACAGAGCTTGCTTTGATCGCGCATTGGAAAAGGAGTGCCCCGGGCATAGAAGCATGAGAGAATCAGGTAACCTTTGAAATGGAGGTATATATGGCCGGCGACGAAGGATCTAGTGCTGGGTTTGCCCAAGCCACTCGCGGCTTTTCGGATTGGTTCCAGGCTCTACCGGGAGCAACTTTTCACAATGATATTGCCATTGAGGACTTGAGACACCAAGGCCGAGGCCGAGGAATCAGTAAGTGATCTCTTTTGTTTCTTTATCTTTTCTTCCTCTTCTCTTTCTGGTGCTTCGTGGCTCGTACCTTCTCCTTTTTCCCCCTCTGTCTGTCCTCCATTCTCTAGTAGACATAGACCTCCGCTAACAAACCAATCCAGTTGCCAAAGCAGACATTGAGCCCGGTACAGTCCTCTTCACGATCCCCCGCGGCGCAATCATCTGCGCAGCAACCTCGACGCTCAAAGACAGGATTCCCGCTGTCTTCGATCTGGAGAACGGAGACGGCGACTCCGAGGATGAAGGGGACGACGGATCCTCATCGTCGCAGCAAGACTCCTGGACTCTGTTGATTCTGATCATGATCTACGAGCACCTCCAGGGTGGCGCTTCCCGCTGGAAGCCGTACCTGGACATATTGCCTTCAAGCTTCGACACGCCCATGTTCTGGTCACCCGTGGAGCTCTGCGAGCTGCAAGCCAGTGCTCTTGTCGGCAAGATCGGCAAGGCCGAGGCAGACCGGATGATCCAGACCAAAATCCTGCCCGTCATCCGCGCCCATGAAGATGTCTTTTTCGCACTTGGCAGCCAGCGGCTCGACGACGCCCAGCTTCTGGAACTCGCACACCGTTTCGGTAGCACCATCATGGCATACGCCTTCGACCTCGAGAAGGACGACGACGACGAGAAGGAGGCAGAAGGGGACGAGGACGCCGACGAGTGGGTGGAAGACAGGGAGGGGAAGACGATGCTGGGGATGGTTCCCATGGCCGACCTCCTCAACGCCGACGCCGAATTCAACGCCCACATCAACCATGCGGAAGACGCACTGACGGCAACGGCGTTGCGGAAAATCAGGGCCGGCGAGGAGGTATTGAATTATTACGGCCCGCTCCCCAACGGCGAGCTGCTCCGTCGATATGGCTACGTGACGCCGAAGCACAGCCGCTACGATGTGGTCGAGCTGCCGTGGCAGCTGGTCGAGGGCGAGCTGAAAGAGCGCGGCGGGAGCACGATGAGCCCTGCGGACTGGGAGAAGGTGACGCAGCTCGCGCAGGCCGATGAGGAATTTGAAGAGGGCTTTGTGCTGGAACGCTCCGGCGAGGACCCAGACTCGGCCGGGCAGCTGCACAGCGACGCCGTCTTCAGCGGGCTGCCAGACGAGCTCGGCGAGCAGTTCAAGACGTTCCTCAAAGCAATCAAGAAGGTCGACAGCAACGCCGAGCTCGCCGTCCGGGCCCTGTCGGACAGGGACGCGCGCAAGGAACTGTATCTGCAGACCGCCCTGGCCGCCCTGGGCGCCCGCGAGCGCCAATACCCCACGTCCATGGAGGAAGACGAGCAGATCATAAACGCCGCGGGAGTGGCGGGGCGTCAAACGATGGCGGTTTGGGTAAGGAGAGGCGAGAAACAGCTCATGCGGGAGGCGCAGTCGTGGATCAGCCGGGAGTTGGACGAGTTGCGGAACAACAAGACTTCGCAGAGAACACAGGATATGGATGGCGCTCCGGCTGCAAAGAGGCGGCGGGTCTAATCAGTCTGCCACGCTGAAATCTGCGTTGCGGAAAAAGGGTACCTATCTTGATCTTCTCATACTCTATGGCGCCAGCCTGTTCTTGTCACTAAAACCCATTCGCGTGGGATATGCGTGTACGGAGAATAGGGCCAAAAGTGTTTACCATATTTTGTTCGTGCAGGTCGCATTGTTGCATACATCACATTACAGTATTCAGAAGTCAAGTAGTTAAATAACATCGAGTTAAAGAAGAGAGAAAGGGGAAGCGGGAAGGAAAGCAATGAAAAGAGGAGAAGACAAGAAGGCACAAGACGAGAAGAATAGAAGAATAGGAGAGACAAAACAGTAAAGCTAAGAAGAAGGAGAGAAAGATAATCATAGAAACAGGAGAGGTAAAATAAGAAATTTAGGAGCCGCATACAGTAAGACCGACTGGCAGTGGCATTGGTACGTATATTGAATAAATTCATGACGCTCTCAAGGGTTCATTATGTGACCTGCGCCTATACAAACTTCTGAATAGTACTTTTAGCCCTATGCTCCGTGGAGACTACCGAAAACACCGTGCTCAAAACCGAAATCTCGTGCCGGTAGTGTCTCCTGTAATGCGAAGTGCAATGGGCCGGGCCAATAATCCAGGCTCATGCTAGGGCACCTCAGCCATACGCTCTTGAAGCGCTCAGCGTACGACCGCAAAACCTCTGCCAGACGGCGTATCACAGATCATAACTCATACTTGAGGGGGGCATACTAGGCTGGACATCCCCTGAGTGTCTCCTTGCGGCCCGCAATGTCAACTACTTTCAAGATCAGCATCCTCGGCGTTCCTTTTCTTTTTCCGAACGAGGTTGGCGCCAAGAACGTTGATCTGCTTCGTTGCTGATGGCTCGCCTGTGGACGCTTCCGACGATTTTGATGCCGAGTCGACGCTCTGACTTGGATCGACTCCTGTCGTTTGGGAGGCGTCTTTCCTCCTGACGAGGCTGGTCAGGTTCGTCACCTTCCCGCTGACTGCGCTAGAAACACCTCCGTCAGCACTCAGCGAGTCAGGGACGACTGCATTGCCGACAACAATGCCACTATCCGCCCCGCCGCCTATGCCAACCTCAGCGAGCCACCGCTGGGAGCTCCCCACAGCCTTGTCGAGGGTCGAGAAGTCCAGGTGGAGCAGTAACTCCACGATGCGCTTGTACTCAGCCTTCCACACGAGTTTATCCCCCCGGCCCTCGAGTGGCCAGTAATAGTAGGCAGTCGTGACCGGGCGACGATCCATGTGGTGATTGCGGGCATGCTTCTTGATCTTTGGTATGCGGGGAACAATCCGGCCCGACAATTTCTTCTTCTTTTTCTTCTTGGTAACCGTGGACGGAGGCTGGGCTGCTGTAGCGGCGGCTGTTGGAGGCGTAGAATCCGAGAGAGACCCGTCGGATTCCGGAGGGTCAAACACCAGCCATATGAAGCCGGTCAGACGCCCACTAGAGCACTCTTGACGAAAAGACATCATCTCCCAGAACTGGTCCAATGACTTTACGCTCTTCCACGCCGCAATGCCCTGTTTCTGCTTGGAGACCTCCTCGTCGAGCTCGTCACGGAACCGCGACTTGGGGTCATCGGGGTAACCGGGGATCAGGCATCGCGGCGGGACGCGGTCGAGATCGCGAGCGTAGTGAGAAATGCGTTCTAGGGCATGGCCGATCTCCCATTTCTGCGCGCTCGCTGGTGTACGTGGGATGAAGGCCCTCATTTCCGACATCTCCAGCCCCGGCACGAGGAGGTAACCCTTGGTCTTCCCCCATGACTGGTTGCTCAACCCCTCTATCAACGGGTTCAGCACCTTGCACCACCACCTGACGAGCCCCCAGTCGTCGAGGACATGTTTCCCAGAGTTGCGGACGCTTCCCGGGAAGAGGTATTGTGTTTGCGCGCGAGCAAACAGGTTAACGACGGATTGGACGTGTTTGCGCCGGCGGTGGTCGAGGAGGTACGCAAGGAATGTGGCGCAGACCTGGCGGATGGGAGACGGCGAGTCTTTCGGGAGATTGAGCAGGTGGAGGTAGCCGGTCGAATCGGCCTTCGATACAAACAGGGTCGTCTGGTACGCGGTGGTGAATATGAAGACCTCGACGGCAAAGACCAATGTCTGCTTCTGCTTCGCCGTGTCGACTCGCTTGCACTGGTCTGCGCCCGGTGAGGTTCGCTTCAGCGGCGGTGCGGCATTGTCCTGCTGCGGCTGGATCGAGACGGCGAGAAAATGGGCTTCCCTGTAAGTCTTGTCTGGGCGATGACCCGGTGGGGCCGGGCAGAGAGGGTCGGTCCGCGTCGGCGGCGTAGAGACGTGGTGGATGCCGAACCTGTGGCCCTGCGGGAGGACGGCGGCGAGCCTGTCGCGGAGTGAGCTGCCTGAACCGGAGCTAGTGGCTACGGCATTGCATTTGGTGGCTGCCGGTGCGGATGATGACATCGCGACGAGTCGGCGCAAGCGTGGTGGATGCGTGGCATAGAAGCGCGCCGCGGATTGGGCAAGGCGATTGCAAGCCGTGGAATTGAGCGGGCATGGCACAGAAACCGGTGTCGCGCTGCTGTGTAAGTTACGCTGCTAGGTTGAAAGTATCGTACCGCTCGTCTTGAAATGCGTACGATACGGTTCCTGATTGTAACTTACACAACCGTGTTTTCGGCCGGCAAGACAGGTGGATCCTGTCAGCTGGCACCGCCGGCCGCAGAAAAAATACCCCGAATCCCAATCGACCTCTCGAGCTGCGGATCTAAGTTGACAACACTCGACTACAGTCACTCAGAAGCCTCGACCCAATGGCACTCAACACCTCTCGCTCAGTACTGTCGTCGACGTGCACCGCACTAAGAATATGTAGCGGCTCGGCACCGTCAACCGCCCAGCGCCTCGGGCAAACCTCCGTGCGCCAACTGTCGACCTCGGCGGCGCGCCGAACAGATGCAGTTGAAGCGACAACCCAGCAACAAGAACAACAACCACGGCCACGATGGTCCTACACTCCGGAGCGCATGAAGGGCCCCGGCTTTTCCATCAACATCGTCAAGGATCCCAGTCGGACGATCTGGCAAAACAACCAAGATCCGGCGAAGCTCGATGCCATGTACAACCGGCTCCTGGGCCCCAAGGGGGATAGGATGCTGCCCGACGAGATCAAGTGGCTTGCCATTACACACAAAAGTTTCGACCAGGGGCGGAGAGGCTTTAACACGAGACTGGCCTACTTCGGTGCGTTTCCAATTTGGGCATATTGCGAAGCCGGCCGAGTTTCCTCGCACCGCGCGCCCGAACGAGCGTTTGCGTAATAGAGTGGCTAACCGGGGCTGGACAGGGCGGCTCATCGTCGCTCTCGAAACCACGCGGCACATCATGGTCACCCCAGCATCGTCTCGAGAATTTCCGGACGAGTTTGGCCGCGAGCCGTTCCGGCACCACGCGCTCGCGAATATCGACAAGCTCAACATAAGGCAACCCCAGCATATCGCTTCCAAGGAAAATCTGAGAAGGCTTGCCATGGATGTCGGCCTGCTCGAGGTCATCAGGTGGAAGCCGAGGATGGTATGTTCTGCCACCACATGAAACCTGGCACACATTGCCCAAGACATCGTCCGAATTTCTGACATGACCCTTTCTGCGTGTTAGCCCGAAAACCTCGAATCCTCCGGTCTGACTGTCGTCCTTAATACTTCACTTTTCGCTATCATTGGAGCTATCTCTCTACAGCACGGGGCCGAAGTCGCACAGCAGGTGTTTCGGGACAAGATCCTCAGAAGGCTCGGGGCATGAGCACGGCCACGGTGTAATGATAGACGTGTATAAATGCTGTACCATAAAAAGCGCCAATAGAGAGGCTGGCCCTGATGGTCGGGTATCTGAACCACTACCCAACTTCCCAGCACCCTGCCGAAGACGTCACAACTATCGAAGACGTATATACCTATTCCCATGGATATGGCTAACCCGGCAGGAACCCACGCCGGTAACGAAAAAAAACGAACCCTGACAAAAACAACGTCGAAAAGGAACAAAAGACCGATCACCAGCCTTCTTCGAAGCAGATATCCGCCACCTTCATCGGCCGTTGTCCGACGACCATCCAGTCATTCCCGACGCGAAACTGCCTGCCCCTGCCGATGAGGAAGCGCCGGTAATAGTCGGCATCGGCGGCGGCCTCCTCCAACAAGCAAAGCCCGCCGCCCCAGGTGGGCGGGGGCAGCCGCTCGGAGTACATGAACAGGACAAACTCCTCGATGTCGGCGAACACGGTGCGCGCGAAGGCCTTGAGCGTGGCGGCGCCGACCTCGTGCGCCCACAGCGCCACGCTCATCGCCAACCTCCGCAGCCCTTTGCCCCTGGTACTGGGACTGGTAGTAGCGTCGTCCGCATCCCGGCGGCGCTGCTGTCCCCGCGTCGGCTTGTTGTCCATCTTGCGGAACCAGTCCAACAGGCGGGTCAGGCGCGTGTAGTGCAGGTCGCCCAGCAGCACGACCGTGTCCTGCTCGAGGTTGAGGTACAGCACGCGGTCGCTGATCTGCAGCAGGTCCCCCGGGCGCTCGTTCTGGGCCTTGGACGGCGGCGCGAACAGCGGCAGCGCGACCGTGTAGTGCTCGAGCGCGGCGGCGCGCGCCTCGGCGTTGACGGACAGCGCCGCCGGGTTCTTGGACAGGCTCTGCCATTTCGGCGTCGCGCTGCGCAGGCGCAGGTTCTCGTCGTCGGCGTAGTGGGCCCGCCGGGTGTGGAGCTCGACCGTGCGTGGCAGAAACGACATGTGCCTTTTTCCAAAACAACCCACACCCAACCCCCGGTCAGTCCCTTTGCTGATCACATGCCATGAATGGGGGGGTTTCCCGGCATGCAAGGCCCGGACGCTTGGAAGCGGGTCCGATCTCCTCCCATGACTTGATTGAAGAGAAGAGAGAAGACAGCGTGCTTACCATATCTTGAGACGCAGCTCCGCCGGAAGGAGAGGGAAGTACGGGAATGTGCCCGGCGCTGCCCGCGTGGGGGATGCGGGTTCTTCGAGAGCTGTCTCAATCATGACCGCGGTTTGGGTCGGGGATGGTGAGGCTGGCGGTGATGGAAGCTCAGTCACTGTCACGGATGGGCCGAACGGAGTCGGGGGAACACCGACACCGGCAATCTTGAGAGCGGGCGTATCATTGGGGCCGGGCTCGGCAACGTCGGGATCCAGGCAGAAGTGGGCGAACTGTGACGCTGTTGTCTTAAACTGGTGATCCGCGGCCATGGCGCTTGCTTCCCGCCGTTCGTTTGCAATTTGGACGAAAGTTCAGTCTTAGAGACCCAATCCACGGGCGGGAGGATCCAAAGATGCTCGACTTGTTCCGGGTAGTCGTTGTCATCAAAAGGAAAACGCTGGCGGTACTCGTGAAGTGGTCTGGATTTATACTCGACTAAGAGGTAGCTACACGATTCCCCTTCCGGAGCCGGGGGTGGGGCCTTCCGGCCGTGAATTGAGAGAGAACGGCGGACATCGTGGGTCAAAAATGTCGGGGGACTCTCAAGTAGACCGAAATCTCGGGACCCTCGTGAGGTGGGGCAGCCTACCAACCGAAGTGGATGTGGGGTCAATAGCGCGTGCAACCGCCTGCTCACCCACGCACGCCCTTGAAAAGACGTTCGGCCCGCTCCAGTGCGATTGACAGTCAGCCTGAACAGCCGACTGGCGCGAGAGTGACGTCAGGCTCCCAAAAAAAAAGAAGCTTAATCCGCCCGCGAATTTGACTCGAATTGTGATACACCAATAAAAGATAGCAGGCCGAAGATCGAGGATCGCGTGAGCTTGTCCAACTTCCGGATCCAAAAGGTCCTGGGCGAATTATGCACCTTTTCGTCCAATAACCTCGCGGTTCCTGGAGGCTCCCAATCTCGCCTTGTGGACGGTCAATGGAGTCCCCGGCCAAAGTGGTTCAGCAACCATTGGCCGATGTTGGACGACCAAGCCAATTTTTCTTTCCCGTATTCATTTGGCATCTCTACCCTGCCTTACAAGAACCACGCGCAACGGACATGGGAAATCCAATAATACGACGTCATGACCTCCGGCTCACCTTCATTCTCATGCCATCACACGGCTTGGCAGTTACTTGAGCAATCTAGGAAAGGCCCAGTCAGTCAGTCAGTCAAACCGATGAAACCGGATAGATCCGCCAAAATTGGAAGGACACAGCCTCAACTCGACAAGGCATTAGTTATTTAGTACTCACGTTGTACACCTCCGACTTGGTCTTGTACTGGCCCTTCTCCTCGTCCAGCATCGGCCTGCCCTTCTCATCGCGATCGAGCTCGCCGAGGCCGACCTTGACAAAGTCGTACCGCCGCGCAACCGCCGCCACGATGACGCGCGCCTCGATGGTAGCAAGGTCCTGGCCGATGCAGTTGCGCGGCCCGCGCTCGAACGGCCGCCAGGCGCCCGGCGGGTACTGTTGCTTCCTGTTATTGCCGTCTTGATGTTGCTGCTCGTTGTGGCTGTCGTTGTCGTTATTAGCCCCGGCGCTCATGATGCCCGACTTGTCGCCCAGCCAGCGCTCCGGGTAAAACTCGTCAGCGTTGTCGCCGAACACGGCCCGGTCCCGCTGAATGATGGTGGCGCAGTTGTACAGGATGGTACCGTCCAGGCAGTAGCTGCGTCCGTCGGGCGTGCGCACGGTGAAGCCGGTCCCCGGGCGGGTCATGCGCGCCGTGCCCGCCGGCGGGTACAGCCGCAGCACTTCCTTGATCACGGCCGTAGTGTAGGTCATGCGGTGGATCAGCTCCTCGCCGCCATCGCTGTTGGGATCCGGGTCCAGCAGCTTCTGCCGCACCACGGCCGGATCCGGGTCCGGACCGAAGAGGTCGTCTAGCTCGTCGCGCACCGCCTGCAGCACGCGCGGGCTGCGGGACAGCTCGTAGAAGAGCCAGGCCATCAGGATGCCGGTGGTGTCATGCCCGGCGAAGAGGAAGGTCTTGATCTGGTCGCGCGTCTCGGACAGCAGGTCGCCGGTGAGCTCCTGGCTGTCCTGCAGGCTGAGGCTGAGGATGTCGCGAGAGCGAGACCGAGTGGCCTTGCCATTAGCCTCCTCCTCCTGCTGTCGCTTCAGCTGCAACTGCTCGCCGTGCTTCTGGCGGATCATGTCGTCCAGGCGCCGGTCAATCTGCTTGCCGAGCCGCCACCGGCGCCATTCGCGCCGCGGATACATCCACCAGGGCAACCGGCCGTCCTTGGCGCCGTACTCCTGAAGGAGCTGGTCGTACAGCCGGATGAACTCGCCCTGGGCCGACGACTGGGAGTGCTGCGCGTCAAAGTCGACGTTCATGGTGATGGCCCCGATGATGTCGAAGGTCAGTTCGATGGTCAGCTTCAGCAGGCGGAACTCCTGGCCCGAGCTGGCATAGCGGTCGAGGCGCTCCAGGAAGATGTCCGTCTTGTCCAGGATGCAGGGCAGGAGGCTCATGAGGTGCTGCGGTGCGAAGCCCGGGTTGAAGCGCTTGCGGAGCTGCTTCCAATCCTCGTTCTGACGTTGTGGTCAGTTACTTAACAGTACCTAGGTAAGGAAATAGTACTAGTAGTGCAGTGCAAAAGCTGGACAAAGCCTGCCTACCTGTTTCGTGATGATGGACTGCGGTCCGACCAGGGACACCAGCGCACCCATGGTGGGCGACTTGGGCGTGCTCCAGGGAAAGGCCTTGGACACGCGCGAGATCTGCTCGGCTACCTCGTGGCTGGTGACCACGACCATCGGGTAGCTGACGGGCCTCAGATCGAACATCATGAGCGGCGGGTTGCCCAGCGCCTTGGCGACGTTGGCGAGGACCGCATCATGGTGCACGCCCGGGGTTGCCTTCAAGGTGAACTCGTGAAGGGCCTTCAAGTGGCCCCAGAGGAGAGAGGGCTTGAGCTGGGGGAAGTCGGCGAACTGCTTGAACCGCCGGTGCCACAGCGCCGAGAACAAGTAGGCGAGGGCTAGCGGGAGGGCCAGCAGGAGTATGTTCGAGATCATGACGATGTTGTGCTGCGTTTTCAACGTTCAACAACGTCAGGGCGGTTTCACGACGAGGACGGCACCTTGACGAGGGAGGTACGTCGCGGGCACATGGGGAATGAACGATGGTGATGTTGAATAATTAAGTCCTCTCCGATCTCACAGGAAGAGGACGACTGTCCAATGTTCGAGATATTCTTGTCCATGTCTACGGTGGGCCGCGGCGCCTAGGTGCTAATACACTGGGGACACGAGTGGCGACTAGAGCTACAGAAAACATGATTCGTGCATCCCCGAGAGGCCAACATATTCTGTGACAGGACCAGGAGGGTCCACCTATCCGCGTTGAATCCGGATATTCGCACACCCCGTTGCATCGCCATGGTCCGCTGCAACGCTCCTCAGTCTAGGGCCGGAACTTTCGGCGAGACAGTTTGCCAGATTCATCAAGACGGCAAATAGCTGGGACGGGAGCAAACATCGCCGATCCGTTCTTGTCCGAAATCTCTCGGGAAGGGCGCCTTGAAAGAAAAGGATTTTCGATTTGATCACCCATCCATCCACCTGTCTTTCTACCTATGCGTGACCCAAAAGAAACATTCATTCTGATGCCCTATGATGATGATGCCCCATGCCCCCAAACCCGAGATGCTAATAAACCCGGAAAAAATCCAGCAATACCCGAAACTCCAACCATGACCAATCTCCCGTCCGTCTGAATGCCAAGATAGCGGGATGTCAAGTGCCACAAGAGGTGACGACCGGAGAACCGGCGAAAACGGTAGGTAAACGGTAACCCCTTTCTCAGGGGCGACGAGGTCCCAATGCAATGCATGCAACTTGCAATGCATAGCATACTTCTTCGGGCCGACGACCTCAACCCGTGACACAACTTCCGACTACCACTTATCTATCCTTTCCGTCTAGTAGTCGCGGGCGTAGCGACCGCGGCTGCCGACGGAGGAAATGCTCTCGCTCGGGGCGATGCTGCAGGCGTCGTCGCGGAACCGGCTGCCAGCACCGGCGGCGCCGGGCATCTCCTCGACGATCTCCCAGTCGCCGGCCGAGGACTCGGCGCTGCTGGGGCGGCTGCCGTTGAAAGCCAGGCCGCTGCTGCCGCGCATCATGAAGGAGGCGGCGTCGTTGCCCCCGCGGGCGAAGCCGGAGCCGCTGTAGCCCGAGTCGGCCGAGGAGCGGGCATAGCCTGCTTGGGAGACGGGGGCCGCGGCCGTGGAGACGCCGACGCGGCTGGAGGGCGGGGCGCGGATGCCGGCGCCGACGACGGTCGAGCCGCCAGAAGAGAGGGAGCCACGCGCGGGCTCGCACTTGGAGTAGCCCGACTGCACCAGCACCTGCACGTTGGCCGGCAGCGTCATGTGGCCCGAGCCCTGGGTCATCAGGATGACGTCGGTCGGGCTGCCGGTCCGCTCGCCGTGCAGGAACACGATGCTCTGGCAGTCCTCGAAGTCGAACTCGCGCTCGAAGTCCACCGCCGGGTACTCGGTGGACTCGTGCCGGTCGCGCGGGCTGAAAACGGCGTTGGTCTTGTCCGTCCAGCGGCGCCTCTGAAACAGGCAGGCAGGTTAATATCAGATTGGAGAGTTTGTGTTGGTGGTGCGGGGTTGCCCCGAGGATATCACTTACAAGTTCGGCAGCGTCGATCAATTGCGGCATGGTGGGTATGTGGGTAAGAGGTGTGTTATGTGGATTTGTGTAAGTGCTGGGAGGATGGAGGAGGAGGGTCCTGTTGTGTATATATTGCTTTGTTTTGTGATGGGGGGAGCAAGAGACAAGAGCTGCATCTTCGACGGCGACGACTCCTATTTAACCCCTCTCAACCACGGGACGGGAGGGGGGTTGATGCATCTCGTTCGTGCCCAAGAGAGGGCATTGCATCGCGACAGACAGACAACCTGGAAATCTGGCGATCAGGGGCAGCTGCAGATGCAGCAGACATGCAGTCGAACTGGAGTCGGCTCACACATCGCGTCGCCCGAGTCGCTTGAGTCGCTCGAGTCGCTGCGACGGTGACCCAATCCGGATGCCGCGCTACAGAAAACTGTGCCGCATCCAATGGGGCCACGGCCACGTCTCAACCATTACTTTGGAGCCCGACCAGCGCTTCCATTTTTTGCCCGAGGTGTTCACTGGGCTCGATGGGCTGCTGGGGGAGCCACTTGGCAGGGGCCCAGGCGGTGACGTGGCGGCCATCGGGGGCCATCACCGACTTTTCGCACTGGGGCCCTCTCGCGATGCGGTGGAGCACTTCACCTCGACACCTCCGCAATGTCCGCATCGACTTGCGAAAAAAAAAAAACCCAGGGCGAGGAACCGCCGACAAGCGCGGCGGCCTTTCATTGGGCGCTCCGCCTCGGCCAGCGTGTTGGAAACTATTTGGAACGGCCGTCGTGGCAATCAGTGGATAGAGCCAGGGCCCAGGGGCAGGTCGTGCGAACGCGCGAGTGGCCGTCGTGGCAAGAAAGAACCATGACTGGGATGCGGAGAAGCGCTCCAAGCGCGCAATCTACACTATGGACCACGGTGAACGCAAGTGAATGCATCTCGGCGGGGGGGGGGGGGGGGGGGGGGGAGAAAGGAAACTCAATCAGGGCGGGCATGACTCACAGGAGTCCCCCCACCTAGTTGAAACTGTTCCGAACTAACTACACTACATGCGACTCGTCGGCTCTTTCCTCCTCCTCCTCTCCGCCATATTCCGCTCGCTCCCAAGTATCAAGTTGACGTGGTAACTGAGCGCAACCAGATCTCCTTCCTCATCCAGTATCAGCACCTCGAGGTCGAACCGCCCCTGCTTGATCTGCTTGCTCTGGATCCGCAGCTGCAACCATTCCACGCCTTCCTCCGGCAGCGCCTTCTTCACCTCGAGGTTGAGCACCACCGTCGGGTACCAGAACCTGGCGTCCGGCGCAAAGGGGACAACAACAGCAACACTCTCCTCCTCCTCCCCCCCGCTCCTTGCCGCCGCCTCCGCCGCCTCCTGCTCAGTCGGCCGCCACTCCTCAACCACATACGGCCAGCAATCCGCCACAAAGGCCAGCGAGGCGGACGTGAACCGCTCCCCGGACGCGAGACGCACCCACTTGTCGATGACCGTCCTCCTCCTGGCGGCGGGGGGCTGTTGTCCTCCGCCGCCGCCGCCGCCGCCGCTGCCGCGGAGGTCGTAGTAGACCGTGTTGCGCAGGCAGCGCGAGTGCGCCAGCGGACTGCCGCGCGGGAAACGGTAGCGCGCCCAGTGCGCATCGCCGTCTTCCCTCTTGAGCGCGGCAAAGTCCGGCCGCGGGGGCGCCGCCGCCGCGACGGGGTGCTGCTGCTGCAGGCTAGTGATGAACGACGTCGGCAGCGACAGGCCGCGCTCTTTGCGCAGGTCGGCCATGGTCAGGTACGCGGCCACTTCTTTGCGCGTCGAGCCCGCCGTGATCCATGGCGCCTCCGGGAGGAGGGCGTGCTGGTACAGCGTCGCGTGCAGTGTGGATAGCTGCCGGCCCAGCTTGACATCCTCGATGACGATGATGGCTGGCCCCGTCTCGGTGCGGTTCAGGAACTGGAAGTGCGCGTTCAGCACGTCCTTTTGGCCTGTTCGCTGCGCGAGATGCATGCCCGCCGCTTGGAGTAGGCAGGTTGCCACGTAGCCTCCATTGGGAACTGGCCATGAATCAGTATTGTGTGCTCATCTTCACATCATACGAATCAAACCAATGGATCGTATTCTCACCAGTGCCGATGCAGAACGAGTCGATCAGATGGGCCCGGTAGACATGTGAGTCGAGCCGTTCGATTCTTGTGGCTTCCGAGAACGGGATAAGGGACTCTGTGTTTGCCTCGCCCATTGTATGAGCGGTCAATATCTTAGTAGTGCCTATCAACGCTGTAAGTTACCTCTTGATTCCGCTCGCTCAAGATGTCACTCTCAATTCAAATGAGTGCCTTGGTCTCAGTTAAGTAATCCGTAGGGCGATTCGGGATCCGGCCCACAATATACCTCGGCTGAGATCCTGATGATCCCCCCACAGCAAACCGAAGGCGGTACACGGTAAGACACCAAACCAAGGTGTCAGAAGCCAGGGGCAAAGAGACTGATATCTCAACAGAATGCATGCTCAATACTCAGAGCCGACAAGAATATCAGCCATCACCTTCTTGGTCCAGTTCAAGCATGGCAGGTCTTTGACCTCGACCCTGGATGCACATAACCAAGTGCGTAGGAGGTGCTATTGCATTTTCATCCGTCTCGGACTATCTAGGGCTCAGAGACGCCAGATATTTCTGTTGAGCCCCCGTATCAGGCTTCTTCCGGTTCATCCCCAACTGCGCAGCAATCTACAATTGACCAGCGGTGTTGAAGTCCTTGAGGCACTCCGCAACCCTGGTCGACATGGTCTTCTCGCCCTCGCGAACCCACACTCTCGGGTCGTACTTCTTCTTGTTGGGCTTGTTGGGTCCCTCGGGGTTGCCGACTTGGGTCCGGAGGTAGTCGATGTTCTTGGTGATGTAGTCACTAATCCCCCGTCAGCGGAAGAGGCCCACCAAAGACTCACTCGTGAGACCACTCACCGAATGCCGATCAGGTACGCCCACTGCAAGTCAGTGTCGACGTTAACCTTGACCACACCGTGCTACACGCTGTCAGCTACCAAATTCGAAACCCCAGGGTGTATTAGCGCCTCTTACGCTGATGGCTTCCCGGTACTCCTCCTTGCTCGAGCCGGACCCGCCGTGGAACACGAAGAAGACGGGCTTAGGGTCCTTGCCGCCGAGCTTCTCCGAGACGTAGGCCTGGTGCTTGCCAAGCAGCTCGGGGTGCAAACGGACGTTGCCCGGAGCATACACGCCGTGGACGTTACTGTCATGCCGTCAGTCACATGCATCGTCCTAATGGGGCCAGAAAGATCGTTACCCAAAGCCGGCGGCGATCGAGAAGTACGGCGAGATCGGGCGGAAGGCTTGCTCGCTAGGAGGAAGTTAGTTTGGACGTCAAAGGTTTCATGATTAAGATAAACGCACATCTGCCAGATGTCCTCGGGCCTGGTAAAGGAGGTCAGCATCTCCTCGTGCTCTGCCAGTGGGCTGTCCAGTGCTACTTACTGAGTGTAGAGAGAGGCATTGTCCACCTGAAGAGCGCAAGTCAGCACGGTGCATCCCATAATGCCTATCCACTGGCACTTACGCCGGTGTTGTCGACACCATCTTCTTCACCGCCCTATTGCAGCCGTCAGCGCTCATGTGCTATCTCAGATCATGCGGAAAGGGTCCGTCATACGGTGATGCCGATCTCCATCTCGAGCCACTGCTTCATCGGAGCCATCCTCTTCAGGTAGCTGACGCACGTGCTGATGTTCTCGTCCACGGGTTCCTCTAATCGTGCCAATGTCTCAGCGTTGTTCCGGGTACATCAGGCAAGCACGGGGAAGAGGAGAGGGGAAAGGGCGGGCTCATCTGAGAACGTACCGGACTAGAATTGTTAGTATATGCCGATATCTACGCGGAGAGATGCGTGTGGCAAAAACTTACCAAGTCGATCATGTGCGAGGAGAAGAGGGGAATGCCGTTTTGCTTGAAGAACTTCTCATCCTCGTCAAGCATGCCATCGAGCCAAGGAAGCAGCTTCTTGGCGCAGTGGTCAGTGTGGACTGGCGAATGGCGTCAGCAATAGCGGAAAACATGGGGGCAGTAGGGAGTACACACGGACGACGGGCACGCCGTATAGCGGAGCGACCGAGCGGATATAGTGGGCGGCGGCGATGGCGCCAGCAACAGACGCCTCCTGCTTCTCGGCGCTGTTCTTGATGCCCTTTCCGGCGAAGTAGGCGGCACCGCCCTGGCTCGTTTGCAGGCTGACGATCTGTCAATATCTCGTTCGGGGGTACGGGGGGGTTACGGGTTCACGTCGTTCGTACATGATCGGAGCCTTGGCATCACGAGCAGCCTCGAGGGCAGCGACGACAGTGCTGCTGGAGGTGACGTTGGCCGCGGGGATGGCGAAGCCCTTCTCGCGGGCATACTGGAAGAGCTTCAGGACATCGTCTCCTGTTCCCAAGGTCAGTCCAAGTTCCTCAATCCCTTCGGTTTCGGCGCGGGGCTCGCAAAGGGGTCCGCACCGTAGATGACGCCGACCGGCAGCTTAAGGTCCTGTTGCAAAGACCGTGGTCAGCAAGGTGCACAGAGTTCGGACCATGCGGAACCGACCCGAGCCGGGAATCGACCGTCAATGTCACGTACCTCGAGCAGGCCCATTTTCGGTGCTGTGTGTTGGCTCAATGGAGGTTAAGAAGACTAGGATGGCGGGGTAAAAGATCAAGTCGGGTACCCAAAGATCGGATGGTCGAGTTCAGGACGTCGCAATTGGAGAGTGCTTAACTAGACAAAGTTCGGGGAGGATGACGGAAATGAAGCTGGAGAGAATGTTATGTCTCGCACAAACGATCTGCCGCAGCCGATGAGGGATTTGTATGACGCCAGCTCTCTGACTTCCGGTGGAGGGGCAACAGGCCAAAGAAAGGTGGGATGAGCGACGGTGCGGGGTCAGTTGATGCTCAGGAGCTCAACAGAAGGTGCAGCTTCCACTGCTGCGGGGCACAAGTGGGGTGGGAAGTGCCGCTCTCGGGCGTCGTGGCGTGCTGGAATTTACGTCACGGGCGAGGCCTGCCTTCCATCGGCCCATTGAAGCACTCAATCGTGTTTCAATCCCTGAATTGTCGTTTCAACACGACATATTCTCTTCTTCTAACGCCTATCATGCCCGCAATTTCGCCGGATACAAAGGGGACGACAGGATGTCCACTTGCGAGTGGATGGTCCAATGCCGGCATCTGATTTCATCCCGAATCCAGATTGTCTGCCATGGTCTTCGGGATCGGGTCTTGGCCCGGGTGTTGATCGGCGCAAGCCGGGAACAGCTTCACTGACGGGAGTTTGCCCACCAATTCGAGACCGCAGAACAATCCGGGAGCAGCCGAAAACATCCTCAGTCATTGGCCTCTGTGTGAATGGCTCGGTTGCCCTCGGCCCGAGTTGAGGGCCGGAATAGATGCAACATAACATCACAAGCGTCACACATGTAGATGTGGAAAGAACTAGGGTCTGCTGTAGAGGCTGTCCTAATAGTAGGGGTATCTCTGTGAAAGTGGAAGGTTCAAGATACGGCCCTCAAAACAGGATGCACTACTAGGGACGACTGGGACATGGGAGCTTGACGACGGCATAGTCACCGAAACCCTTTGCGTATCCTCGAGCTCCTGCCCATCTCTAGCATGGACCTGTACCAGGTAGCTACGCAGGCGCCGGGCAACTCTCGCGGCGCCGCAATGTTATCAGAATCGTGTAAGCACATCAACGCTACGTCTCCAAACCTCGAGATGACCCCTAAGGCTCCTGGCACGGCACTTCCATAGAGCGGGAACTTGAGTAAAGACAAGAAACGAGAAGGAGCAGTGAACAGTAGAAATTCCGGAAACGCACATATACAGGTAGGTAGTCTAGTGCTCCTGATACAACACCTCAATGTCCTCTTGTACTTGACACCCAAGAGTACCAACAATAGCAAGGTAGGGGTTGAGCTACTGCAGGGTCTGTACCTGTCCCGTGTAAGGTATGGGTTCATATGAATCAAGGTCTACAGGCGAAAAGGCCTTTACTAAGATACCGGTAACTATTAGTACTCACGTCTAACAGATCGAGATCACTCAGGCTACGTAGACGTGGACCTTTCGTTGGCTCAACTACTTGTTTATAGGGTCTGTGAAAAGGCTAAAGAATAGAATCAACGAGAATACACCCATATTCCGAGATGCTCAGGCTTTTCCATTTATCTCGTGGCTCTCTTCCTGGTTTGTTTTGGCGTTCCAATCGATGTAGTACATACAACCCTCCCTAACCTCGGCAGTATCCTCTCACCCCCAACCACCCCCCTCTTATACTCCGAGACTCCGACTCCCTGCTCAGACACAGATACCACCACAATCGGCACCGCCATTGTCGGGATCGCATTCGTCGCGCGGGTCATCCACGCACTTCCTGCCGTCCTTGCATGGAATGCCAGCAAAGCCGCCGCAGAAGGCGGAGGCGGCGACGTCGACGCAGATGCCGGGCATGTCACAGGCCATGCCGCAGCCGCCGGTGTAGGGGTCGTCGATGCAGGCCTGGCCCTTGGGGCAGTCGAAGGGCTTGATGCGGAAGCCGCCGCAGGGCTGGTAGGTCGGCTTGGGGCTGCTCTCGCACGTTGTCGTGGTGGTCGAGGGAGCAGGGGGACGTGCTGCCACGAGGGTGGTGGTGCTGAGGAGGGAGAAGAGGACGGTCAGCGAGAGGTGGCGCATCGTGAACAAGCTGAGAGAGTGCTTTCTTTCGCAGAGACGATTATTTAGGTTCGGTTAGGATCGTCTGACTTGGTTCGATATCAGATGCTAGAATCATGTATTTCGCTTCCGCGGGCGACAGCCTCGATTTGTAGGCGCGAATTCAGGCCAGGAAAGAACCACTCCAGCCACTGAAACATGGTGAACAGTGAACAGTGAACACTGTGGGTGCTCGGGCAGCTGTCCGATTTCTCGTGTTTGACATCCGGCTGAAATGACAGCTTTCATTCCTCAGGTACCACGGGCACGATGTCACCAAGGGAGAGAGCAGTCTGGTTGAGCCAAGCCGGAGTTTCAGCCCGTCCACGTTTTCGGTATCGCCAAAATACCAGGCGATCTGCTACCACTTTTTTTTTATTTTTTTGCCCTATTTTTAGTCACCTTAATCCAGTCCGGTAGCGGCCACCTCCATCACAATTCAGGGGTCGGTAATATCTCGACGGGGCTAATGGAAATATGGCGACTTCCCTGCCCTTGCAGCACCTCCCGGATTTACGGTTACCGTTCCTCTACCGCTTCCTGTTGTGGCCTGGTGTTGGTGAGGAAACCCCGGTGAGAGCGAAGATCGACCAATTCGCGGTGTTTACTCAAACGAGCTCTCGGAGAATCAAGGCCGTTGCTGTTGTCCACTTAGGGTGGTTGAGATTTAGTCCTCCTTCTTGGTTGAGCTGTCAGTTAGAGGATTGGCAACGCCACCATGTCGGATGAATTATGCCCGCTTACGTCTGTCAATCCTGGCACCGTTGCAATTGTTCAAAGCCAAAGACTGATTTGGTTCCTCACCTGCCAGCCGCTCTACCGCTTGAGCCCGAGAAATCTAAGCTCCGTAACCATGAGTTCAAATACACACGCCTTGACCTGCGCCCAGTAGTAGGCTGTTTAAGACTTCTCCTTGCTTAGAGCTTCTGCTTGACGACTGACTGTAGTAGGTAAACTGAGTGGTCTCGCTTACAAGTTACAACCAACCTCTCAGGTCTCGTTTGCCGTTTAAGTGTCACGTTCCCGGAAACGTGGCGTTAAATGTATTGCTCGAACTTGAATCTGAGATCAGGTCTTCGTCATACTTCGCTTGATCCCGCTCTTGTATCATGTAGGATGGCGAGTCCATGTATATGCTATAATGTGGTTGATCTGTTCGAATTCCGCATGATATACTCCGTATTTTCTAGAACTCGATGTCCCAACTCCGTTCATTGTCAAACCCGTGCCTGACGGTGCCTCATCCTGAAACTCGATGGTGATATTGCTATCATCCGCTGGCCACTTTTAATAATAAAGAGAGACTTCGCACACTTCACAGCCGAAGTGACAGCTACACTTCCAGTGGGTCACCGTTTGTTCGAGATCCCGTTTGCCTCACCCGAGTCACCCCGCATTGCGTCATTTTCTCCCTTTCCAACCAACACCCACGCTCAGAGGTTTTGCAGGAGGTTTTCTGTCATTCTGAACGGGTTGAAAGCAAGACACACTCGGTCGCGATCCTCGTACCTGCACTCACTAAAAGTCTGAGGATTCATAAACAAACAACACGATACGATGACTTCAACAACGCAGCCCCGTGCGCTGAGAGTGGGCTTCGTTCCCGAACACTTCTCCACGCCGATCCATTTCGCCAAGAAGCACTACGGCCTGGACGCCGAGCTCATCCCCTTCCCCTCCGGGACGGGCCACATGATCACGGCGCTGTGCGGCGGGGAGATCGATGTTGGGATCGGCCTCACCGAGGGCTGGGTCGCGGCGCTGGGCAGGTCGCAAGTGGACCGGCAGGACGGCGGGTTCAGGCTTGTCGGCACCTATGTCGAGTCTCCGCTGTGTAAGTTATATCTATCTATCTACTAGTTTGTAGTTATGTGTGGGATCAAAGCTACTTATGCTATGATATGATATGATAGCTATGATTGAGGAATACCTAAACTAACAATCCAAATTCAATGGAATAAAGGCTGGGCCGTCTCGACGGGCACGGACCGGCCCGAGATCCGCAGCGTCGACTCGTTGCAGGGGGCCAAGATCGGGGTGTCGCGCATCGGGTCCGGGAGCTACGTGATGGGGTACGTGCTGGCGGACCAGCGCGGGTGGCTGATCCCGAGCGCGGGCGCGGGCACGGCGGGGGAGCAGGCGTTGCCCTTCTCCGAGTTCGTCGTGCTCGACACGTTCGAGCGGCTGCGCGGGGCCGTCAACTCGGGCGCGGCCGACTTCTTCATGTGGGAGCACTTCACGTCCAAGCGCTACTACGACCGCGGCGAGATCCGCAGGGTCGGCGAGATCTACACGCCCTGGAGCAGCTGGAAGATTGTGGCGTCGACGGGGCTGGTCGATGATACTAGTAATGACACCAGGCTGGACGACCTGCTCGACAAGCTCAACCGGGGGATCCAGCACTTCAACGAGAACAAGGAGGAGGCGGTGCAGTACATCAGCACCGAGCTGGACTACTCGGCCGAGGATGCGCAGGAGTGGCTCAAGACGGTCCGGTTTCCCGAGCGGACCCAGGGCGTCGACGAGCAAGTCATCTCGGGCTGCGTCGACGCCCTTTGCAAGGCCGGGCTGCTGCCGGTGGGCAAGGGGGTGAATGCAGCGGAGATGATCGCCAGGCAGCGGTGAGAAAGAGTGACTTAAATACGGTACCTACCTACACAAAAGGAAGGCCTCGATATATGAGATACGCGCAGTAAGTGGCACGGTTCACTTGATTGTTTGACACACAAGCTATAGACTTTGTATAACTATTTCTTTTTTTTTTTTTTTTGGAAAGCAGCCCAGAAAGTATTTCCATCTCAGCCTGCCCATACCCCCGTTATTATCAAACTTCCATATTTATTTTATGCCGGCGGCGTCAGGATGTAGATCTCGCCCTCGGCGCTGTTGTCGCTGCCGACAAACAGGCCGCGGCCGGCGGGATCCCAGGCGGCGGCGGTCAGGCGCATGCAGTTGCTCTGGGTCAGGCCGTTGGCGGTGCAGCTGGCCGGGTTGGGCGCGGCGAAGATGTCGGTGTAGCCGGCCTGGCTGTCGGCGGGCGCGACGGGGTCGTAGGAGCCGTCGGCCAGCTTCTGGAAGGGCACCTGCACCACCTTGAAGCCCGTCGGCGGCTGGCGGTCCCACGACCCGTGCAGGGCCACGTACATGTTTCGCGCGTCGCCGTCGAACGTGTTCCAGATGGGCGCCGAGTGCGCCATGAAGCTCAGCCGCGGCGGGATGGCCTTGTTGGCGGCGCAGCTGGCGTCGTTGTACGAGCTGCTCGGCGACATGACGAAGTTGCTGCCCGTCTTGAGCCCCGAGCTGCCCGAGAAGCCCGACGGGTCCCACACGGCGAAGCATGTCGGGTAGCCGAACCAGGCGTTGCGCACCGTCGTCGGGTCGCCCAGCCGGTTGAGTTCCTCGGCCGGGTTGTTCTGGTGGATGTCGCGGCGCTGGCCGTTTTCCGTGCGCGCGACGTCCTATAATTATACGCCAGTGTCAGAACTGCTACTATTCAACAAACAACAACCTGGAGGACGGTTTCACGGGTCGATGCATACATCCGCGCTGTTCTCGACGCCCCAGAACACGCCGGCCGGGTCCGGCACGAAGCCGATGGTGTTGCGCAGGCCGTAGGCAAACACCTCGCCGTCGGTGTTGTAGTTGAAGCCGTTGGCGGGCGCCTTGGCGGTGTCGAAGACCTTGATGATGGCGCGCCCCGTGCTCGGCTGGGCGGCTGCCGTGTCGAGGTTCTGGTTGCTGCCGACCTGCAGCAGCAGCAGGTTGGGCTGCTTGGGCACGACGGCCAGCGTGCGCGTGAAGTGGATGCCCGACGACATGCCGCGCACCACCGTCTTCTGGTTGCTGACGGTGCGCGTGCCCGCGTCGTAGCTCCAGCTGTACGCCGCCGTCTCGCCGCTGGCGTACAGCGTCGTGCCGTCCGGCGTCAGCGCCAGCCCGTGGTTGAGCTGGTTGCCCGTGATGAGCATCGCCGTGCTGTTGACGCACCCGTCCGCCCCGAACGTGTGCACTGAGATGCCGCGCGTCGCCTGCGCCACCAGCATGTTGCCCCGCGGATCCCACACGATCGTCCGCACCTGCTTGAGCCCGCCTGCCAGCTTCATCGCCGACCACCCGGATGCCGCCGTGTACTGGAACCGGAAGTTGCTGACGCCGCTGCACGACCGCGGCCGCGGAAGCTGCGGCACCGTCGTCTGCGCATCCGAGCCTGTCGTATCCGTGATATTATCATTAGCATCACATCCCGTCAGGGCAAGGTTTTCTACTTCTTGGAGCCCTACCCGCCCAGAACAGGGCTGTGACAGCCACAGCAGTCTCGAACAGACGCATTGTTGCTACTTATAAGTAAAGCCTTGCCCCTGATGAACCGAGTACTAGGTAGAGCCTGTGTATCAAAGCGAGAGGGGGCTAGCTGTACAATACAACACGAGACTCACGGCTCCAAGGCAGAATGGGCGTTCGCTTCATTTTAATGTTTCCGAAGGGCAGACTCGCTTTGGAGACTTTCTCAGTCGGTGTATTAAACTACAACCATCCGCATCATGCTATGATTCCATCGCTGTTTGGCAGAGTTGCAGAGTTTTGGGTCCCATGCGTCATGTTGTTTGTCTGGGCCAACCACTTGGTCGAACGAAGCTTTCCAATATCGCGCTTGATAGCCTGTTCGGCAGATCGGCTCCGAGCTGCTTGGAAGAGGTCACGGCAGTTACCCCCAAACAAGCTTCTCCAACCTGCATGCCAGGGGCAGAACGTGCGGAGGTGCCAGCCATTGGCCAAGCGCGCCGTCGATATTAAAGTCCATCATTTTCCGCGTCATCTTCCCTTCTGGAAGAAATGCCCTTCTATTGCGTCAGGGGCCTGCCCGTCGGGGACTCGGGGGAGACAGTTGTGGTTGGAGAATGGTGAGGCCACGGCCGGTGCTTGGAGGTCGCATTGGCGGCTCGGGTGCGTTGGAATGCAGTAGATCCCGGGGTTAAATGAAGGGATCGAACGGGAAACGAAAAACATGGGGAGAAGGAAGAGAGAAAGACCGAAAGAGAGAGGGATGAAAACGATACTTTGTTGCGTAGCAGCTGCATCTGTCCGGCTGACGGGGATGCTGGTGTACGGATTGCCGGGCCACCTAGAGGGAGGGTACTACCTTACTACTTACCATACGCACTGCAGGAGTGTCCGAGGTCCATGCTATTGACATTATGATTAAGGTAGTTGGAATTGATAGCGCACACAGAATACACATAAATCTGAATCAGGTTCCCTTCACTTGGCCGGAAATGAGTGTACCTCTGCCGGGAACCGTTTTCCCGTCAAGGCAGTGTATCCCTCTAAAGGGACTCAGAGGCCTCTCCATGCTCCAAGGAGTAGACGTGAGAATGCAAGCGGGTACTACCTATCATAAGATGATGGTGATGTCCATACACATCTTAAACGGTGCCTTCGCTGCTACGACATGACTGATATCCCCTTCTTTTCGGCCAGTGCTTGCTCTCTCTCACCCCTACCGCTTCTACACGCCACTACCAAAGTAGCAAACTTTGAGGCTAAACGCCTGTGGCATCGTCATGACACTTAATTACATTGCTCTCCTCCACCCAAAGCCTGACCGCGTTGCACGGGTAAGACAGCCAACCTCCAAGAGTGTGAAGCAGCGGTACTTGCTAATACGGTGATGTGATCTGGGCAGGTGGAAGAGATTGCCCGAACCATTTGTGACTCGGTGTATGAGAAGGAGCCCGGTGTGTTGAAATACCAATGGTTCCGTGCAGGCGACACAGAGCAACCCCTGATTGTTGTCTGGGAGACGTAAGCACTACTAAAGTCCCCTTCCAAGATTGAGTTCTCAAAAGGGAGAGCGAGTTGTACTAATATGGGATGATTATGTTCCGTAGATACCTCGATCAGGCAGCTGTCGATACGCACAAATCCAGTCCCATCATGGCGTGGCTCGTGGAGAACGACCAGAAGGAAGACAACTTCGCGACGCCAATCAGTGTGATGCCGCTTGAGTAATTTGCGGGTTGGGAGAGCCGGTCTTGAGGATTAGATTTCTGGTACAGACAAGACCGCGTATATTCCAAGAAGCAAATCCTAGGTTATTAGGAGACTTCGATTCGAACCAGTGAGATCGGTTTAGAAATTAGAACCGTCTTGCCAGCAACGTCCCAGATAGGCGCGCAATATACCTTCAACCCTAACCCCGTCTATTCCCGCTCCAGCGGTTTGTGCAACGTGCACACCTGAGCCCCGGACATCCAGGAACATCAACCCCACACCGTCGCACTGCGAGGACGCTCGTCGCATCTGGACAGCAACACCATCTACCTACAGCCTTTCGCCGACCTCACAGGCGCGGTTCCTCGCCATGGTCCTTCAAGATCTTGGCCGCCGCATCAATGCGGCCGTCAGCGACCTGACGCGCGCACCAAATCTTGACGAGAAGGCAAGTTTGCCAACCCGCGCCCATGCCATTCCGATAAGTGTCGTCACTGCACATGCAACCCAACCCATTGCTGACAAGAAGCGACCCTCCAGGCCTTCGATTCGATGCTAAAGCAGATATGCTCTGCCCTGCTCGAAGCCGATGTCAACGTGCGGCTGGTCGGCCAGCTGCGCAAGTCGATCCGCGCCACCGTCAAGTTCAAAGAGCTCCCGCCCGCCGTGAACAAGAAGCGGCTGATCCAGAAGGCCGTCTTCGACGAGCTGGTGCGCCTCGTCGATCCGCATGCCGAGCCGTTCAAGCCAAAGAAGGGCAAGTCCAACGTGATCATGTTCGTCGGGTTGCAAGGTGCCGGAAAGACAACAACCTGCACGAAGCTCGCCAGGCACTACCAGTCGCGCGGCTTCCGCACCGGCCTGGTGTGCGCCGACACCTTCCGCGCCGGCGCCTTCGACCAGCTGAAGCAGAACGCGACCAAGGCCAAGATCCCATACTACGGCAGTCTGACCGAGACGGACCCGGCCGTGGTGGCGCGGGACGGCGTCGAGAAGTTCAAGAAGGAACGGTTCGAGGTCATCATCGTCGACACGTCAGGTCGCCACAGACAGGAGAGCGCGCTGTTCCAGGAGATGGTGGACATCCAGACGGCGATCCGGCCGGACGAGACCATCATGGTGCTGGACGCCTCGATCGGGCAGCAGGCCGAGGCGCAGGCGAAGGCGTTCAAGGAGGCGGCCGATTTCGGCGCCATCATCATCACTAAGACAGACGGCCACGCGGCGGGCGGCGGGGCCATCTCGGCTGTCGCGGCGACGCACACGCCCATCGTGTTCATCGGCACGGGCGAGCACATGCTGGACCTCGAGCGGTTCGTGCCGCGCAACTTCATCAGCAAGCTGCTGGGCATGGGTGACATGGCCGGGCTAGTGGAGCACGTGCAGAGCCTCAAGCTAGACCAGAAGGAGACCATCAAGCACATCAGCGAGGGCATCTTCACGATCCGCGACCTGCGCGACCAGCTGCAGAACATCATGAAGATGGGCCCGCTCAGCAAGATGGCGGGCATGATCCCGGGCATGAGCAACATGATGCAGGGGATGGACGACGAGGAAGGGTCGCTCAAGCTCAAGCGCATGATCTACATCTGCGACAGCATGACCGACAAGGAGCTGGACAGCGACGGCAAGCTGTTCATCGAGCAGCCGACGCGCATGACGCGGGTGGCGCGGGGTTCGGGCACCACGGTGCGTGAGGTCGAGGACCTGCTCACGCAGCAGCGCATGATGGCCGGCATGGCCAAGAAGATGGGCGGCAACATGAAGAACATGCAGCGCGCCCAGAGCGCCATGGCCGGCGGCAACAAGGCCCAGCAGCTGGCCGCCATGCAGAAGCGGCTGCAGAGCATGGGCGGCATGGGCGGCATGGGCGGCATGGGCGGGCCCGGCGGCATGCCCGACATGGCCAGCCTGATGAAGATGTTTGGTGGCGGTGGTGGCGGCGGCGGCGGCATACCCGGTCTTGGGGGGATGGACATGAACGCCATGATGAGGCAGATGGGCGGAATGATGGGGGGGCAAGGGTCGCGTGGCGGGCGGAGGTAGGCATCAGGGCATCGCACATGCAGAGTGGTTTCTTCTTTCTTTTCTTTCCTGTCGTTCCATGTGCAACGTTAATGGTCAAAAGGGATCGCATGGTCTGGCGTCAGGGTGGTACAGCACAAATACAATACAACACGGGGGCCGGTCTACTGGATGATCATACCAACTAACATGTTATTGCACGATACCTACTAAGGTCCTATCCAAAATGGCCTGCAACGGCGTGAGCGGACAAAAATTGGATTGGCATCGATTGGAGCCTGTAAGCTACAGGTACATCGCAATAGCAGGGCCACACCCCATGGCACGTTGGGGTGGAAGCTTTGAGACTGATGCTGCAGTTAGGCCATCACTCTCATAGTGATTTCACCCTCTTGCCTCGACTGCATTATAACCTAACGCCTAAGTCCTAAATATAACGCCTAACGCCTAAGCTCGAACCCTACACTATATCCCCACTGCGCGGAGATAATGTCTACCTCCGGCGGGCTAGTCCATGCGCTCAACCCTTATAACATCAGGCTTATTAACAAGTCATATGGGCTCGAACCTCAAACTGATGATTTAGTAGCTCCTTTCTGGCTGTTGTTTGGGGCCACCGATACTTTCAACTTTCTCCTCGGCACACATTCGCAATAGACAACCGTCAGCAGTTACGTCACGATGGTCAAAACTCTCCCCTTTGCCGACATCGAGGTCCCGGTCCCCGGCTTTGGGGCAATGGGATTCAACCATGGCCTCGGGACAAACCTCACTTTGGAACAAGCCGAGCCGGTTCTGCTCAAAGCCCTTGAGCTTGGATGCACATTCTGGGACACAGCCGTAAGCCCGTACTATTCTCCTATTGACATCGGCGCAGCCGCAGCACATCATCCATAGACTGTACTATCTAGTGGTCAATACTGTACTGACATGACAAGGTTGTCTACGGGCTCGGAGTTAACGAGAAACTCCTTGGCGACTTCATCCGCAAACACAATGTTCGCGACAAGATCTTCCGTACGCTTCACAGTCTCGCTCTGGCCTTCTTGTTGTCGTCTTTGTGTTATTGATTTTCCCCGCAGTTGCCTCCAAGTGCGGTATCGACCTTGCATCCCGGCGCGATATCGACATGTCCACTCCGCAGATGACCGTCACCAACAAGCCTTCCCACATCAGGGAGTACATCGAGGGCACTATTGAGAGGCTTGGATCTGCTCCTGACCTATACTACCTCCATCGCATTGATCCGGGTACGATGACCACCGAGTGGCTTTACCTTGCCGTAGCTTTGTGTACAAGTACAGTATCCCACTAACGGTCTCTGTCTGTCCAAGACACGCCCCTTGAAGAATCGATCCCCGTCCTCGACGAGCTACGACGGACGGGCAAGACGAAATATATTGGACTCTCGGAATGCTCGGCGGCGACGTTGCGCAAAGCACACTCCAGTAAGAGAACCCACAGCCCTTTTCTTTTTACTTGCGGCTGGCAATCCTCAAGACACAGGCTACCACCCACTTACTAGTACTAACAACACGTTTTCCTGCAGTCGCCAAGATCGACGCCGTCCAGGCAGAGTACTCGGCCTTCGAGACACTGCACGAGACCGACGGGCTGATCGCCACGGCCCGCGAGCTGGGCATAGCCTTCGTGGCCTACGGCCCGCTGGGCCACGGCTGGTTGGTGGACGACTTCGCGTACGACAGCCCGGACGCCTTCGCGCCCACCGACTACCGCCGCAGCGTGCCGAAATTCCAGGGCGAGAACTTCTACCGCAACCGCGCCATCGTGCGCGAGATGCAGAAGCTCGCCGCCAAGAAGGGAAAGGGGTGCACCACGGCGCAGGTCGCCCTCGCCTGGGTTGCTGCCCAGGGGTTTATTGCGATCCCCGGCACGACTAAGCCCCATCGGCTGGAGGAGAACTGGGCGTCGCGCGAGGTGGAGTTGACGGAGGAGGAGATGGTCGAGATGCGGCGCATTGTTGAGGAGGCTAAGCCAAGCGGGGATCGGTATGGGGAGACGCTGCAGAAGTTGGTGGGTCATTAGATGATGATGATCATATGGATGAGGAGTACCTAGGCGGGCAAAACGCGACTGGTGGTCGTGTACAATACCTCGAGTTGGGAGTTGTTTCCTGGATTAGACTTGTCAATGGTTGTTAGTTAACTTGTGATATTCAAAGAGATGGGCTTTAAAGACTATGACCCATACGGTATATCCCCCCAACCTCAGCATCATCCATCCCCTAAGTCCCCCTAACCAAGTATGCCTTGGTTACCAACACGTTGTCAAAAGAGACCGTACATCAAACTTCTTTATCCAAGAAATCTGTTTTCCTGTCTTACAGCTACTAGTCTTACTCTTAGGCCCTGCTACGTAGGCCGTAGGAAAGGATGGGCTTCCGTGTTGAGCACATACTTGTCGAGGCTGATCAGGTCGGGCGGCGAGAAGACGAGGTAGAAGTACTTGAGCGTCTCGGCAATCCAGAAGCTCTGGAACAAGGTTAGCAAACTACGTACGCACTCTTTGTCATAAGGCGGATACCAGGTAGTCGCTGACCTCCATATAATCCTCCAGCTCGGGCTTGGCCGCGGTGGTGGTGACGTCCACCACGGCCGCGGCGCCCAAATCTGTGGCGGTCGACTCGGCCACGGCCCGGAACATATCCCATGCCGCGTCCTGCCATTCGGCGTCACCCGTGATGCGCCACATGTAGAACACGCTCTCGATGGCCTCGGGACGGAGGATGTAGCGCTTGTCAGGGACTCGGGTGAAGCCCTTGGGCAGCAGATGCTGTTGCTGCTGTTCCGGTCTGTTGTTGTTGTTGGACTCGGATTCGGACTCGGCTCCTTGCAACTGCAACTGCTTATCACGCTCTTCCGCCCATTTGTGCTCGTCCCACTTGCACGGCTTCCCCGTCGTTCCGTCGTTGTCGTCCTGCGTACCACGTCCACAAGGCACCATGCTGAAGCGCTCGGGCATCAGCCCCGTGGGAAACGCGCGGTAGGCGTACACGCAGCCGCGCGTGAGCCGTGCGCCGACCCGGACCTCCTCCTCGCGGTGCAGCAGACGCCCGGCCAGGGCAAAGGTGCCGCCGATGAAGCAGGTCAGATGCTCTGTCTCCGGGTCCAGGTGGGGCTCGCCGGTCTGGTAGTCGAGGTGCACGGTTCCGCTGATGAGGATGTCATTTCTTTTGTTGCTGATTTTGTCGTTGTTATCGTTGTGCGACGAGGAAGTGGAAGCACTAGAAGAAGGGGGGACCATGGGTTGGAAGAAGAGGTGGCGCTTGGCGGCGTCCATGAAGGTCCGTGTGAGGACTGGGAGGCGGGGGTCGGCACCGGATAGAAGGGCGTGCAGCTTGGGGAAGTATTCATACAGGCTGTCGGCACAACCTCCCAGCGTAAAGGTGTCGCCTGTTGTGACGTCCCCGCGCAGCATGGAGACGAACATGGGGAAGAGGCCCGGCAGGCCCGTCTGGTTCTGGCCGCGGTAGAAGAGCTCGACGACGGCGGTGATGGCGTCGTAGTATTTGGGATCGCCCGTTATTTGGGACAGCCGGGCCAGCTCGAGCGTCAGGGTCCCCGGCGATGCCGACACGACCGTGTTCTCGACAACAAGCCCCGTCCCGGCCTTGGCAGCCTCGAAGTTGATCATGTCGACCGGCATCCTGTGCTCCGTGTTGAAGCCGCCGTAGATGAGGTCGCCCAGCTCGACGGCCTTCTGCAACAGCACTGACCGCCCGCTGAGGTCGTATGCGGCCAGCAGCCCGCCGAGATAGCGGATGTTGGTCTCGAAGATGTTGACGGTCGGCGACGTGGAATTTCCAAAGTCGATCTCGGCCACGGCCGCAACGGCCTCGTCGAATTCGTCCCGGAGGCCCATGATCCACAGCGTGTCGAGCGAGTCGACCAGCGTGGCCGCCCAGCCCGAGAACTGGTCCCGGCCCGTCCCGGACAGCGGCATCAGCGCGTCCTGCTTCCACGCATATCGGCGGTAGCTGTCCCACGACTTCCTGGCGAGCCGCCGCACCGCCCCGCGCCGGGCCTCGCGTATCTTGCGAGCGCTGGAGGGTTCCCTCCCGAATCGGTGCTGGATCCGTGGCAGCGCACTTCCCTTGGCCGGCTTTGGCACCCCGACGGGTTGCTGCCGCGGTGGATAGCGGTGTTCGATCCTGCCCCAGTCGACGCTGCTCTTGGTCGGGGTGAAGGGGTGAGACGGCGGGCCTGCGTTCATATGCCGCTCGAGCAAGACCGACTCGCTGGCTTCAAACCGGCCGAGGAAGTAGAGGAATGTCAAGGCGAAGACGATGGCCAAGAGAAGGTTCTTTGTTGTCCTCGACCTGAACCTGAAGGCCGTGAGCCGGATCCGAGACCGAGGTGGGCGCCATCGCCTGTGGTCGGTGTATGGCGGCATCGGTTGAGCGAAGGGGCGGGCCTCAGACTCTCAGTCCTCAGCCCCCCTAAAAGGTTAAGGTGTAATGCAGCGGGCAAGATGAGAGGGATAAAATCAAAACATTGCTAACAGCAAACGGCTGACGGTCTACCATGTCCCACACTTTTGGTAGTATAGATAAATAATCACCTTAGCGCATGATATGACCTAGGTGCGACTCCCAAGTCTCTGCCAAAACGTGTAGGTTAGACCGGTAGCCGCCATTGCACAGCCAAAGGCCAGAGTGGCACCTCCGAGACTCAGGGTGCCGCCAACAAGCGCCAACAAAGGAGATTGTGCCGTCTCGGCTGAAACCGACTCAGCAAGTGCCGCTCGAATTGGTGCATAGCTTGTCTGGTGGCTCAAGCAGAAGTAGCATCGGGTCCCCGTTTAATTATGCCACATAGGATCGGTTATTGAATGAAACAGAGGGGTAAAAATGGGAAGAGTTCCAGCTGGCAGCTGGTTTGCAAGCGAGCTCAGCATAATAGGACAAGAAATTACCAATGACACGTCAATTATCAGTCACTTTGGCGGAGTGGTTAACGCGCTGCCCTGCTAATCCACAGTTAGCATGTTAGGCAGTTCCCTCGGGAGCGTAGGTTCGAATCCTACAGGTGACGAACTTTTGCCGTCTTTTTTGCTTTTTCGTCCTAGATCTTGTGCAGTGCATAAAACACTGCTGATCAGTTGACTTTGAGTTAGACCTTGCAGCATCATGCCACAATCGCCAATGTGATCCAAGTTTGTAACATGTTAGATTCTTCCATGGCGAATAATCTGTTGGCCGGGCCTGAAGTGTCACTCGGGCATCACTGCTTCTGTGTCGCTCTTGATGGAGGTTGTGAGAACGATAATAACCTGACGAACGGCATGAGTTCTCTTATCAGAGGTGCCTGTTGAAGCAGCGCCCATTGAGGTAGTACCACCATTTTTGAATAGTGGCACAGAACGTAAGGCATCGTGGTAGGTGACGCAGACAACTCAAGATGGGAGTCGGCAGCCCGCATGAGAGGTTCAAACCCTAACCCCAACTAGCTGTTTCTCAACTGCAATTTGAGGGGGCGGGGCAAGCGGTGACTGTCCCTGCCACATGCATTTGCATATTCGCAATCACGACCAACCTCACTCACCGCCCTTTATTATCAGAGGGGCAGCCCCTCGCCTTATCGCCGCCACCACTCCAAAACTAACTTGTACTCCAGGGTCGTGCTCCATCACGCGACCTGTTTCCGGGGAGACCAGCCTCCCCCTCCCATTGCCGAGCATCAGCCTGCAATACGGGATATGCAGCCTCAAGGGGCCCGAGGTCATCACCTAGGTCAGGCACTGCCCAGAGTCCCAGAGGCCTCTCCAACAACGCATTCGATCCGTCCTCAAGCACCCTGGACGCTTTGGTAGCGTTTTATGGCTCCTGAGGTGGCGTGCCTCGCCATGCCCAACCGTTCGAGGTCAATTGACCATGGCAGCCTCAAGTGCTCGCATATCGGACGCATATCGTGGATCCGCCCAACGCACATCCTCCGCGATTTGCATTAAGCGGCCCATGCTCGATTGGGGGTTGGGTGCGATGCCAAACTTGATTGATGGGCCGGTCTAGCAGGGGGGTTCTGCCTACGTGGCGGCATGCCTGTCCACCAAGCGAGAAGCGCGCTTACTCGAGCACATTCCATTCCTCTGAAACGCGCAAGTTTGGGTTCCGCACCAGGGCTCGCCATGCAGATGAATGGAGAATCGGGAGGTTAGGAGCCCAACCACCAAGTTCGAATTCGACAGAGCAGAGGAACGCGGATCCACGTGGAGATGCCGAGTTCACATGCGCCGGTCGCAGAAGGGGGGCGCTCCGGCCCCCGGCGACCGCCAGTCAGTGGTCGAACAGGGCGAAGCCGATGGCGGGGCCGCATCCGATTGGGAAAGCCGCAAACACTGCTGGCCCTGCCGCCTTGACTCACGGTGGGCACAATCGGCGCCCAGGAGCAGCTCAAGTCGCTGCAGCCGCTGGCGCGGTTGCAATGGAGTCGCAATCGCCGCTGATCCCCTGGCAAAAATTCGACGGATCGAGACTTGACAGCTCACCAAGGGCAACGCAAACTCGATGGCTGCAAAGCCTGCAATGCACGCCGGGACTCTCGGCTCAAGCAGCCAGCTGCACTCAGGCTTAGGTAATGGGGCCAGCCCAGGGCAGCCATTGAGCGATTGAGGCCCAACCTCGACAAATGGCGAGAGTCCAGCGGAGAGAGTTGCGTCTTGTGTTGCGTCTGGTGCATCTGTTGGTGCGTTTTGGGAGTGGCAGCGATGTGGATGCCAGCTCACAGCGTCACAGCCTGGAGGCGAGCCACATCGGGCTATGGGTGCCGTGTATGCCGTGGGATAGAAATATGCCCCTCGTCTCCGGCTCTCCGGGTCTGTCTCGAGCCATTGCAGCCATCCTGTTCATGAGAAAACTTCTCAAAAAACTCAAACGATTCAACATCATCTACATCACGGTTGAAGCCGCAACTCTCATCGGACTCACCTTTGTTGCTGCCGCCTCGTACATCCTCCGCATCATCATGGCGAGGAAAAAGAGCAAGGGCGGTCCTCCGTCGACCGGCTCGCCGGCTACACAAGGTGCCGATGCCAAAGGCCCTGCTCCGTCAAGGCCGGCCTCGGTTGCGGCTCCCGTGATGAAGAAGGAAGCCGATGCCAGACCAGAGACTTCGTGAGTGACGGCGCCCCCCCACAAGGTCTTCCTACGTCACGTCAGGATCTTCAGTGAAAGAACCCTAGAGCTAACGCAGTGTCGCCATCCACAGCCCCTACGGCAGCCCCAGCTGCACCGTCCCCTTTGCCAGCCCGCTCACCGTGGCGCTGGACATCCTCAAGAAGAGCCCCAAGCTCCATGCCGCCTACGAGCTGCGGCTCCCGGAGCTGACGGTCATCCCCGAGCCCGTCGGCCATGTACTCGTCCACTACCTGCACACCAGGACCTACGAGGCGCTCAAGCCGCAGGGGGCAGACAAGATGTCCAAGCAGCTCAGCGAGCTCAGGACGGCCATCCAGGCATATGCCGCCGCGAGAGCATACGAGCTCCCGGGCCTCATGCGCCTGTGCGAGGGCAAGATCACCAAGTTCGGCGAGGGTCTGCCGCTGCCGTCGCTGCTCGAGGTGGCGCGGGACGCCTACCCGACCCTGACCGACAGCGATGATTGGTTCCTCGACTATCTCCGGTCGCGCATCCGCCCCCACCTGCGGGACCCAGAGGTGCTGATGGGGTCCAACCTGCTGGAGCAGATCAGCAGCATCCTCTCGCCCAACAAGGTCCTTCTGCGCACCGTCCTGGAGCTGTTCTGCGAGAGGATCGTGGGCCGCCCGGAATCCCCGGCACCCGCCGCCTCCACGCAACAGGCCGCCAGCGCCATGGCCAGCCCCGTCACCAGCCCAAGCAGCTCGCGGCCCGTCACCCCGCTCCCGGCATCAGCAGCCATGTCGATGCTCGAGATGAGGTCAAGATCCGTTCCCCGCAGCCCGTCCACCCCGCCGTCGCGGAAGAACACAAAGGGCAGCCCGTGGCCGTCGCCCGACCACGTGTTGGAGGACTCGTCGTCCCTGAGGGCAGCGTCGCCAGAGCCTGCCTTCGAGATCAAGCCTATGCCTGCATCGCCAACCCCCGGGCCCTTCCTGGAGCTGGGCCCCGTCATCATGGATGTCGTGCCCTCGCCGGGATCCTCAACCGAGGCCAACGCCGAGGCTGAGCCCCAGGTCAAGGCTGAGGCCGAAGCCGAGGCTGAGCCTGAGACCAAGGTTGAAGCGGAACCCGAGGTCGAGGTTGAGGCTGAGGCCGAGGCCGAAAGGGAGGACGGCGCTACTGGCGCGGACCCTGCTGCTGTCGCCCAATCCGAGAGGAGGGATTCGGGCAAGGACATCGAACTGGAACTCCCTTCGAGGGAGCTCCAGACTGTTCCAGAGCACATGTCTGAGCTTGAGGCCCAATTCAACCCTCAGCCCCAGAGCTTGCGGCCGGCGGCTCGGGAAGCCGACTCGGGATTCTGGGAAGGTCCTGATGCGGAGGCCAGCAAGGAGCCCTCGATCGTTGAGATTCAAGAACCCGTCTCCACCTTGGTGCCGATTGCCGAGCCTGTTCATGAGCTCGAGTCCAACGTCGACCCCAAGGAGGGCACAAGCGTCCACATTCGCGACTTTGCGGATTCCGACAAGACGGAGATGGACAACAAGGCGGACACCCAAGCCGAACACGCACAGGAGCCCGTCTCCGAAAGGGTGGCCGAGAACACCCCCGATGCCGTGACTGGGCCGGCGGTGGAGGAGGCTGAGGACAAGTCCGCCGACGCAACGGCACAAACCAGCCCAGCCGAAGGAGAGCCAAGGGAAGCGAAGGGCAAGGAAGTTGAGGCACAGCCGGAGACAGAGAAGGTACAGCCCTTCCTAAGAGGTCGAGAACAAGAGTGTTTGCTAACCGTTCAGCAGGCTCAAGAGGAGAGCGTCGAGCCGCAAGTGGTGGCGAAGGTCCAGCCCGAGCCCGAGACGACCCCGTCGGACAAACTCCCTGTTCCCGACGATGCTCAGCCCGCTGGGTCCGCTGAGGCCAAGGCGGCTGAGCCTAGCATCGAGCCGGGGACGAAGCCCCCTGGGGAGCCCAAGATTCACCGCGCCTACACCGACTCCGCCATCCTCGCCGCGGCGCGCGCTGACGATGCCGCAGACGCTCCGGCGGTTCTCGGTGCGCAGCCTGCAGCGGAGCAGGACGGCGCGAAGGCTGACGCCGACGCGGCTGGCAACCAGTCCTGCAGCCCCCAGGTGAGGCAGAAGGGCTGGAAGAAGCGCTTCATGAGCATCCGCTACCCACTCATGTTCGGCCGGGGCATGTGACTCGCGAGGCCAGCGCCCGCGGTGTTTTCCAAGACCAAAAGTCGCGTGTCGGCACCGACGGGCGCCGGCCCCAGCAGCATCCAAGACAACCTCTTTGCGGCGGCAGCAGTGACAACGACAACGGCACGCGCAACCCCATTGCAAGGACCTTGTACAGTCTCCTATGTCGCACACACGAGCCATGATTCTCCTTCTCCGGCTTCTTCGGCTACAGCATCTCCCGCTTCTTCAGATCCTTCGGCTTCTTCGGATTCTCCTTCGGTTTCGTTCCTCTCCGCCTTATGGCTGGCGCTCGCCGCTCTGGCTTTCACTTCGGCTTCTTCTTCATCTTCCTCATCATCTTCGCCAGCCCCCGGTGGCGACGGCACAGCATTAGATTGGGCATTGCTAGGCTCACTGGTGTTTCAGTTTTTCTTCTTGTGGTCCGTCGGCTGGCACGCGCTACGCGGCTTCGCGCGTCGGCGACTGGACGGCATCGTAGGGTATGGGGCTTCGGCATGGGCATGGGTTTGGCATGGGAGTGGGCAGCATCATCATCATCAACATCGTCGGTCTCGAAATTGGACTATCACGTGGAACTTGGGCAGGTCGTCTATCGCTAGGGTTTGGGAACGGGTGTCGTTCTTCTGGAGGCGATGAACTTCTTTATCTATATGGGTAGTAGCTAGACTGCAGACTTTGTTACGAGGCGTGTGTGGTAGCATATATACATACATACATATATACATACATACATAGCATGGGATATGAACAGGATGAAAATGAAACATGGGCTGCGTTTTTTGGCTTAGCGATTCGATGGTTTCCTTGCTGAACCTGTTCCTGGGCTGTTGGTTTGTGTCATGAGATGCTCAGTTCCAGCAGGACTTATCGAATGGGCGAGCTAGGACGTGCAATGCTGCCCACATCGCCGTCGTTCGGCTGCGCAAGGAGGTGGTGGCCGAATCGGTGATTGGATAAGTTGCTATCCCGTTTCGCCTCCTTCCTCGGGCGGGCCAGGCATCGTGCTGTTGCACTTTTCGCAGAACATGCCCATAATGTTAGCTATTTCGCCACCCTTCGTCAACAAACCCAGTTGAGCTTATTGTCATGAGTACCGAGAACGCCAGAGGGCTGTTTAGAGCGAAATATTATTAGCGGGCCTATTATATTCAATCAAGGCAGGAGGAGAACCGTGAAGGAAAAGAAGGCAGGTATGAGACGGCTGGTGACAGGCTGTGAGAGTGTCAGTATTCGGTTGCTGGCCTATCAAATTGTTGATACTAGTGAGTACTAGTAATCAGGCTCGACAAGTTTCGAGATGGAACCGAATACTTCGACATCGGCATCCGTGCTCAGGTAGCTGCGACCAACCAGAGAAGGTTATAGATTGATTCGTAGTGGAAAGATAGGATTTACTGGCTCTTCCTACGACTAACTTGTCACGTAACCTGTCTAACAATTGAACAAATGGAATGATTAATACTAGCCCGGGTATACAGCAACAAGACAAACAGCAACAACCAGAAAAGCCACCAGCTACTAGTACGTATAGTACAGCACTTATTACAGTATATAGGTCCCTCACTCCCTCTCATCTCGGTCCACCCCTCCCTGACGACCAACAGAAGAACCCCTTTCTCTTTTCCTCTCCTGCGCCTCCGCATGGATCAACTCCCGGAGGATGGCCAACCCCTCCAGCCGATCCGACCTCCTCCCGATATCCAACCCCCACGCCTTCAGGAAGGGCGCCTCCCCGCGGTAATTGACGTGCAGCCAGATGCGTTCCTGGCGCGTGTGCCGCAGCGAGTCGACTCGCTCCGAAGGCCGCCGAGCCAATCGGGTAGGTTTTGTCTCTTCTTCTTCACCTCTTCCTTTTTCTCTTTCTCTGCTGGTTGTCGTGGTGGTGGTTGCGCTGCTTGTGGTCTGCGCATTTGGAGTGGGAACGTACGGTGCGCCTGCTCCATCGCTGCTGTTCTTGTTCTGGACCCGTTGTTGTTCTTCCCTTCTTTCTTTGCTCCCGCCGTACGCTCCGACAATGCTCTCTAAGTCGGTGCCGTCTGGCGTGGGAGGGGGCGTGTCGACGTGGATGGCGGGCGGCGCGACAAATGCCCAGTCGTCTTGTCGGTTTGCTGAGACGCCTCCTGCTCCTCCTCCTGCTGCTGCTGCTGCTCGTTGGCTCTGCGAAGAGGGCGATCGTACAGCATACTCAGGCTTCTTAGGCCTATCGCTCCCCGGGTTGGCTTTGTCGGCCGCTACTGAGCCTCCTCCCTCGGCCCGGTGCTGCTGTGGCGGAAGGATGGGGAGGGGCTTGTACTTCGAGTCCTTCCGTGCCAGTGGCGTGGGTTGTTGCCCCGTGGGCCGTGGTGAGCTGGGTAAGGAGGGCAATGGCGTGTTGGGCGGGGGTGTCTTGGGGCTGCGGCTCTTCTCAGACGACGGCAGTCTGAGCGGCGGCGGCCGGAGGTCTGTAGCGCTCAGGGGGCTAGGAGGAGCAGGGTCCTCTCCCCCTCGGCTCGGGAGTCTCTCGTGGGAGGGTTTGGGTCTGAGAGGAGGCGGCTGCGACTGCGACCTTTCGGTCTCGCTTGGTGGCTCCTTGTAAAAGTCGAACCACTTGGTGGCGCGGCTGTCGATCGAGCCGGTGTCACTCTTCAGTGCTCGATTTCCCAGGGTTGACCCCGGCACTAGAAGGGTGGAAGGGGACTGGGGGGCGCTGTTGTTGTTGCTGCTGAGGGCGCTCTCAATGCTCGGAACATCTGCGTCCTCGACGCGCCCGCCACCCAAGTGCTCGATCTGTGGCCTCCAGGCTTCCGGTGCGGATCTGACTGACGCCGTGATTGTCCTTGAAAACGAGCCTCAGCGTTTAGGTTCCACACGTTGTAAAGGGCGGCATGGCATATCTTACCGACTGGAACCGGACCGCTTGACCCATTTAGGAACGCGGAAGCTGGTCTTTCTTCCTACGGGCGACTTCATCGATGAAGGCGTTTCCGGTCGCCTGTCGACAGCAGGAGAGATGGAGATGATCGGTTCCGTTCTCGATCGGCTTGGTCCGGCACCTGCAGACGCACCACTACTACTACTAGTAGTCGGCTCAGGCCACACCCCGGACATGACAGCCATTCTCTCAGTCGACTCGTGTATTGTGTCCATCGCGAAAGTCGGGCAGAACAATTGGGCACGGGCCAGAAGTTGATTGATTTATTTAGTGGCCATGGCACTTGGGTCTCGGAAGTAGGGCCCAATATTATGAGATTCGGCGCCCGCTATTCCCGTCGACGGGTCCGAGTCTCAGTCAGGAGCTGGGCAGAGCCAGTGGAAAGATCCAGAAATCTCCGTGCTGATATCTTTGCTGTTTTACGTCACTCGAGCCCGACTAAATCCCTTTGCGATTTCCGCGAGGGCGCAGTCCAAGATGTATCGGAGTGGCCTCAGGGGCTCGCGTCTTGGCAGACCCATTGGCCGTTCGCGTAGACGCAGGTCCAGCCGACTTGAAACACCAAACCCCAAGCGCAGCCAATAAGAGACTTTGCGACCATCTTGTTTCAAACAAGGGTCGAAAGGGTCAACAGAGCAAGGACTAATCCATAACATATGTTTTTCCGTGGCTGCGTTCTGCCTTAATAACCCAGGATGCATACCCGAAGTCGTATTGGATACGGAAAGTCGAATCCGTGGGGGGGGGGGACTGAGAAAGAGGACCGAGAAGAAGTGAAAGACGAACCCACACGCTGCTTCGGACTTTTACCTGCCTGGGAACGGCACGTGGCCGGGAGCATGGATCGGATCCGGACTCCGGAGGATTTTGACAAGCCCGGAGATGGCGCCGTCTGTCACTTCAGCCCCTTTAGCCCCTTTACACTAGTGTAGCTCCTGGTTCCTCGCCGATGGACGGGGCATCCCGGGGGAAATCGAACTTTCCATGGAAGCATCGCTCTGCGAGCGCGGCAATATATTCCCGCATGGAACGCGTATCATTGAAGCGTGGGTGGTCGTCGTTCTCGCCGGCGGCTTTCTAGCCAATTCTCGCCCGGATTCTGGTGGAGCAACGTCTGGATTTTGTAGGAGTTCATGGTGAGGCTCATGGTCTGATTCCTTTACGGACACTTTTACGCAAGCTTCCACGACCTGTTTACGGACTAGTGTACACTGGGCATTCTATTACATCTTCGGCATGGAGACCCAGGATCTAGTCCTTGACTGACATGTATTGTCCTTGCTGCTGTTAGAAAATCAACTCTTGACGGAGGAGGAGGAGCCATCATGCCAAATGTACGGATGTACTATACATACATACCTGCCAAGTGTAAGGGACCACATGCTCCGCTTCTTCGGTTGATAGGACAAGTTGAGACGCGGCGCATCCCTTCCGATTACGCGTTTACCCCCCTGCGATGTGTCTTCGCAACGTGGTTCGGGTCATGGTTATAGACCCTGGTCATGCTAAACTTAGTAACTATAATTGGGGAAGCAAGGCCTTCCGCCGGAGAACGCCATACACCGAGCCCCTGATCCTCATAGCTACAGAGAGTCAAGCAAATATAATGAAAAGGGTAGAGGAAAGCATGGAGAAAGGTAGATCGGGAAGAAGCCAGAGAAGACAAGAAAGAAGACAGAGGAAAGAACGAAGATGACAATGATGAGTAAGAAGAAGAAAATGAGGTTGAAGAGGAAGACGGCGAAGAAGCCGGGAATAAAGATAAAAAGAAAGGTTACAACATAAAGAAGAAGGAAGAAGATAACGAGGAAGAAGACGAGAAAGATAAAGCGAAAGATCAGAAAGATGAAAAAAGAAGATGATGACGACAAATGAAAGGTGCAGGAAATATCAGAACTCGAAAGTTGAAAGTGCAACTGGTAACCAAACATTTCTATCTCCTCAGGTGTGCCCGCTGGCATCGGCTGACATCGAGGTGTGGTTTCCGGCTTATCTTTGGCCAGAGGGAGCCTGGGAACCGAAGCATCACACCCACGGAACCCCCGGGTGCTGAGAAAGATCGGCTCAGAGCCTCGGGGGGCTAAGTTTGGATCTAGAGGTTAGGAACTATCCACTGCAAATGATCAACGGTCTTTCCCGTGGCCATCCGCATGACTAGGCCCATCGTTACCATACCTGACCTTTCTAGGACCGACTCGAGGAACAGCCGGAATTGTATCTAAGGATCCACACCGTTCACGACCCGTGATACAATGCGGGATCGAGCATAATGTGTTCTCAGAGCCGAGAAGGGTCCGAAACATCTCTTCCCTTAGCAGCACTGCCCCGACTTGCCTTCACCAAACCTCACCAAGAAGCCGGTAAGTATCCGAAATTGGCCCCCTTCCCCGCAACCTTAGCAGCGCTATCACGCTCGCCAGGTTTGGGTCCGATGATGTGTGGGTTATTGAAGCAATCCAGAAAGGAGCTAAGATGAAGGCCGTCGAGATATTCAAGAAGCGCACAGAAGACGGAAACGTCTTCCCCAGTGATACGATGGAGAGACCCAGGGACTATACAAATTACGTAAGATGCTAGCCAGACTGCCAGAGTAACCTATGCTGTCAATAACACGATATGCTCCAGGGACGTACACTCCAGGGACGTACACTCCATTGGAGCAAGGGGATAGGAAGCCTACGCCTTACCGTCTAAGCTTAGAAGGAGAGGAAGGAGAGGAAGGAGAGGAAGGAGAGGAAGAAGGGTTTGTGACTAGTACCCCGGAATGTACGACGAAGTCTGGAGTCCCAGCTGTTTGATCAGTGGTAGTTGGATCGATATACAAGAGATGCATGTGCGGACAGTGTGGTGATCTTACATCTCTATCGTTGTGGTGCAATCTTCACCGCGAGCGCATTGCACGAGTCGAGAACATCCTGGAGGACTACCTACTGCTAGTAAAAATGCTGTTTGTTGAGGCAAGCATACTGCCGGAGGCTTAGTTTGATCTCGGAGGTAGCCGACATATGTTTTTTCTCATCACCCGCACTGGGTCCCTCTCAATCTCATATGGATTAGCTCTCGCGGCTCGTTCTGAAATCCGCCTGCCGGGCGTAACCTAGAACCACAAATCCGGACCGCCGAAGCTAAGCGGCTTGACGATGGCCGGGTCTGGCCAGAAGCCGGAGAATTTTTACTGAGGCTGTGATTACCAGTTTTGGTGCTGGATGCTGCAGCTGCACCTCGGTACTGGAGGATTCGGTGGGGCAACATGCGACATCAATGGCATTGTGCCGTCATCGCCATCCAAGTTCGTTTTAATAAGTAGAAGCCATTGTGTAACCGCAAGTTCGGTCCATAACTCCATGGTCTCTGGAGTTCAATAAATCCTAAGTCACTAAATGGAAGGAGAAAGAGCCCAGCAAGCGTTGCCGCCTGACAACCGCCCACGGCGTGTCCGTTCTCGCTCACACGGGGATATCAGAGATGTCCGCAACAATAACACCCCGAACAGGATATACGCGGGACATGGCAATAGTAGCACATCGTCCGCATCACCACGTTCACCAGCGCCTTACGCCTCCCATCTGCGCGAAAGCTCAAGAACTTCGTGCAATAATGGCACGGGCAGACTGCCCCAGCCAGCAAGTCGGACTCCTTCGCCATCCCCAACCCGGCAGAGGTACCAACCGCCACAAGCTCTTCCAGCGGCCAGCATTCCGGATCACTCGAGGCGCTCATTAGAGTCCCTAATAAGGCCCACGGTGCTAGCCGACCGATGGAGCTACGACCGCGAGCGGATGCCGTCTCCTCCGCCTCTGGGGACACACATCTCACAGCCGGGCACACCCAGCACAGATGGGGACGTGTCTGAATTCGGCTTCTCCATACCAGCCAGCACGTTCACCGGCTCGCAACCGTCCAGCAGACCGCAGTCGCTACTCTTGGTAGACACGACCCCGAGTACCGACCCATGCGGCTCCTCCCTGCATCATCGTGTTAGACCAAGCAGTCCCACGTTGATGGTCACTCCACCTCCAGAATCATCATCATCAGCGCCCGAACAGTACTCCGATCTAAAAGGCGACCAAACGCCACAGCGGCTGGGGAGGCGGTCCTTCCATTCCCTCACGTCTGCCGAAATGGAGATACTCTCGCACCCACCGCCAGCACACCCACCCATGTCTGCAGCAGCGGCAGCATCACAACGCTCACTATCATCGCGGTCACCGGATACAGTAGTAGCAGCAGCAGTAGCATCGCCCAATTCAAAACAGAACGGCCACTCAAAAAGGGAGCTGACGAGTCCAACCTGGGAAAGACAGGGGCGAGCTCGAGCGGACAACCACGGTGGTGATGGCGAGGAGGAGGAGGAGGAGGAGATGACAGGCAAAGGTTGTTGTCTGGGACTGTGTGAGATCGGGACGGCGCAGCGTATCGGCGGTACGTGCGGGGCGTGGTTAATGGGCACGCTTCTGCCCATCGCGTTTGGGACCGTGTTGAAATGCGCTGGCCATCTTTTTGCTGGGTGTCCGTCTTAATAATGACTAATGAGGGCGGGTTTGTCTCGAAGAAACATGAGGGTAAATGAAGCCCCGTGTAAGCGGGGGAGGGAATATATGAATTGAAACCAGGTTCGGGGGGGATGTGACGAAGGCGGGCGGTCGGGATTTGGGATATCGAAGGCCTGGAACTAATTGCCCATGCATTTAAAAGTATCATGACAAGTCACGACACAGCAAGAAAAAACGAGACCACGGAGTTGATGAGGGCGAAAGGCTATTCAAAACTTGGAACTTCGGACTCTAATAAACGAAACGTAAACACAAAGATTACGCCCAGATTCCACGCCACCATAACCGCCAGCGCTAACGTCAACAAACCATAATATAACAACGCCGGCAAAAGCACCGCTACCCGTAGATCCCTCCAGTCCCCACGCTCGACAAGCAAAGCAGGGTATAGACATTACCTCGGCAGAACCAACTCACGGTGGGGAGGAGAAAAGAAACTCAACAAGAACCCAGACATCTGCTCGATGCGAAAACGTAGCACATGGCGCATGAAGACATCGAAGACAGGCACTGCCTGCGGGGATACTCCACTATTTCTCTTTCGCTCAGAGCACCGGAGATGGCGGCGCATCACCCTCGTCCTTGGCGCTATTACTCTCCCACAGCTCAAAGCTCTCGCCGGTGGTGCCCTCGACAGGGCCCAGCACGGCGGCATCGACCGCGACGTCATTGGCCTCCATGATGTCGTCGACGTCAGCTGCCTCAGCGACACTGTCAAGGTCGACGCTGACATCGTCTTGTTGTTCATGTGGCGCCTGGTGCGACTCATCATCGGCGTAAAAATACCGCTGCTCGCTCTCGTCTTCCTGTGGGAGAGGGGGTAGTTCTTCCGCTGCTACTACACCCGCCTCATCCACTGCCGCCTCGGGATCTTCCTCGTCCGCGGGCACGATAAACACACTCGTGCTATCGCACCCCTCAGCGTAGAAATCGGTCACATTCATCTCGGCCAGCGGACCGCGGCCCTTGAGCAGGAGCACGTCCTCATCAATCTCAACAGCGACAGGGGCGCCGGATCCCCTCGCGGACGATGTCTGACTGACGTCCTCGGGCGGCGGGATGTTCTCCTTGTCGCGACCCTCGGCGCGATCGCGGCTGGCCCGGCTCTCGGACTCCTCGTCGCTGCTGATGTCCAACGTGCACGTGCCGTGCTGAAGGAGGTTGGTCATTTCTTGCTCGGGTGTGTCCTCGTGGATGTCGAAACCCCACGATGATTTCATGTCCGGGGTAGGGAGGAAGAAGTCCCGCGAGGAGCTGCTGCTGCCGCCGGTAGTCTTGGTGGTCCTGCTGCTTTTTCGGATGCTACCAGAGTAGCTCGGGATTGTTCCCTTGAGAGCGGCATCGAGAGAGAAAGGAACGCCGGCACCGGCACTTAGCCGGAATGATGGAGGGTCTGGGCGCTGGGTACGTCGCCGCGAGAGGATTCCCATGCGCTTGGAGGCGCGTGTGGGTGAACGCCCGGCAGGGGCTGTGAGGGGAGAGGGTGCTGTGCTCTTGACCTTCAACCGGGCAGCAGGAGACTTGGGCTGGAGAATGGCCCGCGGCCGGGGACTGGACAGCTTGCTTGGCGGGGAGCTCAGGACATCCCGGAAAGCGGGTGAGGAAGCGACCTTGGTGGTCAGGGTGAAGGCAGGAGGCTTCGTGAACCCCTCGCTCAGGTCGTTCCAGAGATCGAAACCCTTTGACCGCTTTGAGAAGAGCACTGGAGCGATATTCTCTGAATTGTCATCGTCCGACGACACATGAGAAGCTTTCCGCTTGCCAGGTGAAGGCGAGAGCGCTTCGCCATGTTAGCGAAGCTGTCAACAGTGCGCTCAAGTCACAAACCAGGGAAGCAGGCAAATGAATAGGAGAGGACACCAGAGGACACATTCTGAGGTACATAGTACGGGAGCCACAGAGGACGAAGTCCGGCTAGTAGGAAAGGTCGGCGTCTGGGAGGTAGCTTTTGTATCTAAGGAGAACAGCGACGTACCATTCTGCCGATTCTTGATGCTCGCCAAGCTCTTCAACCGTGCCCCGTCAACGGGAGCAAACGGTTGCCGGCTGACGGTTGCCATGGTGGAGAATGTGACTGAGTGGTGTCGCTGGGGTGGTGCCGACGCGGTGCTGGCGTTTGGGCGCAAATCCAAGCTCGGCGCGCAACCCAATGGCGGATGCGCAAACAATGGCGCGCAGGAGGAATGTTTGTTGACGGCTCGCAGTGCGCCAACACAATCTCCGCTCTCAAAAAGAACACGACGGAGAGCACTGTATATAGAAAGAGTGTATGGACAGTGACTGGGAGAGAGGCGGAAGAGAGGGCAAGAGGGGGCGGGCCTTGCGAGGAGAGCGAGGGAGAGCGCTATTCTTATTACACAAGATGTCTGCTGGGACAGCGGGCCGGCCAAGGCGGTCTCCGGCTCTCTTGTCCTTTCGCGGGCTGGCTCGAAAGTTGCAGGCAGACAGGTCTAATGCGCGGTGCGGCGAATTAGGCAAGGCAGAGTGAGGGTCAATCGGACAAGCCAGTTAGGAGCCGCACAGGCGATGTCGAGTATATGCCGGATATTCCAGGTCCCGTCTGATGAGGGCAGCGAGTGGCAGGCAGATGGACGTGAGCGGAGCAGATTGGACGTGAGCTGGCTGGCCGGATCGAGGAGAGCGGTGAGGTGCAGCGAGTGGCACGGGACCTGGGACGGGAGACGGGCGCACCCGGCGTTAAAGGGGGAAATCGAGGAAACCTGAAATGCAGCGAATGCTGCAGTGCGCTGCCGCTTTTCCTGCACAGGATCGGATGGATGGCACTTGAGTCGTCGGGTCTCAGACAGGCATGCCGAAGTCGCTGATGCTGGTTGGCGCATGAAGAGGGTCGATATTTGGGTTGCTTGGACGTGCTATTTCGTGGTAAAATCGCACACGCGCGAGGCCCCCATCCCAATCACGGCACAGCTTCGGATCTTGGAGCGGGGTCGCAGCCCAAGACAATGCCTGCGATAGAGAGCTTGCAGGACCAGCTTGGGTCAGCCGGCAACACGCACGGCCATTGGCAGATGCCGATGCAGCTAGCAAGTGAGCTGCCAATCAGCGCCTGAGCGCAAGACCCGCCAGACGCGCTGTGCTGGGCTGTCGCAAGTTATGACGAATCATCGCGTCCAGCAGTCATGGGCTTCCCCACCCCGCGGCATCTGACCTCAGTGACCTGGTCGCGTTGAGCTGTGTTCTCAAGCGCAGATCAACCGAGACTTGAACACTGCACCGTCGTTGTGTCAGTCAAGGGAGACGGACGGACTGCATTGCCCTTGCATCCCTTGCGTTATCTTGTGGTGCCTAGGTCTTATCGGCGCTCGCCAATCTTGAGAAGAAGCGATGTGGTAGATGAGGAAGTGCGCATTCCGATTGCGCTCTTCATCGGCCCGGCTGTGTCGTCCTCCCTTAGGTGGGATGCCTCGAGCGAGCGTCGAGCCCGGCTGCATACGACGCTCCCTTGCTAGACAAAGAGCGGCGCAGCAAGGCGCCATACATGGAACGTACACGCACGGATTTACCCGACATCCAGGTCCTGCCGACTTTCCCGCGTCGTTCCTGCGCTGGTCTCGTCGATGTTGCCGCTACACACTACGGAGTACAGTTCTCAGTTCCTGACATGACGTCGAGAAACTGGGATTTAATGCAGACCGCCAGGGGGTGATTAGCTCCGGCAGCAGGGGAGAGGGTTCGGAGAAAGGCCCGTGGTGGCAGTTCTTTTTATAACGGCAAAGTGGGATGGAAAGAAGAGCCCCTCTTCTACAACTCCACAAGCTGGAGGCGAACAGCAAGCGAAGAGCCAGAGCAGGTGATCGATGACAAGGGAGCGAGACAATCTTGGGCTTGTGCAGCGCACCCTGCAGATGGGATCGACCCTTCTCCGTCCTGCAGCCGAAGGGCACCGAGTGCGTCTTGTCTTTGTGATCTGACGTTCTTGCCGGTGACAGCTGGCAAATTCTCCCCACTTTGGAACTGTTCTGGAACCACTCTTGCAACTCAGTGATGGACAGTCGCTCGTGCCCCGCAGGGTCCTCAAGCAATTGAGTGGCACAACTCGATCCTACAACTTTCCAGCTGCACTCATTGCTTTGACCAATTGCATTTTCTGTCCATTCTTTCGTATCAAGAGAGCCGGAAGTAATTCATCAAACCAGCCATGGCTTCGATCAATGATCTGGCCACGGCCGCGGTATCAGCGCTCGCCGAAGCCCCCCCTCCAAGAGCTCCGCCTTCCTCATTGCCCGATTCGGCTCAGAACCAGATTGATGATCGCCATCCCCGTGAACCCCCCGTGGCGCGGGGCGCGCTTGTAGTCCTCGAGGGCTTGGACCGGAGCGGCAAGACGACGCAGGTCAAGCTTCTGGAGCAGCGGTTCGTCGAGCTGGCGCGCAAAGTGAAAGTAATGCGCTTCCCGGGTATGTACATGACTACCTGCCCAATGAATCCGTTGCAGTTGCGGCAGCCCTGAAACAAGGAGAGACTTGAACCTGACCCGGTCCCAACATGAAGACCGCACAACGCCAATTGGCCAGATGATCGACTCGTACCTCAAGAGCCAGGTCGACATGGACGATCACGTCATCCACCTGCTCTTCAGCGCGAACCGGTGGGAGGCAGCGTACGGTCCTTTTCCCACCCCCCCTGAAAATTGTTTGTGTAGGATTTTGTCTTGTTGATAGAGCAAACGAGTATAAAAGTAAAACCATCACTTCGCTCCTCAGCTCGGGCGTAACCGTCCTCTGCGACCGCTACTACCACAGCGGCATCGTCTACTCGGCCGCCAAGCAGAACCCGTCCCTCACGCTGTCGTGGGCGCGCGCTCCCGAGGTCGGCCTTCCTCGGCCGGATCTCGTGCTCTTCCTGGACCTGGACGAGTCGCAGGCGAGGTTGCGCGGCGGCTGGGGCGGCGAGGCGTACGAGAAGGCCGAGATGCAGCGGCGCGTGCGGGAGCTCTTCTGGGGCCTGAGCCTGGGCAAGATCGAGACGGCATCTGTCATTGCTGAGGAGGGCGCTGTCGGCCCGAAGGAGGAGCTCGCGGTTGGCCCGCCGACCACGCAGGCGCTGACGGGGACAGAGTACCGGTTCCGGCAGGAGGAAGAAGACCTCCACGTTGTTGACGCCAGTTCCTCTGTAGAAGACGTGGCTGAGGAGATATGGAAGGTGGTCAAGGCGAGGGTGGAGGCCGTCGAGAGGGGCGAGGTCGGGAGAGCAGTAAGGAAAGTCTCCTGATAGTGGAGAAAAGTTATGTGCGCATGTGTATAGATAGGAGTCAATGCTTCGCCTAGCCCGCTCAAATGGAACAGGTGTGTACAGTATAATAGTATAATGGGAGAAAGGCACGCTCGGTGCAGAACTAATGTTTAGAGTGTCCAGTGATGTCGCGGCGGTTGAACTAAACCGCAGCCGCAAATTGCGTTGGATATCTACGTATACCAGTGTACTGATGTCCAGTACCCTGGTGGGTCAAGTAGAAACAAGTGCTCGAGAAGAGTGTCCGTGTTGAATGACCAGGAATCTTCCCACATGCAAACGCCATATAGAACCAGCCCGATGTTGAGATCCCCCCCCGTTCGCGGTGCACGTGTATGCCCCTCTGCATGATCGCCTACCCTCTTTTAACCCCAAACGCCAGCCTGATGCAGAGAAGAAACCGAAGCCGAGCGGCATCGCTGCCATACATGTAGAATGATGGCCCTTTGTTGAATACACCCCCGTTACGTGTGTCATATGTACCACGATGTAATGGATCAGCGGTTGACGCCAATCAGGCTCAGGAACTCGTTCCTGGTCTTCTCTTTCCGCTCGAAGCAGCCCAGCACGCAGCTGGTGATGGTGGTGCTGGTGGATTTCTGGACTCCCCGCATCACCATGCATAGATGGCTCGACTCCATGACAACGGCAACACCCTGCGGTTTGAGCACTTCCATGATGGCGTTGGCCACCTCCCTGGTCAGGCGCTCTTGTATCTGGAGCCGCCGGGCGAACATCTCGGCAATGCGCGGCAGCTTGGAGATGCCGATGACGGCATTGTGGGGTATGTAGCCAATGTGCATCTTCCCGGTGAAGGGTACGAGATGGTGCTCACACATGCTAAACACCTCGATGTCCTTAACAATGACCATCTCGTTGTGGCCCTCCTGGAAGATGGCGCCGTTGACGATGTCCCGCACGTTCTCCTGGTAGCCCTTGGTGAAGAAGAGCATGGCCTTGGCGTACCGCTCGGGCGTCGCCAACAGGCCTTCACGGTCCGGGTCCTCGCCCACGCACTCGAGCAGCGTCCTGACGGCGCCCTTCATCCGGTCCAGCCGGACTTGTGCCTGGGCCTCGTCTTCTTCCAGCCGTGCGCGTGTGCCGACCACGGGCCGGCTCAAACCGTCGAAGTCGATCACGGGGCTCGGCGACCTGGTGGATAATTCACCGGCTCCATCGGGCGTCGGCGCTTCTTCCCTTACGGCGGCGGGTGTAGCTGCCGTCTTCCTCTTCTTCCTCTTCGGCGACGGCTCGGGCTTGTCGCGGAAGTCCCTGGCCGGTTTGCTGACGCTTGACCGGCGCTCTCCGATTGTGTGGGTGGCATAGGGGCCGGCCGCACTGACGTCCTTGGAGTCACGGTCGCGCGACCTCCTCTTGCCATTCTCCTTGCTCCTGCTTCGCTTGTCATCTTTGCCGCCGTCGGGAGTCATCCGTGGGCTTTCGGAGCCGGCGCGAGAGCCGTGGTGAGCCATTGCGCCTCCCTACTTGGGTGGTGTGCGGTCGAGGGTATGAGAAGGCAGAAGAGACGGCGGCAGGAACCCGGTGGGACCCAGAGGGGCAGATGACCGCAAGTTCAGAATGGGGCCACTGGGCAGGAGAATGGAGACGGTTTGCTCCTGCTGACTGAAAATTTCGGGTCCTGGACTCTTTTGGTTCCCCGCCAAAAGAGACGCTTGGAAGTCAGTTTCTTATCTTATCGCACTTTGACGTCAAAAGAAACAGTGCAGTACGAAGTAGTGCACCGAACCCCAGGATGCCAGCATGATGATTGCTGAGTCAAACTCCTGCTGACTGGACAATTCCTATAGGCTAACTAGATACTATACCGCCTCTACAATAATCTGAAATACCATGCCTAATGTCTCGTCAAGTTAAGGCGGACAGGAGCAAACATGGTAGTTTGATATCTTCGGCTTGTCTGTACTCGGTACGTACGTGGTTAGTGGGGTACGGTGGGGCCGTCTCAGGAGGGCTCTTCGAGGCTCGAGCTCCCCAGCAGCTGACAAGCATCTAGATTCTGGGGAGTCGCGTCTTTGCATCACCTCAACGTGTAGCCTCGCAATGCCAGCATCATCAAGACTTGCCACTCTTTCAAGATCCTAACGTGCTTTTTGCATATGCGCCACCGCTTTTAACAGACTTTTCCTTACGCAGTCTTTAGCAACGTGACTCAGAATACAGAAGGCGCAAACTCCGGCCGCTCGCAAGCTCGGGCCCGTTTCCTCGATCCATTAATAAAGGTCTCGGCTGCCCACCACCAGCCGCAATGGCCTCCCCAACCGCACACTCCCCTCCGCACACGTCGCACATCCAACTAGCAAACATCAATACAATGACCTCCAACAAGAAGCGCGCCTCGGAAGGCGCCGCGCCGCCGGCTCTGAAGCGTAGGGCGATTTCGACGCCGTCCGGTCCCGGATCGGCCCACCCGCTGCGGCAAACCTCGTTCCCTCCGGATGATGCGGGCACCCCGTATGGGCCCATGTCCCCCTCATCCATCGCCGATGTCGACGCCATGAGCACGGTCAGCGGCAGCCTGGTCAACGCCGCCGCGCCGGTTAAGAAGAAGCGCGGCCGGAAGTCTAAGGCAGAGAAGGCGCGCGAACAGACGCCGTCGGTGGTCGGCGGACGGGCACCCACGGCGATTAGTGGCGTCAGTGAGGGCGGCGGCCGGGGAACGAAGAGCGTGTCCGGTGCGGCGGGCGGCGCCGGAGACGAGGATGGCGAAGGCGACGACGAAGGCCCAACCGAGGTAGCCGCTACGGCAGATATTCAGACGAAGGAGCAAAAGGAGGAGGAGCACCGTAAGAGGCAGATGCTCATCAGCGCCCTGTCGGAGGAGCAGTTTGATAGATATGAGAATTGGCGTGCCGGCAACCTGAGTAAGGCATCGGTGAGAAGGGTAAGAGAGCATCCCCCCCCCCCCCCCCCCCCCCGACGCCTGCAAACTCGCATACTGTCGCACAGCCACTAATCTTCTCGATAGCTCATTAATGCGACCACCTCACAGTCAGTTCCCGAAAATGTCGTGATCACAATGCGGGCGGTCTCTAAGGTATTCATTGGCGATATCATCGAGGGTGCGCGTCGGGTGCAGGGCGAGTGGATCAAAAATGGCGAGAAGCAGACGGACCTTCCGGCAGATCAGATGCCCGGCCAGACGCTGGCTCAATCCTCTTCCCAGGCCCAGTCGGCCGCCCAGACCGAATCTCCTGCCCAGGCGACACCCGATTCAGCGAGCAAAGCGGATACACAAGAACAGCCGCCGCCGCCGCAGCAGCACCGGCAAGAGACCGATGACAGGCGGGGTCCCCTGCGGCCGGACCATCTACGAGAAGCCATTCGGCGCTATCGAGTCAGCGGTGAGGGCGGCGGGGTCGGCATGCAACGGATCTTTCACCAACAGCAGCAGGGCGGAGCGGAGAGATTCCCCATGCGGACTGGAGGATACAGGATATTCCGTTGACGATGGGCAGTTCACTGGCTTAATTGTTCGGATACATTCTCACTTGATATTTGTTTTTCGGTTGGCGCTTTTGGGGGATGGAAATGGGCACGGTCTGGGTCAAGGCCAAAGGGTGGGCAAAGTCATTTGATACCCATGGCACTGGGAGTTGATGTTCTTTTCCGGGGATTTGCGCAATGAGTCTGGAGCATGGTGGTCCTTCTGGGAGACACCACGGGCTCACAAGGCAGTGCTGAATATCGTTATTTTTGGGACAGAGGTATAACAACATAATGGCCGCCAACAATCGTTTTGTCATGGCATTAATATCCCTCCTCCCCAATGGTGGTGACGTGAATGACAGCGCCCACGTAGAAAGGATTCGCCACGGTACACGAGACACCCTGCTTGACCTTCCACATCCCGTTGGGGCCGATGGGGAACTCTGTCTTGTCGTTGTCGGGCAACTTGACGCGGATGATGCCGCGCGCGACGGAGCAGAGCCGGGTCCTGGCCTCGTCAGCAGGCCAGCACAGGTTGGCCCCCGGCTGGATCTCGAGCATCTGGAAGGTGACGCCGTCTGTCACGGGCACGGCGCGGCCCTGGGTGAGGTAGGACGAGGAAAAGGCTATGTCTGTATGTGTATGTAAGTACATATTAGTCAGGGGGGGTTCATTCTCTCTCTCTCTCTCTCTCTCTCTTTTTGTATGACTTTCACGGGGAAGGGGGTAACCAGGTTGGTAGGTAGTAGTAGGTAGTTACTCACTCTCGGCGGCCTCCCCACCGTTGCCCACGCGTATCCTCCCCGGAGCGATCTCCCAGTCGGCCATCCTCACCGACAGGGAGGGCATGACGCCCGCTGCCGTCTTCACCATCTGGACCTTGGCGTCGTCCTCGGGTGCAGCAGCAGCAGCAGCAGTGCGGCCGGCCTTACTGCTGGTACTACTGCTACCGGGATTGTTGTCAGGCTTGGGACTAGGGTTCATACCACTGCCCCCTTTTTTCCTGAGTTTGGTGGCGGAGGTCTTGGCCGGAGGAGGAGGAGGAGGAGGGTTGTCATCACCGTTCTTTGCACCACGAGCGCTGCCCCTACGTTCTTGACTTGGTCGCTGCTGCTGCTCCTGATCGTTCTGCTGCTCCAGAAGCCGGCGAGATCTCCTTGTCCGGGCACTAGCGCTGGTTGTGGTACTCTTCACCGTGATGGTGCTTTCTTTCTCGGTCGCTTGATGGTCCCTTTGCTCTTCTTCCTCCTCCTCCTCCTCCTCCTCCTCCTCCTCCTCCTCCTCTTCTTCTTCTTCTTCTTCTTCTTCTTCTTCTTCTTCTTCTTCTTCTTCTCCCAGCACGCTCTCGCTCGGCGTAACTTTATTATATACAGCCGCCCCGCGTCTGGCCGCTTTGCCTCCTCGGCCTCCCAGCCTCGCGGCAAGCCTGCGGATGGAGCTCTGCCGCTTCGGCTTGGTCTTGGCCGCTGGCGGCGGAGGTCGGTTGTTGGGCTTCTTCGGCTTCCGGATGGACACCATCCGCGGTCGACCGGCCACACGGGCTGGGAGGGCGGTGCTGTACCGGGAGGGGCTGTCATGGGTTGTAGCCGGGAAGGAGGACGTGCTTATCATCGCAGCGTCGAAGCTGTTCCTGTCGCTTTCGGCTTCACTGCTGTTGTTGCTGTGCCGTTCATTGCCATGGCCCTCGACGGGATCTTCCTCCGGCGGGGAAGGAGGCAACCTGACAGTGTTCATCTCGAGACGGCTCTCAACCACGGAGCGAACCTCTCCGGTCTCTGAGGACGACCTGGAAAGTCGAGATGCAACGCCCGTCCGTTCTGCCTCATTGTTGTTGTTGTTATTATCCGCCGACGAGATCGTGCTACTGCCCCTGAGCTCATCCTCGGACCGCGAACTCAGCGCTTCGGCAAAGCTGGCTGGAGGAGTCGTTCGCATATCCCTACTCCTGCTTCTGCCCTGCTTGTTTTTGTCGACAGCCGTCTCGACCGGGAACAAGCTTGACGAGCGCGGGCTGAAAGCAGCCGGCTGCTGCTCGTCCCTATCCGACTTCTTCTTCCGCCCCGGCCGTCGCGGGCTAGCCTTTGCCGGCGCAGTAGCCGCATCAATTGGCTTCCTTGAGACCACAACAGGGGGCATGCGGCCAGAGCTGGCATCGGGCTTCTTGCGCTTCCCCACCACGGACATGGTCCCGTCCAGATTGTCATTGAGCAGACAGGCCCTGTGGCTGGCCTTCGCATTATAATCCCCAAAGACCCGTCGTCAGCTTTGGGGAAGAGGACGTGAAAAACCAACCAAGGCTCTCCAGCGTAAAAGAAACCGGGAAAACGGAAAGGCAACTAGGTAACTTACACTGAAATGCCCGCCGAGCGCCCACGCATCGGGGAAGATGGTCTGGCAGTCGCGCACCGGGCATATCCATGGCTCGGGATCGCCCACACGGGGGAGATAGCCGTGCGGAAACAGCGCGCCGGCTCCGGGGATTTTGCGAGGGACGCCGTCTGTGAATTGGGGTTTTTTTGTTGTGAGCTGCCATACCACGAAGGGAGAACAACGCAACGGGCGGTGCAGACTAAGCTGGACTTACCCCAGGAGCCTACCCAGTCCGAGTACAGTCTTGTGCCGCACATCGTAATTGGATTCTCCTCGCTGCCGAAGCACACCTGGCTGTTGTCAGGGGTGTTCCTCTGATCGCATTCCCCTTCAACGTGCACTTCAACGTGCGTGGTCCCCCTCCATGCACGCAGTGCGTCCAGTCGTGGCCCTCTGCCTCCCTCAACGGTCTCGGCAGAAACCATTTGTCCCACTCGTTGTGATGTTCGTGGTGATTCCGTCTCTAGCCGTGGTCTGACAGAAGCTCCCGGCGAACCCGTGCCAATCCACGTGGTGGGCGCGCTGCGTCTTAGTCCTGACACAGGGATTTCTTCTTCCATGGGTGCTGGTGAGGTGAGTCGTTGCCAGAAGGAATACCCCCTCTCTCCGCGGGCATCCCGTTGCTGCTGCTGTCGCTGTTGCTGTTCCAGTGGCGCCGCGGATATCGTATTGGCCCTCGGCCCTGGCCGAGCGAGATGCCAAAACGGGTCGTCGGGCAAGGCTCTGGCACGGGTCTCGGCATGCTTCTCCCACTCGCGGCCGAAGAAAGAGGAAATCGGCGGCAGAGCAGCGCTGTTCTTGTCTGCCGTCGTGGAGAGAAGGCTCTGGATGGGCGCGCCGCTTCGCCTTAGAAGGCCACTTCCTCCTCCTCCTCGTTCGGGGCTATAATTGCTGCCACCCCCAAAATTAGACGGAACACCCGGGGCGGAAGATCGAGACAACGGGTTTGCAGCGGCGTCCATCTCTGTCAACAGGCGCCGCTTGGCCAGAGGTGAGCCCTCAAGTGGGACCGCGTCAAGACTGTGCTTCCTGCTCGACGTGCTGGACGGGCTCTGCCAGGAGGTTCCCGAACTTGTTGACTGCAGGGAGAAGCCGGAGAGCGACGGGGGTACGAGTCCGTGCCTCCTAGTATCGCCAGTGTTGTTTTGGGTCATTCGGTCTGACGTCGACGCTGTAGATGTTCCTTAGCAAAAATGTCCTCGAAGGGCGGGATAAACATGGAATAAATCGTCAGATGTGAGTGAGGTTTGGGAGGTAGGAATCCCTACAGCCATCAAACCCGTCTAGACTTTGGCTGCGGTTGCGGTTGCGGCTCTGTGCTGCCCTGGACTCGCATGCGGCTCTCATGCTAATTATGGATCGGACACTCTCAGGCAACACCATGCCGTTTATGCGCGGGGAGCTGAGAAGACGTCTTTGAGGAGTATGCTCTGTATAGGTTCTGGCCACCACGGGGCTGGACGTGCTGGTGCTGTCCCTGTCGTCATCAAGGAGCGGACTTTGTCCCTCAGCCCGTGTAATGCAGGTAGCTGTCCCAGTGCTATTCATGGTCTAAATCGGAAGTATATTGGGGCAAAAGCAGGGGTTTCTTCTCGAGTATCTGCAGCGGTCGAAGCGGGCTGCGGCTGCGCAAAGCTATTCCCCCGGGTGCGGTAACATGCTGGGAAAAAGGAAACAAAGGCCGAATGTACCGAACTCGAAGACGGTGTTTGCTACGGTTCATTGTTTTGTTTCTGCATTCCAAAGCCTGTCGTCACCTGTCGAGGCGCAAGGGAGAGCAAACCGGCCTAAGGAATGTTGCAGGGGTGAAGCACACAAAGACGTTCATGCAGCCACATCGAGCACACTGCAAATGCATTCGGCGTCCTACATAGGTGGCACTAGCCAGTCAGCCGGGACGGTCTTAGTACACTAGAGTAGAAAGATTGGAGAAGGGCTCACCTTCCCAAAGGAAACAAGCGTTGCGGCGCTCCAAGGATACAGGGCTTCAACAGACTCTATTGGTAACAAGATATTGTACAGTGTCTCTAGACACAATCCATATCGTCCATATGTAGCGCAAGGTAGCGCAGCTCTCCGGGTCGGCTGCCCACCCGTAAAACCTTCCCGAAGCCAGAGGGATAATCAAGCCTTGACCTTGGCTCCGCCCGCCTTTGTTGCCTTAGCCGCCGCCGCCGCAGCCGCAGTAGCAGCCTCGGTAGCCTTCTTGACAGCCGCAGCCGCATCGCGCCTCTCCAGCAGCCTCCGCTCGCGCTTCGCACGCACCAGTCTCTTGTATTCCTCGCGCCGGGCCGCCTTGGCCAGCTTGCGCTTCTTGATGCCCTTGAAGTGAACCATGCGTTTCCTCCTCCGCAGCCGGAACTTGGCCTTCCTCGACTCGGTCTTCTCGGCGCCGGGGATGGCACCGGCGTCGCCCACGAGCCGCCCGATCTCCCAGTTGCTCTCGCGGTAGCTGTAGTCGTCCTGCAGGTGGAACACCCGTGTCGCCTTGCGCGCCTCCAGCTCTTTCTCTTTCTGCAGCCTCTGCGCCTCCTTCTTCGCCTGGTTGAGCTGCCTGCTCCGGAGCTTTTCCTTGACCAGACTGAGGACGACCGAGTTGCCGTCCGTCAGAGCAACCTTCTCTTCCGGGACCGCGGTCACCGGTTCCGCCGCTTCTTCCGCCTGCGGGGTCTCGGTCTGCTCGACTTGATCGTGTCGCGTTACCGAGAGCGGAATGCCACTGGGTGCTGTCGTCTCCTTGACTGGTTCGACCACCTTCCGGGGCACCGCCGCGAGGTTGAGCTTACGCCGCCGAGGCGTCCCTGGTGGGTACGGCAGCTTATCTTCGCGGTTGAAGACAACGCCAATGTACTGACGCTTGGGATGGCGTGCGGGGTCTCGGTAGTACTTGACGTAGCCGGCGACGGCGGCGTGGATCGTGTGGTCCCGGCCCATGATGGTGTTCTCGCCAGGATGCCATATTGTGCCGCGCTGCTTGAAGATAATGTTTCCCGGGATCACGTACTGGTCTGGAGCAGAAAGAAACATATATCAGCAAGGCGGCGTCTGCCGCCCTCCCCATGCCGTGTTACCAGGGCAGAGCCAACATACCGCCGGTCTTCTTCGCGCCCATCTTCTTGGCTATCGTCTTCTTCGACGGGATCTTGTAGGCGCCCTGCGACTTGACGGACGCATACCGCCTACCCTCCACGGCGGCATTGGCAACGGTCGGCGAGGAAATGCGGAGACAGGCGAACCGCTCTTCGATGGTTGTCCTTGTTGTCGTCGTCCGCAGAACAGCGAGGGGTCTGCTACTGCTGGCAGCAGCCCTCTGGAGGGGCCGCTGCAGCTGTGCGAGATGCATTGGGTCCGACTGGCGCGCGTACCTTGCGCCAATTGAAGTTGGTGGGCTGGAGCAACGAGATCCGGGACCGAAATGACCGAACGCTCCCAGATCACCAGCGGCTAAGATGCTGCTAGGGTGAAGCAGGGGTTAAGTTTTCTGCTGAGTCAGCGAGGTACAATGCCGCGATAAGATAAGAACCCTCAAGCGTCAACTCGGCCAGCAAACGGATTGGAGACCTGGAGATGATCTGGCCAGCAAGCCTAAACTGATCTGAATGCGACAGACAGCATCGAACCAAATCTTCTGCGCCCAACAAGCCGCAAGGGCGGCTCCAACTATCCTCGCATAAATACTATTCGGCACTACAATATACACACCATGCGCCTCTTAGGCCTCCTGTTTCTCGCCTTGGCGAGCCTCGTCTCTGCCCAGTTCGGCTTCTTCGATCAGATGTTTGGCGGGGGCGGCCAACAGCACCACCATCAGCAGCAACCCCAGAACGTGCCGAGCGATTCTTCAGTGTACCGCGCACAGTATGCGCGCTCGCACTGCGACAAGTACCTATGTCCAGACACATTAGGTAGGCGACCCGAGTCACCGTTTTCCGAGGTATCAATGGGCTGGCCATGGCTGACAGTTTCGACAACATTAGCATGTGTACACTTCCCGCACCACTGCCCCTGCCAATGGCCATCGCACGAGGACAAGTTCGAGCTCGCCGAGGGGCAGCGGATATGCATCTCTAGGGGTGGGTTCAAGCCCGGTGAGGCGGCAAGGAAAGTCGAGTTGGCTCGGAAGGGGCTGTTGTAGCACGGTTCAAGATGCTTCGTGCTTTCTCCTCCCCATGTGCCCAGGTGTATGTCGACTGCAGTTGCCACGATGGAGATGTATATATGTCGTGCAGCGTGTGCTAGAGCAATCGAAGGGTATGCCATTGAAACCGCGCAAACCGAGCCACAAGCTATGAAGCATCCAGTGTCCTCCACTTTACACAAAAGCATGGATATCTCGCGATCCTCACCTCCTCCTCCCCTAACCACTATCATAATAGAAACAGAAGCCAATTAATTCGTCCGTCTGGTGCGATAGCGATCGCATCGACGGTATTTCCACCCTCATCCGCCATGCAATCCGTCTCTTCGTAAGAATCATCCGTACCCGTCAGTCATCCAGCGGCGACATCCCCCAAACAGCGTCATACTACGACGACCCGTTAACCTGTTTAGGAAGAGGCGGCACCGGCGGCGTATCAGCATCATCATCCTCTTCCTCCTCCTCTTCCTCGTCCTCATCCGCCAGCTTCTCCGGATGCCCCAGCAGCGCCGCCACGTCCTTCATCTCGTAGTGCTTCTTGCGCATCTCCTCAAACCGCCGGTGCTTCTCCCGCTCCTCGGCGCTCAGCCCCACCATGTACTCGTCGCCGTCCGCGTCGTGCGAGCTGTCGTTGCTGTCGACGTGCACCGCGCGCGGCCGCGACGATGACGACGGCGCGAAGTCGTGTTCGGGGAGTTCCTCCTCCGGCTCGCCCAGCGACAGGCTCGGAATCTCGTCGTGCGCCGCGGCGGCGGCGCCGCCTCCGCCTGGCCGACGGTGGTGTTGGGGACGCGCCTGCTTCACGCCGTCGACCTTGTCGAGGTCGGTCTTGTCGGGGTCGATCGGCGCGGCCATGTCCTCGTCCTCGTCGACGTCGGACGGGTCCTCGGCCGGGTCGTAGTGCTTGGCGTACGGCGTCTTGGGCTCGTTGATCTTCATGGTGCTGGTCCGCTCTTGCTCCGTCAGGTACAGGTTCGCTTCGTCCCACTTCAGGCGCTGGCCTTGCTCCTCCTCCGTGTCGCCTTGCTGGCTGGGCGGGAGCGAGCTCTGGCGGCGGAAGCCACCGGGCCGCGAGCCGGCCGCCGACGACGAGCGGCGGTGTCCCGCATTGTATTGCGTGTTGATGATTGTGAGCTCCTTTGCCTCCTTCGGCGTCAGCGGGTGCTCAGAGAGGGGTGTGCCGTGGCTGTCGATTGGCGAGACTGGAGGGGAGCTGCGGTATGACGCGTTCTTTAGAATCCCTAGTAGTGGAAGATGGGGGGAACTAGTTAGCCGACAGTTTGCGCATCCCTCAACGGCGCGCGCAGCTAAGCTACACAGTAAGGGGCATGCATACCTTTGGGACGCGGCATATTCGGCGGAGGGGGGGTGTGCGTCGGTGATGGGTTTACTGCGCTCGCCATGTTGTGCTCGTGTGGCCTATGATGCTGATGATTGACTTGGTGTCGAAGTTTCTTGCCGGAGCGATGCGTTCTCTTAAAAAGAAACCAGGATATGACTGCCTCGTGAGCGGAGGGGTGGAATGACCTTGTTGGAGGTGGGGCTGACGATCGGCTTTCCAAGTTCTCTGTTGTTCGATTGTCGAAGAACCGTGGGGCACGGCACGGTTGAACGCAGAAAAGGCGAGACACACAACTTGAAGCACACGACAACAAAGCCGTGATTGTGGCCTCCCAAGGAATCGAACTATGTACTGTATGATAAATGTTATGACTCCTGGCGAGCAGAGGCAACGACTTTCAGTTTCGCAGTCAGCAGCCAGCAGCTCACCGGATGGTTGAGAACTTGAGAGGCCCTAGAGGAACAAAACACCCTGGTCCGTTACCCCGGACTCCGCTTGCGATAAACCTAACGTTAGGTACGGATCCGTACTCCCAAGGATTCAATGAGCATTTCGGCCAGTGTCGCTGGCACAGCAGCGACCTGTTACACTGTGCCCCTTGGTACCTTATTAACCTTCCTTCCCTGGTCCTGTCCCAGGAACGCCGCCTCCAGTTGGGGGTTGACTTTAATAACAGTGACTCAAGTGCGCGTGTGAGATGGTTTGTTCGTCTCCAGCTCAACTTGTTCAGCACACTGGACTTCATCTTCACTCATCTGTCAACAACTGAGTTTTGGCCAACTCATTCTGTAGAACCCGTGGACCTAGGTAGCAGTACCTCGTAGCTGCCCGTGGTTACCTGCCCTACGTCATTGCGCTTGCGGAATTCAAGGCACCATGGATACAACCTGGTATGCATATGCCCGCTCGGACGAATCCAAATTCACCACCACCGTCTGAAGACCAGCAACGTTATGCCATTACCAGCCAGACTTAAACATCGGAAGACATAAAGAGGTCGCATTCCCCTTCTTGTCTTCTAGTCTACTTCCTCCTTCATTTTCTTTCCAATGCGGTGGCTGTACTTATCTCAGATGTTTCCATTTAATGGGCGTGTGTAAGAGGGCGTTGATGGTTCTTGTCTTAAAAGCGTGGCTGCTGCTAGACTGAGTCAGGATCTACAAATATGATGCTATGGGTTGCCCGTAGTATACTCTACACGCTGTACCTTGGAGTGATGATGATAGTTCTTGACGATATCACTGTCAACGTCCTCCTCGAACACGTCAACTTTAGTCGTTGCAAATTTGCGTGCGCTGACACCCTTCTCGAAGAGCATGTCCATCTCGGCAAACGTGCGCCCGGACGGCTCAGGCACACGGAAATAGGTGTAGACGACGCATAGGAAACACAGACCGGCCTGTGACAGGGGTTAGCCTAACGTCCACAGCTAAAAGGGGTAAGGGGACTCTAGTGTTCACGGACCCAGAAGAAGCCTGCATAGTTCGCCCAGTTCCATGCTCCCGGATTTAGCATGTACGGAGTCACCACCGCACACACAATGCCGACAATGATGCTACAAAGGTCAGCACGCCATTGAGGTTCGGTAACAATCTCGAACGAGGGGAGGACTAACTATAACACGCGGCCAAGCGCCACCGTCTTGATCTGTAGTCTCCGCGACGAGATCTCGCCCACCAGCGAGTAGCAGACGGTCCCTACTGTCAGCTGATACGTCAAGGCCCAGCCAAGCATGATGCTTCCGGTAGCGATAGAGCCCTCTCGTCGGTGCGACTCGGGGACGAGACCCAGAAAGCCGAGAATCAGAAGCATCGAAAACAGCCCGCACAGGCCATAGAGATAGAGAGAGCGGCGGCCGATACCGCGGCTCATTAGGAACCAGGCTCCGAACACGCCGACCGCGTTGAGGGCGTACTGGCCCATTGAGAACTTGTACGCGTCATTCGGGTCGAGCCCGGCTTGTCTGAGGAAGTATGTCGAGTAGTTCGAGAAAGAGTTGCCGCTGAGGTTCTGAATGGCCCAAACCATGCAGACAATCTGTGCACACCAAGTCAGTCGCTCAGGGGTCTCCACAATCGGGCGAGGACGCTGTCTTACCTCGGTCCTCCGCAGGTCATGGCCCTTGAAGCAATCCCAGTAGGTCGCGCCGCTGGTGGTCTTCTCCTCCAATGCCGTGGTGTGCACCATCATGGCCACCGTCTCATCCGGGTCAAAGTCCGTCTCCCGACTCGTGCTGGTCAGGCGCAACAAGGCCTTCTTGGCCTGGTCGAGTTTGCCCCTCCGAACCAACCACCAGGGAGACTCAGGAGCGAAGAAAATCCCGATGGCTAGCGGAAGGGGCCACATCCACTGCAGCGCGTAAGGGATGCGATACGCCCACTCGTCAGTCCGGTCCAGCATGGACATGATGACGCCGATTCCGATGAGCTGCCCGATGCCCCAGCAGCAGTTCACGTAGGTTGTCAGGTAGCCACGCATGGCGACAGGGCAGACCTCGGACGCGTACGTGATGGTGAGGGTTTGGAAGACGCCCCATGGCTACAAGGCCGTAGATTAGCGCGCTTATCCTCCCGCAAGTCCTACTCCAGCGGCAGGGGGCGCATACAATACCGCACAGAATCTCGGCTGCGAGCAGCGTCTGGACGTTCTGGGCCGTGAAGAACAAGGCCGTCCAGCAATTGATGAGCATCAGGCACACGATGACAGTCCACCGGTATCCAAAGCGTTCCGACACCCAGCCGTTGATGAGCAGCCCAATCAGTTCGCCGACATTGGCACCCTGGAGCCGAGGATCCACCGGTCAGTTCATCCGATCTTTTTCAAGAAACTTGGAACGGCATTCAGCGGCCCGTGCCGAAATCCGCACCCTATCTAGGTACCGCACAGCAATCATGGCATGAAGAAACCAGTACTCACATTGCTGAGCCCGGCTTGCCACGGAGCTGGCACCTCCCAGTCGCCATTCGGTAGCTGCTCGCCGTACTTTCTAGCAAACTGCGGCATTGCATCTTATACCGCCATCACCGGGTTAGTCATTACAGATCAGATGGAGAGGACGTGACAGTCGCAAGACAGTAGCAGCGAGAGACACCCACAGAAGTTGTTGATCAGGCAGATGTCGTACCCTTCCATCACGATGCACGTCGAGATGAGGACACTCCACATGATGGCATGCGGATACAGCCGGATGCCCTCAAGCAAGGTCATCCTTTGCTCCTTTTCCGTCGCCATCCTCGCGCCGTGGATGACATTGTCCGCGGCGTGCTGGGCGTCCTTTTCGTTGTCTGCTGTCACGAACTCAGAGGGCGCAGGGCCCTTGGGAGCATCGTTCGAAGACATCCTGATGCCGGCCCACCTCTCGTTCGTGGTAGGAATGTAGTTTGGATGATGTGGATGCGAGTAAGAGGTCGTGCTACATACATCAATCGAAGTGAGGGATATGGTCGACACTTAAGTAGTTCTCCCGAGGACTGTCCGAGCCTCCTTCTCAAGGAGTGAAGAGAGATTTCTCGAAGGTTCACATGGGCCCCGGCGGCCGGGCGGAATCTCAGTGGAGACCGGCTGGTGGTGGGGTATTAAACAAGAACCACAGGACCAAAGATCGTAAAGAAATCCCCAGGTTTTGCGACCTGTTGTGATCCCTGTGCCTGTTCAAAACTTCAACTAGCAACGTCCAGGGTGGTGGGAGCGAGTTGTCCGGGGTCGTCTCGGTGAGAGGCAGAAGTGCGCAGCCATCTCAAGAGGGGAAGGCGCATAAAATGAATGGTTGGTGTGTCCAATGGAGGGTGTTGTATTGGTGTGCCGCGCAGTGTCGCGTTGCATTCTGGAAGGAGCGTGGATCGAAGCTGTTGTTGGTCCATCATCGTCTTCCCTGCGCTGACTCGTGAGCGCCGAGAGTGTGAAGATCAACAAAAGAATTCGGGCCATCTCTGGAGAAGCCCCATCCATTGCTTCGCTTCCCCAAACTCTACCCACCCGTTCTCTCGGTTCCCCATCCATTTCGCGGGGTGCAGACGCGACGTCGTGAACCTTCAGAGCCAGATCGTTCCTGCCCGCAAAATGCGGGGTCCCTAGCGCCGGGGGTTCAAGTCGGCATTAATTTCCCCAGTCGGCCACGCTGCCACGGCGACCTGGGCTTGGGTCTTCCACTTTTCAGGGCAAGGCTCCAAAGCAGGCGAGCTCGTGACCCTCCAGTTCCGACCTGGAGGTTCCCTCTCACAATAGTGTAGTGTACGGAATATCTCGCACACTGCAGACCCCACCTACTGCTCGTTCCCATGCGACACTTCTCTTGGAGCGAGCGTGCAGCTGTCGACACAGCAGGCGGCCAATGCCACCGTCCGACCCGTCCACGGCTACCACCACGTCCGGGCCGGGCTCGCCTCCCCGCAGCCTCGCAAAGTTTGGATGGTGAGTCGCTTGACTCGCGCCCCGGCCGCCCGGGCGCTTGGGAACCAACCGGATCGGTTGTGCTTTTGCTGACCCAAGGGGCAGTGCCAGATGTCGGAAACATCACCTCAAATGTCGGTTCCCCACTTAGTAGTTTTCGCACGCACTTGCCTGGTCGTACCTTCTCTGGGAGAGAAACCAGCGACAGCGCAAAAGCAACGGCGCCGGACTAGTTACGGGGGAATTTGCCGTTCTGTGTGCTGACACGACAACTTTGTGCTGCAGGCGATAGGGTGACACCAACCTGCGGCAGATGTCTGAACGCAGGCAAGACATGCAACCCGCCCGGGCTCAGAATACGCGAGACGAATGAGAGTCAGTGAGCACTCCGTGCTACTGCTAATAATGCCCCTACTGACTCTCGCGACTCTCGCGACTCTCGCGAGTTGTTCGTACGCAGAGAAGTTCAAGTTCACCCAGAAACAGAAATGGGTTAGGACGCCAAGAAGACGTGGGTTCTGTCTTCTCCCAGCCAGCTCAGCTCCCTCTACGTTGGAAGGGGTATGGTGCTGACCGTGATGGCACGTCGAAGTGGTGTTCATCGACGAGTCCAGGACGGCGGCCAACGATGCCTCGAGTCCAGACAGCGGACCGGACGACTTTGAGACCGTCTGTGGCTCTCCCACTATCACCTCCGATGTCTCGTCTAACCCAACTCCTCCCCTGCCCACTCTCGGCCCGCCTGCTTTCCGGGCCGCGTCGCCTCCGGAGCGTTTGCGTTTGATGATGATCTCTTCTGTTATCAACCCTCCCGCACCCAGCTGCCCGAGCTGGCCGTTGACAGACCGAGAAGAAGCCCGCCTGTTCCGCCATTTCGTGGAGAAACTGGCCGTATGGGTAAGGTCCCCGGCAGCATCGGTGGTCAAGTAGCGCTGGCACAGCACTGACATACTCCATCTTATCCTCAGCTCGATCTGTGTGATCCAAAACGTATGTACTGGCCGAGGTGGATGGGATCTCACGTGTGGCATTCTGGAGTTAGATCGATCAGGTATTGACAGGGCGTTCGTAGATACCTTCGAGACCATTGTGCCGCAGCAGGCGAGGGATTATCCCGTCCTACTGAACGCTATGTTTGCACTTTCGGCACGGCACCTCGGGCAGACGCACAGCGACGGCAACATGAGGAGACGGTACAACCAACTCGCTGACATGTACAACGAAGCCTGCATCAACATCATGAAGGATGCCCTGATGAGTGCCAGCTACCAGTCCGGTTGGACAGAGCAGCTTTTTGCCGCAACCATCATTCTCCAGGTGATGGAAGAAATGAACGGTGCGTCAGCCGTTGCTTGGAGACGGAAGCCTCGTCAACGTAGAGGCGCGTAGACTAATTAATGCTCCATGATGGCAGCTGCACTGCATGACGAAAGTGACGACGGCGATGCCGACCACCACAAGGCTGCTGGGAGGGGCCACATCCCAGGCATGCACAAGTTCGTCCAAGAGCAGTCTTTCGAGCCCGGTACGCTTGGCGCAGCGTCCTTTTGGATCGGGCTGCGGCAGGAGATTTACAGTGCTGTCGAGAAGAGACAGCCAGTGGGTTTGAACCTCGTCCATCCGGGCCTCTTCGATAGATCGCTCGACGAGGCGGACGAATACACCTGGGCGAACCGGGCCGTGGTGCATTGTGCTGATGTCCTCAATTTCTCCTTCGACCCTGGGCATCATCACCAGCCGTACCGTTGGGACGAGCTGAATCGGTGGAATCAACGCTGGTCAGAGAGGAAGCCCCGGTCATATGATCCCATCTTCAGGGAGCATCCAGATTCGGCCGTTTTCCCAGAGATCTGGTATCATCGGAGTTGTCAAGGCAGGTCTGGTCCCGTTTCCGGGCCGCCGACAGTGCTAACAGTCCGAGCCTGGGCGTGCAACAGTGATCGGCGTCACACATCATCTGCTTGCAAGGCTCTTCCTGTTGAGCCATCAGAGCAATCCGGCAGGCCGTGACGAAACTCAGGTCGGTTGCAGCAAGCCTCGCCCGTCGTGGCCGATGCCCAAGGACTGCCAATTGACTGACTGCCCTATTCAGGAGAGCATCCGAAAGGCGGTTCGGGAGATCTGCGGCATCGGGTGTGGAAACCAGTGGACGCCGCCCGGCATTTTCACGGCTTGTATGGCTATCTCGGCCTGTAAGTCAGCACCCTTCTCACATGGCTTTAATGAGGCTTCGGTTCTGATGTGCACCAGTCGGGTCTTACTTTGATGGCGTCGAAGAGCAAGACGCGATGTTGGCAATTTTGGAACAGACGCAAAGAAACCACGCACGGCCGACCGAGAGGGTTATCCTGCATATGCTTCAGGTTTGGGGGAGATATGACGCGCTGGTGAGAAAAGCCCACCATGCGAAATCACCAGCAAATGCGGCCTATACTGATAACAGATGAAGGCGAAGAGGAAAGCCTGAAGGGAAGGCGACAAGCAATGACTGAGTTGCCGATGGGGCAACCGTATCGCATGTCGTACATGCAGACTATGTCCCAGACGAGCAGTCTTGGCTTACCATCGCTACTCGGTTCGGAGGTTAAATGGCCTGAGGCGATTTATAAGGCCCTCTCGCGATGCGACCGGAATTTCCACACCACAGCCCGGTGGCGTCCCTGGGCGTACTTTTTCCCGTTGTATGTCCTCATCTCTACTTCCTGATCTGCATGAGCGGGGAATGCGATCAAGAGCCGTAGTCAGCTGACATGGCGAAGCTTAAATGGCGCCCTGGTTTGCATCGGATTGAGACAATGTCAAGCGAAGAGCGTGTCCCGTGGGGGGTAACTCTTGCAATGGGAAAAGGTGTTTGTTGCAAGTCATATTTGAAGTAGTGTAACGTGCCGACAGGGGGTTGAGTGGTCGGCCTTTCTCGATGGTAGCAGCTCAGATGCTTTACGGCGAGGTTCCTGGGGGATCACGAATCGGGCATGACGGTGGAAAACTGCTTCGCATTGCAAGGGGCCGGATCTTGTGGGCGGATGATCTGTTCCGAATCCAATTTCACGTTCGACCATCCACGGCGCGATAACCGCCAGCAGAACTTTGACTCGGTAGGTGTGAAAGACATCAGTTCCTGGAAGGGAAGTCCCGAAAATCTGTCTCGGTTCGCCGGAGAGGGGCATGCCGATCGGGGCACGTTACAGCTTACATCTCATTGGTCGATCATCGGACAAAGTTGCCTGTTCTCGGAACTAAGCGTCTGTCTTTCGCCAAGTCGCAAGGGTCCTCGCCACAGCTTCCCACATCTGGCCTGAAACGGGCAGTTTTGGCCGGTCTATGACACAAATCTCGCCCACCCGAGCCCGCATTCTGGCCATCGTCAAGCACAAAACGTTCCTCGGTAGCCACGTGGGGGATCCGTTGCATGGACCCTTGTGATCAAAACTCCGCAGTGGAGGAACTTTTATCTCAGATTCGTGGCTGTGGGTGGTTTGAGGGAACGGAAGGGACTCAAGGGGAGCATGGAACTTTTCTCACCTTTGTTTCCGGAATCAGTGACTTTTCCCCTTCGTGGGGAACGATGGGGCGTTGATCACGACTCACGACTCGTCCAACCGGGGCCACTGGCAAATGTCATGACGCGAGTCCTATCACTCACCACTCCCTCGCTCCATACACGGTAAATGAAAGTTTATCGGCCAGGTTGCCGTGTGCGGATTTCCTTGCTTCCTCAACCTCCACTCTGGCTAAAATCGGCAGTCGTTCATGGCTATGGCGAGAGTGGCGTCTTGGGATGAGCAAGGATCCGTCGATGCTATGCTATAAAGATGCGGTCTCACCCCAGGGGCCCAGACGGGTCGCTTTGATGTCTCAAGTTCACTCTGCAATCCTCTCCTCCTTGACAGTCTTTTAGTCTCCCTACCCCCCTTTAGCTGTCTCCGATATACACCATTTATTCACCCCAGCAGAACAGCACCCGGGAGTCTCCGTCCACACACATCACACGCTCTCTGGAAATATCGACCAGCTGGCTGGTCTGAACACAGGAGCAGAACGACCAGCAGTATCCAAGGCCGTTCTTCAGACTTGGTCACTTCTTTATTAGAGACAAGGAGCAATGGCAGCAGTCGCCGTTCACGCCGCGCCGGTCCACCGGAACGGGGCTGAGCTCGAGGCCATATCCGACGCGGTCGACACGGTCAACATCCTGAAGGACGGGCCCTCGTTCGACACGGAATCGCACTTTGACGCAGACAAAGACAAGTCGGCGTTCCGGCAGTACGAGGACGCGTGCGACCGGGTCAAGAGCTTCTACGCCGAGCAGCACGCCAAGCAGACGGTGGCGCACAACGTGGCGGCGCGTGAGCGCTTCTACTCGCCGACGCGGCAGCGGGCCGAGATGAGCATCTGGGAGGCCATGGAGAAGCTCAACACGCTGATCGACGACAGCGACCCGGACACGGAGCTCAGCCAGATCCACCACCTGCTGCAGAGCGCCGAGGCGATCCGGCGCGACGGCAAGCCGCGGTGGATGCAGCTGACGGGGCTGATCCACGACCTGGGCAAGCTGATGCTCTTCTTCGACGACTGCTGCGAGGGCCAGTGGGACGTGGTGGGCGACACCTTCCCCGTCGGCTGCCGCTTCGACGAGCGCTGCATCTACCCGGACACCTTCGCCGCCAACCCGGACTCGCGCCACGACGTGTACAGCACGCGCTACGGCATCTACGCGCCCGGCTGCGGCATGGACAAGCTCATGATGAGCTGGGGCCACGACGAGTACCTGTACCACGTGGTCAAGGACCAGAGCATGCTGCCGCGCGAGGCCCTCGCCATGATCCGCTTCCACTCCTTCTACCCGTGGCACAAGGAGGGTGCCTACCGCGAGTTCATGGCCGACGGCGACGAGGTTCTGCTCAACGCGGTGAAGGCGTTCAACCCGTACGATCTGTACAGCAAATCGGACGATGTGCCGAATGTGGAGGAGCTAAAGGTGAGCTGCTGCTTTTTCTTTTTCTTTCTTTTTTTTTTCTTTTTTTCCCTTCTTACTTACATGCTAAAACGCTCAATGAGCATCTTGTGGGCTGTGGCTAACTCTAGTTCCCCGCAGCCATATTACCTGGAGCTTATTGATGAGTTCTTCCCGCAAAAGGTCATCAAGTGGTAGAATATTATTCATTTGATGAGGGGTGATTGGTGATAGACTGGCACGGGCGCATTGAAGGGTTGCAAGCGTCGACATGCAAATGATGAAGATGAAAAATAATATGAAGGCGACGAGAGAAGGATCGCTACCCTTTGAATGAACAAACGGACAAAGTTCCTGACACCATATCATCTCATCTACTATCTTCCCCTGTACACTCTCCGAGGGACTGAGTCGTGGATACTAGATACTAGTACTGGCTCACGCCCTCCCGCTCTCATTCAGCCACTTATACACAACCCTCGCGTCCTTCCCCCGGTACCTCTCGTCCGCCATGGCCTCTGCAAAGGCGTCCAGCGTCGGGCGGTCCAGCACCGTCCGCGCGCCCACCGTCTCGGCCAGGCGCGACCCCATGCTCAGCACCTTGGCGCACAACTCGATGCGGAACCCGCCCTCGTAGCCCCTGCTGCTGGGCACGTCCGGCTGCACCCCCGGCACCGGGTTCGCCTTGCTGGTGACCCAGCACTGCCCGCCGCTGACGTTGATGACGTCGGTTAGCAGTCTGGGGTCGAGCCCTGCCTTCACGCCGATGTTGAGCGCTTCGGCGGCTGCCAGGGAGGTGATTGCGCTTAGGTAGTTGTTTATGATCTAAAAACCATCCATCCCTGTGTTAGTAAGTCCATCTTGGTTCAACGGTATCTAGATACTCGTCGTAAAGAAGAAAGCCAGGAGAGAGAGTGTGTGGTCTTGTGATTTAATTCACCTTGAAAGCGGTGCCAGCGCCCACATCACCACACAGGAAGATGCCCTCGGCGTTGCCCATATGTCGGAGGTGGGCCCGGACGAGCGGGAAGACTGTAGCAGACGCAGACGGCGGGCAGCCCACCATGAATGTCAGCGTGGCCTTCTCGGCGCCCATCGGGCCCCCGGACACGGGCGCGTCGACGAAGGTGACGCCGTGCACTTCTTGGGCGGCTTTGGCTACGGAGAGAACGGTGTCGCTCTCGATGGTGCCGCACTCCATGATCAGTTTGTGTCCTGGAGGCGGAGCCGAGGAGGCATCTTGTGCTGCTGCTGATGCCGCCACTCCCGCGAGAATGCCGGTTTGAGGGTCCAGGTAGACCGTCTTGACGGCTTCTGATCCCGGGAGCATCGTGATAACCACGTCCTAAGCACATCGCACATCTCCGAATCAGCTTGGCTCCACAAGATAGATTCAACAGTGTCCTTCGGTAGTATGTGAGTGGCCTACTGCTTCCTTGGCTGCTTCGAAGCCGTTGTTGACTATCTCCACCGGTCCCTGTCCCTCCGTCTCGGCCTTGAAGCGATGGAGAGCGTCATTGTTAACGTCGCAGACGAGCAGTTTCTTGTCACGGCCCAGTCCTGCTCGGAGGTTCTTGGCCATGGGATATCCCATCACCCCGAGACCTGAACGGTGTTCCCGTGATTAGTAAGAACTTGAACATCCTCCAATAGGGGTATTCGAATAATCATAGTTACTGTCCATACCAATGAAGGCCACCGTGTCGGATGGCGTTGAAGGCATAGTAACGTCTTCTTCTGATTCCCAGGGGGGAACAGCAACAAGCCGAGATCGATGTTCCCTAAATTCGAAGCAATCAGTTCTCAGCGGACACTGTGCCTAGTTACACACGCTTCCATGTTGACTTCGGCAGTTGCCACAACGTTGTACTCGGGGTGCAGATAGATGCCTTCCCCGCAGAACACACACCTCCGATGCGGTTGTTCTGGTTGGGGAAGATGGGCCGCGTTGGAGAAATCCCTGTTTCAGTCACGGTCGGTGTGCGAGGGGCATCGTTGACTCGTTGGCATCCCGAAGTACCATCGCTATGGCTTCATTGGTATCTGCCACCATGCCGGCGTAAACGAGGAGAGGTGAATCCGCGGATAAGAATTCAACAACCTTATGTCCAGTTCTGAACTAGATTACTGTATACCTGTTATAGAATGGCCAACACCTCTTAACATCCGTCATAACACTAGCCCCTGACTACTAGTAGGTAGTGAAGCATCTACATACACCCAGGCCAGAACCTCTCCATATTCCTCTCCCGCCAAGCAGCATCATGAGCAACGACCACCTCCACCTCAACCCCCACTTCCCCTTCCCCATCCCCTTCATCCTCGTTCCCTCCCAGCCTGCTCTCCTCGATAAACCCCCTAATCCTCTCCAATGTCCTAGCCGCCACTCCAGTATCAACGTGCACGCTCCTCATCCCGCCCCTCCCATCCTCATACAAGGCAATGCCCTTCTCACCACTCAAAATCCGCGGATCGTGACAGCAGTCACCGCCGAGGTAGACATACCTCCTTGGCTCAAGACGGACGAGCAGGTTGACGTGCCCGAATAGATGACCCGGGCTATCGACGACATACACGCTGCCGTCGCCAAAGAAATCCAGCACAGCGGGGAAGCTGGCCAGGGGCCGCCATGCCCAGCCCGCAGCCGAGGCAGGCAAGATGATGACCGTATCCGGCGGGGCGGGTGTGTGCTTGGGTGTTGTTGTCTTTGTCGGTATTGCCGTAACCGTGGTGCTGTTTGGCACAGGCGGGAGCTCGACCGTGCGAGAGGCCGGCAGCTCGTCGTCGTTGAATAACTCGGCCGGGTACAGGGGTCCCGCGCCATTCTTGAGCAGGTCCAGCGTCCCTGAGCCGACGACAAAGGTGGAACGGGGGAAATCAGACGGTGTCCCTACATGGTCCCAGTGGACGTGGCTGAGGATGACAAAGTCGATATCCCTGGCAGGATCGAGAAGAGGCTTCTCTGCCGCTGTACTGCCGCGAAGACTGGCAGCGCCGTCAGGATCCGTGACGACGGGTTGGCGCTGGGCGATGTGTGCCTGCTGTGCTGGCGTGTAGCCGCTGAGGTCCCGCTTGATGCCGAGGTCGAAGACGATTCTCGTTACCTGGCTGCCGCCAGTGGGCGACTGGGATGGATGCTGGATGAGGAAGGCCAAAGACGGGACTGTGGCCCGCTTTTCGGGATCCGCGTCGGTGACGAACAGCCGCTCCGGAAGGGTGAGGTGGCCGCCGTCGAGTGCCGAGACGGTCACACAAACCGGTGACTTGGTAGCCATGAGGTAAGGACCTGGTGGTAGTGGTGTTGCCGATGGCGACGGTTGACTCTGGATTGTGTTAGTCAACCCATAGACATGCGATCCTAGGTTGGCTGACATTTCTCCCCTCATAGGTGGTCCATGAACAACCACTTGCGTACCCCTGGGCGTCCTGTGCTATCCTGTGCGGGGAAGCTCCAAGCCGTCCCTCTCGAGACAACGGTAATACCTACCCCGCGAGCTTCTCCAAGGACATCGAAGATCAGCTCGGCAAATCGTTGATGGGCGGTTGGGGGCTTACAAACACTTCAACGGGATTCAACCCATAGCAACAGAACGTCGACGAGAAGCGGCCGTGTCATCGCCATCACAACTCGCTCATTCCAATCAGAACCCAAACCAAATTCAATTCCAAACATAGCAGTCATGGCAGAATCTCCAAATCTCCCACGCACAATGAAAGCCCAGTTTCTCGACGCCTACAACACGCCCTACACGCTGCGCTCAGTCCCGCTTCCTTCCCCCGACAACTCCTCCCCGCACGACATCCTCATCAAGGTCGACGCAGCCTCATACTGCCACACTGACGCCGTCCTCGCGGCAGGGCAGCTCCCGCCCTTCCCATCCGCCTTCCCACACATCGGCTGCCACGAGTTCGCGGGCACCGTCGTCTCCCTTCCTCCGGGGTCGAATACAAAGCTCCGCCCCGGAGACCGCGTCGGCGTCCCTGGCCGCTCATTCCGCCCGTGTGGAACATGCTTTGAGTGCCGTGCCGGCACTGCAGAGGAAACAGATGCGGACGCAGATGGGGATGCGGACCCCCCGGGGTACTCGGTGTATTGTCCGCACGCGGGGAATCTCGGCATCAGCGCACCGGGCGGCTTCGCTGAGTATGCGGTGGTCGACGGTAGGCAGGTGGCACCGCTCCCCAAGGGTATGGGTGCTGTCGACGCAGCGGTTCTGATGTGTGCCGGTGTCACGGTGTATGCGGCGCTCAAGCGGTGCAGGTTGAAGCCTGGCCAGCGCGTTGGGTTGATGGGATGCGGGGGCGGTTTGGGACATTTGGGCCTTCAATTCGCCCTTGCGATGGGATTGAGGGTGCTGGGTGTTGATAATGCCGATGGTCCTCTGCGGCTGGCGAGAGAGGCCGTTGAAGGGAGACAAACAGCAGCGAGGATCGTCGACGCAAGGACAGAAGATGCAAGTGGAGTGGTCACTGCCATCGGGCAGCAGGACGGTAAGCAGGAGCGTGCGGAAATGGGATTGGACGCTGTCATTATCCTGCCCGAGAGCCAGAAGGCGTTCGATTATGGCGTTGCACTGCTGAGAACCCATGGTCGATGTGTGGTAGTCTCCTTCCCAGAGAATGGGTTTCACGTCTCAGCGCGGGACCTCGTGTTCCGCGACATTTCGGTCGTAGGGAGTCTAGTGGGCAGTAACAAGGCGTTGAGGGAGATGCTGCGATTTGCAGCCGAGCACGGGGTCAGGGCACGCATCCGCACGTTTTGCCTGTCCGAGCTCAACGACTTGGTTGCCCAGTACCACAAGGGAGACGGCGGGAAGCTTGTTGTTGACATGGCCCTTCCCGACACAGCTTAAGCCAGATTAGTGCAGCCTAGCACCACAAAGCCAAAAGGAGCCGTACGCCAAGCATATCGCCCAGTTATTATAAGTGAAGCAAAGAAAGTGGAAGTAAAACGGGAGAAAAGGAGAAATAGAAGAGTAGAATAAAAAAGAAGAAAAGGTGAAAGGAGTGAGAGAAGACAAGACTGAAAGTAGACAGAAAAGATCAAGAAAAACAAAAGATCAAGGGAGAGAATAAAGTAAAGAAGAAGTAGACGATGACAAGGACTATAAATCCGGCTGATATCGAAGGGCGCTGTGGCATACGGCTTTCTTTCCCCAGACGGAGCCTAACTAGCAGCCTCCAACACGTCGGCGTACAGATCCAACGATGATCCTATTACATCCACAATGCGCCATGTCTGCGAACTCCTGAAGACGGTTGCCCACACCCTCAACATGCCGATGTTGAGCTGCCTTGCAGCCGTCGCGATATCCAGAGAAACTTCGTCGGGAACAGCAAACTCGGTTTCATCCAACATCGTCTTGACCAAACCCAGTATCCTTCTCTCGTCGGCTGTGAGCTGAGCGTCAGTGCTTGGCCACCGTGCGGCCGAGATCGCCGCAAGCCACTTGCTGAGCAGTAGGGCACATTCGAGCGAGGACAGCGAGTGCTGAATGGACCAGATGAACGTTTGCGTCTTGGCCACCAACCGGATCCCGATCTTGATAGGGATACTAAGTGCATGCGCCGAGTGCAGAAGGGCCCGCGTGAGGTTGGGGCATCTCTTGACGGGCGGAGCGTTTCGTAGAGCGTTGGCGATCTGAATGGGATCTCTGGTTCCCAGGGCCCTCTCTGGTCCGGTGTCTACGGCGAGGCGTACATGAGCTAAACGCAGGAGCGCCGTTGAGTTGAAGGCTACTGGGCCTTGTGCACTTGTCGGGTCCAAGCATGATTCTGGGCTCAGTTCCCAGCTCAACTGCCAGTTGCGCAAAGCGCGTTCGAGCGATGCCCTGTCTTCTTGCGTCAGGTCAGAATCCGGCAAGTCAATCCGACACCTCGCGGTCTGCCGGACAAAGAAGATGTGCTGGATGATGCCGTGGATAAGAACGTAATTGGCCAATGATGATTGCCGGGTCGCTGTCTCCTGGCCAGGGCTACTACTGGAGAACAGCCACCGAATGGCGTCCTGAAAGGAAGACGGCTCGGCAGCACATCTCCTAGCTTCTTCCCATGCAGCTGCCGTGTCGGCCCGAAACTCGGCTGCAGTGCAAGGGAGCTTCATCAGGAGCTCCGAGCTGAGGATGAGCGGAGGTATGTCGTAGAGAATGCAGTGCAGGTTGAAGAAGCAAAAGACAATGTACTTGGTTCGGATGACGGATTCCTGACTCATCATTGCCTCCCAGCTCGCGATGTCCCGGTCAGAGGACGTTGGCATACGAAGTCCGTCCTCGCGGATGATGCTCGCAAGGACGCTCTGGATTGCCAGAGCCTCTCTCAAGAGTTCGCCATGCTTGGACCAAGTAGCCATTGCCATGAGAATGAGCAGCGCTTGGGCAGTCTGGATTAGATCGCAAGGTGGATTTCCCGCAGCGGGTTCATCCGTAGAGGGCAGTCTAATGCCGGTAGACTGGGACGGAGATATCGAGGCACTTGCAGGATGGTTGTTCTGCTGAAAAGAGGAAGTCAAGCCGGCATCTCTTCTCCGAATGCGCTCATTGGCGATGGCCCTGGCGGCATGGAAAAGGCTGACTCCCTTCTCCGACTCGAAGCAGTATTGCGCGCCCACGGCAGCCATGGCAAGCAGCAGCTCGATGGAGGATGTCGAGGCAGACATTGACTGTATATGCAGAAAGGGGAGGTGCTCGTGAAAACCGTCGACGTAGCCGCGTATGTAGCGCGAGAGCGACAGTCCGGTAGGCAGTTGGAAGTCTGGGATGACATCAGCAAAGTCGGCCGTCCTTTGCAGAATCAGTTCCCTCTCATCACATGTCACATCAAAGACTCTTCTGTGCCCCGCCGACTGGCCAACAGGTGGCCCAAGATTTGCGTCGAAGCTTTGTTGATCCGGTTGTATGGAGGGCAGTCGGGAGCAGAAGCATGAGAATGAAGCTTGTTGCGTGTAGGTGATGTCGACTTGAAGCTGGTGCCGATTGAAGACGTCGTTCTCCTCGTTGGAGCCTATGAACGGCTCAAAAGGAAAAAGGAAATCGTCTTGCCCGACGGTGTCCGGTGAGGGCAGATGGTATGCGGCAAGTGTGTTCGCTTCAAGGTAACCTGTAAACCGATCTAGCGAGCTGTCGATACTGCCGTTGGCAGAATGCCCTTGAGTGGCACCAGTGATGGTAGGCTGGACCGTGGCATCGTCAGGGAGCTGCATGCTGTCGACGGCAGTGCCTTCAGGAGGCCGACAGACAGAGGGCCGGAAGGGCTCAAGACCGGTATTTGGAAAGTCTCCTAAAGTATACCCGGATGTTGTATAAGCGGGACTAGGCGGGAGACTAGAAAACGGATCAGGTGGTGCCGGCGATGCAAATTCACCAGGAGCCTCCTGGTTGTCCGTGTGTGTCTTCTTTGGCCGTGACCGCTTCACTGCCCGTTTAGAGGGGGCGACTTTGTCAAGGCTTTTCTGCAGACGAGACGACGCCCGCGTATTACCGTGCGAGAGTCGCTCATGGCGTATCAACAGGTCGCTGAAGGGAAGGAGGGTACAAGTCAATCAGGCCCGTCCACCCACACATGACCCCAGCCAATCAGAACGGTACTTGCCTTCTTGTGAAGCGAGAATCGCACCGCTCGCATGGAAACGGCCGTTCCCGTGTATCTTGTTGGGAAGAGGACGGGTCAGTTCAAGGGTGATACAGCTGCCGAGGGCTAGGACAAATTGGAAACTCAGTTACGCGTCCTCTCGTGACGCTGCAGGTGTTCGAGTCGAGCAAAGCGTCTCTGACAACGAGCGCACTGAAAGCGCTTGGGCTTCAAATTCACAACGATGTTGTCGAGCGTATCACTTGCCGATGCGTCCATGATCAAGTGTAGTACCTTAGGTTGTTGGTGTGAAGAGGGGTAGCCTGGAAGCGGAAGCGTTGCGGGAAGGAGCAATGGAAGGGAACGCGGGGTTGGGAACATGACTTCCTACCCGCTGGGCAAATCGGAATTGGTGCTGTGGTCAACATACTGGAAGCCTAAGAGCTCGACTTCAGAAGCCGAGCGATCTGTAAATTGGATGTGATCCGCAGCCATTTTCATACCTTGTCCGCAGGTTCAAGGCATGATCATGGTCTCTACATGTCAGCAGTTGAGTTCAGCAAGTGGAAAAGATTTGGTCGCAGACTGTCGAGCAATACATGAGATACAGCGTGCGGTTTGAAATTTGACTGCCGCATCGAAGGAATGGCGACGGGAGTCTCTACCATACTACTGATGCCACACACTTCTTCTATACTGCCTTGTCCCCCAACTCCCTCGCCATCTCGCCCTTCTCAGCCATCTCGTTCAGGACCTTCTCGGCCGTCTTCATGGCATCCACCCCGGCCGGCACACCGCAGTAGACGGTGCAATGCAGAATAGCTTCCCTAATTTCCAGTTCCGTCAGGCCGTTGTTCCTCGCGCCCCGGACGTGTGCGGCCAGCTCCGGTGCCCGGTTCAGCGCCATGAGCATGCCGATATTGAGGAGGCTCCGCTGCTTCCGGTCGAGACCGGGCCGGGTCCACGCATAGCCCCAGCACCATTCCGTCACCAGCTCTTGCCCGGGCCGCGAAAACTCGGTCGAGCCGTTGGCCAGAGCCCGTTCCACATATGCCTCGCCGACGACGCTGCGCCGGACCTTGAGACCTTCCTCGAACAGGTGCTTGTGCAGCTCGTTGGACTTTGGGTCGCCGCTGCTCATTTTTGGGGATTCGAAGCGACTGGTGCCGATGATTGGTGATGGTTCTTTGTGTTGGGTGGAAGGAATGGATTGACAACGAGAATGGAGGAAGTGCCTATGCGAGATGTGGCACTTGCATGGATTGGCGGTACTGACGGGAGTGTCTACCGTTTAAGATACCCCAGCTCGGATTTGGGGTCCCGGTACCCTTGACAAACGATCAATGTTCCTTGGGGAACGCGGTAATAGGCCCCCACTGCAGATGGTACTTGGAGAAGATGGCGCATACACACATAAGAGTGGTGAGTGTTCCAGCGGTATCGCGGCAATATATCTGGAAGCTACTATACGGCGGCTTCTGCCCGCCGCCTTATGTCTGACTTGTGGTAGTGAACATTGGCTGGGGTTTTGAATCAGAAATCAGGCGCCAGTCGACCCATCCGCCGGCTTCCAAGCCAGCAAACTGATACCAATAATCAAGCAGTCGATGTCAGCTCCTCAATGATGGGCGCTGCCACATGAGGCGTGTGTAGGCTCAGAAGCGTGGCAAGCTCCAGTACTTCGAGTATCTCTCCAGGTGTGGCCCCGTAGCCCAGCGCGTTCCTCATGTGCAGTTTCAGACCGGGGACATACAGATGTGTGGATGCTGCGTCAAAGGCACAGTAGACGAGCTCCTTCATCTGTGATGGGGTCAGTCACAAGTTCACAACCGTGCAGGCTTCTCCCGGTAACAGTCTGGGAAATCAAGGGTTGGTGACAGACCTTTGGTTCTAGCGCCCCTCTCCCCTCGGAACCGCTTCCATCCAGGTGTTTCGTCCAGGGCACGCTGGAAAAGTCCAAATAGGCCTCGAAGAACTCGGGATCCAGTCTGAGGAAGTCTTCCCAGAAGGCATGCCAGTAGCCCCGCTTCTCGGTGAAATCTTTCTTGAGCCGCTCCTGATTCTCGTCGAACGGGCGGGTGATCTCCTTCTGGAATTTCCCTTCCTCCTTCAGCACCTCGACCAGCAACGGCACCCCGATGTTGCACGCATGGATCCCCAGGGTGCTCGACAGCTCAATGACCTCGAGGATCTCGTCCACGCTAGCACCTTCCCTCCGCGCGGCTGATACGTGCGCGCGGATGCCCGGCGCGTAAAGATGCGTTGCAGCGCTGTCGACAGCCAGGGAGATCAACTCCTGGTTCTTGCGCGAAAGATGAGATTTCCGCCGCGGCACCGAGGCCAAGGACAGGCTCGCAGAGAAGAACCGGGGGTCGACCGACAGCAGAGACGCCCAGCCCTCATGGAACGCCTCAGCGCCAAGCTGGCTCTCGAACTGCTTCCTGGGCTCTGCCCGTTCTTGGTCTGATGCCATCTTGACCTGGGATGTATTACATTGCGGGAAGAGACAAGGCAAGGTTTACTCCAATACGTGAATCATTATATGCTGGTTTTACATGCATGGGACGTCTCCGCACTGTCTCGTACATAATCAACTCGCTTCACCAGCTCTTGAGACACGCAGCCGCTCTCCCCAGCATCTCGATCTCCCGCTTAATTACAATCAACCCCAGAGTCCAAGCAACAGGAAGGTAAAGCTAAGCGGGGTGGTGAGGGGAGACGGGGAAGTGTACTTCGTGCGGGGAAACTGCAATATATTTCAACCTCCAACCGGAGCTGTTCAATATCATGAGGGGACACACTCGCCGTTGTTGTTGGAGTAATAATGAGCACGCACGATTCGGCAGTAAATCCAAACCGATAGATTGTTGGTTCTGCGCCGTTGGCCGCGTTTGGGAATACACGGGGCACTCGACCGCAGATCTCTTCCTTGGTACATAGCGTGCAGCAAATGCTAAACACTAGGTGCAACATGGCATCAGATCAAAGTAGAATACTGAGTTAGACAGAGTAGAGGCTCCGTCAAGATTCAGAAGCCGTCGGCATCCAAAAAGCGGTGCCGATTGCTCGCCTTGCACTCCCACTCAGCATCGTGAGCAAAAATGACCTCAACCCCTTTTTCCCCCAGACTCCGGATCCGGCAGATTGTATCCTCGGCCCTGCCGCGATCGGCATGGATGCAACACACATGGCCCTCCCCGTCCAGCCATTCGCCAATCTCCTTCTCTCCCCGCACAATCCGCCGGTCGTGGCACGCATCGCCGGCCAAGTAGACCCAAGCCCCGTCCCGTTCCGTCCGGGCTAGGAGGTTGATGTGCCCTGGGAGGTGGCCCGGCGCGTCGACGATGTAGAGACTGCCGTCTCCGAAGAGATCCAGGGTCGCTGGGAGCCCGGCAAAGGGTTCCCACGGCCGGCGGAAATCTATCGGAGGTCGAGATTGTGTGGCTGATGTGACTCTAGACGTCAGGCTGTCAGCATCTGGGCTCTGTCTGGGGTCCGATAGCTGAATGGTTCGAGACGGGTCTAGGAGGTCGGCTTCGAAGAATGAGTGGCCACCTCGCAGGGAGTGGTGTCTGCCGTGCAGCACATCCAGAGAGCCGTTGCCGACGACGAACGTGCTGCGGAGGAAATCGCGCGGCTCGCCGACGTGATCCCAATGGACCTGCACGATAGGGGTTTTGAGCCTTGAGGATTATGGATGGGTTCGGTTCAGCGGTTCGCTTACATGTGAGAAGATAACGTAGTGGATATCTTCCGGGCTTAGACCGCCAGCGGCCAAGCTCTTGACAACATCTGGGTCAGTGGTCAGGGGCTGGCGAGTAGCGATGTGGCGGCGGATAGGTTCCGAATAACGATCGGGATCTCGACGTAATCCCAAGTCAAAGACGATGCGTGTTTTGACCCCGTTCGAGACGCTGGTGTGCTCGATCAGGAAGCATAACGAGGGGACCGTCTTGCGCGCTCCCGGAGTCGCCGGTTTGACGAACTGCTCTTCCGGCAGGGTGAAGTAGCCGCCCGACAGCGCATGCACCTGGACTGTTGCAAAGTTCGTTGACGGTTGGGGAATCAGCAGGCCAGAATCCATGGCTGGGATTGGGATCAGCAAGGCTCCTGGTGTACCGGAGCGCCTCCGAGCGACACGGATTACACGTATATTCCAATTCTTCAGGGGACATATGTGTCCCGACTTACACCATTTCCCTTTCGGTAATTTTTGATATCTTTCTGCAACAGACAGATACCAACGTGTTTGGGGTAAACGAAAAGGGGAGTAGGCTTCGGCATTTCTCCAGCCACGCTTCCACATCCAGGCACCCGTGGTCACTTTCCCCGCATATAGAGTGGTTGCCGGTGTGTACCGGCCTGGGTGGCTTGGTTTCTGTATGTATTCTGCAAAAAATTGGTGCATTAGCATTTGCGGTCAGCTGGTGCTCTTCGGAAAACTGCTACTGTAAGCAGAGGACACACTCTCTCAAGACCACTGCGAAATGGCTTCTACAGCAAGCACGGACGCACTTCCAGAATCAGTCGGGTTCATTGGCCTCGGAGCGATGGGCAAGCCCATGGCTGCCAACTTGGCCAAGGCTCTGCCTCGGGGGTCGCAGCTGCATGTCCATGATGCCGCACTGGCCCAAGTCCAAGAACTCTGGACCAGCTTTCCCGATGTAGTTGTCAGGTGCTGGAGCGCACAAGAGGTGGCCGAGGCGTCGGTGAGTTTCCAACCCCCAGGATTATTCCAGCATCGGAGGAGCAACTTGGGGAAATCCTAACCGCACGGCGCACAACCCAGGACGTCGTAATAACAATGCTGCCAGAAGGAGCTCACGTCAAATCAGTTTACCTAGACCCGACGACCGGAGTTATCGCCGCCCTTTCTTCATCGCCTTCCCGTCCCAAGCTCTTCATAGACTCGTCCACCATCGACACGGCCAGTAGTCTGCATGTGAAGCAGGAGCTCTCCGCAGTCTCGGCCACAGCCAGCTTCTATGACGCGCCCGTGAGCGGCGGGGTCCTGGGGGCGGAAAACGGCACGATCGCCTTCTTCCTCGGCTGCTCCCCGTCAGACCGCAACATCGCCCGGTTAAACGCGCTTTTGCAGACGATGGGTGCCAAGGTGGTACCCTGCGGCGGACCGTCGCTGGGGCTCGCCGCGAAGCTCTCCAACAATTATCTCTCGGGCATCATCACCATCGCATGCGCCGAGGCGATGGACATGGGCATGCGGGCGGGCATCGACGCGCGGGTGCTCGCGGCCGTGTTTGCCGCCGGCACAGCGCAGAACACCATTTGCGACGTGTTCAATCCCGTCCCGGGCGTGTGCGGACGGGCGCCGTCGTCCAATGGCTACCGAGGCGGCTTTCGGGTGCAGCTGATGCGGAAGGACATTGGCCTTGCCGTGGACATGGCGCGCACCGTGGGCGCTCGGAACGTTCTGGGCGCGAGCGGGTTGGGCGTGTATGTCGCGGCAAGTGCGGCGGCAGATTGCAGAGATCTAGACTCGCGCGTCGTCTATCGGTACCTTGGCGGCAGAGAGAACTGGGAGCACGACCAGGAGGAGCAGATCGCGAAGGCGGGCGAGACGCGATGATCGACGGCCCGGAAACTTGCTGCCGGAAGCACTCCGTACTACTGTACTTACTTACTAAGTGATTACTGTAGTGCGTGCTGTGTGATACACACCAAGAATCTGGTGCCGAGAAGAAGTTCACATCTCCCAATTACAGTACTGTACATCGATTCGGCCGTCGCAAAAATGCGATGGCGATCGGAGGTGGAGTGACTGTCCTCCGAGATCGTCGAGTTCGGGACACAAACTAGGAATGGTCTGTTACGGTAAAAGATTGCATTCAGACATGTATTATACGTAAGTAACTGCCCGCATTTCCGGCCGCCCCGGGTTTAACAGCTCGCAGCTTGTATATATATAGTTACACGTACCACCGCGTCCTCAGGCTACTGCAAGCTTTTCTAACACTAGTAATGTACCTACATGGTAGGTATGAGTGAAAAAGAAGCCCATACGGATATGTAGTGTAACATACATAGGTAATCTGAACGTTGTTCGGATTGGCCGTAGTTCAGTGGTCCCAAGGAGCTAAAATGGCACCGTGAGTTCACACGCAAATGTAGCGCGTTGTATCCGTAGTTATCTAACGAAACCCTGATCCGTCGACCGGACAAAGCCGCAAATCAATGACTTCATCGGTTCATCCACTTGCTCCTCCATCTGCTCCGGCCCCGGTTGGACAGCTCCGGCCGGCATGCCCATTCAACGTCTCCACCCGGATCCACATACGCATTTTCAGGGTCTTTTTAAGACTTGACGCCACTCGGAGCATCGTCCTCTGCCGCGGATCGGTCCCCTCGCAAGCCGTCACACGCCTCGAGGTCGCCCCCCGACACCGTCAACCGCGTTCCAGACTCCTGTGCATCCATCTCCTCGGGCGGCGGGCGGGCGGTTGTGGTAAGGCTATTACCATTCTGGGAGTTGCGAAGGATGCCGTTCTGCCGTCTTCCCCAATCTCCCCCCTTACCGTTCTGCGCCAGATCTCCTGAATTCTAACCCTCGTGGGCACATGAAGCCCGCCGCCGCCGCCTCTGCCATACCGCCGCCATCTTCATTGGCCCCGCGGACCGCTTTGTCACTAATAATTGGCCGCCACCGCCATCCAGACTGTCGCACGTCGCACCGCGTTTCAGCAGTTTCCCATCCTGTGTTGCCGTTGGTGTTGTGCCCGCAGATCCTTCATCCCCTCTCTACCAGGCCCAGACCCTCTGTCAACTTTGTTTCAACCTCCAGGAACCATTACCCCACAATACTACCATTCCAGGGGCTCCCGCGTCCCAATCTACATCTGCATCTGCATCTGCATCTACATCTACATCCACACCCTACGTATATAAGCCAGCCCCTCTCAACCATGGCCTCCAAGCCGAAAGCGTCGCCCCGCGCTCAGCCAAGCCGAGACAAGCTGGTCAATGATCTCGAGACGCCCCTCCGTCCTCAGGCCCAGCTGCGCCGGTCAGGCCGCCGCGTCAAGACGATGGAGCCCGAGGACAATGCAAGCTCGACGCTCGGGAATGTCCTGGGCATCCGACAAGAAGAGGGCGAAGACATCGACAAGGAGGAGATACAAAACCGCAAAGACGCCGTCAAGGGAGACATGCAGCTCGCCATCGAGGGGCTCTCCCGGATGGAGCGGCGTCTGAGGAGCGCGACGAAGAGGCAGAAGCTGCAGATCGAGGAGGAGGGCCGCCTGACCGATCCGGACTTCCTCGCCGGCCAGGAAAGGTTGACACGGGCGACCACGCAAGCGGGCATGGGGCTGAGGCAGCCCAAGGAGCGAGGACAGAGGGGCATGCCCACGCCGGAGGACGAGGAGAAGGGGAACAACTTTGCCAGCGACATCGGCGAGGGCGAAGGCCAGGACCCCTATAGCCGCAGAATTGACGCTCCGGACGAAATCGCCGACGTGCCCGAACGCGGCGCGGCGAGACCGCCGCCCGTCAACAGTGGCTACCTTCCGCTGCCGTGGAAAGGCCGGCTTGGGTATGCCTGTCTCAACACATACCTGCGTTCGGCAAAGGTTCCGGTCTTCTGTTCCCGGGCCTGCCGGATGGCGTCCATCATCGACCACCGGTATCCACTCGCGGACGAGTCTATGCCCGAACACTCGATCAAGAATCGGCCGGACAAGTCCAAGGAGCCCAGCGACGAGCGAGGCCGCAGGTTCGTGCAGAACCTCGGCCTGCAAAATGCCCGGGATATCCCCAAGATGCTGCGGTGGAACGACAGGTACGGCATCAAGTTCATGCGGCTCAGTTCCGAGATGTTCCCCTTTGCCAGCCACCCGGATCACGGCTACAGGCTGGCGCCATTTGCCTCGGAGGTGCTTGCTGAGGCCGGCAAGGTGGCCGCCGAACTGGGCCACCGGCTGACCACGCACCCGGGCCAGTACACGCAGCTTGGCTCGCCCCGGCAAGAGGTCGTCAACGCGGCGATCCGGGACCTGGAGTACCACGACGAGATGCTGTCGCTGCTCCGCCTCCCCGAGCAGCAGAACCGCGACGCCGTCATGATCCTGCACATGGGCGGCGTCTTCGGAGACAAGGCCGCGACGCTCGACAGGTTCCGCAAGAACTACGCTGCCCTCTCGGACTCGGTCAAGGCCCGGCTGGTGCTCGAGAACGACGACGTGGGCTGGAGCGTGCACGACCTGCTCCCCGTCTGCGAGGAGCTCAACATCCCGCTGGTGCTCGACTACCACCACCACAACATCATCTTCGACAGCACTCAGTGCCGCGAAGGCACGCTCGACATCAGCCAGCCCGAGCTCATGTCGCGCATCACCGCCACCTGGACGCGCAAGGGCATCAGGCAGAAGATGCACTATAGCGAGCCGGTGCCGGGCGCCGTGACGCCGCGCGACCGCCGCAAGCACAGCCCGCGCGTCATGACCCTGCCGCCCTGTCCGCCGGACATGGACCTGATGATCGAGGCCAAGGACAAGGAGCAGGCCGTCTTCGAGCTCATGCGCACCTTCAAGCTGCCCGGCTTCGAGCGCATCAACGACATGATCCCGCACGAGCGCGAAGACGAGTCGCGCCCCGCGCCGACCATCGCCAAGAAGAAACAGAAGCCTGCCATCAACATGAAGCGGAAGCGCGCACCGGATGAGGAGCCCGTCGAGCTGAATGACGTCGGCGCCGGGGCCGACGACGAGACCCAGCTCATGACCGCGAGAGAGGTCCCGCCCGAGGACACCTCGATGGGCGGGCCGGATAACAGGGTGTACTGGCCGCCGGGGAAGGAGGACTGGCTGAAGCCCATGAGGAAAGGAGCCAGGACACAAGTAAGAGAAGATCAAGAGACCAAGGATGAGAACGAGAATGAGTTTGTTGTATGATCATGCAGCGTATCTTCCCTTTCTTCGCTTCTCTACGCCGTTGCTCTCTTCCATAGGTACTGACAACGTTATTGGATTTGCCTACGCGAGAGTATCCTCCACGTAGCGACCCCTAGGTGAGTTATCATCTCTGTCCTTCTTTTACCTTCCTCTTTCCGTCTTCTCTCTTTTAATCTTCGCTTTTCATCTCTCCCCCATCCTTTTTCTCTTTCGTCCTCCTCCCTTCCCTCCCTCTCTTGTTCTCCCGATCTTTCTTCTCCCGAAAACAAGATAAATATGACCGAAAGAGGAAAAGAGAGATCCTAGAGTTTAAACACAAAAAGAAAATACAAGTGGATAAGAAAGGGGAACAGATTGGGATCCTATCCTCATGCTCTTCATTTACGGGATAGACGACTGTGGATATAGTAGGAGGTGCACTACCTGCCGCAGGTGCCTGATTCCCGCATGGGGTGTCTTTCCAAACCAAAATGCTGGCTCCTTCCATCCAGTCTGGAAGTCGCTCCTTCCGTCCCCGTCTTCCCGACAGAGCTGTGACATACCACCGCAGGCACCAACTGTGACTCAGACCTCGGGCGGGCCTGAGTTCAGTTTCCAACCATCCTCCCCGCCTTATCGTTCGTCCCCGCCATTCCGTCGATCTGGTTCTTCGTCCTCTTCCTTCTTCGTCTTCCTTCCACCACACACGAGCTCACGTCTCCAGTTTCCCACTCGTCCATCTCCGAGGCATCATAAGCACCAAACTTTATAATGCTTTTGACCTGTTTTCTCTTTTGACTCGCTGGGCCGACTTGCGCAAGATGCCAATTCCCAACCATGCACGACCACGGCGGCTGATGCCTTGTTGCACACCTAAGCAAAACGTCGACGCCGTTGTTACTCCCATCTTCTAAACAAATCCCGGGAAGTTCAAAGGTCTTTTTATATCGACCCAGGTGACAGCAGCCGATACGGCTACACCAAACTACAAGAGGTAAAGTAGCGTCATCCCATACCTAATTTTTTACAATTACTAAATTAGCAGAAGGTCCACAAGTCGACCCTTTGACAGATCGACCATTTGAAACGATCTATGATTTCCTAGCTTGAAGTTTCAGAATAAAGTTGCAGAGCTTGCGATGAAATGGGCCAAGGAGACATCCCCACGAGCAATTCGTGAAGACCGCCCTCGAAGACGGCTACACGATCACGCACAAGGCGCTAAAACGCGCATCACGCGTTTCACCCCAGCCTGCCTCGCCCCCGGGCTCACGTCACGATGGTCACTCCTCGCCAGAAAGTGCGGCAGATTCGGGGCTGCGAAAACCGCGCGGATGCCACGTACGACTACCGCCTGGTTCTCTGGTGTGATGAGAACCCGCATCTCGCCGAGGAAATCGGACCAGACAATTGGCACAAGTTCGTCAAAGATCCCGATAAAGATAAACGTCGTGTCACGAAAACGGTGTAAGTTACCTTGTCAGCTTCTCAATGCCCACTTAGCGGGGACGCGACTCTATTATCTTTCCTATATTATCCGCATCACTTCTTTTCCCGTTCCCTCTCGAGAGTTATATGTCTTAGTTCTCCCCTTCCTTTATCGTAGCTGATTAGATTAGGACGAAGTCATCATCGCCCTCAGCGCCGTGACCGACAATCTAGATAAGAGCAATACGGGCGAGAGTAATATAAGTCTATTGTTCAACCTTGCTTTTAACCGACTTTCTTTGACTAACTGCTTAATCTTCACCTGTAGTCGTTACTACGTGCTCGACAACAACAACGAGCTAGTAACGTTAACGGATTCGATATTTTGGTATACCAAGAACTTCGACCCTTTCCGCCCTTTCCCTGATCGCGAGCAGCTCAAGGCGTGGAGTGTTGGGAGCAAGGTCAAGTGGTGGCTCCTGCACCCTGCGGCCCTCCGCCAAATCAAGGCCGACAGGAATCTCAAACACGTCGATGGCAAGGAAATCTTTAGGGCCGTCCAGAAGATCCCCCTCGTGCGTGTTGGCATGAACCACGCTATCAATCTCCCGAACGGCAAGACGACGTACCCCCGCGACGATATGCCAGACACCCAGATCTGTTGCCACCAGGTGAAGTACGGAGGTGGAAGATGCACCGTAGAGTCGAACGTAAAGATATCGTGGAGTAAGTGTCCTATTTTCTCAGGGGAAGGAGATTTAGACGGCTAACCTATTAGCCTATATTCTCTGAGCTATGATGATAAACTCGGTGTCAGACGCGCTTGCATCGATCTTCCTGCTCGCGAGTCGCTGTCTTGTCGGATGCGAAAATCCGTCCTTCATTACAAATCTCACGATACGGTTTCGAAACCATTGCGCCATGGCCGCCGAACAGCAGGTTGCTCAGGCCGCGATGAAGGCAGCAGTTTCTAATGACGACTGGAGGGCCAAACGTTTGTCATTCGCGCAGAGAAACCCGAGGAATTGTCCAGCTCTGAGTTATTGGAATACAATGGAATCTACACCGAGTAGCCGCCATTTGCGGAGTGGCTAATGTCACGCACGAGCGCAGCTAGTCCTGCGGCTAAACCATGCTCGCACCACAACGTCTGTCTCCAGATCAATCGCAATTTTTATAGCGGTTGAAGAACCGACCGCCCCGGCTCCATTCGACTTAAAAACATTCCCGCAAAACCGATCTTCCCGCGAAAAGGGTGCGACAACTTCTCTTGAGATGTCGGCCACAACACATCAACCCACTGACAGTACGCAGCTAGGTCGCATCAAAAAGCCATGGACGCCGGCACTCCGTTTCCGCTATACGCCCTCCCAACCGTCACTCAGACGGTCGTTTTGACAGTGACGAGGACGTTATAGCTAGGTCACATCGGAAAAGCCACGGACGCCGGCAGCTGCAGGTGCTACCGGCGGAGTGTGCGGGGAAACACGCGTTCCTGCTGGCGAATACCGTGACGGCCGGGGGCGATAAGGAGGCACCGGAGCTGGTGGACGGGCGCGAGATGACCGAGGCGGTCAAGGAGGCCCTGCGAAAGGCCATTCCCACGGCGGTCACGGTATATCGAGGCGCACAACATGACAGATGGTACAGATGTTCGGACGCAGCCGGCCGCGAGAGCACCTGTGCGAGAGGCATCCTGCTAACGACAAAGGGCAGACAAAAAGACGAAATCACCAAGGAGTACTGCAGCAACACGTGCAGGCGGTGGGTGATCTCAAAGTACCTCGATGGCGGAAACGCGAAGGCATGCGGCGTGGGACCTCATGGCCGGGCACAGTATCAAGACGGCAGAGATACATTATGCCCGGGAGATGACCGACAACCCGACCCAGTTCCAGGAGTACCTCAACGGGGAGTGTCACGAAGAAGTATATTGGGCCAGCACGCGAGGATATGTGGAGACTCCGCGTGCGCCAAGGGCCGATTCGCCAGGCGAGGTTTGAGTTGCAGCACACTTCCCATGGCTCCTCATATCGCCCACCCCGCCTCTCCTCTCAGGCTGTAACGCAGGCTTGTATCGATAGGCTCAACCTGTCGATCCTGTGGTATTACATCTGGGACCCGGATGTCGCTGCAGGGAAGCGGCCGCTGGACGACGAGGAGGCTGAGCAGGGGTGTCGGCCGTTCGCTGATGAGATCCGCAAGTCCGTCCTTGTCGGGTTGCTCTACCTGGTTACACGTGACACAGAGAGAGGGGACCCAGTATTTAGTTTGGCACCGCCCAACTGCCCCGAGGGTCAAGAATTCGACCCGGTCGAACACTTCGACCTTTCCCGTTGTACTGTGACGATCGACAGTCAATGTACAGATATGGGAATGAAGAACTATTCGGCTGGAACTTGGGATGAGATTCGCACTGCCCTCGAAGAGGTACCCCTGAGCTATCCATTCTGGCGGGTAGATCCAAAGGTCGGGCTCTTTCCATGGATAGGGGAGCTAGATCGTCGGGTGGCTGTGGGACTGCTTGACGATATGGCCGAGACACCCCTTGTCCCAATCGAACATTGGACGAATGGCGACTCACTCGCCTATAGCTTCAAATGCGATCACTGTGAAGTCAACGACCAGTTTCAAACTGCAGGGCAATTACGGAACACACTTAGTTAACGGAATTGAGTCTGATTTCCATACCTTGTGGACCCATGGTCTACACCTATCCCACCGGACCCGCTCGACCAAGCTGTTTTCTATACTTTCTCTAGGCTTGATGGTCGATAGGAATGGCCGAAGACCCGCGTCTGCGCTGCTGCTGGTGGACCTGGGGCCTTGCCCCATCATTCTTTGCCGAGCACCTCCCTCTCGTCGGAGGCTCATGTCTCTCGCGCCTCCGGATATCCCGCGTTTGGGGTCGGGGATCTGACGCGCGCTTTGGCGCGCAGGGACTAGGGTTTCCGGGCCGCTGTTGGTAGCGTTTTAGGGCGCCGATGTGCGCCGGGAGCATTGCTCCCTGGTCAATGAGATCTCGCGTTACCTTTCCAGCCATCTGCTCCCTAGGGAGCAGATGCCGCACGCTCTGATCGACCTCGTGCTCAAACCTGTCCTAGCAGGTCATCCATGCGGCAACCGCTACCGCTGTCGACGGTCAGGCAAACAATGGCTGCCTGGCGGCATACCAATCCTGAAGGTCGAGTGTACCCCGGCGGATCGTTCCGTGGGATGACTTTCGCGCAAGACAGGAGAACATCTGGCGGACTCCAGCTGTTCGACCATAATCGTGAACCGGAAATGGACGCAGAAGTCACGAAGATCGAACCGAGGAGCCATGAAAGGGATCGGAGGCGACATGAGCATGGACGAAACTGCCTCCTTCAACCTGTTTTTGCCCGGAATGATCGACGGCGTCGAACGCATCAGCAAGTTCATCTCGCAGATGGGTTCGTCGCGGCGCGAACGCCTACTATATCGACGAGCGCATCGTCGACTGGGAGGAACCGGACAAGGAGCGCAGGGAGAATGAATTGATCAAGCAGGGTTACGCACTGGCTCATAATAATGAGGATGTTAGCTCAGAGTATGCTTCGGACGAGGACAATAGCGATAGCCACCAGAATGACAACACTGTTTCTGCTTGCCCTGGGGAAAGGGGAGAGGAAGAAAGAAAGGAGAAAGTAATAATAAGACAGGGAAAAGGAAAGGATGTCCTAGGAATCAGTATATGTCTGCTTGCCATCTAATCATAGTGCGCAGGTATCTACGGAGGCCTGCAAATATCCTTATTAACTTCAACGACGGCACGTCCGCAAACCGATCCTCGGCATCTAGAGTGAATGCGTGGACATCGTTATCGCATCACGGCCCTGGTCCGTCGCAATTCGCACCATAGGCGGGGGCACGTCATTCCATAGACGGCGTGGGGATCATGGCCCAATGATTGTTTGTAGAGAGTCATGTCGCAATTCTAGCGCTGATGTGACCATAGCACGACGCTCGCAACAAATCAATGTGCTCCTCCGACAAGGGTCTCTTATTAGGGAGTTTCTGCACAGCTTGAACTGAGGTCTACTGCTATGTATTTAAGGGGACGTACCTCGAAGTCTTGCGATGCGCCACCCCCAGATATTGTCTGTCATAGCCCTCTAGTTCAAACTCAGGTAGCACGTTGCCAGTCCCGTTGATTTCTTCCGAGCTGCTCCTAGGCCCCCCCCCCCCTCCCGCGGTGCTATGCGGCATGGCGGACGAGGCCACAAGTCATACGCCGGCCGAAGGTCATCCGGCTCTCACACCAAGGAGCAGAACAGATGTCAGCGATCTCCGTGCAGAGGAAAAGGACGAGGCGGATCCGACATCTGCGTCCGAGCTGGACGAGGGTGACGCCGCCGGCACGGTCAGCGAGAAAGCCCTGCTTCGCAAAATCGACTGGCGGCTTCTGCCTGCGGTCGGGGTGCTCTACTTACTTTCCTTCCTGGATCGCAGCAATGTCGGCAACGCGCGCATCGAGGGCCTAGCCGACGACCTCGGTATGACGGGCAACCAGTACCTCACTGGACTCACGTTATACTTCATCGGATATGTCATCTTCGAGGTAGAGTCATCAGACAACTGTCTCCCCTATTACCCTAATATATATATGTTGTTCCCGGCAACCCCCCGACAGGGGACACGGTGTATTAACTAGAACGTTCTTTTTGCACATACTGCGTAGGTCCCATGCAACATCATCCTCAAGCGGACCACGCCCCGGTTTTGGCTGCCGACCTTGACTGTCCTGTGGGGGATCGTCGCCACACTGATGGGGGTGGTGCAGAATCTCGAGGACTTCTTTGTCGCCCGCTTCTTCCTGGGCGTCACCGAGTCGGGCCTATTCCCGGGGACCGTGTATTACTTCTCCATGTGGTACAAGCGGCGCGAGAGGCAGTTCCGCATCTCGTTATTCTTTGGCGCTGCTGCCCTTGCTGGGTCCTTTGGGGGTATCTTGGCCTATGTGAGCTCCCGTCTCCACCTCAACCCAAGCAAGTCAATTGGCTAAACTTGTCAACTGGCCATGCTGACTGTCAATGCGATGTAGGGAATCGGACATATGGCGGGCGTCGTGTGGCAGAACGGCTGGCGATGGATCTTCATTCTCGTACGTCATCTACTACTAATAAGTAGTCGTCCCCGCTGTGCGCACTTATGGTACTAATCCGCAAGTATGTAGGAAGGCATAGTGACGGTTGTGGTTGCTGTGGCGGCGTTTTGGTTCGTCCACAACTATCCGGACACGGCCAAGTTCCTCTCCGACAAGGAGCGCAGCCTTGTGCGCAGCCGTCTCGCCGCGGACAGTGATGCCACCCACGACGAGGGCTTTACCTGGGCTAACGTCAGCAAGGCGCTGCGCGACCCAAAGTGCTGGTTGTACGGGATGGGCTTCCACGCCATGAGTCTGCCGCTCTACACTTTTTCTCTGTTTCTGGTACGAATGGTTCTTCTTTTTATATCATTTCTTTTCTTTTTCCCTTTTGTTTTTCTTCCGCGTGTTAAACTGACCCGCCTCACCACAGCCAACCATCATTAAAGATCTCGGGTACACGGCTGCCAAGGCGCAACTCCTGACCATTCCCCCTTATGCCTTCGCGTTCGCGACAACCATGGGCGTGGCAACCGTCTCGGAACGGGTCGGGAAGCGCGCGGTGCCTCTGATCTGCTCCGCGCTGTTCGCCATTATCGGCTATGTCATCCTCCTGGCCAACGCTGACCCAAAAGCGCGGCCGGGCATTTCGTACTTGGGCACCTTCTTCGCGGCCGGCGGGATCTACCCGGCGACAGCACTCTCTCTCTCCTGGCCGGCCATCAACGTGTCTGGCCAGACGAAAAGAGCCGTGGCCAACGCGATGCAGATCAGCATCGGCAACCTCGGCGCCGTGCTGGGCACGCAGCTCTATCGCACCGAGACGGGCCCCCGCTACGTAGTTGGCCACAGCTTTGCGCTGGGCTATCTGGTCGGGGAGGTTGTGGTTTCCTCGCTGCTTTACTTTGTCCTGAAACGGGAGAACAAGCGGCGCAGGCACATTGCGCCCGAGGTCAACGAGGTGGGCGATTTGGCGGACTGGAGCGGGGATGATGACCCCCGGTGGCGCTTCCAGTTTTAATGATTAAAACCAGGGTTGGTTCAAGGAATGAGTACCTAGTACCTATGCTATGAGAAGATCTTCCTCTTTGTGTAAACCTGGTTTCTGCCTAAGATGGGGTCAGAAGCAAGGTCGATTGCCTTGAACCTTGGGGGGCGAGGCCAATACACCTGTCCACAAGGTATATTTGCAGCCATCCTCCCCTACGCTTGGAAAGAAGGGAGAAGGGGCCTCCATATAACTATGAAGTCACTCTATGCGCAGTCCCTTTTCATGTCGTGGGTGTCAAGGTCAGGAGGAACATGACGAGCATGGCGTTATCCCGTTTCCAGCCCTAACCCTATGGCCTCTTAGTTCAATCTCAACTGCCCTCGTCCGTTGCTTCAGTTGTTTGATCCTATCTGCAACTTCCTAGATCCATTTCTTCTTTCCGCCATCATCGCTGACTGCTGAACCGCGATCGAAACATGAATTATTCGCCCAGCTTTATCCACGAGTTTCTCAGGCGGCTGGAAGGCACCGCAGGCGTAGCAAACGAGTTTCCGGTTTACCGCGCCAATGACGCGTCGGACCGGCGATTGCTTGCGACTTGCAGTCGGCTGCAAAGCTTCCTGCTCGGCACGGGCGCGTCCATCTTCACGGATTGCTTGATCCCCGCCATAGTGTCGGCCCGCCGCGAGGTAGTTTTTGTCACCTGCTTTTGGGCGCGAAGCAAGACCCTGACCGCCCTCCATGACGCGCTCGTGAAGCTGGCCGCCCATCGCCGCGCCCTCATGCGCGACGCGCTCTCAAGGGGGACGGATGGCACGGATGGCATCGCCACTCTCCCGCCCTTGAGGATCCGCATATGCATGTCTTCGATGAGACTGCTGCATCCGCAGTCCCGTAACGGCTACCTCTACCCTCCGTCTTCGTGGGAGAACAAGCTGGGGCTGCCCTCGCCGGCCCTTCTCGAGGCTGCGGGGATTCAACTTCAGGTCAAGAGCCTCTTCTTCCTCCCGCTCAGCGTGATGCATCCCAAGTTCGTCATTGTCGACAGGCAACGGGCATTCCTGCCGAGCTGCAACGTCAGCTGGGAGTCGTGGCTAGAAGGCTGCGCGGAGATCACGGGGGATGCGGTGACGTCCTTGCTCTCGTTCTACTCGCGTACTTGGGCCGATTGGGGCGACGTGTCAGACTCCGAGCAGCAACGCGTTGAGCGGGCGGTCGACGACGACACATCCGTAACCGCCGCAGACTTGACAGACCTTGCATTGATTCAAAGCACAGCCCACTACCGCATGAGTCCTCTGGAAGGCCGGCCGACGCTTCCGACTCTCGTTCTCCCGTCGCCTCACCACCGCAACCCGCGTTTCCGTCCGTTTCCGTGGCAGAAAGCCCCAGCACCGCCTGGAACTCCGCTCAACACAGCGTTACTTCAGCTCTTCGAACAAGCAGAGCAGTCCATTTACATTCAGACCCCCAACCTCACCTGTGAGCCCGTCATCACTGCACTCCTACAGGCACTTGCGAGGGGTGTCGACGTGACCATAGTGACCAACCGCAACATGATGCTTCTCGAACAACTCGTCACGTCCGGCACCACCACGGCATGGTGCATCCGGTCGCTTATACGCCGCTTTCATCGGATCAGGACGGCCGCTGAAGCCCGCACGGATCTTGAAGCCGGCCGTGCTGCTCCAGGCCGCCTCCGAATTTCGTATTTCCGTGCAAGGTCGGTTGGTACCCCGTCGGATGCTGAGGAGCCAGCGCACTCGCACCTAAAACTGACGCTTGTCGACGCTGCATACGCGGTGCTCGGCTCGGGTAACATGGACCGCGCCAGCTGGTTCACCAGCCAAGAACTCGGCATCCTCTTCCAGGACAATGAATTCTGCACGAGGGTCAAGGCTGTGGTCGATCACGTCCTGGACGGGAGGCTCGATGTGGTTTTCGACTCGGATGAACGGTCGGGGCCGTGATTCTTCTTTCGGTTTCCGGGCGCTGCTGGCCGGTACACTTGAGCGCATAATGGCGAGGTCAGCATCTCGGCTGCTACGTACGTACACGCAAAATGCAACCATTCCCCGGAACATCACGCATCTCTTCCGGGCATGGTGCGGTAGTGGTCGGCCAAGATGCACCCCTGTCCTCGCCATTGCCCCGCAGACAAGAGCCGCGCTCTTCCCTTCAAGGACAATCAGGAACGTGGCTTCCGAGATCTGGTCAGTCCCACGTCAATTAAGGCCGCCGACCGCAACCCGGTCCCACCAAATTGCGCGTGACGGGAACTCGGTTCGCGGAGATTCGTTCCTCTCCCTCATGCAGGCCACGGCCTTGGTCCCTGTCGTTTCCCGGTTCTGGGGCCCATTATGATATTACCTATCCCGCTCAAATGGCCCACGCTCCACTCTCGACCGTTGGACAGCTGTTTCCGTGATACTGGTGGCATCACGCACCTTCAGTGAGCACCAGGGGCTGGGCCCAAGAAGGCTTTGTTCGGATGCGCGTTTCCGGGACGTCCTTCCTTGCCGTTGCGGCATGTAGCCGCTCTGGGAGCCACGGCAAACGCCCCAAGGAGGTTCGAAGCGAAGGCGGAGACTTGGAAAGCTCGGAATCGCATCGCCCCGGAACGATAGCTTCTCCCATCCGGAGCTGGAGCTCTTCGGCACCGCTCCCGTCGATCCGATCTTGCCCTTTCGCAGATCTCTGTTCACATGGGCTCTTTTGGTGCACGGATGTCGGCCCATAAAAGAGGCAGCACCCTCTCCTGTTGGTGATCCTAGTGACCTAGTCTCCCCCCAGTGCCAGCACCTCACCGCGCTCAGGACAACAACAAGCACAATGGCCAAGAAGTTCCTTCTCGCCGCCGCCCTTGCGGCTACCTCCCTGGCTGCTCCCGTCATCGAGGAGCGCCAGAACTGCGCCTCCCAATGGCAAGGGCACCGAGCTATGATGCCAAACAGCGAGTCTGCTTGACTAACAGGGACAATATTTAGGGGTCAATGCGGCGGCAATGGCTGGACAGGCCCGACCTGCTGTGCTTCGGGCAGCACATGTGTCAAACAAAACGACTGGTACTCCCAATGCCTGCCCGGCACCCAGGTGACCACCACGGCCGGCCAGTCGTCTTCCTCCAGGCCGACTAGCAGCAGCAGCAGCAGCCGTCAGACCAGCTCGGTTGGCACCACCAGTCCCACCACGTCGACCCCTGTGGTCACGACCGGCCCGACAACGACCATTCCCGGCGGCGCTTCCAGCACAGCCAGCTACACCGGCAACCCTCTCGCGGGAGTGCAGATGTGGGCCAACGACTACTATGCATCCGAGGTGCTCTCGCTGGCTGTTCCGAGCATGACGGGCGCCATGGCCACCAAGGCGGCCGCCGTGGCCAAGGTTCCCAGCTTCGAGTGGATGGACCGCAACGTGACGGTGGAAGACCGGTTCCTCAAGACTCTGGGACGGATCCGGGCCGCCAACCAGGCGGGCGCCAACCCCCCCTATGCCGCGATCCACGTCGTCTACGATCTGCCCGACAGAGACTGTGCGGCGGCAGCTTCCAACGGCGAGTGGTCGATTGCCAACGGCGGCGCGGCCAACTACCGCGGCTACATCGACCGGATCCGGAAGTACGTCATCCAGTATTCGGACGTGCGCATCATCTTCGTCATTGAGCCGGACTCGCTCGCCAACATGGTGACCAACATGGGCGTGGCAAAGTGCAGCAACGCGGCGGCGACATACAAGGAGCTAACCGTCTACGCGCTCAAGCAGCTCAACCTGCCCAACGTCGCCATGTACGTGTATAACCCTTACTAACTAGCCCTTAACTAAGCCCTGCCCGGACTAGTCTGACAGATATAGGTATCTCGATGCTGGGCACGCCGGGTGGCTCGGATGGCCGGCGAACCTCCAGGGAGCGGCGGACCTGTTCAGCCAGATCTACAGAGACGCCGGCAGCCCTGCGGCGGTCCGGGGCCTGGCCACCAACGTGGCCAACTACAACGCCTTCAACATCAGCACGGCGCCGGCCTACACGTCGCCCAACCCCAACTACGACGAGCTGCACTACATCCAGGCCATCAGCCCGCTCCTCAAGGCGGGCGGCTTCGACGCGCACTTCATCACGGACCAGGGCCGCTCGGGCAAGCAGCCCACGGGGCAGCAGCAGTGGGGCGACTGGTGCAACGCCAAGGGCACCGGCTTCGGCACGCGCCCGACGTCCAACACGGGCGTCGAGCTGGTCGACGCCATCGTGTGGGTCAAGCCCGGCGGCGAGTGCGACGGCACCAGCGACACCAGCGCCGCCCGCTACGACTCCCACTGCGGCCTGGCGAGCGCCCTCCAGCCGGCGCCCGAGGCCGGTACCTGGTTCCAGGCCTACTTTGAGCAGCTGCTTACTAACGCCAACCCGCCCTTCTGAAAAGCTGTTCGGGCAGGGGGGCCGGGGTGGTACCGTTTTGGAGGTTCTCCGTGGGTTGCAGTTTTCAAAACCTATTCATGTACATAGTTACATTCTTCTGGAGCTTTTTTTTTTTTTTTTTCCCATAGACAAAGCGGGACACTTGACAGGAGATTGTATATAGTACTGTCGAAGGTTTCATGGTCATGACCTCACTATCTACTTATCCTCTTGAGCGCCGTCTGTCATTTACAATGCAATGTAGTCTTGCATCTTGAGCAGCCCGTCACGCCGACCAGGGGCCGGGTCGATGTTGGTCTGCTGCGCCCGCGTGTCAGCTCCAGCGCGTTCGACGATGCGCGACACACCGCGCCATGCCCAGGCCATCAGCGCCCCTCCCCCCCCGCCGAGTGCCCGCTGTGCCGTACACAGGTCGTAGAACCTTTGCCCCTGCCGCGCGACGACGGCCCGCCCTGCTGCTGCTCGGCCATTTCGTCGTTGTTGAAAGCGATATCGTAGCCACGCCCGCCCGGGTTTTGGTTTGGGGGGGGGGTTTGGGGTTCGAGAAGGACCCCACGGTGATGATAGTCGGGAAGAAGATGGACCTGTCGCCGCCGTGGAATGTGAAGGGGTCGTTCAGCGCGTTGGCCACGGGCGTGCCGAGGCCGCTGGGGATGGCAGTCCTCCTCCTCCTCCTCCGGGTGCTGTACTAGGACTAGTAGTAGGAAGAGGAGGCGGAGTAGTGGTGGTCACGCGGGATGTGCTGAGTGTCGTGAGCGGCTGTGGCGTGCTGCTTGTGGAAGACCCAGCTATACACCCAGTTCCAACCTTACATTCTTAGGGCTTCATCTTAAGGTAACGAAGTGTGAGATATCTGTTGATATATGGTACATAATGGCGTGCACGTACGGATAGGTCACCCACGTGGGCAGCCGGAGCCTTTACTCGGGCCGAGTCTCGTTGTCATAATGCCATGGGCAAAAAAGGCAAACTCGGAGCAAAAGGGGCGATCCGACCTGAAAGAGGAAGATGCCTCTGTTTGGTGCCTCGAGTGTAACCTGTGCACACTGCGTAGCCGAGATCTGGTACAGTACTACTGGATCAGCTCCGGATAAATGCCGTGTAGACACAGAAGGTTTGACTTTGGACTTGGCTTAGTGTTTAACGCTTTGAGATATGTCTGAATGACTTGTCCAGTTGCACCTCAGCAGGATCAGTATCACCAGCGTATCGGTATGGACGAACGCTCATCTGGTTTATCCACCATTGAAGTTTACTACGTGCCTGCTCCATGTCAGATACTCGCACCTCGACCGGACACTTTCCCAAGAACAACCTCCCATGTGCTATGGCGTAGACGGTTGCTCTGGTCAACCACGATGGCAGAGTTGCCCGTTGCCATGCAGATTCATCGGTAGGATTTGGCTGCTATTTGTGGTCACAAAGACGAAACACGGGGACGGCCGTCGAGATGAATATAGCTGCGTACTTGTGCTTGTGCTTGTCAACCAGCTCTACGCCTACTGTACTGTACAGTATGTCCGATTTAGCTAATAAGCTAAGCATCTTGGCTTTTTCTGCTCCTCTTTCCCTCTCTTCCTCTAGACTCCCCGTCTCCCGACCCCCGCCAACTCAGTGCCGCGGCGGCCTCATCGCTCCCCTGACCCTTCTGCCCTTCCCCTTGCCGTTGCCGTTGCCGTTGCCATTGCCCCTGGCGGTCATGACGGTCATGGTGTGCACGTAGCGCAGCTTGCCGCCCTCGACGCGGAACTCGTGGCTGTCCGGGATGCCCGAGAAGCTCAGGAAGACGTCGACGGCGCCGACCGTCTCGTCAATGACATAGCGGCGGTCTGTCAGCGCGACGCCGCTCGGAATGCCCACATCACACCGGTCGCTCGGGCTTCCGTTGCCCGTGTAGGAGCCGCCCTCGAGCCGGGCGCACGGGCGGCCCCACGGCACCACGACGCTCTTGTTGCTGAAGATGTCGCAGTAGGCATCGGCAGCGGCCTGGATCACCGCGCGCGAGTCGCGCTTCGCTTCCGGGATCGGGTCCCAGGCCTCCTTGCTGGCCCAGTTGAGCGTGCCGGTGGCGTTGAACAGCCAGTCGCCGGTGCTGGTGATGAGCGTGTCGACCTTGGACACGGCGCCGTCCTTGAAGTGCATCTGCGTGCCGATCACGTACGGCTTGCTGCCCTTGGCCGAGATCAGCTCCGTGTAGGTGGCACACTGCGTCGTGTCCAGGCTGTGCCGGCTGTGGTCGATCTTGAGCGCCGTGGCCAGGATGCCCGACTTGAAGGTGGCCGCCCGGTAGTTCTCCTGGTACACGAAGCTCTCCGCCACCGGCTTAAGCAGACTCGGGTCGCCTGCCGTCTGCGCGGCGACCAGGCTGTCGGCACTCGCTTGGAGAAACTCTCTAGTGCAGTCCGCTGCTGAGGCCAGCGACGGGCCAAGTACGCCGAGCGTCAAGAGTGTAAGCGGGTACATGCTGAGTCTAATTTCTAGGTGGACTTGTGTTGGAAGACATCGGGATTCATGTTTCTACCGTCTGGCGTGGAGAAGTAGTATATATCCCATACGGCCCTTGGAGTGGCCGTAACCGGAAGGCTAATGATGTGGCAAACGGGTAATTGCGCTGGTTGCCATTCCGTGATATAGATCAAAGGCTATAAATGAAGAACCTGGGATCGGCAGTTCCCCTGCGTCAAGTGATTGGTACGCCCGTGGGTTCCGGAACTGCTTTAGAACATCATTTAAACATGATGATACCTTGAAAGGCGGGGGATGAACAACTGTAAATGGCCTTCTCATATGATTCCGACGTTTTGTTCATGCTGATCTCGAGCAGTTTCTCGGTCCTTGATTTAAACCCTGATTTTCAAGGTCATCGCTGTCCTGCCCCTTGAGCATATGATTAGGAAAGAAAATACAGAGTCTGAGTCTCTCATTAAAATAAGACCACGGTGACCCCTTCCAAGCTATGGAGGTTGCAGTCAAACAGCAGGATTGCCGGGGCAATACTAGGACGGCTGTCCCAGGTTCATGTCATACCACTGATCTACATTGGCTTCTCACCCGGTGACCTCCCTGTTGGCATAAATCGTCTTGCCACGGTGACTATCCCAACTATCAGCTCGGTGTTGGTGGGTCTAGGAAGTGGAAGTCGGTCGAGTTACAAGGCAGGAGAGACCAACGTACACCTTGTAAGCAGGAAGGAGCTCGCCTTACACAACAATAACTCATCCCATGTAGTGTAGTGGTTAGCATACCAGATTTTCATCTCCTACAGAGATCTCTGGCGACCGGGGTTCGAACCCCCGCATGGGAACTCTGATTTACTTTTGCTCGTGGTGCCCTCTGGGAGAGGAATCTGGTGGCTGAGGTTCATGTTGATGCCATCGCATCACCATCAATCTTCCCCATCACAGGCAATCCCACATTCAAAAATTTGTATCCCATTTTTGGCTCAACTCCTTCGGTGTTCGGTTGGCTTCGTCATATGCAGCAGATGTATCACCTTCCAGTTGTGGTTTCCATTGTTCCCCGATGTGTCTTTCATAGATGATCACGATCATCCCACGGTTCCAACTGCCTCAAGTAATCCGAGAACGTCCCGTCAAGACACGACACCCGCACGTCAGCCTTTCACCGGAAGCCGTCCAGCTTGACCGACTATCGGATGTCGGCTACGCGCCCAGTGTCTGGCACTGTGGGCTATTGACGTTGGACCAAAGGCCCGACGGAACGGACAGAGCTGCATGAATTGCGTATCAAGGGAAAACAAGCCCGTTCGCACCCGCCATCGGCAATTGAGAATCGGCTGAACATTCGAGCCAATTCATATCACATGGGCCGCCAGCGCGGCATGCACCCCGGACCCGTGTCGACGTGTTGGGCATCGATGTCCCAAATGGGGCGAGCCACACGAGACAGCTGTAATCCCCCACGCTCAAGCAACCCACAGGCGAAGTTGGGCAGTGTTGCCGGATTACCTTCAATGGGAGTTCCGACACTGTGCCTTAGCTGGTCTATCGTCCATAGATGCAACCCGCGAACGACATCAACATGCCGAAGTCCGAGAGCTTAAGCTTCGAGGCAGGCTGCAGCTGTCGTGGCACTACTGCTGTATGGCGAGGCTGTCTCGCAGATAGGAGACATCCCATGCAAAGTAAACTGGACATGGGACTACCTGTAGCCCGTACGACCAGTACGTACATGTCATACCAGGTTTGCTGCCGGACCAAGATGCTACAATATCTAAAGATCGAGATCCAGGGAATAAGGTGTATAGAGAGTAAAGAGATGCCGATTGCATCGCATGTCGTTCAAACTTGTCCGGAAACCCCGCTCTACATTCCCAGTCCTCTATCGTACATCGTTAGAAAGTAAAGCGGCGTGGGCAGTGCATTACCCTTCGCCTGGGGCGGTTGCACTTTCCCTCTGCCCCCTCCCGTCCTGAGATGCCCAAATCTCCCGCACCACTTAGGTGTCCATCATGTGAGCCGAGACAAACCGTATCTTGCCATCGATATCCCGCTTCCCACCCTTCTCTGTGTTACCCATAAAGCTCGAGTCGTTCCATTCCTCGACAATCCCGCTGACCGCGCCCCTAGGCCACTGGCTAACCACAAACAAAAACTTGTTTCCATCATTTCAGGCGGTCATCCTCCGGAACCGGGAGAAGTAGAGCGTAGCTGATCCCTCCTTGATTCGCGGAACGACAACCACGAGAGGCACCCGGCAGAACACTGGAAAGAAGTGGCGCGATGCTGATGGTGGCACGAGTCCAATGGGCTACGCCCGGTGCGGTCTCGCAGATTGTTTCGCTTGTCCCGGCTCCCGACCGGTGTGCCTTGGTAGGGTGTGTTGAAAGTCGCTGGTAACGTTTCAACCAGCCCACGCTTAGGTTAATAGTCTTCTCGCTCACCGGTGCCCAGTCGACCCTTTTTGCCGAACAACGGAATCCGCTCTCGGCGCAGCACGTCAAATGCCAGCCACCACAGAAGCCTCTCGATTACCGGGTCTACACCAGCCTACTGATCCTCCGCGTTGGAGGAAAAGATGGCAAGTCAAAGCACAGTGCCAGAACTCTCGGGCCGTGCCGAACCATTTACATTGTGTTGGACTAGAAAGCAACCTTCAAGTTCCACTCTAGGCCTTCTACTTTCTCCCGCTTGGCATTGAGAAGAGCTCCGCTCTTGAACGCCATTGAATTCGCCGCGTGGCGGAAGACCGCATGCTCCGAGAATGGCAACCATATTCTTCATCTCTGACTCGCCGCTATCCGTGTCTGCCCGACAGCTCACAGGGAAGGGGCATGGCAGGTCGGTTGGGCATTCAGGTCATTTCTCGGTGCGACTTCTCCCGAATCGACGCCAGGACATGGCTCGCAGGTTTGTGAAATCATATATCTGCAGCTGATCTCTGTCATATGTGATAGATCTGTAGAAGCATCGGGGACCGACGCCACATCCAGACTAGCGGGTTGGAAACTTCCGAGACTCTGTCGTCCCACCATCAGCTCGTCTTGTCATTCGTCTGCCCACCACGATCCCTATGTTCTCCGCAGCGGTGAGCTCCAATTTGTTCTGCCTTGGGTGTTATGATCTCTTCGCTAACGCCTTGCAGTCTTCCCACACGAAGGGTCACAAACAGAGTTCCGGCCATGGAAAGCGCCAAAGCACCAGCAAGCCCTCCAAGCCCTCCAAGACCAAAGATACAGCTAGACCAGTGGACCATGGGACGATTCCGTACTCGTTTCTGTTTGTTGTCAATGAGTTTCAAGTCGACTATGAACCTATTCATCCGAGGGACCGGCCCCTGACGGATCCGTGGCTCAATATTATGCCCCCAGAGGAGGCCGCTGCCTACAGAGACGAGGCGATAGGGACCGTGTTCCGTTACCTAGACGGCGTCGTCTCACCTGCTCCTGGTTACGTGTGGTACAGAACCATTTTGACGAGACTTTGTCGTGCAGCTACATCGGTTCTCTGTCGACTAACCATGGAGACACAGGTACCGGCCCCAAATGGGCGCCAAAGGCTGTATTGTCCGAATCAACCAGGCGAGTGCCATCACTGGATACCCGGCTATCTACAGTGAGACAACTGTGTTTTCCTGCTCGCCTCTTCTACCCATGATCGTCACCCATGACGATGCGTCAGTAGGGCGCACGTTCATGCGCCGCGGCTGCGAATGCGACAGAAGATGCGATGGCTACGCGGCCTGGTCCCTGTTGCACTTCACAGGCGGGGATTCTCAAGAAGGAATTTCATCAGTCAACTCGTATGCGTCAGGAGCCCCATGCGTAACGGGAAGAGACCCATCGTGGATCCCGTCACTCGTGCCCAGTATTTACCGGAACACCAAATCATCGGCCCCACCCTCAAGAGGTTTAGCGGGCGAGCTGGGGATCATCCTCGCCTTGATGGGCTTTCACGGGAAGAAGACCCAGGCCAGTGATGTCTTTGTGAATCAAACTTGGCATCGGAACAGATGGAACGGGCCTAGTCGGGCCTCGAACTACCGTGAGTGCTCGATCCTGAACGCGACAACCTGGAGCCAGCTGACTTCGTCCAGTCCCGAAAGAAGGCGACAGCCCTCGCGGCCTCTTCGTTCAGGTCTGCCATGACAACTTGGTGGATGGCCAGCCGGACGATGAAGAACACAATCTCCCTCAGGAGCTATGCGAGCAGGTGTTATCATACCTCGAGTATGGGTATGGATCGATCCTTGTGCAGGGCTGATTACTGAAGGCCAATCTCGATCACATCCTGCGCTCTTCCTTCATATCTGCCATTTCATCCTCGTCCCCGAACTCTATCCCCTTCCTGTCTCGCTCCCCAGTTCCACAAACTTTAGCCCGATTCTCCTTCACTTTGTGATATCCTCGTTGGACGCATCAGACGATCATCTCCTACACATCGTTTCGCATGGGTGGCCTGCGCCCTGGCATTTGCGGGCTCCGTTTTGTTGCCTCGGACTTTTTCGATAGCTAGCTGCAGGAACAATGGCGCGTCTCGTTTATCAAAGACCGATGACCTGGAAACGGGCGTGAGATATCACCCCGCAATTTTACTTGTAGCTGCTTGTCTGCTCTAGTGCAATCATGGCCCAACTCGCTCAATATCGACCATACGCCACGGCAGACCTTTTATTAACCTCCAAAATCCGCCGCCTTACCTCGTGCTCCCCTCCCGCCCCAAAACATGGCTGGCTGGATCCAGCCCTAACCGCAAGCCGTCGTAAAATAGATGAGAGAGCCGTAGCGGTCAATGGAACGATGGCTCATACCGCATCTGGTAATCTTACTGCAATGTCCCCGGATTGCGTGATGTAGCGCACCCATGGCAAGGAAGGGTATTGCAGCTAGAGGTCGGTTAGCTGATGTACAGAACCAGAAATAAGGACATAGTCATACCTTTGGCTCTGTGATCTTCAGATAGCGCACCTGGATCCCGCTGGTGGTGAAGTAGGGGATCTCGAACTTGACCTGGATCGGTCTCTTCGCCCCTTTCCCGGGCGCTCCGATACCGCCCATGCTGCCGCCAAAGCCGCCCGTCATGCCGCCACCATGCTCGTCATCACCCCGTACACTGGGCAGACCGAGCTCGGCACGCATGAGGAACTCCTTGCCACCCCCAAATTGCTTGATCTTCCAGACGATGGCGCTCTGCTCCGGCGCGTAGTGCACCGACCCGACGTTGGTGCGGAAGCGCGGCGTGTCGGCGTCGTCGGGGACGGGGACGACGATCTCGACGTTATTTGCGGTGCTACGGCGCTTGAACTGAGCCCTGGCTTTGAGCATGTACTCGATGCGGGAACCGCTGTGCGACTCGACGACGCACTCGACCCAGATGAGCGGCTTGACCTGCGTGTTGAGGCGGTACGACATGAGCTCGAACTCGCCGTCGGGCGGGATGAAGCTGATGGTGCGGTCGTTCTCGAAGCGCGATAGGCGCACGCACTGGTGGAACTTGACGTCCTCCATCTCGATGGCCTTGCCGCGCGTCGTCCGCCCCGTCGTCTCGAACATGACCTTGTCGTTGAGCCCCAGCCGCAGCTCGGGCATGCCCGACAGGTAACACTTCATTTTGATGGCACCCAGGATCTCGGACCGCAGCACGTTGCCGTTGGCCGACACCAGCAGGTTGAGCGACTCGATCACGTCGAGGAACACCTCGTTCTTGCGGTAGCGGATGCCCTCGGAGCGCCATGACACGGCATTTGTGACGGCGATGGGAGGGCGCTGGATCTCCAGCTTGTGCGACTCCTGCGTGATATATTCCTGCAAGATCTTGGACTCGGTCGTCTGCGGGTAGCCAAAGTCCATCATCTCGTCCAGGAGCTCGTAGATGATGACGAAGTTGTCGCGGATGGATTCCTCCTCGAGCGCCTTGAAATACTCTGTGAAGACTTCGACAATCTTATGCAGGAACAGCAGGATCTCGGCGGCATTGGTGTTTCGTTTTGTGAGAGCCAAAAGGTAGAGGTTGTTATGTCTGATGTAGAGGTACTGTAGAGGCGCGCCAGCTTTAGCTGCCGAAGGTCTGTACAAGACGCGGGCCGGTGACAGCTTACATTGATCCCTTCGTGGGAGAAGCACGGCGGCACCGCTGACGACTCTTCTTCGGCTTCGCTAAGGAGGATGGGGAACTTCTCGACGGCGGACATGGGAATATCTCCCCGGTAGTTGCGGGCAAGAAGGGTCTTGCCCTTGAGGTCGAGGAAGAAAACGGCTGACGCCATGGCGAGGAGCTGCCGGACGGGATTCCGGCCAGGCTCGCAGGCTCGAGATCGATCTTTCACCGGACGAGGGGCGACGCCAGGGATTACGGGGCGCGATACGGCGAGTAATCGAGTCAAATATTCCAGAAGTATTATGCCATGCAGTCGTGGAGTTGTTTAGGCGGTAGCCGCAAGTAGTCGAGTGGGTGCAGCTTGCTGGGAGATATTAAGGCGGTCGTCGTCGTCGAAGTGGCGCTTGAAGATGCCACCCCCCGATTCGGACCACCCGTTGTGGTCGTCGAGCCCGGTGAGTCCGACCCACAAAGGATAAGCTAGAAGTGGAACCGGCCCGCAAAGGGCCAAAGGCTGTCTTCCGGCGAAGGCCAAACTTAGCTCCGTGGTGGGGCAGCACCGACCTGGCTCGGCAGAGATTTGGTGCAAGTTTTTCGAGCTTTGCAATTTTGCTCTCTTTTCCTTCTCCAACGCGTCCAAAAGACAGTGCAGTCCATCGTACGCACGACAGGTGCCGGCATTCTGTCGAGTTTCCGATCCGTGTCGTAGTTGATGTCGTCTGCGATTCCGAGGCGCGGAGAGGAATTCCGTGGTGCCATAAGAGCTGCCCGAGCATGTTGCTCTTGGAGCTGCATTTACCTTGTTGCTTGGGCAGCGTCAGAGGCACCAAACATACCAAGCCACTTCAGTGCTGCAATTGGACCGGGGGATAACGCCGTGGGACAGTGCATGCGTGCCAAATGGTCAATCAAAGCGGCCACACTTCCACGCCGCTGGTTCACTGTCACGGAGGGCACGAGGCTAGCCGATCCGGCCGAGGTAGCCGCCTGCGTGCCTTTGATCGGGAGGACAGAAGCTGAGCTACTTCACGGGTTCTATAACCTTTGTTGGTCCAGTTTGTCATGCCGGCCATACAATTTGACCGTGTCATGGGCTGGATGAGGACAGAATGTCAAGGTCCACTCGGTACCTTTACGTCTTAATGAATATTATCTCCGCACCGTAAACTTGGAGAGTCAGCAATTAATACATCCGTAATCCGTACAGAAAGGTCCGAGATGCCAACAAACGCGTTGCGGCCGATCTTACTGCATGTGAAGGTGGGTCGACTGTGAGTGCTTTAAGAACCGAGTGGCGAGGGCGGCTAAAATCCGAGCATCTCACAGGCTGACAGGCACGAGCTCGCTACTCCACAACCCAGCTCTGACACGTGCTTGTGAACCTCTGGAGCTCTCGAGCCGAAGCAGCACAAGCCGGGAAGGCTCGCCATACGGGGTATTCCAAAAGCATTGCGTCTGGTTATCAGCCTTATAATAAGAATTTGGTAGTCAATGCTATGATCATCTCTCAGTTTGATCTGGCGTTGGAACGGATACCATGTGAACTAAACAACATCTCTGATGCATCACGATGTGGTCGTTGGCCCCGGCGCCAGGTGGAGACGATGCTGCGTCAATGCCTGCCGGGCTGAGGCGGCCTCGGTGCTAGTTGCATATCATTGCACCCGAGCAACTGTACACGATATACTGTAAGGTAGCTTCCATGTTGGTCTTATCAAATGTGCTGTCATCTGCCGATCTGCCGAGACACGATCTCTCTTTGGCGAGTTTGTCAAATTGAGAATAACCCGTGAAAGCCTTGGGTGCTGTGGGTCGCAGTTGGAGAAGACGGGGCGGGGCTTCCAGGGACGGTTGCGCCTGACCTCAGTGTGACATTGACCAGTGGTTCACCAGCCGTGCTGGGTTGACGCATGTGGGAAGCCCCAGACAGCGGGGCGCTCTGACTGATCTTCACCCATAATTGATGACTGCAGCTTGCCCGGAGCCCAAACCTTCGGACACACGCCCGACTGCTCGCAACCGGTTCATCCAGTCCACGCAAATCCCATCCTACTGAACCTATCCCTCTCCGTCGCTGTCGCGGGATCGCTCATTTGATCTCGCCTTCCTTTGAACGTAGACCAGGGTGCGCTTCTATGCCTACATCATAGCCCTATAATATCATCAGCGAGCGCCCGAAGCTGCAATTGGTATCCTATGCCCGTGTTTTGCCATTCCCACTCCGCCCATTCGTTGCTCCAACGCACTGACATCACCCTCGTACAGCGACGGCATCCGTTTTTATCGAGCATTGATTGCGAAAGCAGGGCGTTGCGGTAAATGCGCTAGCAGTAATCCGTACCTACGCTGCTCACTAGTCTGGGTGACAAAAGTGGGCTCCTCCTGACGCCACTGACATTGAGACGACGAGCAAACCGAGCGAAGGACCAAACGACTCGAAGGTAGTGCAATTAACCAAAGAATTGAGCGAGCGAGCGAGCGCCGGATGAGACAGGGCCTGTCCGCCCTTACCAGCCAATGTCGGCGTTTCTCTGATCAACGGCGACGTTGGGTTTTAACTCTGTTGCCGGTAAAGACTTTAAGAGATGGAGCACAATCACATGCAGACGGCTCCACACGGGCCAAAAGACCGACCCAACGATGACTTCTTGGGACAGTCTGCCAGCACAACACAGCAACCGACAAGCTCGGCTGCGTTAGCCACTGGAACGTCGACGATGCAGGCATCTCCTGATCACAGCGGACACGAGCATAAAGAGTCAGGCGACTTGCCGGCGCACATAACTGCGGAGCGCCCGGTGCAGCTGCCCCCCTTTGCGCTCTCCTTCCCCAGCGACCCGGCCACCGAACTAGCGCCCATCCAGCCGCCGCACGAAAAGTCCGATGGGACTTCATGTCAGACCTTACCGCCGCTGTCATCGGTTACTGGCACGCAAACTCATGCACCGCAACCGCAGCCACCAGAGCCGTCGCATGCCGCACCCCTTAGCAGAGCGACCAACCATTGGCCAAGCCTCAACCCTTTCACGACATACTACACGCCTAGCTACCTAGATCCCGTCGAATCGTCCCCGAGCATGAGCTCGGAACAGAGCGTCGGCCGGAGAGGGGCCAGCGTGAGCCTTGATGACCCCGACGTGAGAATAGCTGCTGAGGCGCTGGGACAGATGAGATCAGGTACGTCGTAGATGGAAGGATGGTTTGCGGTTGTCGTTCTCCATGGGGCACCGAATGCTTACCCCTACTCTTGTGACTACAGATTATGGTTCCTCCCCGCGTGATCGCAAGACGTCGAGGGAGCACAAGACAGCCAGCCCCTCCTTGCAGACAACCCATGGCAAGCAGTTGGAGCCGGAGCCCCTCTTGTCGCTGATCACAACGTCGCACCCATTGCTAGCCAGCACAATAGAAGGTGCTGCTTCGGTGTATAACACCGGGAAGAACTACTCACCACATATTAAGACGGGCGCTGAATACGTCGAGAACTACCTCAAGCCGGTTGGCAAAGCGGTGGGCAACGTGAGCCGGAAGACAGGCGTTGAAGGGGGTGTTCGGTGGATATTCGGGAGACGCAGCAGGAAACAGCATTCATCTACGGACATTGAGACGGGCGAGCGGGGAAGCAGCAAACGACTCAAGTCTGGGCGGGACGACAAAGGGAAGCGGTGTTCAGATCCACTGTCCCCGGACCTGTATGCTGATACGGACGATCGGCGCATGTCCATAAGCACTATCGACACACTGCCTCCATACGACGACCAGAGATCTCCGGCGTATACCGAAGTAGCCGAGGACAGGATAGCACGGATGTCTGGTTCTGATGCTTCAGGGCAGCCGTGGGGCCAACGGTTCGTCGTGACCACGTCCGGTCTCGGTGTCGCGATGAAGCAGGAGAGTTTGAGGAGTCTCAAATACTGTCTCAGGGTCCTGAAGGACACAAACGGTTACGTTGGCGAGGTTCTTGTGAATCTCAAGAGTATCATCGACGAGTATGACGCTGCAGCCCCGAAGGACGGTGAAGATCACGCCATGATGGAGGGGACTGCCCATGCGGCCCCGCGGACTGCGGAAGAACGCAACAGACTTATCCAACGCATGAGCGAACTCAGGGACGATATCTTCCAGGTTATCCACCGCGCCGTGCAGACGGTTTCGAAGTACGCCGGCAGCGCTCTTCCCGAGAACGCCAGGAACCTTGTGCACCGACAGCTGATGAGCCTGCCCGGACTCTATCAGTTCCACTACTTACGAGAGGCGGAGGGACGGCGCGAGAATACCAGCCCGGAGGGTTGGGCGAGGGATAGCGCGCACTTGGCGCTGCTCTTCGCACGGGAGGCACTGCAACTAATGACGCAAGTCGGCGATGTTCTCAACAGGACCCTTGTGAGTGCGGAAGAGTGGTGCGAGACACTGTACAAAACGAAAGAGCAATCAGGCTCTCCTTCCATTGGCGGTTCGGAGTCGACGGCGGCTGCGGCAGTTGGCCGGGATACAAGCATGTCGGGTTAGATGGGTTGGTTAGAGGAAACCAGAAGTGTGGCGTTACGGCGGTTGGATTCAAGGACGGAGTAATGAGAGGTAACAGGCAGTGGTATCAAGTATGGCGCGGAGCGCAGGGGTTCATGTTCGTTCACGACGTGTGGGACGCAAAAGCCAAAGGGAGGGAAGATGGGGGAACAAAATCCCACAGAGGGCCATATCGTGGGCCGGCATTCGAAAGCTCGTTCCTTCCTCTCCGAAGACTGTTTTCTTTTCTTGGCCATCATTCCCGCCAGGCATGTCGTTAAGCTGAAAGTTGGTCACACGCTCTTTTTGTTTCCTTGCTTACCTTTTCTTTCCCTTGCTTTAAACACGGATACCTGGATTCATGTCTCAAGCCTTATGCCAGTTGCCGCCTTGGTTGGAGTTCCTAGCTATAGTACCTATACAATTCGAGTCAGACGCATCCTAAGTCAATAGCCCACCCCATTGTTTGACTGCATCACTGTTGAGCATGTGGAAGAGGCGGACAGAAGTCTTGGAGTGTGGAGCAGTAGCGGGAGCTCGGGACAACAGTGGTCTCGGTCTCCGGATATGGTCACACGGATCTCTCTGCGACCGTTCCCATTGTCCGCCCCAAGCTGCCCTGTCTCATACACTTCCGTCCCGCTCTATTATGTGTTGCTGAACGGTACCCGCTAGGCAAAACTCGCGATGGCCGTTGGGTGATTCAGGTGCTCATCGAAGCAAGCACCATGCCATTTTTGTGAGGCTAGTTGCTAATGGCGGCCTCGTGGGCTCGTTATGTGTACATTCAGTCTGCCTCCTATGCTGCATTTGGTTGAGCACCGTTCAGCACCCCCTGTCCTACCGTCCCCTGAATGCTGATGCCAACCTCAGCTTGGCCGCTCTATGAGCCATTGGAGAAAAGACTGTGTACTATCCGCCCTGATGGTCACAGGCGAGGTACCATTCTCTGGGAAGACCTCATCCAGCCCACTCCTAGCCAAACGGGCCAGATCCAGCACGTTCATGTTGTCTCGAGCAGCCATGTCAGCATCCGTCCCAACAAAAACCGAGTTCCATCCGGCGTCTCGTGCACCCACGATATCTTTCTCAAACTCATCGCCGACGTGCAGCTTTAACCAGGCTGTATCCTCCCTAGCCGCTCCGCTACTGCTCCTCCCCCCACCAGACTTCACTCCCTGCTCCGGTGCTACTGCTCCTGATAGTATCTGGCTCGCCATGTCCTGAGCGGCATCAAAGATGCGCCTGTCGGGCTTGGCGTAGCCGACGTCGTAGGACAAGCAGTGCAGGTCAATGTCGTATTCTCCGTGGCTGTTACTGGTAGTGTCGGCAGAGTAGATACTGGCCCCGAAGCGCAGGGGGCTGATGCGGAGACCGAGAGATGACAAGATGTTGGGGACTCGGTCGTCCGAGTTGGTGATGACACCGACTGTGACGGATGAGCGCTGCTGCTGTTGGTGTTGTTGGTGCTTGAGTGAGCGGAGCAGGGAGTCCACCCCGGGGGCAAGGCTGTAGCCTTCCCGGGATGAGAAACGGTGCAGGAGTCTGGGAGCCAGGGCCGCGGGCAGCGTCCTGCTCGGGCCGATGAGCGGCTGGAAGGTTTTGTGGATCACCTGGCAACATGTCAGTGGCAATGAGTGACGGGATTAGCTGGGTAGATGTGGCTTCTGACATTCGTCCACCATTTCTCGGCGCCCATGCCACTCGCCCTACCATAGTTGGGATGCGCCTTCAATTCTCCCGAGAAGGCGGTCTTGAATGCCGCTTGCAGCTGCTCAGTGCTGAAGCCGCCGAGCCCACATTCTCGGGCAACAGCTGCGTACTGTTCTGCGATAGGTTGTCTAGGCTTGAAAAGGGTTCCAAATGCGTCGAAACACAACAAGACGTTTCTTCGACCCATGGTCACGGCAGTCGCTGGCCATGGCTGCCGCTCATGTGATGTTGGTGCAGGTGGTTAGGTCTCGCCAATCGCCGAGTCTCCCACATTTGAACATCTAATCAGGGTTAGGGCTCAGTCTTCTTGAGCGTCTGACGGCAACGTAAAGTTAACATAAAAACAATAGGGGTGCAGAAGGCAATGTGTATCTCAGTTGTTGGGGCGTTGTGGAGTACTACATAGGATCTGATCGTGTCTCGCTTCATATTACAGCACCTAGACATTATACTGTACATACCACAGAATCGAATGGTTGACTCATCATCATCCACCCTGTCCTACCCACTCCATAATGCAATCGAGAGCTGATAGGTAGCTCCAGTCACCGCAGCAGCGGGGTCTGCTCCGAAGGAGATGCGCCACCGTTGTCCCTCTGAGCTCCAACAACCACAACCGTCACGCTCCTGTCCAGGTCAACCATCTGCTCCCTGTAGATCCAACCGATACAGACGCCGGCGCCAGGGCCCAACAGAACAGAACCTCCCACCATCACCAGGGCCACCTTCCAGCCAGCCTCTATGAAGACCCAGTACAGAACAGTCAGCCCGACGAAAAAGGCATCGATGGTGATAAACTTGAGCGTGGCGCGTGTCATCTCCTTGCGATCATCTGGCTGTGTCATGGTCCAGATAAAGTGCGCATGCGCTAAAACCGAGCACGCGATGGGTAGGAAGTACACGGCCAGCAGCGCGGGCCTGTTCGATTCGAGATGCAAGCTGACGTTCCACTCTTCCCGTAACCAAAGGACAACCCTGCGGACAGTTTGTCGCACAAGCGAGACCCAGACCGGAAAGAACAGCCAGGCCAGCACTGCCATGGGGGCATCCAGCACCAGCATCAGCAGCGACGGCACGACGTAGCCAATGGCCACTGCCACGGGGATCGCCAACGTCTCGGCCACCCTAGCCAGGTGCCGCATCGTCTCGCCAAAAGTAGGATCGGCCAGTCCAGACAGCTGCTGGGGGCCGCCCTGTTTCCGCGCGGCAATGATCTCACGGCTGCGATGGACGAAGGCCGGGATGATGACCAGCTCCCACACGATGGCGCCTCCGATCAGGTTGAACACGAGCCAGGCGCCCGTCGGGTAGGCAATCAACATGCTGGGCGAGTTGCAGATGCGGGCCGCCTCGATGGTGCTCACCGTGAGCAGACTGGCGAAGAAGGAGAGGATGACAGCCATGAGCCCGAAGGCGCGGGCGGATGCGATGGCTTCCTGGAAGAAGCTGACCAGGAAGCAGGCCGGGCTTCCCAGGAGTGGAATGTCAGAGAGCCATGGGATGCGAGAGCGGGCATGACACTGCGAGTACAGCATGTAGATGTTGGTATCGCTGTGGATGAAGAGGACATAGCCGGTCAAGATGCTTAACAGAACCGGGACGACGAGCAGGTAGCGAAACGAAAATGCGTGTACAGCCGGCCGTGGGCGGCGGGCGGGGAGGTCCATGGTTCTGATGACGACGATTCAAGCGGCCCTGCCGTCGGTTTGTATACTGAACGTGTCTGTCGTTCAGGTAATCGGTACTCTGTACGTTTCCCGGCCCTTCTGTGTGTCAATTAAATCCTCCGCTTTCCGTGCAGCGCTTCGTGGAACGGGAGAATTGCGGGGCAGCAAGAAACAACTCCGAGTGCCGCACCCGCCAGGTGTCAGCACATGGCAAGCCTCTAGCATGTGAGCGCTCAATGACCCGTACAAAGCAAACGAGGGAGGAGATGACGGCATAAAGCTTATTGAAGCGTAGCAGAAGAATCAAGAGTAGGCATGTAAGCGTGCTCTATGACAATCAGTCAGTTTGCCAACAACCTGGAAGATGGGATGGAAGACGGTGGAGAAAAGCACGAAAAACACAAAAACAGGGCAAAATCACGCGCAGAACGCAACAAAGACAGGGGGCAAATGGAGTACAGGCGAAAGGGGGGTCTATTTTTGTTTGCTGTTCGATGTCTCGGACGTACCTTTTCCTTTTCCTTTTCCTTTCCTTTCCTTTCTTTTCTCTCTTCTTTTTATGCCTTCAGCCGATGGGGATACTACCCGCCATGGAAGCATTCACTGCGGGCCCTCGAGAAGGGAGTCGGGGGTGGCAGCGTGCCAAACCCTGGCACGCCCTCGAAAGTACGCTCTGCGCGTGAGTTGTCTCGGCTATACGGCGTGCCTGGGGCACCAGGGAAGGACGAAGGACATGTATCATGACTGGAGGCATCTCCAGGGCCCCTTAAGGGCACGTTTTGCTGGTGTAGATTGCTCGGCACGTCCCTACATGTCCAGGCGGCATGGGGCCCCGGACGCTAATGATGAACAAACAAACAATGACGGCGAGTGTGAGCATGCCCCAGGAGAGTCTGGGACGCAGCTTCTTCCAGATTCTGGGACGAGGTCGCCTCGGTTGGGTTGGCAATGTCCGGCGGTGTGTTAAAGGTTCTGGCCTTCGTCGTAAGCCTTCAGCCTCGGACACCCAAGGTCCAGGCCACAATAGGAGTCGCGTCATCGGCCTAAGCCGAAGAAGTTGGTCGCCAGAGAATGGATCCAACAACGCTAGGCCTGTATCGATCCAAGAGCCCATGTAGTGGAAGATGAGCGACGAACAATGACGCTAGATGGAGCAAGACACTACCAGACAAGCAGCCAATTAGCACCTCGAATCGACAGATTTGAAGTAGAGTATGGGTAGACTCACATGCTGCCGTAGTACCGGAGCGCCAAAGAGCGTTTCGACATCACGACGGCCACCCGTGTGTGTGTAAGCAAGCGCAGCGAGTTGCTCAGTGGTTATCGCTTCTCGTGGATGGGTACTGTTTCAACCACGCACTGGGCTGGTGCAGGCCTCTGCAAAGAAAGGTTGAACACCGGTGAGAAGATGGGCCCAATGTGATCCGAGGGGCGCCACGTAGAGCGGAAGATGAGCCCGAGCAAATGACAGTGATGACTGGCGTGTTGTTGTAGTGTGCCGAAGTCAGAGGTAGAGAAAAGAGGGTAACACTAGGTGAAGAAAGTGAAGAAGGTGATGCGCCCAGCTAAGCCAGGGAACTGGCTTATATGCCTGAGGGCTTGAAAGCCATACTGAACATAAAAGACCACAAAGAGCTTTAGTAGTTCAACATGTGTTGACTGGTGCCGCTCTGTGACGGGTACTCCGTGCCTACTTTACTCAAGTGTTAGCGCTCCTCTTGGTGTTCATCGCCTTTTCGATCCGCGGCGATGGTAGGCGACGGCAGGCTGGATATAGTACATGTCTTCAGGTCCACGGGATGTAGGTAGACACATACTTGTGTGACTTGGCATCCTCAAGGCCACGACAAGGGATGGGATGGTGTTCTGACATCTAGTAGAGAGTCCCCGTCCGTCAGCATGTTGTCTCACGTGGCTCCGTGGCTAATCATTACCTCGTGACGGGCGTCACGTCAACCAACCCTGGGCTGGTGCCGGCTACCGAAAGCGAAGGCGATAGAGCGGAAGATGAGCCCCCTGACTGGACCGCACGTGCCGGTAGCGGGGGATGGGGGGGGTTGTCAAATAATCTCGCCGGGCTCAGGGTCCCTCCGTTGCGTCGCCGAATTGACGAAGGTGCGTTGGCAACATGCAGCCCAACAACGGGCGAAACGGCGGTGATGAGCAGGTGAGCTGCCCGACTGACTATGGCAATTAGGCTGTGGACGAACCTCTTTGGTTAGTAAAAGCTGGAGGGGGCAGGGCCATGAGATGGGCCGGGTGAAAATACGCGAGTCCCAGGGTCCGCGGTTAATAATATGAGAGAAGTGTGCACTTACTCTGTCCGCAGCCCACTCCTCCACCATTCCGACACCGTGTTGAGCGCGCCGTCAACCAACGCGCTGAGCCCAGCCCGCGCGAGCGACAACCCAACGCTAAATAAAGATGTCAGAAAAGATGTAGACATATCAATACCGATTGCTGCTCACAAACGCTGAAGTTAGGTGACGGAACCCCAAGGAAGTGGGGGAGGGCCAGACTTTAAATGCTTAGACATCCCGCAGACGCGAGCAAGGGACATATCAACGCCTTCCCCCGCAGGCAAAACAGCGTGCATCGTACCATAGGATCTGTCCAGCAGAAAGGCGCTCGCCAGATCGAGAAAGAAGACCTAGTCGTCATACCCCCTCGCTAGCGTTCGATGATAGGTGCGCACCGGGCCAGTTCGTTATTGCCGCTATGCTCCTTCCGATCCCTTCTACGATGGGCAGGTGCGGGATGCCTACCTGTAAGCAGTTGTGCGTCGCCTAGAAGCGAAGCGAATGGTGACACGGTGGGCCTTAGGACTAGGATAGCACAGCCAGTATCTGTAGCTCTTGCCATTTTCAGCCGAGAAATGGCAAAGCAACAGCCTCTAGCGGGAAGGAACGTCACCCCGAGCGAGCTCAGCTGCGGTGGGTTGATTGACCGACGAACCTGCTCGTAGACTCGTCAAAATCTCCCATCAATGTCCTGAGGCCGAGGGAGATATGTGCCTGTGGTTGGCGGACGCTCCGTGGAGCGAACAAGAGGCAGGCAAGAACATTGGGCCGTATTCAATATGAAGGTCTGGCGATCTCGATGTCTGCCAATCCCAGTATTATGCCGGTTTAGACTCAGCTTGCCTCCCTTCCAGGTTCCCAGTCGGAACATGAACAGCACCTCTACCACTGACCGAAATGCCCTTGAAACCCGACAAAATACGGCAACTCGGCCATGGGCCACCCACCTACCCGGGAATTCCGGGCTGCCGCTGGCGTCCTCCAAGGAAGGTCCTAGACTGCCGCTCCTCCTCACAGTCTTCCACAGGGAGCGAACACTCTCTTCTGCGGACGCAGAGCTCCCTTTCCTCGGGAATGGCCCCTCCCGGGGTGCATAACATCTAGCAGCCCCACTCATGCCTAGGCTGGGGCCGGTACTTGCGGTGCTCAGCCTTTGTGGTGCACAGCATAGCGTGTCCGGGCGGGACCCCTTCGCGCGGGAGCTTGGTGAGCGGGGAAACATTCATTTGTTTGAACGAGGTGCCTCTACTAATAAGCCTGTACCAAACTGTTCGGCAATCCTTAATTAAACTGCTAGTTTGAGGACCTACTTACTCCCAATAAACAGCTACGAAATTGCTCATTTGAAGATGAGCGGCTTATTTTGACAACAAACGGAATTGCCATGATGGGGTCCGTCAATCGCTCCTGTCGCGAGGGGAAGTCTTCGAGCTTGGTATGTTTTAAGGGCTCAGCACTCCAGCTAAACAACTTACTAAGCCATCAACAGATAGTCATGCTTCCATGCCAGAGGTAGCAGCCAAGGAGGGAAGGGGCATTGCCGGTATATTGGCGCCGAAAGGAGCGTTGGATAACATTATGTGTCAATACCGCCGCATGGCGTAGTCCAAGGCGGCGAGCTGGACTCGGCCGTTTTGGAAAGCCCAGCGAGTAGCGGCGTGACGATGTGCTGTATTTTAACACTCCTGAGTCACCGCCCGAGTATCAACACAACAGGTGAGGGTAAAATCAATTAGATAAAGCCATCTCCTAGGTTACCTCGCTGATCAACAATTCTGCCTGCCGTCGAATCCAATACCAGATCGAGAGCCAGATGCGAGGATAGTTGCAGTTAGCCCAGACACCAAGTCCGTGAGCAGTCCCTCTCCCGTACGTCTGCCCATATATAACCTGACCCGCTCTCAAACCCTGTAAAGTCTTCCGGCGACGTGATACGAACTTCCGACCTCATAAAAGTTGCAAAGCGGGCGAGCGACTAAAGCATATGAATGCAAACAGTTGATCTTCGCCATGCCATATGTATATCCTGTCGAGTGATCTGTCAGGCCCATACCTTCGATGCTGGTCCTGAGCATGTACACAGCATTGGGGGTGGCAGCATGAACAATATCTGAGTGGCCGCCTCACTGGGGGCAGATAGCAGCGCCCATCGGATGTATCGCCAGGTCTGGTTCTCGTATCGTTGGGCTCGTCGGGCCCCAGCGATGCTGCTGCTTCCTTCCGGTTAGGTGACTCGCTGTTCGGAGTGGACGAGACGATTTCGAGACGATTTCCGCTGTCTAGGCATATCACGTTGACGCCGGTGGGAAGGTGGTACCATAGACTGAATGAACCTGCACAGAGCGCAACGCGAAGAGCAGCGGTTGCAAGAGCATTTCTGGAGAAACTCTTCGGCTTTGGCGTAGAGGTCGTCATCCCAGGCGTCGGGTTCAAGGTCAAAGATATCCCGATATAGTCCGTCCATTTCCAAGTGTTGAGGTGCACGGATGCTTCCTAGAAATAGGTAGGTAAATGAGATATGTAGGCGAAGTTGGGTAATCGGTAATTAAAGCCTTTGATCGAAGGGAGCGAACTTTGTGGTGGTAGGTAGAAAACGCTCCTGTACCGGTTGGGAGAGGTTGTAGATGTGGTTTGATGTGATGTAAAGGTTGAGCCATAATACCAACAACAGGTGCACACATGTTCATTAATAAGCTGGTCGGTCGGTGGAAGCCAAAGCACAATCACTCGATTTGTGGGGCCCAGCCTGAGTACGTTACTTGGGGGTCCGAGCGTTTTAACTGCTCTCCCATTTGAGGGGGCCAACTATCGGTTAAAAAACGCTCGGACCCCTAAGTAGTCTAGGTAGAAATGTGGTACTAGTAGGGACTGACGTGATTCAGGTAAGCATATATGGCTAATATAGGTTGCTGAGAGCTCGGGTAGCTAGTGCGGATGGATTTGTAAGCTTCACCCAACGCTTACTGAATATTAGGTACCGTACAAAAACGCGAGAATTACAGAATTGCTATAAGTATCAAAGTTTATCCAAGTTATTACCCTCTAGAGAGGGGTTATTTATTACTTTTTAGATAAGAACCAATAAAAGTCCCCTAAGACTAACTTATAGTGGGTCAAGTACTTCGTAATAGATTAGAGGAGCTCTACTACCTATATAAACCAATTAAAGAATATAGTATAATAATATAGACTTTATATGTAAAAAGCTCTAACGTACGTTATCAGCGAGCGAGACATATCAGCGAGCGGGACACTCTCCACTACTCTATAACAACTACTCTCAATTGCAATGCAACAATACTAAGAACCAACTATAATTACATCAGAAACAGATGAATCAGACCCTTTTGCACCCTCCTGGCAAGTGCGGGCATTATAGCCAGGCTTGCCGCACACACTATAGCATCGAACCTTCATACGACCCCCCCCAGAACTACTATCATCCAGCTGTGTTTCTTGCATTGCCTCTCCACTTACAGCTCCCTAGCCTACCACCTCCTGTGTCTCCTATATAGTAAGTGATCCTCCAAGCCGCATATGTGTTTTTTTGGCTCTCTGGTGCTTACTTAGCGCCTTATTAGCCTTATAGAGCGAAGACACCTCTGTCTGAAGAAGGGCCACCTGGTATATTATAGCTATTATACTCTTGGTAAGCTGGTCCATAGCAGCCAACATTAAAGTCAGGGAGTGTCACGGTCGGTATGGGTGTCGCCCCAGGCGGGGGTCGAACCCACGACCTCCCTAATTGACGGCTGTTGTGGAGCACCGGTCACATGACCCACAAATCAGGAATATCTTCGTGTAATGTTCTGAGCCACCGACTGAGAACTTCTCTTTCCTTTCTTCAACCTTAGATTCACGAAATAGAATGACAATAACAGCCGGCTTGACCCTGTTCAATTGCATCTAGTCGTTACAGGGAGCTATTTTAATGGTTGGTAATATAAGTTTTAATAAGCGTTGACTGCTACTTAGCTTCTCGAGAGTTGTATGATATCTAGAAGACCTAAGATTATATAGTGCCCGGCTATAAGGTTAGAGGTGTTAGTATACGAAGCTTGATATCTAGCTTCGAAAGCACCTTCTCTAGATCGTAATAGAAGCAAAGAAGGCCATGCGAAAGGTATAAAGGAATCTAATATATACACGCATTAAGTCCTCGATCTGGCGACCATACGCCTGCTTCAACGGCCCAAAGCAGCCAACATCAAGTGGCTGGAGGAGGTAGGAGGAATATGGAGGTATGCAGAGCGTGATAATGTTGTTCTGCTAGCAGTAGAGCTCGAACTCGGTTGAGTGGTGGCTTTTGTGGCCATCGAGGATCAATAACCGGTATTTGCCCTTTGTCCGAGGTGCTATATGATAGTCGAAGTGTTTGATCCAATCAAGGCCTACTATATTAGTAGTCTAGCCATTCTCGGTAGTTGCAATACACTAGTCGGCTGGGAGGTTGCATTCGGTATACCAGTTAGCAAGGTGGTACTGCGCTGCTAAGATGATGAATAGAGGGATAGCCTAGCCAAGGGCATTGACGCCTTAGATTACCATCGCCCATTTGCGGTTGCCAGGCTGGGCTAGCTTCGCCTTGCTACGGCTATCCGAGGTTGTAACCACTATGCCTAGGAAGATAATGCTTATTATAAACCTAGTCTCGTCGAAGTTATAAGATATCGTCGCCTATAATACCGTACTTGGCCTTGACATTCTATATAAGGGTGTGATAGTGGAGTATAAACCTAATCCACTCGGCTACGCACACCTTCCGAAAAGGATGTCGGAATCGCAAGTCCGAGGGACTTGCGACTCGGTCAATTATATCTTCCCTGACGGCAAGCACCCCGCAGGCTGCACTTGCTGTTACATCCCCCCGTCCTACCCCGAGGTTCGCCCCCGAACCTTATGTTCCTTCCCCCTATCGTGGGGGCATGAGCGAGCTTTTTGTTCGGGGAGCTCGGGCGGGCTAGAATGCTTTGAAAGATAGAACACCCGAAAAGTTTCGAAAACTTTTCCAACTGCGTGGCTCGAACGTATAGCCGTACGACTTACGATTGTAACGGTAGAGCATAAACCTAACCCACTCGGCTACATATACCTTTCGAAAAGGATGTCGGAATCGCAAGTCCCTCGGACTTGCGACTCGGTAGATTATATCTTCCCTGACGGCAAGCACCCCGCAGGCTGCACTTGCCGTTATAAAGGGCAAACCACTTGCTAATGACCTTTGGATTCTTGCACTTGGCCCTCTAGTAGGTATATCTTCGTGAATAACATATACGGAGCTCTGGCTAGCGTTTGACAAACCGATGCACCCAGAGCTTGCCGACAGGGGGCGCATTGCGTACGTGTAGCAGTTGGTTGGCCATATCTTCCATACCATATAGCCTTGGTGGAAAAGCTCGCTTAGATAGCTCAGTTATATACTGGACTATAGCCTTCTCTTCTAGATCGGTAAGCTTCCGTGAGTTGGCTGGAAGATCGCATCGTATAGGCCGGCCGGTACATCGGTAGCCGAGGGTTGAAACTGGCACGTTATAGAGCTTAGCCGCGGCTCGGAGGCTTAGTTTTGTATCATTTTCAAGAGCTTTGAGGGCCAAGGTTACCCTAGGTTCCTTTAAAGTAGAAGATATCTTTAGTTGTAGGAAAAACGCGTTGTTAGAGATAGATAAGGAAGGAAGCTATAACGGCAAGTGCGGCCTGTAGGGTGCTTGCCGTCAGGGAAGATATAATCTACCGAGTCATAAGTCTGAGGGACTTGCGATTCTGACATCCTTTTCGGAAGGTATATATAGCCGAGTGGATTAGGTTTATACTTTATCGTTATAGACGCGTTATACTAAGAATTTAGTATCCCGCTCGCTGATATATCCCGCTCGCTAATAATATATATTATATAATACTTAATTAATATATTAGTGTTATAAATTAACCTGCAGAAGCCAGCGGGGTATAATAGTGGAATGTACCGACTACAATGATAATATTATTTACATATATAATGATTTATTATACTAAGTGATGATTTATTATGTATGCTCTATTATATTATATATACAAATTTAGACCTACTTGTATCTTGTATTTAAAGCCTACCTTATAGTCTTGAGGATTTCTTTCCTCCTATAAGTTCAATATTCTTGCAATATAGTCAGTTTACTACTAGAGGCTTGACCCTAGCCTTAAACGACGGCCCTTATAATATAGGGCCGACTTATATAATCTATAGGTAGAACAGGCCAATCAAAAGAGGATTACGCTTAGTATAGGAAAGGCTTAGTAATCTAACTATAAGGCTTATAGAGGATTACTAGTAATCTAGAGTAATCTAGTATAAGGGATTACTAGAGATAGTCAATAACCTATAGGAAACTAATAGTATAGAGGATAGCTAGTCATCTGTTCTAGTGGACTTAAGAAGTTCACTAGTGAACAATATTATAAAAATAATAGCCTCTATCTACTAACGTATCTTATAAGCGAGCGGGACATATAAGCGAGCGGGACACTAAGTTCTTGGCACGACGCCTCCTTCTTCATCCACCTCCAACAACGCGTTTTTCCTACAACTAAAGATGTCTTCCGCTTCAAAGGAAGCTAGGGTAACCTTGGCCCTCAAAGCTCTTGAAAATGATGCGAAACTAAGCCTCCGAGCCGCGGCCAAGCTCTATAACGTGCCAGTTTCAACCCTCGGCTACCGACGTACCGGCCGGCCTATACGACGCGATCTTCCAGCCAACTCATAGAAGCTTACCGATCTAGAAGAGAAGGCTATAGTCCAGTATATAACTGAGCTATCTGAGCGAGCTTTTCTACCAAGGCTATATGGTGTAGAAGATATGGCCAACCAACTGCTACGCGTATATAACGCGCTCCCTGTCGGCAAGCTCTGGGCTTATAACTTCGTTAAACGCCAGCCCGCTCTCCGTACGCATTGGTCACGTCGATACAACTACTAGAGGGCCAAGTGCGAGGACCCAGAGGTTATTGGCGAATGGTTCGCGCTCGTATAGAATGTCAAGGCCAAGTACGGCATTGTGGATGACGATATCTATAACTTCGACGAGACTGGGTTCATGATGGGTATCATCTTCCCAGGCATGGTAGTTACAACCTCTGATGGCCGTAGCAAGGCAAAGCTGGCCCAGCCTAGTAACCGCAAGTGGGCTATGGTAATCCAGGGAGTCAATGCCCCCGGCTGGGCTATCCCACCCTTTATTATCTTGGCCGCGCAATACTACCTCGCCAACTGGTATCAAGAGTGCAACCTCCCGGCCGACTGGCATATTGCGACTACCGAGAACGGCTGGACTACTAATGCCGTAGGCCTCGATTGGATCAAGCACTTTGACTTCCATATAGCATCCCGTACAAAGGGCAAATATCGGTTATTGATCATCGACGGCCACAAGAGCCACCACTCGACCGAATTCGAGCTCTACTGCCAGGAGCATTATATTATCACACTCTATATGCCTCCGCATTCCTCCTACCTCCTCTAGCCACTCGATGTTGGCTGCTTTGGGCTGCTAAAGCAGGCGTACGGTCGCCAGGTCGAGGACTTAATACGTATGTATATTAACCACATAAGCAAGCTCGAGTTCCTCTATACCTTCCGCGAGGCCTTCTTCGCCTCTATGACGGAGAAGAATATACAGGGTAGCTTTACAGGTGCTGGCCTTATGCCGTACGATCCAGAGAGGGTACTT